GAGAGAGAGAGAGAGAGAGAGAGGATGGGAGAATGGACTAAAGCCGTATTAGCCGTGTCATTAGAGAGTGTTGGGTTCGTGTCAGTCGACAATCGGAGGGATCAATCATCCGATGGTTCCATCTCCTGCTTACAATGTTCCACGGAGTCGTCCTCCGGATTCTCTCTCTGTCGCAACGGCGCATGCTTTGACACCGCCATCGAGACCGAAACGTTTCTGCAGGGCATAGCGGCAGTTCGCTACAAGTCATATAGTCCCGTCTAATCGCACCGGACTGCAATCGATTCATCATAGAAATTACCGCCCGGTCAATAATGCCATCATTAACCAATCTCTTGTGTTCATACAAGATGTTTTTCTCGGGTTACACGTTGCGTGCCGAGATCGGGGCCCGGAAACCAATCATTTCACGCACTCTCACGTAGTCCATCGATGTAAAATCACTTCCTAAGATCACTTCTCCGACTAATAATACTTCATTTGATTCAATTCCCGTTGTAATCGAGTTTCCTCGAACGAGACAATAAAACTTTTACCCAAACGAATAATATTTCGTACATAAATATATGTTATTCCTATGAAGCAGATTTTAGTCGAACAAATAGAAATAAGACTAAAGAAGCTCTTTCACCCGTGTATGTATAATTTTCCGTCGCTTTTCGGCTGCATCGAGCGTGCGGCCTCCGCAATGCGGCGAAGAACGACGTTTCGGCGCGAGTTCGGAGCGGCATTCGAGTTTTCGGCCTCCTCCGAGGGAAACGCCGAGGACGCCGGCCGCTCGTTCCATTCTCCTTCTTTCCTCATTCCGGCTCTCGTGTGCGCTTAATGCAGATAGGGGATACGTCGGCCGAAGAGAAGCCGCGTGTAAACTGGCCTTTACTTGAATGGGACACGGCTATTGCTCCGCGCCACGGCGCGCCGCGCGTCCGAGAGAGTTACCGCTAATCTGTACTTACGCCCGACTGGTGTTGCCTCTGTGCTTACACGAGCGGATCAGCCTACAAACGGGTATCGGCTGTCCGAAGACTCAAACAATTCCCGAAAGCCTGCAACAGGGACGCGCAGCGTCTCCTCCCCCGTCGAATCTTCCCCGTCGCTCTCCGCGACTCCTGATGTCGCATTGTTAACTGCGAGGAGATTCGAACGCGAGCTTCCCGAGGCCGTCACGTGCTTTTAATTCGGGACGTGCATTACGCGGAGTCGCTTTTGTGGCGACGTTACGAAATGCGTCCCGAGGAGCTCGTCGGAACGAAGGAGTTGAACTTGTTTGACACACGTTCGCCGCGACGTGGTCACCCGTGGTGACCCGAACTTCCCGACGGTGCGCTTAGACCGGGCACCGGTGTTGCCGGCGCGACCGCCAGCGGCTTGTTAAAATACTTATGAATCGTGACCACGCTTACACCCAGCGGGAGAGAGAGAGAGAGAGCCTTAATTGCAGCCGTGGCGCCGTGGCCGCGATTAATAATACACAAAACAGGCGCAACGCGAGGATCCGCCCCGGCGGTGTATAATTAAGTAGTTTTATCGGAAATGGATCGCCCGAAGGCAAACATTTCTCGACGGCGAAACTCGAGTGATACCGTTGCACTCAGGGCACGATGGCCCGAGATCCTGACCAGGATCAAGGATGATATTCCGCACGACAAAGGGGTAATGAGAGGAGGGCCGCTTGCGATGCAATTTTGGCGGTTGCTCAACGAACGTTCGTCGAAATATTTCCCTCGGCACGATGATGATGGTTAAATTGCCGCCGCGTTGAGGAACGTCGAGGAACGTCGATGCGACGCCGCGATATTGTTCCGATAGGATGACAGTTCGTATCCCGCACTAGTTAAAGGAATTTCCGTTGGTATGCCATCTACGCCACGACGCGGTAATCGACGCGGTAATCGAGGATACCGAACGTTGCCCGAGGATTAACAGCTACTGAAAATTTTCACGATTTCCCCCTTTTCGTCGGGCTCCTCGGCCCCCTCCCCCTCCCCCGTCCATGGGTTTTTCGTTTTCGACGATATCGCGCAGGCCGATGCGAGTTGATAGATTCCGGAGTCGCGTTTCCGACGCGTGCGTGAAATTTCCCGGCTCGGAGTAATGTGAAATCTTGTATTAACGATCTCCCCTCATATCTTATATTTTAGGATTTACGTCTCTTGCAGCCTGTAAACCAGTGATTCATAGGTTTCTTAATATATACCTAAAGAAAAATCTTATTCTACGCAGAAAGAAAGTGCTAGATTCTAGAAAATAATTCATAGATAATTACTCCTTATACGAAATACTAAATTTACTCGAATTCAGGACAAATTTCGAATAAATTTGATACTCATGACGAATTGGTGACACATTTGCGAATATATAAGCTTACGAAATACGTGAAACGAATAACTTAAATGCAATATATACTTTTCCGTGTGATCCAGAATTATCCTCGTCTTCGCGTTTATATCACGATCCGAATAATCTCATTTTCCCTCCCGTGCAAAATTGCGCGTAAACGACAAACCGTTTCGTTAAGATCACTCCGCGAGACGCAGTGCAATTTTGCAATCGGTAAAAACGCGTTGCAATTTTCAATTTACATTCTGCCTGTGTCTCTTTCTCTCTCTCTCTCTTTCTTTCTCCCTGAATAATAACGCTACCGGCCTACGTGACCAGGTGCCCCGAACCGAAACGACAAATTAACGACGAATTATCCTGCGATCCTCGCTGAACGATTTTGTGTAATTGCGCTTACTTAGTTCCTCAGTTTCATCCTCGTCATTTTACCTTCCGTCTCACTCTAAACCGTTTTCTCCGCGTTGGTCGCCGGCCGGCCGACCGTCCGTCCGTCGCGCCGTACCGCATTCTCGTTTCTTGCCACGCCGCGACTAAGATTTCTACGCTCTTCGGGTGAGATGGAGAAAACGGTGCCTCCGCGTCCGCGTTTCCAAAATCGACCTCTCGCGCAATCCCGTCGCGTTGCAACCTTCCGCAACGTCAGGACATTTTTACGCACGCGCGTTATTCCTCGCGTGTCGCTCGAAATTCATCGGCACGTCCCGTTACGAGTGAAAATATAACCAGCCGTCAAAAATGGCCGTCCAGAACGGCGAAACGGAAACACACGGTGAAATGAGAGAAGAGAGCGAAAAATTTATTTGCGAAGTATAAGATTGATTTCGCAGAAATAAATACGTTTATCTAAAATCCACAGCGAAATAAGATTTTATTCCTTGCAAATAAATCAACTAATGAGAAAACTTCGGTGCATTTCGCAATAATATATATTCCGTCGAATCACAAGATAGACAATAGTTTTTTGAGCACATTTTTGTAGTTAGAATGAAAAAAAAAAGGATACTGCTGTTCCCGAAAGTAACAATATTTTTCTCTCGGTGTATATTTAAAAGTCTAGCTTAAAACGAAAACGACGGTCGGTGGCGAACCCCGGGCAGCCGGAAGGAAATCTTTGTCTTCGTCTCAGGGGGCGAAATTTCGATTGTTAACCGGAATACTCGTTTGCCCGCATCCGAAGAAGCGTTCTGTTCGACCGGATTTCTCAGTGCGCGATGCAACAATGCAGCGTGACAGCGTCACATTATAATGCCCGGCGAATAACCGCACGAAAAGACCGAGCCGAGATAGTCGCACAAGACGCCGTTCTCCTGCGGCGGCTCTCCCGTGTGTACACGGGTATCGGGAGCCCATAACTATCATAATGGCGAAAACAATTCCTTTCCCTTGAGCAGAGCGCGGTGGCATAACGGTAGCAAAGCGGAAGCTGAAAGTAACGCAAGAGAGACTCCAGCCACCCTTCCTACCGAAGGCGGGCGCGTGTGTGCGCATATCTCGCGCGATATCGGTGTCCCGCTATCTCGCGCGCTCCTCCGTTAGTCCTCCACCGTTATCGATCCGCCGCCGGATCCCCCGTATTTTCGCGAGCGAGAGAGAGAGAGAGAGAGAGAGAGAGCGCGCCCGCCCGTATTTCGACTCCGCTCCGAGGTCTTTCCGTCCGGTAACCTTGAAAATACCCGCGAGGAACGCGACGAGGAGGCGCGCTGTAGGCCGCAAGACGACGCGACGAGCGTATGTTGGAAGAAGGTCGAGTGTGACGGTGGCGATAATAGTTAGCGGTGGACGCTAAGAGAGGACGAGGATGGCGCGCGAGGACGAGGCGAGGGGAGGAAGAAGGAGACACACGGCGGAGGAGAACGGTGGAGGAGGAAGAGAAAAACAGGAGTAGAGAGAAAGAACGAGAGGGAGAGACCGGTGATGGCTGGCGATGATGACGGTCAGTGGTTGTATATACCGGTTAAGCCGTTCAGTACCAGCCCGGCGTCCGTCACGGGTAAACCTCAACCGTTCGGTTTCGACCCGCTATTCCACTCTAGCGTCGCGCGCATTGCGATCGAATTTCCTGTCCCTGTTATTCGCACACGCGCGCGCGCGCGCGCTCGATCGCTCGCTCGTCTCACGCGCGCGATCCTTGCCGAATGATCCTCCGATCGGACGGTCGACCGGGACCATCATTCGTCAAGATCGGCGCCGGGTCGCGCGGAGGGCCATCAGCTGTGATACGGATGATGTACACGCGCGGGATACTCGCTCGGGGAGGAGTACTCTTCTGAGAGCGGCGGCAGCTGTTTGAGAAGCGCACACAGACAGACGTACATTGGGTGGCACGTTGTGGGAGTGTCAGTGCCACCTCGCCGAGGCCCCCTGCGACGCGAATCGTGCGTCCTCCCTTCGGATCGATGACGGTTCGATGATCGACCGCCCCATCGACGTCCATTTAACCGGCCGTCCGGCGTTGACACAGCCGAAACTCATCCTCAGAGGCGGGAGCCCACTCGGATCGCTCTCGCGCGATTTCGCGTGCCGGGCCGGATTATCGTGGACCTCGGCGTTAACAATCCCCGACCGCCCTGGTCCCGTCAAGAAGATGAAGAACTGACTTTCGGAGGGGAGGGGGGAGGCTCTCGGTGGCCGAGGCGGAGTCGAAGAAGGAATTCGTCGGGTCCACGTCGGCCGATGAATCGCCCTGGGTGAATCACGATGGTGGTTTCCCCGCGCGAGCATGCGTCCTTCGTCATCGGAAATCCGTGCTTCGTCGGATCTGTGCGCGGGGCGCGAGATGAGTCACGTGGATACGTCGATTCGGAGTGAGCGCGGATGAAGTGATTACGAGGACTCGCTGGATTTCCAGAGCGCGGACCATCTCGGTCCGCGCGCGACCGAAGGTACCGCTTCCCACCGAGGCGCACGTTTCTTTCATTAACTCGAATCGCGATTAATTGGCCGCTCGCGAATAGAAACGGGCCACTTTGCTCGAAATATATTCCGAATCCAAGTAAGTTTGGTATACTTCAATCAAGAATATTGAATTAAAACGAACTCCGGCCTGTGTTTGTTAAAATTAAACGAATTTAACTTCTCTTCGATAAAGTGTGCAATATCCTCGGAAGAAAGGATAAATTCTTGTTTTGAGTACACGACGACGAGCTTATCGTAAATTGCGCGATGATTATATTTCAAGATTATTATGAAGGAAATATTCTTCACTGAAGATAACTATTACTTAGGAGAAAGAAAGTAAACTGAACGATCGCTTTTCTTCGCAATGTAATGATATTTTTCTTCGCAGTGTAATGATATTTTTCTTCGTGTACGCGTCACGATCACTGGTAGACGGTGTTGTGGTACTCGCGGGTCTCTCGCTGACGCGCGTATAAGTGACAATCGCGGTTGCATTTGGAAAGTTACAAGCAGCATCAGCAGATAAAGATCCGACCGAACGAGGCCGCCTGATTTGTCAAACGTGACACTTACTTGCCGTGACGCACGCAAATAAATCGGGCATGCAGTGCGATCTTCCGGGCTTTCGCAAAGCGGATCGAAATTCTCAGCGGCCGCGCAGAAATACATTTTTAAGTATTTTTTGCTCAGTACAGTTACTTCTACTTACGATCAAATTTATCCCGTCAGAAAGAGAGAGAGAGAGAGAGTTCTATTTTCTTCTAGAGTATACATAAATCCGAAGCAATATCCTGATTGATTCTCCAGACTAAATTTTACGGTTACAGCGATTCGTATGCGGAAGCCCTTAAAGTGGGCAAGTCGGGCTGCCAAAAATCGTGCTCGTACCGGGTCACGTCCACCGGCGGGCGTTAAATCGCCACAGCTGCAGCGAGATCTCTGTGCACAGTTAGCGCGATGATCTCCGGTGGTCGTTCAAATACCGTCACGATCATGTCGAACGTGACTTCGGCCGGACCGGAGCCGCGATATTCGCGACCATCGCCCTCCCTCCGGCCGCTTGTGTACGTTCAAGCACGGTGTCGATGGCGATTTCCAGTTATCCATTACCGTTGTCATACTTCCGGAACACTTGCTCAACGTCCTCCGCCGGCGTGTTCATCAGCCGTCGCTTTAGATACGGGCGTCGCGACGATGACGGCGAGACCGCGGGAGAAGTTTCTCTTCGACGCGGTCCGCCTGTTTGCAGATCCTTTCCACGCTACTCACCGGACGGTTCTCCTACCCGTCGCGTTGAAAACTCTAATGAACGATCGTTACTCCGACGGAGTATCGTTGCATTTCTCTCGCCGGCGCCGCATTTCATGATTTTTTAACGCCAACCCGCGAGTGGCCGCCCGACGCTCTCGATGCACGCGAAACATTCGCGGTTAAAATGGATCATCGAGCCCGTAATTTGTAAGGTTCACATATCTTTAAATATGCGCATATCTTTGAATATTAATCGGACCTCGCAAATTATGAACTTGATTGAGCCCGGCTCGATACGTCCCGTGTGCAGAATTCTGCAGCACGCGAAACGACCGGCAGACCGCTTCCTCGGATCTGGTCTACTCCGTAAGGTGCAATCAATATATTATTATCACTGAGAAGCGGTCAATACTCACTGACGGTCACAGTTATAAATAGGACACTGCAAATCAGTAAAAACTCGCTAGTAGATTCAGTTAATAGCAGCGACTGCTTCCGTCAGTAAAAAATCCGACTGCAGGAAGAGTGAAAAAATACTATTTATTTTTATTATCTTAATTATTCTTAAAGCGTTGTCTCAATGATTTTATTTGAAATATTTCCAATTATGAACCATTTAATTTATTTCATATATATATACATCGTATTTGAAAAACACGTTTATCCTAAATGGTACTCTGAAACATCTGGTTTTTGAGCCTGCCACCTTAGGAATTGCATCAGATACGATACGTTCTTAATAACGTGGTTAATTTGTATACATGTATGCATAATTTTGCTATCGAACAGCAATTTGCAGTGAATCTTCCACCGGTTGAAGTCAGTGAAGTATAAGAGAACGAGAAAGTTAAGTGTAAGCGTTTCCATATCAGTGAATACTCGCTGATCATCGTTCAATTACTGCTTTACTAATTGAATTGAGCGACATTATCGCCGATCCCGCTTAAGAGAGTAGCCGTCCACATCGACTGCGGAGCGAACGCATTCCGAGTACTGAGGGATATATCTTGCTTAGCGTCTACCTCGAAGTCTTTAGCAAATCCATATTTCAGAGCCGTTTACTGTTACATTTGGTTCAAGCTGTCGAGCTCTTCAACAGAGCTATCCGTTCTCGACACGGCCTCCTCTCATTATAATATTAATGTGGCCGAGCTTCTCCGAACGATATCCTGCTGATCGGCCGTAAGCGAGACTCCGCTTTTTCGCGCAAAGTCGCAGTCGGATCGTAGTAGGATCGAATCACCGACATCGTCGGCTCTTGGACCGGTACCGGACCGGAGCGGCGCGGCCGTTCGTCTCCTCCTCGCGCGCTTTATCAGACTGGCGTCTCTCTCTCTCTCTCTCTCTCTCTTCGTTTCTCATTCCTCGCTCGGCTTCCCGTGCAACGGGATGCTTAGACCTCGGATTATGGAAGCGCATCCTGCATCGGCGCGTCCCACCCACGTCCCGACGGCGACGACGTGTGTACGTCGTCGACGCGTACACCGTCGCGAGCGAATCGCGCTCTCCGCGCTCGCCCCGTGAAACGCAGCATCGCACGCCCGCTAGCCGCGCTTATTAATATTTACCGCAATGTCGCGCTAATTCGACGTCGCGCCATACGTCGCGTTTGGGTAAACCCGGGGATGATCGTTTAATCCGGTTTATCCACCATATGCTTAAGCCTCGCCGGCACGCAAAGCGAAAAGCCATGCAGGCCGTACGGAGGCGAACGTTTCTCGTCGTTTCGACTTGCTCCAATTCGCGCGCCATCACCGCGGCCGTTCGCGATATATATTGATTGACGTCACGGTGCGTCGCGATCGATCGTAATGCGCGCGAGAAGTGTTCCGTCGTCGCGGCGAAAAGCACGCTTGTTCGTCTCTCTCTCTCTCTCTCTCGCGAAACTTGTGAAACTTTCCCATGGCAACGCCGGCCGGAACGAGAACCAAATATTCCTCGCGGAGCCGCAAAGCGAACGCTCCGCGCTCCACGTATTACTCCCCCTAATCATCGTCCATTTCCTGCGAGAACTGTTACGCCCGCTCATTAGACTCACCACATCGCCGCTCGAACGCATGCAGGAAAGACGTAAATTAAATTACTCGAGGATTAAAGCGCCGTGCGCGGAACTTCATTCGCGCGGAAGGCCGATTGTTTGAGGAGTTTCGAGCTGGTACACACAGTCGTGAGCGATCGGCGGAAGTTTTCTCGAAATCAGCGCTGGATTTTAGCGAGTCGCCGATCCGCATCGAGTATACAAGGTGTGCTGTTTTGGCGGAAACAGAGGGGTATCTTGGAAACGAAGCAATCGAGAGGAAATGGTTCGGACAAAAGTTGTGGGCTTTGGTAGGGGGACGCACCTTGGTGACCTTAACTTCGTTGCACAGTCGATAATTCAAGGTCACTTTGAGACCAACTTTATTTGTTCACAGTAAGTCATACAGTTCCTTTAACATAAATCTGTTTCTGTTTATTCTGCGTGTGAAAGTATCGGAGATCGTCGAACAGTGAATAGTCTTCGAGATATTATACTGTTTGTCCTGATACGGTTTTTTCCTTTAATATCAATAATCGACGTCTCTCGTATCATTATGTGGAAAAGATATTCCACTGCTTCCATTAAAAGAGGACATTCTGTATGGAGTAAGACGAACGACTGAAACATGAAATAGCGACGATACTACTGCGAGGGAAGACCGCGAGCATTCGTAAAATCGTGCGGCTTGAAGAGACTCAAAATTCATTCTTCTTCCTCGGAGAGAGATGTGAACGCGAAGGTATGCGGAGAAAACTTGCTTTTGGCACGTGTGAGACCAGCCACGGGGAACGCGGATGGAAAATCGTGCGAACTCGTTACGAACGAGAGAATCTCGAGATCCATTTACTGTCGGATGAGAACGATTAAGCAGAAATGAGAGGGAACGAGAGAACTATGATAACCGCTAGTCGTTACGGAATATTTCTTCAGAAGGTGACGTACGTGTGAAACGCACGCAACGTTTCCCGTACGAGAAACGCTTTCTCGAGGAACTCGCGGAAGCGAAATACTCTAAACAATCGACACGTTGCTGCCTTTGCCCTTGAAACGAGACCCGCGCCGTTTTTACCGTACGCGACACCATTTACCGTATGGGTACCGTATTAATACCAAACGATTTATCGATATACTCCCACATTAATTATCGCCTCGATATTACGACTTATTTCCTCGCGATCGGTTAACCCCTTGTTGCACCGATCTTCCTTTTCAACATATTTTGCCGTCAGTCGTACATGGAGAAAAATCATTTTTGCACAGCAAATTTTATGCCGTCGCAGCGAAATCAGTTACTATATACGCGGCAAAACGACTCGTCAAGAGTGCTAATTGCCATTTGCCGAACCTATTTTGCTGAGCCTGCAAGTTGTTTTGCTATGAGAACAAATTAGTAAACGTGGAAGTGGGGAAACATTATTGTGTTCGGGCGACAGATTAACGTGTCCTAAGGGCGAATTTTTCTCTGCGTACGCAGACAAGCATCAGGAACATAACGACGCCAAATATGTTGTCGGTTATACGCAAAAACTTAAAGAAACGTGGAAGAACTGCGAAGAAACAGGTGTCCCATATAAGGGGCTCTACGGGACAAAGGCTTCTCACCTCGTGCTCGCCGACCACTACGTCGATCGTACGTACAATATCACCACGTTACGCTGATCATCGTGATTAAGCCTCTTGGTGACGTCGGCCCGAGCGCGATGGATGCATAATCGAGGTGCGTTTCTTGCGTTCGCGCGACGTGAAAAACACACGACGCGCCCGGGGACCGGAATCGTCTATTTTGCGGGCTTACCGGCGTGTCCATGCGCATACGCCGGCATAAAAGGCATGAAGAGCCACATTTGTCTTATAGCGCAAACAGTGTCTCTTTCATATAGTCGTGTACACATCTCACGCTCGTCACGTGGCACGTGCCTGGGGAACGGGGGAACGTCGTCGTCGGCGTCGTCGGGAGATCCTGCGGGCATTACGAAATCTTGTCACGACCGTGAATGCTAATGGATCCACACTCGGCTGAATTCGCCTTTCAATCCGGCGCTAGTAAATATACTCGTTATACCGGGGCTGCTCCGCGGGCGAGGCTCCGTAAAACTCGATCGGCTTCATCAAGCCCGGCATTTCGCATTTCGGAGTTCCGTTCGAGCGGGGAAAATCGCGAGCGGAGAGCGGGCGCCGCGGACACGCGTAAACTCCATTAAAATTTTCTACAAATATAAATATACATGTATTGAAATTTATTCATTTCTCTCATGAATAAATGAGCAGTACGGTACACAACGGTAGCTCGCGGAACGTTTTAAAGGCCTCTAGGCTAACAGCATAATTTCACGAGCTTCGTACGCATGCATATTTCATTACGATATTATTTGATATACTCGCTGAATAACATCGCTGAAAAATTTATCCTATCAGCCCCGACGTGAGATAAACAGATACGACGGATACGGAAGAAATCGAGCGAATTCGAGCGACGGGGATGACTCCGAAGCGTTTTATCACTTCATCTCGTTATAGGAGGGCACGTGTCATTCTTACGAGCGTTACGATCGCACCGTCTTCGCAAGAAGGAGCCTCCTTACGGATCTGCTCGGACGCGCACCGTCTATCGTAGCCTCGCGGATAATCCGTCGCTGACGGTGCGCGGCTCTTTTTCTGCGCCAGGCCGCTCTAGCGGTCACGTTGAAGAAGATCGATAAATGCCATTTGAAATCCGCGATCACTAGGTCATCCGGCATCTCTTCTTGCTCGTCCTTGGTACACGTTCTGCCTCGAGTGGCAGCGACCGCAGGCTGCTACCGGTGCAGTGAGAGAAGCCGCGGCCGACCAGCGACAGTTCTATATTCTGCTTCTTGACCTTGTCCCAGAGCGGCACCCGCTCGCCTCCAGCACGCGGAATAGACTTCCGATAGACTTCCAGTGTCGTTGAACTGTTATTTAAACACGGTACACTTGGAAATGGTCGCACGTGGATGATAAGAGGAGCCGTTTGGGAATACGAAGGAATACGAGAGAGGAAAGCGGATGGAGTCTGGATAGCAATTCTTCTCGAATCTCGTCTCTTTCCGCTTACCGTATTGTTCTCGAGTTTCGTTCGTCGCGTTTGCGAAAGCTGCATATTGAATCCGCAAATATACCATAAGTTCGATCATGAGCATCAGATTTGTTCAGAATATATTCTGAATCCTAATGAGTTTGGTTATTTCAACCGAAAACATTAAATTAAAAGAAACTTCGGTTTGTGCTGGTTCAAATTAGCCGAATTTAATTTCTTCTCGATAAAGTTTGTAATATTCTTGAAAAAGACAATAAATTCTTTCTCGGAATAAGCGGTAATGCGCTTTTTTTTCTTTTTTTCAAAATTTGTCATGAGTATATTTTAAAACTATCATCGAGAAAGAAAATATTCTTTATTGAAGATAACCGATACGGAGATACTTAACAGAAGGAGAATAATAAACTGAGTAATCGCTTTTCTTAGCAGTAGAACGGCATTTCTCTCTGTGCGGCATGCGAAAATGCAGAATGCACACGGACATAATGCGCGTGTATTCGACGGGAAAGGAAACATCCGCCCGCGACGTTCAATATCGGCCCGGTGCATCTAGTTCCTCTCCACGGATATCGCTCGCTATTCGAGAAAGTTATCAAAGACGCGTATCCGTCCACGTGGGATGCCATTTCTATGCCGGCAATAGTTACGCAAGACGCGCGACGCGCATCTCAATAAAGTCGTGTGCCAGAACTTCAATACGTTTCGACGCCAGCCACTTTCGAGGAGAGAAGCTGCAACGTGCTTTCATATCGCGAGCTCGAACAATAGTTTGAAATAGGATGCGACCCGAGTAAGATGCAAGCGTAAAAATAATCTCGGGAATAAATCTGGGAAAAGCTCGCATCTCGGGTGTATCCCTTTCGAACGACGTGGCGCGGTGCGCCTATTGTGTAAGGACGCGCGAGGAATATTCAGAGCGTGCAACCGATAGATAGGGGAGATAGTCTGAATATAATGAAGACCGGGCGATCCCGTCCAGGATGATCGTGTCCTCGAGCGAACGCTCGAAAGCGAGCGGCGCTGCATCGATGACCTGGAATGCGGGACCAGAATTCGGTTGACAAGTCCGGCCGGGGTGACTTTTTTGTTCCTCGTGATACATCTCCGAGCGCGTCCGACGCACCTGTCGCGTTGCCGAGATGCCGTCGTCGATCTCGGATATCGCTGCCGGCGCGCAACGATAGAGCGGAGAAATCGACGGCTCTTCTTAAGCCGCGTATACACTGAACGTACGAACGAGCGCGCGAACGGCAAATGCAAGCTTTCGTTGTCGCTATTTGGAAAATCCGTGCGCCTTCCTTCCTTTTTCATGATTTTTTTATTACTTACTACTGTACACTATGCTGCTTTCCAACTTATGTAAATACCGATTTGTCTTGAAAAAGCATGCTGTAAGACATGCTGTAATAAACGTTTCTCTCTCTCGCTCTCGAACGTGCAAATAAGACGCGTGAGACGATCGTCAGCGAACGAACGTAATCGCATCAATGCTGAATGGAAATTCCATTCGAATGTACGCAAATCGCTCTTTGATCCTCTCACTTTTGTCTTTCGCCGTTTTGCCCGCTCCCGCCGGCGGAGAGACGGCATTCGAAGCAAATCGGCGCTCCGTGGGAATTTATAACACACCGTATAATCGTGCGGACGTATTTCATATTCCACGTGTTCCTCGTGGATAACAACGTTATGTAAATCGAACTCGCTCCAGAAGGTACTTCCAGGAATTATGACACTTGTTGTTTGCTATCGCGAGATCTCCGCGAGATCCGCGCACGTAACGTTCGTATCCGCTTATCCGTAGTTTCACTGAATACGAAAAGAAAAAGAAAACGTCACGTCACGGAGGAAGTGTGCGCGTGTATGTGTGTGCGTCTCTCGTTTGTCTTTGGAAAGATTAATAAGAAAGGCGTGCGTCAGCAACGGGAAAGTGAACTAGAAAGGGGCACACGCGCGCACGCGCGCGCGTCAGCGCAGCAGACAATAGACAATAGACGCGTCGAAAGAGCAAGCGTAGGTACTACTCGCATGTTGCCGTGCGATGGCTCTCGATAGAATTGTAAAATTTAGCAGTCCATTACTGTCTAGTACCGCGGAGAGCAGCAACGCCCGGCATCCCACGTAGTAGAGCGCAGCGGCCGACTCCTCCGCAACTGACTCGCGTGACTCTGCGAGATCCCCGCCTTCTTGTTGAATGAAGAACGTTGCTCCGAGATGTAAGAACGAGCCGGCGAACGATCTGTCACCCCGAAAAGAACACGTCTATAAAGCCTGCTGTAAAAATTATCCTGGAAATATATCAGCGGGAGATCCCATCGTAAAAGTAGTTACATTCTGCAATGATTGTGAAGACAAATTTGCGTTTAACGTGTTTCCGCGCGACACATCGCAATATGCCGTTATAATTATAAATATTTAATGTTACATATTAACAACATTATTAGAAACGAAAGGCCTTCTCTCATCATTTCTTTCACATAAACGTGTGAAAAACACGCTCACTTTAAACTCGAATCCGAGGCCTCTCCAGCTGCTACGCCAAATAGGCATACGTTTGAATGCATACACATACATGTTTATATACTTTTTTGTTATTCAACAATCTTTCACCGGCTAAGTGAAGTATAAGACAAACGAGCTGAGTGGAAGTACTTTCACTAAAAAATGAGCAAACACTCACTAATTATCGGTACAATGTTGGTTTACTGATTCAACGGTGACATTTTCTGTGCTAATTCGGCACGAAAAAAAAGGTGAAGCAGCCGAACGGAAAGGTGGAGTCGACCGAAATATATGAATACGCATTTTATTTAATTGAAACGAGGAAATAGTATAAAAATCATGAGACAGTAAGCGGGAATATATTTTTGAAAAATATTATATAACGATAAGAACAAATAAACGTCACTTCTCTCTTTGGGGTCATGAATGATCCTTATCTTCCCTCACGAAGATCAAGAGAGTAGACATAATAAGGAGGGGCCTGCTAATCGATAACCTCTCCCCGCTCGACGGTTCTCACGAAATAACGACTTTCTTGTTTTCAGGGATCAGGATGCGGTGGATCGGTTACGTGGCCACGATTCTCTGGTGGTCGGGCATCGCCAGGTCTCTCAGCACGCTGAATCGAGGTCACAGTCAGTAATATTCCTTTTGGTGATTTAAACGCACCTTTCGGTATCCGCGGCATCTCTCTGTGCTCTCTGCGTCTGTCTCTTTCGGACATGCGCCGGTCTACCTTGCGCGCCGTCTTCTTCCGCGTGTACTTTCGAGTGACCGCCGCAGCTGCTGCCGCGTGTGTGCTCGTCCTCTCCTTCTTCCTCCTCCTCCTCCTCCTCGACCTCCCCGCCGGCTTCTCTCGCTCTTCTGCGTCCTCCCTTTGCGCGGCTTCGTCTTTCTCCTCCGGCCGAAGGTTCCCCTTGAATGTGTAACGCTTAATTGGAAGGAGAACTCGGTCAAGGTGCAGTCGGTCGTGCACGAGCGTGAGAAAAGAAAAGCGAAAGAAGACGCTACTTTCTTTTTGTTTCGGCGAATCCGACGAAGGGAGCGAGAGAAAGAGAAGGAGATGAAGGGGGGGATGGGAGGGAGCAGGCTTTATCTATATGCTTTTAACCGCTCCCGGGTAATTGGCGACCGGGTATGATCTCCGCCGATGAAGACGCGGACTTAGACGCGGTGCGCGCGGCCGCTCGGGCGGCCGGAGAATACGAGCGCGTTGCAAATCAGGTCATACATGCTCGCGATGACTCCGTAATCATGATAATCGTCAACAAATTGAAATACATCGGCGCAACGTTAACGCGGCTTTCACGATCCGCGGTGCTTCTCGCGACGAGAGATCCGCGCATATCGGCGCTATATATGGTAAATATCGGGAGCGGAGGCGATTCCAGCTCTTCCTGGATCGATCCGGAGCGCTGCACACAACCCGAGTCGAAATTTCGGTCTTACATTAAGTCTGCTTGGTTCCGCATCAAGTTTTCAAGCGGGGAAAATGGAAATAACTTCCCATTTGTAACGTCAGAGAAGCGCTAATAGTGCTCCTTTGGTGCTACGAAGGGAATCTAGACTTCCCGGGGAGAAATTTTAAATTCTGCATTTTAAGTCTTCAAGCAGATAAAACGGACGTGTCTTCCCATTTGTAACATCAAAGGGAGTACAAGACTTTCGGAGACTTAATGTAGAACTATATAGACTTAATGTAGAACTGAAAATTCCACTCGGGACGATCCCCTCTTGTGTTCTTTTTCTCCTTCCAAGTCGAAATTTTGATGCTACTTTGACGCTCTTAAGGATAGTTTACACCTACTTAGACCGCCTATAGGCTAATAAAAGCCTACTTTGACGGCACACTTTTTATTTTCTCTCTTGAACTTTTAATCTGCAGATCGAATTTTACGTAGTATCTACCATAAATTGTTCAACAGTTTGCCAACAGAAATATAACAGGCTCTGCTAGCAGAGTATGATAACAGATTGATCTATCATCTGCTAGCAAGTCCTATTATATTTCTGCTAGCAAGTTATCGACAAAATTTATAGCAGATGCTATGCAAAATCTGCTTCTGCAGGTTTGACTGTCTAGATGGCTTTATATTCGACAACATTCGTTCAATGTACCCCCAATAAGTGCCAATATAAGCAATATTGGACCAATGTATCGGCAATGAATCGTGCTATTAGAGTTAGCTTCTACTATCTTGCAGAATTAAAGGTTTTAACATAGGACAAATTTCGGCTTTTTTTCTTTCTCTCTCTCTCTCTCTCAACGCGCTTCCCTTTGTAACGTAACGCATCCTCGCGGTGCAAACTGACACGATCGTGTTTCTAGCAGAGAAAGCGACTTCGAAGCTACCATCGCCGCGGTCGTAATTCACGTTAGCCCGAGCCTTACCATGACTCGGTTAATGACTCGGCCCAGGTCTACGTACTCCTCTTCCAGTAATTAAGTTTCATTTTTTTTTTTTTAACACGATCTCTCACGCGCACCTCGACAAGTGGTACACTTTCACCGAACTTGACGGCGAGATTGGACTCGCGGCGTAACGTCTATGACAGTGTAATTGTCGATCACGGCGTGACCTATCGTTCTGTTGCCGCGCGACACGACGTCACGCAACGTTATCCTTTAGCACATCCATCAGACCTAATGTGTATAATCTAGCTGGCCGGAGCCGGCGTTGCCTCGACGGTCTTTCGGCGAAGAGGAAGGGGGAAAACATGCGCGCGGAGGAACGTCAGTTTCCGAGGCATTGGAAGTCGTTGAATATGACGGCGGTGCGATCACGATCGCTCGCTTTCATCGCGCGCTTCACGTTTCCGCCGGTTTCGGAATTCTGACGCGCGGAGCGTGCCCGAACGAAATTAGAATCGGACGATTACGTTTAACAGTAAACGCATATGTGGGCCGAGCGTTTCATCATTCGCGGGCTCTCGATCCCGAACGTCGAACTAGTCGAAGGCGTCGGATCGCGAATACGCGAATTGCACGCGCACTTACAGTCTGTCTAATAAGAGCGTGACCAGGCAAGCTTCTGTTTGGAACCCGTTACATCGGAATCTTTTCAATGAGAAGGTGGAAGGGCTTCCTCCCTATGACGCATCACACGAAGGGTCCCAGTTATTGTCTGACTTTTGCTGAAGAAGGCATATTTAATGATGAGCAAGATTTTTTACTATATTTCTTACTGTATATAATCCAATTCGTTTCGGTCTGCCATACGGGGAATTTGAATGCCAATATGGTCGAAATTTACCAGAGAGCCTTAATATTATCTGCCGAAAAAAGTGGTTTCAAAATAAAAGTCAGGATTGGATTCTTCAAGAGGTCAACGATCCAATATAACAACCGAAAAATATTGGAGTTTTCTTTGCTCTCGGAACAGAAGGAAGAAAATAACGTCAAAACACTAAGCCTGGCCATCACAATTATTAGACGCAAGTCCTATTATAAGAAAATATCTGGGCATTGATGAAGGCAAAGAGTTTTGCTAAGATGTCTTACATTTTTCTCCACTCTATTTTATACTTAAATTTGATATTAGATTAAAGTACTTGCCACAACCCGATTACAAATATACATGTCTTAAAATGTAGCCATTTATCGTTCCCGAGAAAATGGGCTCCGAAAGTTTCGATCGACGAAATAATCGCCATCTGTCAGGCGATCGAAATCTATGGAGCCCATTTCCTCTAGAACGGTAAATCGCTGCGCCTTAAGACACATATATTTCTAACCAGCTTCTGTGTGTGAGTTACTTTAATCTGAAACTAATCAAAACTACGTCGATCTTTATCTCGAGAGTATGCTGTAAAGTTAGTGGGAAGTATGCCTGGAAGATGTCAGGCAATAATTGACAACGGTGGTGATTGGACGGCTTATTAATACAAAAGCGTAATAGTATTGATTGTGTAGTACGTATGTAATTTTTTCCATTTTTCCTAATAAATAGTTTGAAAGTTGGTCACACTCTTATTAGACAGACTGTACATTCCTCTTCGGCCGGCCGTCGTAACGTAAAAACAGCTCGGGATAATTGATCCGCTGTGCGTTTGACGCAGGTTACAAAATCAGTCCGAAGCCCTGCAAGGTGCCCGGTTCCGAGGTTAAGGAAGGCACGTGCATGTTCGTGTGGGAGTGCATCAAGTCCGAGGGCACGCACGTGGGCGTGTGCGTGGACACTTTCATGTTCGGCAGTTGCTGCGTCCACAACACGACGGTAAACACAATAAGCTCGTCGCAGCAGTATCCTCATCATCACCATACTCACCCTCATCATCATCATCAGCAGCAACCGCATGACAGTTTGTCGAGTACGCTTAGGCCGACCCTGCTCTCGGCGGAACCAGTCAGCAACGAGTCGACCAGACTGACGTCGACTTCCTTCTCGAGCTCTACCTCGTGGATGGCCTCGAGTACGGCCAGACCGAGTTTCCATCACTTCTCAGAATCTCATCACAGTTTCGTCGGAGGCTCGACCAGGCCGATGAAACCATTCTCGAGCGGGCTCGCGCGACCCTTGCAGAAGAGGCCGCACGCCAAGCCAACGTCCGAGCACGACGTCGACAGGTCGCAAACTCCCGCGATACCCTCCGCGTCCCCGTCGTCGTGGGCCGACGGAAGACCGCAGGTTACGAAGAGACCCGGTCACCACGGGAGTCATCCGCATCAGAAGACCAGGCCGGATGCGGGAACGCCGGGCGAGAAGCCCTCGTCCGGGTCGTCGAGTCAACCGGGCTTCAAGGATAAACCAGACACCGCTCACAATACTTTAGCGATACGTCTGCCGGGGAAAGAGCACGCGTCGGCGGAGGACAAAGTCAGCGGATCGACCTCCAGCAATAAGCCGAGCAAGCCGACCAAGCCGAACAAACCGAGCAAACCGAGCAACCAGAGGCCCTTCGAATCGAGACCGGACGACGGCAAGACCGAGGATGCCGATCTCTCCGTGCAAGAGACGATACATCGACCGAACGTTAACTCAGTCATGGAAAGTGTAAGGATGAAGATTGATCTTTTTATATCGCCACGTGCGATGAGAGGTTTGACATCTTTTCCCCAGGTCCTAATAATGTCAATTTATATGTTAGATCAGGAATTCACAAAGTATGGCTCGCGATAAATTTTAGAATGTTAAATTGCACAGAAGAAAATCAGCCGTAAATCAGGAATATTCTCATATATAGGATGGCCCCGAACGTTCCAGCCAGACTTTGAGATCTTGCAGGAAATTTAATTTTGAATAAAAAATTTCCGATAAATATGGGTCGAAAAATACTCCCTTGAGAAGTTAGCATTCGGAAACCTCTAAAATCATCTCTTTTCAATATATTTTTACAAATATCTAGGAAAGTATGTCTTTTCTTTACAAAAAGTATCGAAACCAAAGCTGTAGAGAGTTAAATTGTCTTTGAAATGAGACCAAAATATTTTTATTACGTCTCATAGGTTTTGAGATAAGCAGTTTTAAATGCATAACAATATTATATATTTTTTTTATTTATTTATTTATTTATTTATTTATAAAACTTTTCTAAGAATATTATAATATTCTTGCTCATATGTGAAAATATATCTACCTTAATTTAAGACTATTTTTTTCCTGCTTATATTTTATTATTTCGCTTAGTTTTACAAATTTAAGCCGAGTATAAAAACGTTGCGTATCAAAAGTTGATTACGCAGATTCGCAACAGGTCTGCTCGGTATAATAAATAATGAATTTATCTTCTGTCTCCTGTTTCTTCATATCTACTAAAACTAGGTTGGTTGCTGATATTTGCCGTTTTAAAAAGTGAGTTGCGGTTCACACAGGTTTGGGGAGCCCCGTGTTAGATTAACATTGTTTTAAGTGTACCTAACCTAACATATACTATATAATAACATTGCTTTGACATTTATATATTGCATTAACATCGTTACAAGTGTGTGATAAATTTTTACGCGCATTAATTTACATACCGGCGTTGCCGTGGACGAACCTTCTATATGCATTTTTTTGTAAATTTAAGATATTTATATCACCGCGTATGCGGAATTGAATTCCGAATACGATGATGTGAGTGTCTTGAGTTCACAAAAAATTGCGCATGAAAGGTTTTTCCATGACAACGATATCTAAATTCGTACATAACGTGCATGTGACAATAGAGAACGCGTGGGGGAACATTTTTTCAATTCGTCGATTCTAACGTGTTAGCACGAGAAACGCTGAGAACAAAATTCCACGAGAGATTATTTCGACGACCGTGTCGTGTACGGTAAAGCATAGCGGATAACCACGGCCGTTATTTTCCGCACGTTGCGAGCGGTAAGTTTAATGGAATATCGATTTTCCACCAGGACACGGCGAAAGAGCCCCATCCGAGTTTAAATTTCATACACACCGAGCGACCTCACTGGGCGACCAAACCGGCGCAGTCGAAACCGACAACGGATTTCTCCAAGCCGTACTTCTCCATCAAAACGACCACTTACCGGCCAATCTCGATAAGCAGCCAAGCAGATCACCGGCCGAATTTCATCTCGAAACCGAATACTTGGTCACTGTCCACAAAAACGTCGACCACGACTGCTAGACCGACGTATGTGAGGCACCCTTCCACCAGGTATGCGATTTGCTTTCGAATCGTCTCTCGTTCTCTCACGTTTAAATATGCCCGGGTGTGCATATTTAAAATTCATTTTACAATCCACGCAAACGTTATTTAATCGGTAATAATGTAAATTACTCTCGACAATTAAAATTGTATTTTTGCCCTTTGCATTGATAAATAAATTTTAATTTTTGATAAAAAAATTAACGAATTAATTTACACGCCTAATATCATCACGGGGAAAGAGATTGTAGCGTCGTTTCGCTCAGATCAAACGGGCGGACGTGTATCGTTACGCATCGGATTCAGCTTAAAATTTGTCTTTCATTCTAGCGCAGCCGGATCCATACCACAAACCTCTCATTGGCAAGTGACCACAGAGCCGGCGTTCGTCACGAAGCAGAAACCTTCATCGTTGTCGTCGTCGTCGTTCACACTGCCGTCTTCGTCTTCGACGTCGTTTTCTTCGTCTTCGTCCTCATCCTCGCCATCCTCGTCATCGTCGTCCAAACCGATTACCACGGTTACTGCATCAGAGACCGTGAGAGTACCACCTTTAGGTACGAGCTCTCATTTCTGGTCGAACAGCTGGACACCACCTAGACCGTCCTTGAAGCCGCATTGGACGGATAATCCTGGTCTTCTCCAGAATGGCCCCGAAAACTTCCCGCCACGACCGAGCTTCAAGCCGACCGAGTCGTTACAAGTATGTTTATTCTCTTTCTCTTTACATGTACAATATAAGCATTCGTAATATACAAGTCTTCTAAAAGTATCTTTGACTCAGAGAAATTAGATTCTGCACGGATTAAAAAATGAGTATCAATTCGAGGCTCATATTCTCACATACAAGCAAGAATATGTAATCTTCTATGAAGATAAATCTTGCTCGGCCCAACAAATATTCTCGTAATTCAAGAATAACTTTTATGAATTGACAGGAAAAAATATCAGAGAACATCTTCAAACTGATACAATTCTTCGTTTGAAGATATTGTTCTTTCCGTCGAATATTTTTTGCTTTCAACTCATGAGAATAATTCTGGAATAATTTATATATTTACATTGATATGTATAAATAATTATATATTGTTAACGTGAAAGTAACGTCACTCGATGCCGACGAGCCGGTTTCTCGCGCGTTGACACGTTTCCCCTCCCGTTTCAGAGCACCGAGTACCAGAAACCTCTGGGCTCGGCGCACTACATAACGACGTCCCACTTGGAGACTTCAACTAGGCCGCGACCAACGAAGAAAACCACAACTCTCAGCACAACGTCGTCCACAGTGACGTCCTCGGCCACCAGCAGCAGCAGCACAGCCAGCCCGGTGACCGCGATGGCGACAATGACGACCACGAGCAGCACGACCAGCGCGAGCACCGCGAGCGTCACCGTCACGACGCAGGCACCGTCGACCACCGGCGCCGAAGTAGCGGCGAGCGAGAAAACAGGTTCGGTGATGACGGTCGCTGCCGCCGACGAGAGCAAGGGCATGCAATGCGGCGTGCCGCCGTTATTTCCTCGGCCGGAAACGAGGATCGTCGGCGGTAAGGACGCGCCGTTCGGTCGGTGGCCTTGGCAGGTGTCGGTGCGCCGTACCTCCTTCTTCGGCTTCTCCAGCACCCACCGATGCGGCGGCGCGGTGCTCAACGAGAATTGGATCGCCACGGCGGGTCATTGCGTCGACGAGTGAGTCACTGTATTTCCGACGTCCTTCTCCCTCCATCGTCGTTATCTTTAAAATTTGCCGTCATTCATTTTTAGTCTTCTCCGACGTTTTCTTCTCGGGCGTTTCCGTTGACTCCTTGAAGTCCTGTACGTTGCCAGCAATGAGAACCTTATCATCGGCAAACCGAGAATTCGAAAATCTCTTCCTCCGACAGTCACCTCCCTCTCTCAGACCTCCGATAATAGTTTCATGACGTATTCGTTGTAGATGTTGTACAGTAGGGAACTCCTGTTACACTCCTTTTCGCACATACGCTCGCATAATATAAAGCATTGCTCTACTCATGCGCGAGTAAATCAATGTTATCATCTCATAATTGCTACAATGACTTATTGAAAATACAAACACAGCTTCGCTCTCTCGTTCTCGTGCAGCTTGCTGACGTCGCAAATCCGGATACGAGTCGGCGAGTACGACTTCTCGTCGGTGCAGGAGCGGCTGCCCTACGTGGAGCGCGGCATCGCCAAGAAGGTCGTGCACCCGAAGTACAACTTCTTCACGTACGAGTACGACTTGGCGCTGGTGCGACTCGAGAGTTCCTTGACCTTCGCCGCGCACATCTCGCCTATCTGCCTGCCGGCGACGGACGATCTCCTGATCGGGGAGAACGCGACGGTTACCGGCTGGGGAAGGTTGAGCGAGGGCGGCACGCTGCCCTCGGTGTTGCAGGAGGTAATTACAGCCCGGACCCGGTCTCGTTGCTGAGACCGCCCACGCTCGACACTTGTACACCGACCATTGTCCGGACTTTTCAGGTCTCCGTGCCGATAGTGAGCAACGACAGGTGCAAGTCGATGTTCTTGAGAGCCGGCAGACACGAGTTCATACCGGACATCTTCCTTTGCGCCGGCTACGAGACCGGTGGACAAGACTCGTGCCAGGTAGAAACAACGCGCGAATGACTAATCGCGCTCGTTACTTCGTGCCTTGAGAAAAATAAGTAGTGGGACAAATTTTTTTGAAATATTGAATATCATGAAATTTACCGAATTCAACTGAAAACTGCGCGTATGTGTCAGCGAAACGGGGTCAATTGAGAGAGCATTTCAGCAGGATATTTCCATCAGGGCGAAGGTGATTTTATCGATCCAACCGCTTCTTTTTTCGCCTCGGCGTGTATGTGACACCCTCGTGAAGCGAAGGGAAGGCAGTCTCGAGTATCCTGATATTTTTCAGGGCGACTCCGGAGGTCCCCTTCAGGTTCGCGGGAAGGACGGCAGATACTTCCTCGCTGGCATCATATCCTGGGGCATCGGGTGCGCGGAGGCGAACCTACCGGGCGTCTGCACGCGGATCTCCAAGTTCGTGCCGTGGATCTTGAAGAATGTCACCTGATCTGCTCAACGAGGGAGCGGCGGACCGTGGAACAGCAGGGGATCCCGAAGTTCATTCACGTGCAAGTAAGCGCGCGGCTCGCAATGCGTCGTCGCGAGCCGCGCGACACATCAGAAGGCGCCTCGATCCTACCGCCTCGATCGCGAACGAGCGCGTCTTACCGTATCATTTGCATCTATTTATTTGCATTTACACTGCCGCTCGCGAAATAACCACACAGTGGTGATTTACAGAGAGATATATCCCGCACTCCGGAGGAGGAGATGAGAAACCTCGTCGTTCATCGTCGTCGAATTATCAATTATGTTCTATGCGACCTATGCGAAATCCCCCGTGCATTGTAACAGCACGCCGAACTGTATTTATATATAAATCTCTGAGTAAGGAAATAATATATTTGTGCTAGGTGTTAAGGTTAGTTAGGTGACCGAGGGAAGTCTGAATTGTAATAAAAGAGATCGGAGGAGGTAGGCCGATAGACTAAAAGGGTACGTCGTTACCATTGCTGTCACTTTGCTCCGAAACGCACGAGCGTTCGACGAAACGCGCGCGACATTTTCGAGCGGCACCGATTATTAAATCCATATATCGCAATAACCGTAAAAACAGGTGGTTTTCTCGGCTGGGGAAAACCGATCCTCGAGTCAGACGATGTCGGGCTCGAGGAGTTTCGACTCGAGTCATATTAACGAATGCCGGTAAGAATCGCCGGGGAAGCCGAGGAATCACAAGGATATGATATATTGGGACCTTTATAATTACCGTAATTTTACGATTTTCGTTATTTTCGCACGACGAACGCACCTGCCTTCATTCACATCGATCAGCTAGATGGCGTGAAAATGTTCTCGCCCTTCGCTCTCTACGGCGAGACGTAACTCGGTTCGACGTTCTTCCAAATGCTCAATCCTGCACACTTCAGGTTACACACACACACACACACACACACACTGCCTCTCTTTCTTATCTTTATACTTCTTTATTTACAAATATAGGAATTTTGTACAGAGCACAACGTTAATTGCGTAATGTTCGATAATAATTGCGTGCGAACTAGGAGGAGAGAGAGAGAGAGAGAGAGAGAGTGAGAGAGAGAGAGAGAGAGAGGGGAGTCTACATTATAAAGTATAAAACTATTTATAAGTATCGCCGAATAAACGAGTGTTTATTTAAATCTCAAGCACCGTAGATACGTTCCTACAATATTCTCGAATTAAGCGGGTCGTCCACTCGACCGGCGATTAGACTCACCGAAGTCTCGGTATCGACGATGAAGTAGAGGAAGGGATGCATCACCGTGAAAGGCACCGGACCGGCTCTCTCGAACAGACCGTTACCTGAAAAGATTCACGGCCGGTCTTAGAAAATTGCCCGGGCTATCTTCGTCACGATTTTATTACTGAATTTGCGTTTTCAGTAAGATATATTGCTTATTCTCCAATAACTGATTGGACATGCGTTAGAGCCGCATCGGCACGCGCTCAATGGAGCCTGGCTTCTATAAAGAAACCTCTCTGCGGAGAATTTCCTTTTAAATGCAGGAAAAATGTTTCATTACAATTTAACTTTTATTTTGTCCGCACGTTTGCCGATGCAGCCTTTCGACCGTGCATAACGCAAGAACTATTTCCCGTGCTGTTCTACACAGTGCGGAGGAATCGGGAGAGAGAAGATGTTTGAAGTAGATTAAAGCATTATCTAGTTATAGTTAATGCAGTTATTTTAATTAGCGAAAGAAGATTGAAAATTTCGAAACGATCGATCGGTATGATCTGTGTTTGTTAGTGTTTACACTTTAGTTTTAGACTCTTGGACCTTCGGTCCATTAACTCTTAGACTAATCAGCACACTCTTCCTTTCACCGAGTTGACAAAAGTTCTTGTCCGAGGATAAATGCTATGAAATTCGATACCACGAAGACGGTGGGTCCTCGAGAGGAAAGGAGCGACAGTACCCGGTAAGGTAAAAAGGATATTCGATTTTTCGAAAGTTACGGTTATCGTTACCCAGCGAGAACTTCACATTGAATCAACATCAAATCGACGTCGATTTGGTGAGTCATTTCTCGTTGAGTAGTGACTTGACGAAATCTATTGCCTTTTCTAGTTACATACAGAACGGATAATTTTATCGTCACTTGAAAATATAATTGAGTGATATTTTACATATAACGTCACTATTTTCTTAACTCTTTTTTTAAGGTTTGTCAATGTTGTCTTTACTTTTTAATTTACCGATACGCTACAATGATTCAACAGAGATGAATAACTATACGTATAAATTAAAGTAGCAGTTTTTTCTTTTAATATTTTATCGAGTCATTCCTCTTTGTTTGAGAGAAGGGGCATGCAGGAGCGAAGAAGTGGTCGAAAGAAGGATTTCTTAGAAACGCTTGCAACGCCACAACGATTCAGGAATCCTCCGGTGAATGTAAAAAGAGATGGCGCAAGGTCTTTTTATTGACTTCCTTTGCGGGCTCAAGCAGGATATCAGCAATTAAATTCAGTGAACTGAACAACAATACTGAGAATATTCTCGACGGTAATCGATAGTCTTGCTCAGTGGCAAGAAAATAGATTTTGCCCGGCTACGAACTCGCACGCGTTGGGCGGAGAATTTGCATATCGCGACGCGTAATCGAGCGTAATCGAAATCTCTAATACGACTTATTCTATAAATTGAAATTTATGTCAAAACAAGGAAGGTCAAAATTTCTTTGTATATATATATATATATACTATTGTAATAAGATATTAATTTCGCTTAAACAACGACGGATTTAACTCTCATAAACCAAGTAAATATCTTTTTCGCTCTCCTTATTTCGGACCCATTGATAATTTTGCGAAATGAAATTTATATCTTTCTCATAAAAATTTTTAATCAAAAAGACGCTTAACTGAATTGTCAATTTTTTTTGGAGACACGTGCTGAGAAGCCCCAATTCAGTGATTCTTTCAGGGGACAGCACTCGACACTCGGCGCGAGCATCGTGACAGACGAGTAGCCGGCTTAACGGCCGCGTGCCTTCGGCGGTTTCTCAATTGCAAATAAGAATCGGAAACGTTTTCGTGTAATTGCGGAGACGACGGCTTCGACGGCGCGCTTCAAAGCGCGGAAACGAGCGCTTGCATGCGCCGTCGTTAACTACGGCGACGTTAAGTAATAACAATTTAGCGGAACGTAAGGGGAGGAGCAACGGTGGATGGACCAGGCGATAGCGGAAAAGAGAGAAAAGGTAAACAGGAACGAGCCAGGTATGATGCCGGAGTAATAATGGTCGGAGCCCACCGCGTCGAACGCGTGTTCACCACGCGTGGAGGAAAATGGTTTACAAATAATGCGCACATTTCTGGAGAGCACTCGAGCCGCGCGCGCGCGCGCGCGTGACGTCGCAATTTCACTCGTTCAATGCCGGATATTGCGTCAACGTGATTATTTCTTCGGACATTATCTCGCGACTCGACAGACGAAACGTCGCTCCGCTTGTTTCCCCTACCGCGAAACGCCTGGCATTCTCGGCCTCGCATGCGTGTTTAGTTAATCGTTAGCGCCGTCGTTTATTCGAACACCCGGAACATATCCAGGGTACCCCATCGTCGAGGGTAATTTCAGACGCTAACCTAAACTCGTCAGCTCAATTGATAGACGGGTGCTTGGACACACGCGGTTCACGTCTAATGATAGTAATGACGTATTTATTATTTTATTTACAAGCTAGAGAGAGAAATAGAGATAGAGAGAGAGAGAGAGAGAGAGAGAGAGAAAGGAAACAATTTACAAGCGTCAAAAAGCGAGAAAAATGTATAATTTAGATCGGGAGGAGTGAAACGCGAACCTGAAGAATTATATATGTAGCGCGCCGTGGAATTATACTAATTGCGCTTTTAAGTTGAGGATGTACACATTAAGGAGCGATGAATGCATGAGTGGAAACGATTACCGTTACGGGTAATTGAAAAGAAGTGGAGTGCGATAGTGCATTAAAAGCGTAGTAGAGTAAAAGAACCTGCAGATCGATATCGATAATAGTCCCTTCGAGGTGGAACGATCGAGGGAAATGATGCGACATTAGACGACTCACGAGAATGGGTTCGGTCGGGTTTCATATAATTCCTTATATTGACCCCTATACTCTGTTGCACGTCCCTGGCGTATACGCCGAGATCGGCTGTCATGGGTGATAAATCGGCCACCCTCGGCTCGAATACGTCCGAGATTCCCAACTGCGGAAGAAACGAGTGAAAAAGAAGCGAGACGGTTGCGGTTAAATCCTAACAAATATTGACGCAAATATGAAAACAACTCTCGCGTATCTGTCTTGATATTTTTCTCGCAATTCTTCGTATTGCATTTCTCTTTACATTTTGCCTCTTTTCGCCGCGTAATTCTTGGGCGTAAATTTCCCTTATATCAATACTCAGCATAGGTACCAAGAGGATTTACTTTCCAAGGTGGATCTCTTCATATTTCGAATTTATTTTTCTCCAGAATGATGAAATAATTAAATAAATAAACGAAAATTTTGAGTTTCTTAACTTACGAGACATTAAGAAACGTCTTTTTACGTGTAAATATCTCTCTTGGGGAAATATTTTAAAAGTAATCGACAAATTAAAGTATGTGACTAGTCTTTTTGATCATTCTGTTTTTTTTATCACTTTCTTAGGATTTTGTTTAGATGAGGTTTAAATAAAAATATAAGCAAAATTCGCTCGAATTTTTCTGAAACAGCAAGTTACTCGCTTTGAGATTTTTGGAGTAGAATCAGAAGGAGATGAGAAATGACAAAAGCTACAGACTACTACAGGCGCGCTTAGCCTGTAGTGCGGGTCGCGGAGTGTCTGTAACGCGACATTGACAGAGTACGTTGGCTCACACTTACCCTCTGTAAAAATGACGTCAGTGTGACAAAACCGCGCAACATGAACGAAGGTATGGTGGCCCTGACCCAAGTAGGTTGTAATCGCTTCCTCAACGATCTCAACGACTTCCCGCTGAGATCCCTCGCCAGGCGATGCGTGTCCGTTCTATCCGTTGGCATCAGGAGTATGATATTGTATCGCGGATCCTCGAATATTAAGAGAACAACAATGATTTTCGCGTGTCGCTTAATCGTCTTTCTTGATAATTCATAAATAATAAATGTATGAAAGGTGCCATTGATGCGTCACTGAAAATACGGCCTTCGGTGTTAGAGCCTCCTTAAATATCTCTTCTTCCAATTTGCGAAAGTTAATAGAAAAGATTTGGATGTTTAATTTGAGACAAATTGCTTCGCGGCGCATCGGGGATCATTCGTTTAGACTTACGTCCAGAGGAAACTCGAGCGCGACAGCGTGCAACGACGGGAAGTACGCGAAAGGCAGCACGGCGATGTATCTGGAGCCTGACACTGAATAAACGTCGCAACCGTTCACCAGAAACGCTATTTCCGACGTAGAATCTTCGGCAGATTCTCTCGGGCTCAGCGTGCTGTACGATTTCCAAATGTCTAAATCTTGCATCCAGATGCCTTCGTCTGAAAGACAACACGGCCCAAGCCTCATCGATCCTGTAGTTTTATGAGAAAGTTCTCTTTCTAAGGCACAATAAGGGATAATGGGGTAATACCGGTCATCTCTGTATCTCGACTGTGCTCGATACGAATTGAATTCTGCAAGTTTCCGTCCTCTGCGGAGGGCCGAAAGAAGTATCAGACAAAATACCGCTATCTTAATATCGTTCACGGTTAAGCTATTGCGAAAAGTTCGTTCCATCGTTTTCTGATGTAAAGATCGATGCTAAAGAAGCGTGGCAAGTCGGTGCATTTACTCATGCTAAATTATTGCATTATTTTCCGCAATGTCCCCCAAACCTTCTAATATACGATAGGAATATTGGTTTTCTGAACTGATGGATCCTTGCAGCGTGGTTAATTTATTTGCGCAATCCACGGTGATATCCATTGCATTGAGCGGATCCTGAACGCGACATTTCTCACCAGTTCTGTCAGAGTTCCCCCTTAGTTGACCGCCATTACCCCGCTTTACCCTGATTATTCTCTCCAATTTCCTAACGTCGAAGGGATCACTTCGATCGTGTCAAATATTTCGTTCGTGCGAGATACAATACCGAATCTGTCGGGAGGCACTATTTTTCCGCGGGACGAGCGGAAGGAAGCCAATATTCATCCGCACGTGTCGCAGTTCGACTCGCAGCATCTGTGACGCGCGTGTCGGAGAAAGGTGATAACGACAACTGACCGTACCTGGATAACTGGAAAAGTATCCGCGCGGGTTCCTCGTTCTACGTACGCGTCGGTCCGCCGGCTTATCGTCCGTCGACTCGCCTTTAACGGTATTGTCGTCCGTTGCGTCCCTCATCTTCGATCCGGTAACTCCGCTCCCGATCGATTTCTTCTTCCGGCTGATCGCGACGGTATTCTCGTCGACGAGAGGAGACGCGACCGTCTGATTATCAATCGACGCGGCGGTGCTCGCTACGGTGGAACTGTTCGAGTTTACGGCGGGGTCTCCCGAGGTCCCGTTCACCGGCACAGGTGGTGATACCATTGTTGTCGCTTCTGGTCCCTCGGGACTAACCGGTGGTGTGGTACCGCCATCGGCACTGGTCATCGTCATAAGATCGATCGCGGCAGTCGTTCCTGAGGCATCATCTCCGGCCGGAGTGCTCGTCGTCGTGGACGGCTCGGTGCTCGGGACGATGCTGTTATCCGTCATCGCGCCGGGATTCGGGATGGTCACGTTCGCGGTATCGGGAGTAATCGGTGTCATGGGAGCCGGAGAATTCAAGGTAGCGGTATTCGAGATCTCGCCGGTCGTAACGGTCGCGTTCGTCGTGCTGGCCATCGGTTGCTCGGTGCTCGTCGTCGCGACCGGCATCTCTGTGGAGGGAACCTCGGTGTCGCGGCTCGTCGTCGGCATCGTCGTGCCGAATTCGCCGCTCGGCGTCTGAATCGTCGTCGTCGGCACGTTCGAATTCATACTTCCTATGTCCGACTCTGTCGAGCCGGCAGACTCGTTCGTCGCAGTATCACCGGCGACCGTAGGCATTTGGGTACTCTGATTGCCGGCGAGTACAATCATAATCACCGTGCTCGAACTAGCCTGGCTGTCCGTCGAGGGCGTCGAGGCCTGTCCGGTGTTCGTCGGCGTCGTATTCGGCGTGACGTTTTCCGCGCCGGTGGGCGGCGGCTGGGCACTTTCGTCGGAAGTAACGGTGGTCAGCGAATTCGCGGGCTGCGTCGGAGTGTTTTGAGAAACTGCTCCGGGAATTGGGGCCGGTGTTGTTGGCACGTCGGCAGTCAAGGGTATCGTGACAGTTTGCTGAGTGGCGGCCGCTGTTGCGGTCGACGGGACGGTCGTCGTTTCCGCGGCAGCCGAGGCAAGGGCGGGCGTCGCGGCGGCATCCGTGGTTAACATCGTCGTCGTGGCCGTCGTCGTGTCCGTCGCACTCCTCCCGGTTGTCGTCTCGACCGGGAGCGAAGTTAAGTCGACCGTGGAAGTCGACGGCTCGGTCGACGCGTCCTCCACGCTAACGGTAACATTCGCCTCCTGCTCGATGCTCGACAGGTCGAAGCCGTAAAACCTGAGAACGTCCTCGTACTCGGGCCGGAGCCTGGTGTTCTCTCGGCTCAGCGTCAGCCCGCCCAAGAACCCATCGGCGTTCAGGTAGCTCTTCAAATAGCGAACGTCGAGATGTGAATGCGAATACTAATTACTTCTAACGTACTCTCTACACCCTGATCGAAATCTACAGTTACATATTCTAGACAGATGCCAGGTCGTTGGATCGCGCAGCTGGAGAACAAAATTGGTCGCACTGGAAAATGGGTTTGGTTGGATCTACCTGGTAATGGACAACCGAACGCGTTCTGGTTGGAAAAAAAGGCGGCTAAAGACCGTCGTACGCTAAAAAATGAGTTTAGAAAAATAGTTTGGTTGAATCTACCTAACAATGGACAATCAAATACGTTTCGATTGAAGGAAATGAAAGTTTTGGTCTCGTGGACCAAATTTGCAGATCCAATCAAACTCATTTTTCAATGCGGAGATGTCTGAGGACCAGGGATATCCTCCGGATGTCTCTGACATGCCCTGAACATTCTCGTTATTATTCTCGGATCTTACTCTCAATCGTCGATGAATATCCCTGAAGCCGATCCTGGTGACGTCCCGGTTGGCTGGTAACCCCATGGCGTCGAGGATCTGCTGGCTTCCTCTACCAGCGGATCCTTCGTAGAGCGCAGCCAACACGAAGGCAACCCCCGTGGGCGAGAACGCCACGTTCCCATGATTCGAATACTGCTGAAGGATCTTCACCCCGAGATCGTTGACGACGTCGGTGATCACGTCCACCGGACGCTTCGTATCCCCGCGATACCAAGGATCCTGCGTATAAGCGAACGCGGACGACACTGCTGCAACATAGCATCGATAAAAATTCAAGATCGCTTCGGCTTATTTTTCTCTTCACAGACACGGATGCGCGTAAAATGTGCCGGCCGGCCGGCCATCCTGATTGGACCGATCTACTACGGCTAAACCACGGCTGTGTCGCAAAGTAATCGAAACGGCCTTACGTACGCTGCAATATCACGATCCAGTGCAACGGCTTGTCCATCGTTTCCGGTCGCTGCTTCCTCGCTGCTCCGTGATCGTTGCGCCGAGCCGGAGTCCGGGACGCGATCTAGCCGGTTCTATTAGGATTGGCCTTAGTCGTTCGCGTTCTACGTCGAAACTGGCTCGCGTCGGAACGCGCGCGGGTCAGATACGGCCAGGCCGGCCAGCTCCGCCGCCGAGGTTTGATTAAGACCCGCTCGAGGCCCGTCCGAGGAGCGCTGGAGGCCCGCACGAGGCCCGCTCGAAGCCCGCCGATTACTACCGCAACTTCTTAAGTGCTAAGGTCGTAATCCCCGTTAAATCGCGCACATAGCTTCCCTCCCTGCCGCTGCCGCCGGCCGCCACTCGATTCCTCTCTTCCTCTCGGGATTTTTACATAATTTAATTCCCGCGCCGAGCGAGCGAGCGAGCGACGTTATCTCGTCGTGTCTCGCTCGTAATTACGTTTTCGGCATTCCCGCGAGGCTCCGATTTCCAAACGCCGTTACACCTTGCACCTTGTACCACTTAACGTTAAAGGTGATGAAAGAGAACGGCGGGTACTGAGTGGAAGGATGAATTCCAGCGGACGTAGTGATCGATCTTTGATTTATGACTGTGCGGTAATTATATAATTAGCGTGGCATCGTGCAACCCCCTCGGAGTTTTGAAAGGAAGAATATTGTAATATCGTGACTTCGTGCGATCGCGAAGGTGCAAAGGGACACGGTCCTCGGATGCGTCCAATTTACGATCTGCAAATGCGGAGCGCGTACCTTTTCTCGACGCGAGACGGCATTCCTCCGCCGATCGATGCGCGATCGATGCGCGCGCGCGCGTTTATCCTCACAGAAACACAAATGTTATCCGAAGATATGCGGATATCGCGCTCGATAACGGTAGTAGCGGTCGGCAAACGGAGCCGCACCGAGCGAGGAGATCTTGCTTTCGACTGATCCGAGTGGGAGGATCCCCGCGAATAAGACGTTGCGTAATTCCGCGTCGACTTTTACCGCCACCGCCACCACCGCCGCACGACGGGGTCGAGCGAGATTTCGTGTTTCAAAGAAGGCTACAGTCTCGAAATTTGAACCGATTTTCGATGATGTTTTTTTTTTTTTTTAATGGCAGCTCACGAAAGAATTTTGCCGAGATGCTGCTTCCCCATTTTTCCCCCACTCGATTTTGCGCCCAGTAGCGGATTAAAATCACTCAGCACAATCTGATTACAAATATACATGTTTTAAAGTAAAAGTACAATGCCTAATTTGGAGCATTCTTGTTGTTTTGGTCTAATAAGATAAATAAGAAGAATATTGAAACTTTCAACATAGATAGCGTATGTACATATATTGAATATATACGAATATTTCATGTTTAAAGATTAAACATTCGTATTTAAAGACCAAGACAACAAGAATGTCCACAGTTGGGTATGTGTCCCAGGTATTGGTACTTTTATCTTAAATGGACTCCAAAAGTTTCAATCCCGACTGATGAAATAATCGCCATCTGTTCAGGATTGAAATCTATGGGTCTCATTTCCTTTGAAACGGTAAATCACTACACCTTAAGACACGTGTATTTACATATATATTACATATATATTTGTAATCAGCTTGGTGAGTATCTTAATCTGACACTCCGAAAATCGGGTACGAAATCGAATGAGAAAAAATCAGTATTAATATCTACTTGACGTTAAACTAGATAAGATATCGAACGAGTTATCTACCGTTTAATCGAAATCTCTCTAAATCCAGCTTCTTTACATGTCTGATTTAATAAAGAAGCGAAGCGAAAAACAAAAATTCTGTTTCGACAAAGTCGTTCTAAATTTGATCGGCTTTCATTAGAAAAGAAAAAAAAAGCACCGAAATCGGTTCGAATTTCGTCGAATGTAACCTTTTTATGAAACACGAAATTTCGACCTAACTGTGCGCCGTCGCCACCTCCGCCTCTAACGACGTCGTCGTCACGGACGATCGCTAAATGCAGAGCTCAGGATCAAGCGATCGCTGCAACAATAAGCAACGCGGATCTCATTATTACGCGCACGCCAGCGGGGCTCTCCGTGCGTGCCTCCTCGTCTTGTCCTGTTCCGTGCCATTGCGCTCTCTTCTTCCCCGTGGAAGACCGATTATTATCGATACCGAGCAGCCGTTCAATCGGCACGTATATACCGCGCGTACCATCCTCAGCCTCTCGATACACACACACACACACACACACCGTGTCGTTCACCGAGCGTCTGAAACGCGCGCGGAACGATTTCGTGACAGGTTGATGATGATTGATGTCCGATTTGCTCGAACGAGCTCGGAACTATCGGCATCCGTTCGCGAGCGATACGAAGTTGAACCTATCAATTGGACGTTGTTATGATATAATGAGCCAGCTGCCCATTTTTTGGAAGCTTTTAGCTTCGCGTGGCAAAATCAGGACCGGTGAGCGTGCAATTTGCGCCGCGCGGTATTAGAGCCGACGGTGCTGGCGGCCGGTGCTTGGGGATTAATCGACTTCGTGCTCCGATGGGATCGCACTCTCGATGTAAATGAGAGAGTAGAATTTTATTTGTAACATATCTCGGGGGAAAAAATTATCGCCGGAAATGTGTGTAATTTTCACCGTTGATTCCACGTTGCGTAATTACGTAGCGAATTAGCCGGTCTTTCTGACCCCTCGGGAGGGGGGACTTAAACTCGCGTGTATACTTTTATCAGGAAATAAGAGAGCAGTCCGAGATTTTCAGGTCAATTGTTGTCGGCGGTGGAGCCGAATGAGCGAGTGATCCATTGCGAAAGAATAGGCGGTAGTGAGAAGAAGGAGAAAATACATAGCACAGGTACGTCCTTTAATTAAACCGTCGTTAAGCCGGAGGAACGTTGCGCTTATAATAGAGAGCAGTCCCCTTCAATCAGCAGGGAATATAAGTGATATAATAAAATCTAATTGCATACGCGGAACTTTTACTAACGACACGTTGGTCGTCCGTCGAAACGGGAAGGTCCGATCTCCTGTCTTCCTGAATCGGAATCTCAAGAGAGGAAAGGCTGAAGCTTGCGTCGCTTCTTCACTTGTTGTCCGTGCCAGAGGAACTCGCAGCATAGGAGAAATATGGATCCAGCCACGCCTGAAAGGGAGCAAAGTGAGGGGAATCGCCTTACTCGCGAGGTATCATTATTTCCCGAGCGATTTCCACTCCTCGCAAAAACGTTACCCATGAAAAGCACGAAAAATATGCCCTGCATGTCCGACACGTTTACTTTGCGCTCGTCGACGCCTTGATTGACGGAACCGTCCGAGCATTTGTCTTTCACAGGTATTTGCTCCGTTATCCATTTGTTCATCAATCCGGACTCGTGCATGCGATGCAACCTGAATGACGAAGTCGATTCTCAAGCAAAGTGGCGGATTCGCGAAATATCGTTGCCATCAAATTCAATGCTTTTTCGAGTTTGCATTCACACTGTCGGCCACGGTCAGATCAAGCGACGGTCACAGGACGCTTCTACGGAAGAAATCTAAACCGCGACGGTCCTGCTATGATCGTCAAGTGAGAATGCAAAACGATCAAGAGACAATCAGCAGACGGTCGATAGAAACGAAAGAGAACTTACCTTTCTCATCTGAGATAGACGAGAAACTTATTAAATATATTTATGCAAGTGTAGAATTTGTACTTGAACTCCTCTCGCTGAAAATATTGCGATACTTCGTACAAATGAAAAATACGGAATAAAATAGCAGAATAAAAACTGCGATTAGTTATGTATCTCATTATCTGTGTTATAAATATTCAAACACACATTCTATAATATTATGTAATATGGCAAAACGTTACAAGAGCTTAAAGAGAATTTTGAAACAAGATTTGAAACAAGGTTCTGACATGGACAGTATTACAAGGCCGACGGAAGACTATCAGATGATCGGAAAGCGTGAATGGGAATAAAAAATCTGTGACCACGACTTGACCGTGATCTGACCGTATAGCGAGAATCGACCTTAAGATATGAAGAAATCGCGTTTCGAAAAATCGAGAATATCACGTGAACCATCTTTTGGAAATTTATTGTATTCGCCGAACAATAATTGGCTCTTACTCTGCATTGATAATTTTCGTGTAAGGGCTCTTCTGCCCGATGATCATCGCTATGGGCTCGTCCATAAATTCATCAGTGCTCAGAGAGAAGGAACATCCGCCATTCAATAATAGGTCGTTCCTCATCAGAAACCTGTTCGGGCGATACGTCATTATTGTCGTTTTTACCGAGCGCGCTAATTCGTAACTATGACGATATGCATGATAAAGCATTGAAATGAGGAATGGCTGAATATCTCTCTTCCTTACGGAGGCGTACTTTTTTCCGCGCGACTTTTTTCAGGAAAACGTTACAGTGTTTGACGAGATAATTATGTTTATTCTATCCAATATTCTTGGCAATTCTTCTTCTTGACAATCTCTTCCCATGTACAAGGCGTATTTTAATCGGTCTCAAATATTTTACTTTGTTTTCCTTTGTTTCTGTTAAACTTTGTCTTAATCGCATTATACCGTGAGATTACCTCAACGTGCTCCTCCAATCGATTAACACGTGTTTGCCCGCCTTCACCTTTTCGATAACTTCCGCTGCTTGTGTCGCATTATGAATTTCGGCGCGTTCCCATATAATATGATACTTCTCATCTTCTGCATTTTTCAGGTACTCCCCCAGAAAGCTGCCGTTAGGAAAGCCCCAGGTTACCTTACCTTTATGAGCGATGAGATCGTCCACCGTCAGAATGGCGGTGTCCATATTCGGGAATGTTAGAAATGCAACCAAACTTCCGGAGTAAGTCGCTACCACGACCATAACGACCAACCACCAGACGCCTACCAGCAAACGCGCGCTATCGCAACGGGGTAAGTACATTCCCCCTAAAATCATTCACACGCAGCCTTGCATTCCTCCCGAGGAGTATAGAATTCTTCTTATGATTCGCTGAAATACATGCACTGACGAGAGAAAAAAACATAGGATGGGTCAAGTTTCTCCCGACGAAAACCAATAAAAAACCAAAAAAAAAACGACCTATGGATAAAGAGCAAAAGTGCTCCATAATCGGTTTATAATCGAAAGAGGCGGCCCGGTGAACTTAAAGGTACCTTGTGCGAAATGAACGTAACGATGTCAAAAGCGAAAGACGACTACCTTGCTGAAGAAGAGCCCCGTAGATGTACCACACGCATTGCCAAGACGAGTTGAGCCCTACCGTCTTCGTGCCCGGACTGTACTTGTGAATCAGGTACAAGATCGGGCCCATTATAATAATAGATGCTGCCAGGCAGGCCCATGTCTGGAAGCAAAACTAGCCCGCTTGAAGGCATGCATGTACAAACGCGTGAAATACATCTTATGTGAAATAGATCAAACGTTGAACGGAGAAAGGAAGAGAAGGAAAGGGAGAGAGAGAGAGAGAGAGAGAGAGAGAAGAAGAAATAGCTATTAAGTACGCATTTTGACAAACACAATACCAAATCAATCTCTGTCGAATTTTATGCTGATGATTATTATTAAATTTTCACTTCCTCCCTGATAAAAATATTATGCTGAAAATTTTACTGAAATTCTCTCTCAATTGATCCCATTTCACCGTCATTCCGTCGATGTACGTGCAGTTTTCAGTTAAATTCAGTAAATTTCAACAATATACTTTAACTTTCCTTGTATTCAAGCACTGGTATGTTATGAGGTTAATGAAAGTTACTGAAAAATTACTAAAATATATAATAATAAACATTTCAAAGTAAATCATAATTTTCATCATAAAATTCAATGTAATGCTGTGAAATATAATGAAAATTAAAGTATAACTCTGAAAAGTAATAAAAGACTTTTCGAAATATTAGATATCATGAAATTTACTGAATTAAACGGAAAACTACGTATATTAATGAAATTGGGTCAATTGAGAGAGTATTTCAGCAAAATATTTCCATCAGGGTTCATTGTTCAATACGTTCAGTCTGTTATTAGATTTTATATTTCATCTCGTTATTTTATTGTTACTTTATTTACTAAGCTATTTGTTTACTGAAAATATAATGGAGGCCCATCACAGGACCGTGAATTACCTCTTTGGCGAAGGGAGCCGTGAACAGCAACGCTCTAGAGAGTTGACCAGGCTTTGTGGTTAAGAAGCTATACGTCTGAATAAAGATCGGTAGTGTGAAATTGACCTCCCCTCTTACGCGATCATCCACGGTATAAGCGCAAGCTGCGAGGAAGACCTTCTTCATGCGAACCATGTCTATTATTTCCGACGGTATTTCTCTTGTATTTGATTTTAACACCTTTTAGAAACATTCGAAGCATTTGGTTCGAAACACTTCTAATCTACTATCTAGTTCACTTCTAATCTAAATATCTCAAAAATATATCGCTTGTGAAAACCCTTGTAACATTTAGACGAAAAAAAAATGTTATTTGACGTAAAGATATTTATCGTTTGAGGAACCAAACAATCCTGCTTGTTGAATCAAACATTCGTTCGTTTTTTCCACCCCGAAAGACAAATGTGTTTCAATTAAGGAAATTGTATTAAATCCAAAGAAATCTTTTTCTCTGTATATCGCAGCTTAAAGTGGCAAGTACAAATCTATCATGCTGATGAAGAATTTAACGAGATATGAACATTGTCATATATACATCTTACCACTTCGCTTTTGGTCTCGTTCTGCGTAAATTTTAGCGTCCGGTTGCTCATCGGACTGAGTACGGTGTACGTGAAGTTTAATTTTGTGGCTAGGTATTTTATAACATCGAAAACCAGACCGCCGTATTCCTTCTCACCGGCATTGTTGAGCGAGATAGTTTGCCACGGTGGATTCTGAAAGGACGCGACTTACCCTACGTACGATTTATACGGAGAATAATGTAGGGGAACCTGAAGCATAATGGAATCACGAGGCGTAATGGGATATGATCGATAACTCTTTCCAAAAATATTACTACAACTATAAAATTTGTTTTTCTTAAAGTGGATAGTCCAAAAAATATTTCGGCCTAGAACAAAGTTGATTTATTTATTTTTAATACGTTTAAAACTTGTTTAAATTTTAGCATTCCCATTATGCCCCGGGTTCTACATTTCACGTACATGATACGAGGCGACTGGCATACTGATCCCTCGGAATCCATAAGAAATGTGCGGGAAGATGGCATCGGTCAAATTTGAGCCGAGACTAGGAATCCACGTTCCCGAATCTATCAAGTGCGCGATGTTCTTGCCGTGAAGGAAGAAATTGCCCCATGTTATGGCCGAGGCGAATCGCCAAAACAAGCACTTGCCGCAACTGCCGCCCGAGGCGAAAGTATCGTCGACAAGCTTTATCTGCGGAAAATAGTCGCAGCGCGTACAAAGCTTCCGTCAAGAGAACATTTCGATAGTGATACTTGATGATACTTCGTAAATTAGCGCTTCTAAGCCGATTTTCGAGGAGAGATCCAAGTCTCTCACACGATGCGAGACAACATTGTACAATTATAATTACATAAAAATACAAGCATATTTTTGAACAGGTATGAGCCATTGCCAGAAATGTATGCCTGTCCCCCTTCGGTAAGTTCGCGCTTGTAATTAAAAAAAAAATTATTTTCAAGTCAAATTACGAGTTATCACTTTCGCGCACTATCGATCGAGATGCCGCCCAATTCTCGAAGGTACACAAACTTGAATATTTTTCAGAATCTCCCGACGCTTCTCGCGCTTGTTCAATCGAATGAGCTCGAACTCCTCGTCGCTCACATGATTATACAACTCAATTTCAATCATCAGCGACAATTTTAAAGCATTAGCCAGAGCTGAAACTAACTCTTGGACGTGGCACATTAGTTTGGCCTGAAAGACAATTTTCATTATGTTTCGCCTAAAAGTACGCAATGATGGGAAAAAACCTTTCAGAGTTGGCCATAAGATTTCCCCTTCTCTTTGGAGAAATTTGACGATACGGTTATCGAAAACGCGAGAGGGTTTCTCAGGCAGTTAAAATCTGTGCGTGAAATCGAACAGGGAATCAATCAAATAAATTACATCGCAATGCGTGTCGTTGTCCGTCGAATTGTAAGCGAAAGCCACGTTTGCACCTTCCGACAAGAATTCGGTGAAACTGGTAATGTTCGTAGCGTTTCGTACTACGCTGTCGGTGATGACGTACAACCATTGGCTATCTGGCTGTGCCATATCCAATTCCCTCGCCTTCGGAAGCACATTGTATGAAATCATTCGAAAATGTTGATAAACGAGTGAAAACGTGAGAAAATGTTAAGCTCGAAACACGAAAGCGGTGCTGAGCGAAAGCGAAGTCCGCAACTTCACCTTTGCTCTCAAATAGAAATGCGTGCGGAACAATGACAAGACTTTGCCGATTTGTCTCTTACAACTTCCATAACGTCAAACGCTGCCTCTATCGTGGCGATTACGAGGAAGTATTTGCCTAGTTGATCTACATGAAAGTCCTCGAGCATCTCTTTTATGTAATATTTCCTGTTACGTTGGGAATCGGCGTGTTTGAAGACGAACAACGATCTGGAGACCATGTTGAATTTCTTGTTCGGCAATGGGGTCGATATAGCTGTGGCAACTTCGCTAATTGTATCCCTGTCTACAATTCATAATACAAGAAGCGAGTTAAGGAAGAACGATGTTAGTTAAGGGAAAGAGGTGGACGATTATAATATGGTGAATTAAATTGCGTCACCAAACGTGTCGTCGTGCAATAAGTTGACATTGTTCCAGTCCAGAATGTCGTGAGATCTTAGGTCGTAGAAAATCTGGGACAGTTCTTTGCCCGCCGGTATTAAAGGGATGCTCACACCCTCCGAATCAGGAAATCGCGGGCAATCTCGTTCTTCAAGATAAAAACTACTGTCAAAGTGGGCGAAAGGGTTCACGCAGTCAAGTTATTTCTGAATTTGTCTATTAGACTCAGGGATTCGGAACTAAAATTAGACTTTATAAAATTTCAGTACAACGAGAGAAAAAGTGCTACATTTAAGTAAATATTTGCTAAGATGTATTGGAGTAATTGATTGGATTCAATTAATTAATTACCCAAATATTCCTTAGCAAATATTTACTTGAATGTAACACTTTTTTTCTTTCGGTATACTATTTGAGTTAGATTAAAAAAGAACCGGCTATTACGATTATTGATTCCGCTTCCTGCCCGGATCCGTGATTAGGAAATTCTCACTTTAAGAAAATACTATCACAAAATTTTTCCCCACACAAATTTGGCACATCTGGCTGTGTTGAATCAGTCGAAACGCGCGATGCAACGCAGCACAATCTCGCGAATGACACCAGATAACGAGGCAAAAATAGATAACAATATTTGCGAGTAACACTTTAGTCGCGAATCATCACTGAACTAATTGCGTAATTTAGAGCAATCTACATTCGTCCCGACGAGACGGAACACGAGGACTATCTAATATATTTTTGTTTAATATCTCCTCGTACGTACCTGTTATTGCCAAATGCACGAGCTCTTCTTTACTCGCAGCTTCGTGCAGGCTCCATGTTAGGCGGCACGTTGCCACCGATAAGAGCACCGTGAAATCTTCGCACGCGTCGAACGTCAAAAAAGAAATATTATTTCTCCTCGATCAAATTAACTAAGACACATGACACACGGAGAGAAAAATGTTGCTGAAACAGCAAATTGTTTGTTGTTAATATAGTGGCAGCAAAACAAATTGGTTTGAACAGCAGAAAGATTTGTTAAAAATATTAGTTTGCTGGATATACGGACAGCAAAATAATTTGCTTATGCAAATTGAATTTTATTGCCATCGCAACGATGTTTTGCTACGACAGCAAAACTATTTTTTCCGTGTAACAGATTCTTTTGCTGTCGCTGTATTAGCAAATAATTTGCTTGGTCCAGCGGCAAAACTTGTTTTCTCCGTGTAGGATATTTCGGATATAAAATCTGCGTAAAATCACACAAGTGGTGAACGCGATAATAACAGGTGGACGGCACACTCTGCACAACGGTGTAAACGGAAAGGACACATGAAGATTGATCTGACTGAGCATTACTCTTACCTCGTAAATTATTAATTTTCGTATTACGGAAGATGCGCACATCCAAATCAATCGAATGTATCTCTTCCCTCAAGACATTCGTGACGAATTCGTGAATCGTCTTCACAGTGGTGCGATACTCATGCTTACTATCGAAGAAGCCCTTATCGATAACGACCGCTGATTCAAAGAATTTTCCCTTGTTACTGTCGCGACGGTAAGAAGAAAATCACTCATTAGAAAAAACGGATAGGTAATCACGAGTTCGTCCGTACCCATCGAGGCGTTCGCAGACATGAGCGACGGGAAGTCATTGAAGGCATTGCCGGAATTCAAGATCCACGCGAGGAGGAGGACGCAAATCATATCCGTTGACAGATCGTATTGGGACACGACGCGCGGACTGGTCGATATATAAGGCAGGACATCGCTCAATGATAAATGAGTTCATTACTTTCGCCGATTCATTATTATCGCATTAACCGGAACTTCGTCAAAGCTCGGTCGAAACGCAATCGCGGACTGAGCGCGTCGCGGGCTCGTAACAAGTATCGCGAATTCGCGGAAAGGTCGATTCTTCAATAACTTATTGGGGAACGATCGAATCTCATCGGGACTTGAATGGGGTGAATCATTGGCCTGGATGAGCAAAACCACCGGCCGGATCGGAAAATTATTGTAAAACGGTCAAGCATTACGCTCGGATCGAAATTGTATCGTGTTAAATTTAATACGAAATTTTTTACGTCGACGAGACAAGAAGTTTTCGCGATGTCTACGATATTCGCTTTGTTCAACCGACGTTAACGTAATAAAATTAATATTATACAATAGCAATTATTATTATATCATTGGGAATGATATTCGCCCTACTGCGGAATTGGTTAGATTTTCTGTAAAAGGCAGCGGAACATATAAGGTACAAGGAATAAAAAGTCAAATAAGGGTATGGCAATGGACTTCGGACGTATTTTTTGTTTTATTATGCTTCGGTTTTATTACATCGTCCGCCGTAATTATTCGGTATCTCCTGACGGAAGGCGAAGACGGAACAGAAAGGTTATAAATATGTGTTGCGGTCTACCACTTCTCTCCGTCTGATTTTATGTGTGATAAGGACATTACCCATTGTTTGTATTCTGCTGGAAATTCCTGCGCATGCCATATGAAAAAACTGAAATGAGAGGAACTCTGAAAGCGAAAGATTCTTCCTCGCGGAAAGTTTCAAATCAATTTCTACTCTTGAGAATTATTTTAGAAGTGCAAGAGGTCGAAGGGGAGAGCCAATTAATAAATTTAGAAGCTCCATTCGGCCCACTTGAATCAGCCGGACTTATAACTAATTAAATCCCAATAAGCAAGAAACATTAAATAAATCTTTCGAAACATTGATTTCAGAAACGCATTTTACCATAATATTTTATAAATGTTTTTAAACTGTTGCTTGATAATATAATATTCCTAAATATTAAAATCATAATGTAGAAATATTATCTTTAATATTTGGATCAAATATTATTAACAATGACGTTGTATGCAACATTAAGAACTACATATTTGAAAACGTTACATGTTATAAAATATTACTGTAATTAGTTGCGTTAACGTTGTGTTAACGATTTCTTGCTTACCGGGATATTAACATTTGAAATTTAGATACGCGCTGTCAGAAGCACAAATAGTCAGAAACATTTACTTCGATCGTATTTGCACATAACTTATAAACAACAGTATTTTTACATTCGTGGATGACTATAGTCATATATAGGCAAATTTACTATATGATCCTTTTTTTCCCGGTATAACGTCAATAGCATTAACGTGAATAATTACAATATTAATATAACATCAATACAATATTAATATTATAGAAATAATATTAATATAAATAACATAACAATAATAATAATATAAACATGATATTAATACAAATAACTAATGTATTAAGTGTGCCGGATGATATGATAACACGGTAAATAAAATTTCGCAGCGCCGACCTCCCGTGGACCGTCGATGTCGCTAGAGGCCGAGGCGCGCGGCTCGGCGATTCGAACGACATCGTGCGTTCGCATGTGCAGTTCGTGAAGCGCTATCGCGCTGGCAGTGTGCGCGGACAGTGCGGAAGATCGTCGGCTGCAAACGTGTCGCGCGCTGTCTCGTCGGGTTTAACTATGCGCGAGCGTTACGTAGAAAAGCTCACGTACCTGCACCTCGCCCGTCCCGTTCGCGCTGGCTGGTGCGCGCCTCCTCGTGTTCTCGTGAAATCGTCAAGCGTCCTACGTTACCATGGGCTGAATACCGCCTCGGCCGTAGTAGCTGTCAGATCACGCGCGAGCGAGACAACACGTTGCGGAACCCGGGGCGTACGAGAGAGTCGGGAAGCGAGACGCGGCAGGGCCGACGAAAGGTCCGAGTGAAAGTGCGAGAATTGTCTGCTTCTTCTCTCTCTCTCTCTCTTTCTCTCCCTTCCCGCGAGACAAGCGCAAGAACAAAGGCGTCGGTTTCGACGAGCCCCTCCGTGAGCCCACGAGGAGCGACGACTTCGCGACGTCGCCGATGTTTAATCGGCCGCAATGGAGCCCGAGGAGCCTCTGATGCAAGGGATTCTCCTGCTGCCGCCGCAGGGAATGTTAGGCCAACTCAAGGTTGGTGTCGCGCTGAGATAACTCAGGACGCACTAGGTTGCCGCGATACGCGATAACGGGACGGCGCATCATCTGTGAACGACCCGTCCTCTCCGCCCCCTCCTCCTTGTTTTTTTTCCATGTTCCTCCATTCCCTCTTCCGTTAGACTGCTCGATCTACGGCAGGTATATGTGTATGACATGCCTGTGAGTACACGCCTCTTCCCAGCGGTTGGTTGACAATTTTTTTTTTTTAGAAAGGTCCATATCCTGTCAAGATGGGCACTGCAATTCCCTTGTATCGTCAGTCTCTGTATCATGGGAAACATACTTCAGGCAAACATACATACATACATATATATATATATATACCTGTGTGTAAACACAAGCTCGATAAGTTAGTCGAACAAGCTCTCAGTTTTACCTGGTGCCTCCTTGTTTGTCTGTTTCTAGAAAACGTGGCACAAGAGATTCTGCCAGCTTTTCAGGACAAGCAATTATGGGATTAAACGCGTCGAGATTTATGATAATCAGGAGGAAGCAATACTGCAATCTCATTCCCCACGTATCGTCACCCTGGACGCTTGTATCAAAATTGCTCCCAGCAATCAGTCGCATGTCTTCACTGTACGTATATTCGCTTTCTCGTTCTTTCTCTCCCCCCTCTCTCTTCCTGCTTCTTGTATCATTGCTTATATATATATATATATATCTTATCTATCTGCTTACTGTTGTCATTATCCTGAGAAAACACCACGTTCACTATCGAGTTTGTCTCACGCAGGTGGTGACTAAGTCAGGGATACATTATTTCGGCTGTTACTCGGAACTGGAGATGACCCAGTGGATCACGGCATTCCAGTTGGTCGCCTTCAAGGACAGTGTGTCGAATCAAACGATAGAAGAGAACAACGATCTGTATTGCACAAGCGGGGAGGACGTATTCTCCGTTAAAGTCGTCGAGACGGACGCGTCGAAGCGATGCGGACTGGAAGCGAGGAATTACACGTTAGTGGTCGCCGCGGTCGACATGAAGCTGATGGACGGTGACATCGTGCTGTTCACATGGCCGTACAGGTACATCAGGAGATACGGATACCGGGACGGCAAGTTCATCTTCGAGGCCGGGAGGAAGTGCGAGTCCGGGGAGGGCTCCTTCCGTTTGGAGCACAGCAGCCAGCAGGAGATCTTCCGGTGCATGTATTCGAAAATGAGGTCCATGAAGAAGTTACTGAACGAGGAGAACAATCCGAGCATAGATTGCAACGACGCCCAGTATCACGCGGCTCTGTCCATGGAACCCGGCTCGAGGGCGGCCCTGCCTCCCTCGCCGAACAATTCCAGTAACCTGATCGACATTGATTTCTCCTCGCAAAATTCCCAGAAGCAGATGAGCTCGTCGTCGAGCGGCGTGGAGTCGACCACCTCGTCGACCAGATCGATCGGCAAACAGTCCAAGCCGGCCAAGCCGCCGCGAAAGTACATGTTCGGTAATCTCCTGGAGAGGAAGACCTCCGACTCGGAGTTCCTCGACTTGCCGACGTGCGGGGAGTATAGGACACTGAGTCAGGCTAATTCGCCGGAATTATCTCACAAAGCGATCGTCGATAGTGCCGCCTGCGACGATGACGAGAGACACCCGTATGACTTGGTGGAGATTAGGAACGACGCGTGGAAGACCCACGGCATCGATAGCGTGCATCACACCGAGAGGGTGAACTCGGGCGTGCCCGATGAGAGAGATAAGAAGGACGAGAACGACGATTTCCAGTACGAGGTGATGATGCCCGTCGCACCGTCATTCCAGAATTCGTGCAAGAGCAAGGAGATCATCGCGGCGGCGGCGGCGAGTATCGCCAAGGACGAGTCCGACTACGACAAGTTGGAACGCTTCGGCTCCGTGTCGAAACTCAGCCAGTATAAATACGGCACGCATTCCAACGTATCTCACGGGGAGAACGTCAACTGCAATCTCGTCAATCCAGCGTGGTCGAATTACGATATCGTCGAGGATATGTCCGCCGTTAGATTAGCCGACGACAGCCACCTGGGATACGGTATTATTCGGAAGAAAACGGATCTGTCTGATAACGCTCCCGTCGGCAACACTGCCGGCGGACCGCAACACAAAGTCTTCAACAACAGCGAATATGCAATCGTATCGAAACCAAAAAGGGTGTAGATCGACACAACGTCGACCGACCAAAAGTATTAACGACCGAAATTCCACTCAAGTTTGCATCCCGGATATTCTCTCTCTCTCTCTCTCTCTCTCTCTCTCTCTCATATTTTCGCAATTAATTGTAGGAATACAATAATATGCTAGTCTGCGCTGCGTGGCTAGAATATCAAAAAAAGAAGTTCTCGCTTTGAAGAACGCATATGTTGTAAGATTATTGCGAAACACCGCGAAATATTAGGAACAATACAAGATAATATTTCTCACGTATTGTGATCTTGCTCGCTTTTTGTATGTATTTATAGAGACACTAGTCTTATTAATTGCCGCGTTATGAATCATAACCGTAATATCAATAATATATAAATCATTCGTGATATCTAGTAAAGTCTCAACGTTAACAAATTCCAGACGCATTTGTGCCTATTCACGATATTTTCTAACTAGGTATTTTCTAACTAGAAAGACTTAAAAAAAAAAGCTAAAAGTGATTATAAGTGCATTTTACAGACTGATTCACACACAGAGAAATGTAGTGCCTTCTAAAAGTCTTCCATCTTGCGAAGACGTATATCTTAATCGATACCAAACTGATGACTAAATCACCGCGCGAAAATGTGAAAGTCTCTACTAATATTTTAATATATTGGTGTACTTAGAAATTTATAATATTAGATATTATCATAATTTTATTACTACCACACGCGCACACACACGTATACACACACATCCATACATCCACACTATAGTATTATACTCTCTACCACTACATTAATATTTCTTCCTGCTATTTTATTCTACAAAAAAAATTGCTATTATATAATAGTATATATAGATAGTTTATATATTAGTATTATTATAATTATATAATACTTTTGATTTTATAAAAAAAAAACAGGTTAAAAGTCTACGCAGATGATATGTATGTATTTGTAAATACTTGCATATAGGAGTACTTTATTAGGGATGATATTAGGGAAGATCATCCTGATTCGGTTGAATCTAAATCATCGCAATTGGATAATCTTATAATTATTTAATACACACAATTTATATTGTATATTTACAACAATTAGTGTTTTTAAGTCAGTTTTGTTGCCTCAATATAAATTTAATAATTGAAAGTATTTAAAGGGAGATACGGTTCATTAAACACTTGGAAGTATTCTAAAATTTAGCATGTATATCATTTAATATGAACTCTAAACGCTTTAAAGTTTCAATTGTGTCCTGAGAATTATTTTATTTCTTTACTACTTGTATATTTGACATATATGAAAATTATACACCTATAATGAGGCGATACTTAAAAGATTATAAAATCATCATTATTCGTTATGCAAATTAATAAATGCAGATGTGGCACATAAGAATTACTGTTTTGATATATTTTTATTCGCAAAAGTGTCTTGTTAATTTTATTTTTTTACAAAATTATACACAAAGGAAATATCGTAATCAGTTTTAATAAAAATGTAATGAAATGAATCATCTCGAATAATGTATCCTTGTGCCAAACGAGTGGTTTGCCATTGATAGCAAAGTTATCAACTATTCAAGTAATATATAGATAATTATATTAATAAAAACAGTGCCGATTGACAAATCCTACAATATATTGAAAACCTAACATATATATAGATGATATATACATGAATTATTTCTAAGAGAACACTGATATTGCCAAGATATATTTTTCAGCAGATTTTACAATAGACGAGTTTGTAAAAGAGCTTGCACAAGTAAAGTCTTCGCTTACATGTGTGATCTCTTGTGTACTTCCTCTGTTTGTAAATCTTTGTATAATAACATTTATATACCCGCAGACAGAAGTTTTCACTCTATTTTATTACAATATTTTCTTACAATATCTCGATCATTGCCATGGTGCTCTAATATAAACGCAAATAATTGTATCAGATTGCTCGATATTCCTCCTGCAACATCAAAATAATTTCCGACTATATCTATCAGCTAAGTTTACGTGTTACAAGAATGCACAAATCATACAATAAATTTATAAATGGAATCCTTACGAAAACTCGCCTGTGTGATTACCTTTTAATGCTCTTGATCGGAAATCTCAAGTGAAATGTCAGTCTTCCCTTGATGTTTTTGATTTGTCAATTTTAACAGAGCACATGTTATTATTGGAGTCTCCTATCTTTGCTTCTGCATTCGAATCCTCAGAAGGCGCATTAAATCCCTCTTTCGCAATAATTTCATAGTAACCATCTTTATCGTTCATTATCCTCCTCACGGTTTCTCCCTTCAACGCCATAATTTTCTCAATATTTATTCTTCCGGGCAGGTCTGCAAACCATCCTAGATTATCGGCGATAAGATGATTGTTCTTGCAACCGTCGCATCTCACTATTATCACTCCTTTTTCATACGCCAACTTTGATATTATTTTACTATTTCTCGTTTTGCATTGTTTACATGTAAACATCAGTTTCATCTTTCCCTCCAGTTTACCTAGCTCCTTGCGATCACTGGCATCTTCATGAATGAGACGATTTTGACGGAATGATGTGCCACTAAGTTTATGTATAATCGGAGTACAACGATAGTACAACATGGAAGAGTATTGAGCACATGCCAAACGTGTACCGAAACGCAATGCTTGTCGGACGCAAAACATGCTAAATTCGTATTTTCCACAGCACTGAATTACCTTATTATTATTAAGCGTAATGACAAAAACAAGGTGAAAGGAGAGGCAATATTTATCATTAACCTCCTTTAAAATCGCGCAGATTTCAGCGCAGTGGACGGCAATGAACAATGCAGGTTATGCCGGGTGCGCAAAGATATATATGTATGTACATAGGTTTTTTTACAGATAAACTTCCTGCACTGGTGCACAAAAAGTGCAGTAAATATAGAGAAATAATACGAGTTACTCGCATAAACGCGATTTTCGTACATTTTTTTGAAATCTTTTCTTATCCATGTGTAAGATATATATAAATTTTACTAAGAATATTTATTATTCTAAAATGTTTTATGTAATTATTACACATAAATTCATTCTTTATATCATGAAAAGATATGTAATTGAATTTCTTTTAACATGGGAAAGAAAAACTTCAATTCTATTATATATATATCATTTCAATTTATATATATATATATATATATATATATATNACCTTTTACAACCTTTGTAATATGCATATCTCACAACATTTAAATGATAACATGACTAATAGTAGAAGTAATAACAAAACGGTCTATAAAACATAGAAGATAGAACATAGAAGAATAATACAAAATTTATTCGAAATACAATTTATATATTATACTTTATACATATATATAAATATTTTATATATATACTTTATACATATATATAAATTTATCTTCTATAAAGCATTATAATCGAGTTTTGCTGAAAAATTTTGGAACATAACATAAAATAGCATTCGGGAGGCGCATAAAAATCCAAAGGTACCAACAGATATTGGACCATGAGTTCATAACATCACCCGTTATACAGGAAGCATATTTATCAGAGGCCTAACATGTACGGTTCTATTCAATTGAACGAAATAATAAAAAAAAAAAATTTGTTTATAAAGTAACATTCAAGAACAGCTCACACCCACCTGCCTGTCTGTAAACCTTACACTTCATCACTTCTTACGTGGAAATATGAATAAAATTTTAATTTTCTTTACGTATTATTTCACTTATCGCTTCTATACGCTCGATGATAGGTGGATGTGAATGATGCCACGTGGAATACAATTTATCGTACAAGGGGAATTCTAAATTGTCTTTTTGTAATTTTAACAATGATGTTTTTAGACAATGGCCATGGCCTAACGTCGCGGCGAATTTGTCCGCTTGGAACTCAAATTTGCGCTGGGCTATTACTGTAATAAAACCGATAATCTAGAAATAAGAAGAAGAATTTGTGTGAGTGGTTGCAAAGAATTATTTAACCTACGATATAAAAATTGGACAGGGAATAGATATATGTAAGTACTTACTGTATTCAATGGAATCATAATATACGTTATTACTATCATGAAGCCAATTAAAATCGGCTGACAGTCGATAAAGCCGAATGCTCTGTACATCAGAGAATTTCCCATGAGTTTTGCAAACATCAAAATATTGATTGCAACAAATATCTAAAAAGAAATATATATATATATATATAGAACATATACAAATATTTATTTGGGTGTGTATTGCATACAAATAAAGCCTCCTTAAATACAATTATATTATAAAAAATGATATTTTCATAAAAAATAGAATGTGAAAATATTCTTGGACATGTATAGGGATGATGATCAATTTTCCCTTATTTGTAACTAGAAAACCAACAAATAGTACAACAGTAATTAACATAAATCTATTGTTATTATTGTACATACTTAATCGTACAATAAACGATGTATCAACACAACAACTCACCTGCCAGGCAAATTAATTTGAAAGATGAACTAATCAATTATAAATAAGATTCTGTTTTAAATCCATTATTGCCAAAAGACATCACGAAGATCAAGCCACAGCAATTACGTGATTGTTGAAACAGACAATATTCTATGCAGTAACTATTTTCGAAATAAATATACTATATTACGAATTAATTACAAGATAAAGCAACGCATCGACACAAGTGGAACTTAAAATTACTGTAATGTAATCATACCTGTGCGAATATGAAAATCTTAATGGTGTGATTATGCTTCCAATGACCCAATTCATGTGCCAGCACCGCCAATATTTCGTTCGTATCACAACCCTTATCGTTATTCTTATCCTCATCTTCATCGCTGTCATTTTTCTTGCGATATCCCTTAATGAGCGTATCAAAAAGAACGATTCTCTTGTGTTTGTGAAAGCCATACATATAGGCATTGCTGTGTGTCGATCTCATCGAGTTCTCAACTACAAACAGCTTTTGCAAGGGAAACTTTAAAGAGGCCGCTAATTCCTCTATCTTTTGTTTCAATTCGCCATCAGGTAATGGCGTGTACTTGTCAAATAGTGGTGCAATCACTCCTGGATATATTACCATTAGAAGCAACGTGAACACCACTATCAACATCCATAAGTACAGGTAAAAGTAATTACCGCCATTCTTAGTAATCCAGACTATCAGGCTTAAAATAGGTGACATGATTAATTCAAACACGAGGAATTGTTTAATCATGTCTTTAATGAAAAACCAAGCTGTCTGAAAAAAAGATATATCAAGAATTAAAAAACAAACAAGAAATATTTGTCAATTATATAGAGGTCCCTTTCTCGGTCGATTTTGTTCGGTAAGTAAAAAAAAAATACTAGAGACCCAATCGCAAGATGTTTCACAGAGGTACTCACCTGCTTGTTAAAGCCATGCTTCTCCTCCAAAACAAAAACATCATATATTGCTAATGGAAGATTGAGCAATGTAGAGATTAAATTTACAACGGTCGCATATATGGGACTTATGAGTATCTCGTTCTCATAATCAAGATTGCAATGCTTGGCTATTTCAACGCTCCATTGCCAAATAAAATAAGGCCCATAAGCTAACAGAAGTATCTGAAATATTAAACTGTTAATGTAGAAATTGGCTAGAGGGGAATAGCAGACGTTGGAAACTTTTTCCCCGTCTATCTTATAAATAGAATGTACAGAAGCTTCTTTTTATGTATACTTACCACGTTAATAACGTCAGAATGTATGTTAGTGACAATACCGAAGCTATTTTCGTCTAATGCATAAGCACGAGCCTTCTCATATGTATCTTTGGTCATTATACCTTCGACAGATTTTGGAAAATCAACTAAACGTTGTAGCAGTTTTCTCTGCAACATTTCAAAATGTTAAATTAAAAAATGTAAACACATATACACGCACACATACACACACATGCACATACACGCATCATGTACATACATTAAGAAACATACACAAAGAACAATATAAATATTATATAATCTTTCATCAGTTCCATGGACTGCATCGCATTCGGCATAATAAGACTTATAATTAGAAAAGGTGAGAGGAAATAGTTGTGGCTTACTTGACGCCAGTCTAAATAATAGTTCCACGACTGTAACAGCGACATCAGAGATATAGTCGCCCCGAGGAAATGCTCCTTTACAAAATTCGCAAGCATCTCCATGTTTCTGCGGTAACTTTGACACAACAGGTCTGCTCGTTTTCGCTGCACCGTTGAACTAGTGCAATAAATTGAAGAGAGACAAGTATATGTTTTCTCACTTTAACTTATTGCACTAGTTCAGCAGTGCAACAGAAACGAACCAACCTAATATCGTCCTTATTGCGCTGCTATCCACCATCGAATTAAACACGCCGATTGGCGCCAGTTACTGTATCGTGTGTGCGATCCTCGCGAGTCCGGAGTCGCCATGCCACACGGCACGTTGGAGCGCTTTTATCGACGAACCTCTTGAATAAACGAACACGAACGTTAGTTCGTTCCCAGCTCCCCGGTTCGAAGGCTTCGGTCGGTAAATGCAGGCCGCTGCAGTCCGTCTACACCGGGACGTTCCAGTGCGCCCGCGTCGGTAGGACTGTGCGAGCCGCGGCAACAGATATAAGCAGATGTAAACAAGAATTTAATTTGAACGTCCGTCGTAACATAAACGACCGTAACTGTCGTCATCGGCGAGAAACGCGGTGTATATGTGTGTATGTGTGTTTGTGTGTGACAAAACGGGCGTCGCTCGCTGGGAGAATCGCGAAAGAGCGAGACGCGACTCCACGACTGTTGCGCGTCAGGCGTCGAGTACGGCGTACCCGCGACACATAATCTAAGCGAGCCCTCCCTCATCAATAACAAGTGACGCTCGGACAAAGATGAATATCGAGGAAACACAAGATGATGATCCGGATCCCGAGTTGCCGTCGGTCCAACGGAGAGAATTGACCAAACGATGACGTGAGAGAGAACCCGAGCGAAAATCCAAAAGGATGTCCCCGACGAGCACGGAGAACCAAGTATAGGATACGACTCGGAATCGAGCTGCGAGAGCCGCTGTTCGCGAGACTTCTAAGGCACAAACGGGCGTAGACTCGACAGACGCGAGGAATGCAAGCAACGCGTCCCGTGCGAGGCGGCCACTCAAGCGGAGCAGTCGAGGCTGCTCAAGTTGAATTCGGCCAGTAAGAGCCTCTCGCAGGTAATGGAATATCATCACAAGTATTCCCATAACTCCAATTTGGATCAAAATTTCTCGCTACCGAATGCTCCGCAGAAGGCCGTCAAGTATTATTACAGTGTTTACGAGTTGAACGCCCTAGTCGGCATGCGTCCTGCACCTGGTGCCGCGATCGGAGCTCGTCCGACGCGGCCAAGTCGCGGAAGAGCTTCCAGGAGGGCTCACCGGTTGTCTCGCAGCAGACGCCTCTTCTGAGATACGGTAACGGCGACAACAACAGTGCGGAGCCGGTCACTTGTCACCACGTGGCGCCGAGCAACGGCCCCCAGCACAAGCAGAAGTAGGCTAAGAACCAGATCAATTCATCCAAGTCGAGATGTGGCTGTGCCGCACACCCGGGCAACAGCGAGCACACAGGAGCGAGGCGGAGTCGAGGAAGGCGTGGTGCTGCGGGAAAGCGCTGTTCGCGGCGTGCCCGATCTGCTCGAAGCCCGTCGTGGAGCACGGGAAAGGCTGCGTCTACCAGAAGAAGCCCCTCCGAGGGCGCGAGGATAATTCGGGGGACAGCAAAGCGCGCGACGATCCCTCAGACGTGAACCAGAACGCGGACAGGAAGATCGTCATCAGCAGAGCCCGAGCGGACGGCTCGTTGGGCAGATGCGCGCTCAACTTTGGCGAGCCGAAGTCATTATCCTCCTCACGGTTTCTCCCTTTAACGCCATAAGTTTCTCAATATTTATTCTTCCTTGCAGGTCTGCAAACCATCCTAGATTATCGGCGATAAGATGATTGTTCTTGCAACCGTCGCATCTCACTATTATCACTCCTTTTTCATACGCCAACTTTGATATTATTTTACTATTTCTCGTTTTGCATTGTTTACATGTAAACATCAGTTTCATCTTTCCCTCCAGTTTACCTAGCTCCTTGCGATCACTGGTATCTTCATGAATAAGACGATTTTGACGGAATGATGCGCCACTCGGTTTATGTATAATCGGAGTACAACGATAGTACAACATGGAAGTATTGAGTACATGTCAAACGTGTGCCGAAACGTAATGCTTGTCGGACGCAAAACATGCTAAATTCGTATTTTCGACAGCACCGAATTATCTTATTATTATTAAGCATAATGACAAAAACAACGTGAACGGAGAAGCAATATTTGTCATTAGCTTCATTTAAAATCGCGCAGATTTCAGCGCAGTGAACGGCAATGAACAATGCAGGTTATACCGAATGTGCAAAGATATATATGTACGCATATATGTTTTTTTATAGTTGAACTTCCTGCACTAGTACACAAAAAGTACACTAAATATAGAGGAATAAATACGAGTTACTCGTATTTATGATATATAAATTATTTAGTATTATAAATGCGATTTTCGTAAATTTCTTTTGAAATCGTTTTTTCTTATCCATGTGTTAGATATGTATAACTTTTACTAAGAATATTTAATATTCTAAAATGTTTTATATAATTTTTACACACAAATTCACTCTTTACATCACGAGAAGATATGCAACGGAATTTCTTTTAACGTGGGAAAGAAAAACTTTTCAATTTATATATATACATTAAATCCGAATATCTTGTATATACGATATATATAGTACCTTTTACAACTTTTGTAATATGCATATCTGACAATATTTAAATGATGACACGATTGGTAGTAGAAGTACTAATTACAAAATGCTCTAAAAAACATAGAAGATAAAACATAGAAGAACAAAACAAAATTTATTTGAAATACAATTTATATATATACTTTATACATATATATGTAAATTTATCTTCTATAAAATATTATAATCGAGTTTTGCAGAAAAATTTTGGAACATAACTTCACAAAATTGTTTACATAACAGTATTATCGGATTGTCCGTGTTGCAAGAAGAAATTATTAAATGCACAAGAATATAGTAAAATATATAATATATAAAAAAGTTAAATGGCTAAATTCTGTTAGAATCTTCATGTAATTAAAATAGCATACAAGAGGTGGATATAAATCCAAAGATACCAACAGATATTGGACCATGAGTTCATAATATCACCCGTTATACAGGAAGCATATTTATCAGAGGCCTGACGTGTACGGTTCTATTCAACTGAACGAACTAATAAAAAAAAAAATTTCTTTATAAAGTAACATTCAAGAACAGCTCATATCCACCCGTCTGTAAACCTTAGACTTCATCACTTCTTACGTGGAATTATGGATAAAATTTTAATTTTCTTTACGTATTATTTCACTTATCGCTTCTATACGTTCGATGACAGGTGGATGCGAATGATGCCAAGTGGAATACAACTTATCATATAAAGGGAATTCTAAATTATCTTCTTGTAATTTTAACAATGATGTTTTTAGATACTGGCCATGGCCTAACGTCGCGGCGAATTTGTCCGCTTGGAACTCAAATTTGCGCTGGGCTACTATGTTAATAAAACCGATAATCTAGAAATAAGAGGAAGAATTTGTGTAAGTGCTTGCAAAGAATTATTTAACCTACGATATAAAAATTGGACAGGGAATAGATATATGTAAGTACTTACTGTATTCAATGGAATCATAATATACGTTATTACTATCATGAAGCCAATTAAAATCGGCTGACAGTCGATAAAGCCGAAAGCTCTGTACATCAGGGAATTTCCCATGAGTTTTGCAAACATCAAAATATTGACTGCAACAAATATCTGAAAAGAAATATATGTATATAGAACATATACAAATATTTATTTGAGTGCGTATTAAATACAAATAAAGTCTCCTTAAATACAGTTATATTATAAAAAATTTTAATATTTTCATAAAAATAGATTGTGAAAATATTCTTGGATATGTATACGGATGATGATCAATTTAACCTTATTTGTAAGTATAAAACCAATAAATTGTATAACAGTAATTAACATAAATCTATTGTTAGTGCTGTACACACTTAATCGTACTAAACGATGCGCCAACACAACAACTCGCCTGCCAGGCAAATTAATTCGAAAGATGAACTAATCGATTATAAACAAGATTCTTTTTTAAATCCATTATTGCCAAAAAATAGTACAAAGCTCAAGCCGCAGCAATTACGTAATTGTTGAAACAGACAATATTCTATGCAGTAACTATTATCGAAATAAATATACTATATTACAAAGTAACTACAAGATAAAGCAATGCATCGACACAAGTGGAACTTAAAATTACAGTAATGTAATCATACCTGTGCAAATATGAATCTCTTGACGGTGTGATTATGCTTCCAATGACCCAATTCATGTGCCAGCACCGCCAATATTTCGTTCGTATCGCAACCCTTATCCTTATTCTTATCCTGATTTTCATCATCATTTTTCTTGCAATATCCCTTAATGAGCGTATCAAAAAGAACGATTCTTTTGTGTTTGTGAAAGCCATACATATAGGCATTGCTGTGTGTCGATCTCATCGAGTTCTCCACTACAAACAGCTTTTGCAAGGGAAACTTTAAAGAGGCCGCTAATTCCTCTATCTTTTGTTTCAATTCGCCATCAGGTAATGGCGTGTACTTGTCAAATAGTGGTGCAATCACTCCTGGATATATTACCATTACAAGCAACGTGAACACCACTATCAGCATCCATAAGTACAAGTAAAAGTAACTACCGCCGTTCTTAGTAATCCAGACTATCAGGCTTAGAATAGGTGACATGATTAATTCAAACACGAGGAATTGTTTAATCATGTCTTTAATGAAAAACCAAGCTGTCTGAAAAAAGATATAATAAGAATAAAAAAAACAAGAAATACTTGTCAATTAATAGAAGTCTCTTTATTGGTCGATTTTGTTCGGTAACTAAGAAAAAGATGCCAGAAAGAACCCAATTGCAAAATGTTTCACAGAGGTACTCACCTGCTTGTTAAAGCCGTGCTTCTCCTCCAAAACAAAAACATGATATATTGCTAATGGAAGATTGAGCACTTTAAAGATTAAATTTACAACGGTCGCATATATGGGACTTATGAGTATCTCGTTCTCATAATCAAGATTGCAATGCTTAGCTATTTCCACACTCCATTGCCAAATAAAATAAGGCCCATAAGCTAACAGAAGTATCTGAAATAATTAAACTGTTAATATAAAAATTCGCTAGAGAGGAACAACAGTTATTGGAAATTTTTTCCCCTCTATCTAATAACAGAATGTACAGAAGTGTCTTTTTATGTATACATACCACGTTAATAACGTCAGAATGTATATTAGCGACAATACCGAAGCTATTCTTGTCTAATGCATAAGCACGAGCCTTGTCATATGTATCTTTGGTCATAATACCTTCAACTGATTTTGGAAAATCCACTAAACGTTGTAACAGTTTTCTCTGCAACATTTCAAAATGTTAAATTAAAAAATATAAACACATATACACACATGCACATATACACATCACGTATATACATTATACAAAGGACAATATAAATATAACATAATCTTTTATCAGTTCTATGGATTATATCGCATTCGGCATGATAAGACTTATAATTAGAAAAGGTGAGAGGAAATAGTTGTGACTTACCTGACGCCAGTCTAAATAATAATTCCACGACTGTAACAGCAACATCATAGATATAGTCGCCCCGAGGAAATGCTCCTTCACAAAATTCGCAAGCATCTCCATGTCTCGGCGGTAACTTTAACACAATATCGTCCTTATTGCGCCGTTATCCACCACCGAATTAAACACGCCGATTGCCGCCAGTTACTGTATCCTGTGTGCGATCCTCGCGAGTCCGGAGTCGCCATGCCACACGGCACGTTGGAGCGCTTTTATCGACGAACCTCCCGAATAAACGAACACGAGCGTTAATTCGTTCCCAGCTCCCCGGTTCGAAGGCTTCGGTCGGTAAATGCAGGTCGCTGTAGCCCGTCCACACCGGGACGCTCCAGTGCGTCCGCGTCGGTAGGGCTGTGCGTGTCGTGGCAGCAGATGTAAGCAGATGTAAACAAGAATTTAATTTGAAACGTCCGTCGTAACATAAACGATCGTAACTGTCGTCATCGGCGGGAAACGCGGTGTATATATGTGTATGTGTGTGCGACAGAACGAACGTCGCTCGCTGTGGAGAAGCGCGAGAGAGCGAGACGCGACTGCACGACTGTTATGCCTCCTGTTGCTCGTCAAGCGTCGAGTACCGCGTACCCGCGACGCATAACCTAAGCGAGCCCCCCTCATCAATAATAAGCGACGCTCGGACGATGGTGAATATCGAGGAAAACACAAGATGATGATCCGGATCCCGAGTTGCCGTCGGTCTAGCAGAGAGAATTGACCGTACGACGACGTGAGAGAGAGCCCGAGGGAAAATCCAAAAGGATGCCCCCGACGGGCACGGGGGGCCAAGTATGGAATACGATTCGGAATCGAGCTGCGAGGGCCGCTGTTCGCGGGATTTCGAGGGCGCGAACGGCCGTTTGACCCGACAGCGACGCGAGGAATGCGAGCGACTCGTCCCGTGCGAGGCGGCCGCGCAAGCGGAGCAGTCGAGGCTGCTCAAGTTGAACCCTGCCAGTAAGAGCCTCTCGTCGCAGGTAATGGAATATTATCACAAGTACTCCCGCAACTCCAATCTGGATCAGTATTTCTCGCTACCGAATGCTCCGCAGGAGGCCGTCAAGTATTATTACAGTGTTTACGAGTTGAGCGCCGAGGTGGGCGGCAGGCAGGACTGCGTCGGCGAGGAGTACAATTTAAAGTCCTACGTCCCGAGGGAGAGGCGTAGGTGGGTAAGGCCGCCGTTGATCGGCCAGTCCTCCAATACCGACGCCTCATCCAGGTACGTTCAACCGTTGACAGATCCGCAAACACCCTCGCCCGATCTCAAGTATGGCGCATCTGAAGCGACGCACGAGGAGAAGAGCAACGTGTGCCCGGAGAAGCTGCCGGAGGTGGCCGCCGAGAGGAAGCTGTCCTCTCCGACTTCCAGCGTGGCCTCTTACAAGCCGCTGGAATGGGACAGCGGCGCCGACGTCGGTTATTTCAACTCGCACTCCCCGAACAAGCAGAACGACAAGCGGCTGAGCACGATCGAGCGCATGGCTCTGGCGCGGGGCTGCTCGGCCGCTCTGCGACTCGACCCGGAAGGCACCACCGAGTCCGGGATGCACTCCGGCAAGGTCACGGCGGGCCGGAGCGGCCCGAAACTGTCGTCGATCCCCGACGCGAATTCCACGCCGCTGCTGGCCGGGAACGCGTCCGGCTCGGAGAGCGAGATCGAGATAACGCCGATCGTGAAGAATCACTTGCCGGGCATCATCACGGGCGGCGACATCAAGTCGGAGGAGAGAACGCGCGTCTCGCAAGCTCCGAGAGCTTCCGAGCACGAGACTCGTCCCTTCGACACGCCCACGTCGTCGTCCACGTTCAAGATACCGCTGATGAGACACTCGACGGCCGAGCGGAGACCGGCGAGCAAGCGCGGAAGGGAGATCACGCGACTGCCGAGCTCGCCGCTGAAGAAGAGCATCTCGATGAACGTGCTGCCCGCGTCCTCGGCGAGGTCCACGCTGAAAAGGAGCCAGAGCGAGCTGAATCTGCACGTCGGCGAGAAGGCGGCGGCGTTGCCGTTGATATTCAACTCCACGTCCTCGATCGCCACCGTGGTGAACAAGCCGGCGACCTGCGACAAGGTCATACAGACCAGCCCGGAGGTGTGCGCTCAGGAGTCCGTGGGCGTTCAGGTTTCAGACCTCGACGAGAACAAGCTGCCGTCGGCGGAGCCCGACTCGCGTACGGCGATACATTCCATTCTGAAGAAGTCGAAAGGCACGTATCGAGTGAAGGGCCCGAGGAGATGCGACGACTCGGGAGCGACGGACGAGCCGGACTGCCCCGCTGCGAGGGAGAATCCGAGGCAGCGGAGCAGTTCCGGGGAGATGTCGCAGAACGCGTCGACTTCGGTGACCCCGCAGCCCGACGAGACGGAGAACGTGTCCGGGCGGGCGAACAGCTTCGAGTACTTCCCGGGGCACACCTACGCGAACGTCCCGAACGGCGGGGACAGCCGAGTCTCCTCCGACACCGGCAGGTCGAACTCGACGCTGCCGAACAGCAGCTCGAGCATCAACGAGAAGCTGTGGGGAGACTCGGACAGCCTGGTCCGCGACCTGGAGAGGAGCGTCAACATCCTGAAGAGCCTCGTAGACGCGAACAAGTGCGACAAGCAGGTGAAGAAGCGGCTGATACAGCACGTGATCAAGCGGCTGGTCACCGCGAGGTACACCGACGACAGGATCGAGCACAATCTGGAGGACAACGTGCCCTGGAACCCGGACGACGCCAGGAACAAGGTGTACCGTGCCGAGCTGCTGCAGGCGCTGGCGAAGAAGCACAGCACCACCGAGTCCTCGGACGAGTGGAACCTGCGGAAGAAGGACACGTCGACGCAGAAGTCCGCCGGTACCGCGAGCGACGTTATCAAGGAGGTCAGCGCGCTCGAGAGCAGCAACAGCGACAAGTTCGACCGGCACACCGACCGGATGGAGATGGACGGCAGGAAGGCGCGGCTCGGTCTGCGAACGGACGACTGTCAGCAGAGCGGCAACACCACGACCGATCCTGACAAGAGCGAGAGCTCCGAGTGCTTCGTGCCGCAGCGCAATCACAAGATGAACGACATCTTCTGCTACAAGGAGAACTGCAAGCTGCCGGCGCACCGGGAATCCACCACGACCAACAGCATACCGCCCGCCGATCGCAACAGGATCCTGCTGGACGCCGTCGTGAACAACAGGAGGACGCCCGTCGAGTCCAACAACAACACGGACTGGCGGCTGCCGACCACGTCGTCGGAGAGGCAGTTCGAGCTGAAGAAGTGCAGCATGTCCGAGTCCGGCGACTCCAAGCTCGTCAATTACGCCGAGATGGAGAAGAGGAATCAGCTCATCTGGATCACCAACGAGATCAGTCATCTCTGCAACCTGAAGAAGTGCGTGCCCGGTTATTCTCTCACCGTTTTCCGCTTCTCTTGTTGCGCAGAGATCGTCTGGTCTGTTCTTTTTTTAAAAAACTGCACCGCTTCGAGAAATTCACGCACGTTGAAGCGTGAGAATCTTCGTACGTTTCGTATCCTTCGACGTGAATTTCGTGAACCGTTGCAGCCGTTTCAGCTAAAAGGAACAGACCAATCGTCGAACGCTGAGCTAACGCGAGCTTTTCTTTCCACAAAGGGCAGAGGAACTAAACACTTCTCATCGACTTGTAATTTATTTTTCAGATTACTGGAACAGCCCAGGCGGTTGGAAAGACCCAAGTCCTCGCCGAGGAAGGCCAAATCGGCGAATTTCAAGTCGAAGCAAACGGCGTCGCTTACTTGCAGGCGAGAGCAAAGTGCGAGCGCTGTACACAGGTGGGACAAAATTTTGCCTTGCGTAACAAACACGATTCATTCCGGATAGTGCAAAATATTCTAACGAATATATATGATGAAATATTTTTATGAATATAATGATAATAGTAATAATATTCCTTAATTATTATTGTGAATTATTATTATACTTATATTATTATGATGAATATTCTTATTAAATACGAAAGATATTTTACATTTTAACCTAGCAATTTTCAACATAAGATACGAAATATCTCAAAGTATTCACTTTTCGGTAGCCTCGCTTCAACACTTTCGTACTCAAAAGAATGACAGAAATCGACTCATAATACCTGTCGTCGCACATTGTATTTGCAGGATGCAACGAATTAAAACATTTTTTTCTTCCGCATTTTTTTTTTTCTTAGAGCAATCGATTCCACCCGTCACTCACCACAGTATTTTTAGTACGTTCCACCAACGTGCAAATATATTCGTAACAAATATCCGTCGAATATTCCCGCGCTATCTGGGCCGCAACTGCACCATATTACCCGTCACATTACCAAATATTCACCTTATTATCAATCATTCAATCCCATGTTTCCAGAGACGCATCCGACTCGCGCGTTGAGGACGACACCGCGAACGAGCCGTGGTCGTCGCACTGCAACCTGGCGACGTGCGAGGCTGCGAGCGACTGCGCGGTGCAGAGGGTGATGAAGCGCAACAGTTGCACACAGACCACCTCGGACGTGTCGGAGGCTTACTCGAAGACCGGCGGGGAGATCGTGTCGGCGTGCCGGGGCTCGGCGACGAAACGCGCCGCGGTCGGCGTGCAAACGTCTTCGCGAGACCTGACGATTCAGACGTCGGATGTGCACGACGCGAGATACGCGAGTTCGCAGAACCCGCGCGCATTTGTCGACCCGGTCGGTAAGTGCAGGGAGCAGACGTGCCAGAAGCACGCCGCCCCGGTCGGCGTGCAGCGTACGTCGTGCGCCCGGTGCCGCGATCAGAGCTCGTCCGACGCGGCCAGGTCGCGGAAGAGCTTCCAGGAGGGCGCGCCGGTCGTCTCGCAGCAGACGCCTCTTCTGAGTTACGGTGGCGGCGACAACAACAACGCGGAGCCGGTCGCTTGTCACCACGTGGCGCCGAGCAATGGCCCCCAGCACAAGCAGAAGGAGGCTAAGAACCAGATCAACGCGTCCAAGTCGAGATGTGGCTGCACCGCGCACTCGGACGATAGCGAGCACGCAGAAGCGAGCGAGGCGAAGCCGAGGGAGGCGGGGTGCTGCGGGAAAGCGCTGTTCGCGGCGTGCCCGATCTGCTCGAAGCAGAAGCCCGTCGTGGAGCTCGGCAACGGCTGCGGCTGCCAGAAGAAGCCCGTCCGAGGGCGCGAGGATAATCCGGGGGACGGCAAAGCGCGCGACGATCCCTCGGACGTGAACCAGGACGCGGACAGGAGGATCGTCATCGGCAGGGCCCGAGCGGACGGCCCGGCGGGCAGACGCGCGTTCAACTTCGGCGAGCCGAACGGCTTCGGGAACCACCTCTGCGATTGCGTGCGCGATCGCGCTTATCCGGACAGCAGGACGGCGGAGACGCTGTGCGAGTGCCGCTCGCGCGGCCACCAGATCGACGGGGGCGAATTGTGTCGCTTCGAGTGCCGCTTAAGGATAGCGGAGCACCAGCCAACGACGGCGCGGGTTTACCCCGACAGCTCGCAGGACGACGGCGAGCTGTCGGCACCTCAGCAGCGCAAAGTACAAAATAGCTTAAGATGTAACTGCGACGAGGCCTCCTGCTTCTGCGGTGACGATCAGGCGAGAGAGGGAGGGTGGAGCAGGGGGCGCAGGAGTGACGCGCCGAGGACGAATCTCGCGGAGGAGAGCGGCGTCAACAGGACGGAGAGGAATCGCAGGTATTGTCGCGCGTGTGGTGCCATGTATCAGAACACGAGGAAGTGCGACTGCCGGCAAACCTATCCCAAGGCCGTCGCGTACGAATTGTCCTTCGCGAAGGAGAACAGCGTGAGAAACGAGAGCTCGGACGTCGCTCAAGTTACGCCGAAAGCCCCGTCCGCCAAGCAACCGATCTCGAAATCCGACGCCTGTCCTTGCGATATCGTGAAGAGAAACGGCCCTAAGAACGCTCAGCAAACGACCACGCTGCAGGTAAAGGATCCGAGGGATCTTCGCGAGCGAGATATTTCTCCTATCGTCTTTAAGTCGTCCCGTTTCGCAATTTGTTAATACAGTCCCTGGCCATATTATTAGACGCGCTTTGATTTTTTAATAGAACACGAGTTAGGAGGAGAAGAAAAGCTGTTGATTTTATGTTTACGTATTCGATCAGAATAATTTTCAAACGGCGCTTTTGCCTCTGCAACCATCCGAGGTGTCAAATCACTCGTTTTACCCATAATTTTTGTAAACAACGTTAATAATATTTTTCGCAGGAAAATTTATTTTTCCGTTAGTAAGCAAGGAATTTGAAGTTTACAATTACAATACACACGTTAACGTAGGCGAGGACGTTTGTTCGAAAAGTGAAGGGAAATTAACAAATTATTAAACATTCTTCGTTTTTCGAGGAAATTCTCCTCGCCCGCATTAACGTGTATATTGTAATTGTGCGGAAGGATTTTTAATTCGGTGCAACCGATAAATAACGGTCGTTCGACCGATTGATTTACGTGTGCCGATTTTAGGATTATTTGTCCAAAAACAATCCCGAGTTTGTGGGCAACGCGGAGACGCGTCGGCAGTACCTGTCGGAGATATGTCAATTGCGGGAATTGAGGAAAGAGAAGCGTATACAGTTGTTAGCGATGGCTAGCACGTCCAACATCATGAAATCGGCGCAAGTAACGAAGCCAACAGGTAAGATCACCCGTATCGCGCCCCTGTTACATTCGAAGGCGGCATTGATGCCGCGTGTAATACGCCTCGATTTCTTCAATCCTTGCAATGTGTGTTGCAGTTTGCGTTCAGAGGAAAATTAGCGACCAGGAGATGAAAGAGCGGCTGCGTAAACGGTATCTCCGGCTGAACGAGGTGCGATTCAAACGACGGCAACAGGAAAGGCAGGAGGAAGCACGTCGAAATAAACTTATGGCAAAAATTTTCTGCAAGAGGCTGCAACAGAAGGTTTTGAGGGGCCAAGTAGATCTGTCTCAAAGCGTTAGCGTCATATCCAACTTGTAACGTCGTCAGCGCCTACTTGTATAGAGTGCCTTTTTATCTTCGTAAATATGCCAGAATGAGCGAGAGATTTTCCACCTTTTTATAAAAAAAAAAAAGAACGCCCGCCCTTGGGCGAACGGTAGAAAAGTTCGGAAATATACGTCGTTTCTCTCGAAATAGCGAAATAGCAAAAACTCTATTATCTCAGGTAGTTGCGTGAAAAATTTGTGTCATGACACTGCGTGTGTTCTTCTTGATAAAATTGCATATCAGGACTCGAATTCACGACTTATTTATGATTATTATTCGAATATGTCGCGGGTGATATGAACCTGCGATCTATTAACTGACACGCCAAAGTTACGTGTGTAACTTTGCAATCGAATTTATTTTTACGTACACATATATAAACGATACGACTATAACCAGTACAAAATGAAATATCGAATCTTTTTATATAGAGATACTTTGCATATTTTGTAACACCTCTTTTCAGGAGGTGTGGTCTGTTTTGTCATTTATTACATTTAGAGTTATATGAGAAGAAAGACATGTGTATTCTGACTTGATCCGAAACGTTAAATATCATAGGATCATTTCAGCGTAGAATCGAAAATATCAGCATTAATAGTTTACGTTTGTTCGTTACAAGTATAAAGAAGTTACATTTACACGGTAAAAAAACATATCATTGACATGAACCACCGATCAAAAGTGATTACTTTAAAATAGGGAGCATAATTATTACGTAGTACCTGAATCTCTCGTAGCGGGACCGTAGCCACGGGAAAGCAGAAGGGGGCATTGTTTCTCTTCCCTACAGATCTTAAAAATCTATTAAACTGCAAGTGTGTAAAGTGATAAAATCAAGGTGAAAATTACGCGAAAAACACACGTTACGTATTGCTGTCCCCTGCATTTCGGTAACTACGGGCTCGTCTATGGTATAGTAATACCGTAATACTTTTTTTTTATTACTGTATAAAAAAGAAGAAAATCTGCTAATAAATTCTTAAAATACAATAATTCGAGAAAGATGTCATTAGAAATTCGCATTTTATTTATCTATTTATTTTCTCCCATTTCTTTTCCCTATCCTTTCGCGAATCTGCAAGGCATGCGCTGATATTATTCCAGTCTTCATCAGGATATTATACAGGATGAATCACGCAACGTGATCAGTTTGATTTATCCCAGAATAAACCGGACCGCTTGAAAATTTTTCGTCTAACATTTTGTATAACGTGGTTTAAGATAAGCTTCAAAATACACTCGGGAACCAGGACGCGTTGCTCGAGATTTGGATTTTTTTTTGCGTCAGCATTTTGCTGTTCAGTGACCACCGCTTCGTTTCTCCTCTGGTAAGTCCGAAATATGACTAACTATCGGAAGAGAACATCCGACCCTCGGCGGCGAATTGGATTCCAGCGACGTGACCGCGCGACTGGATTCGTCTCACGGAGACGTCGATCGGTTCCCCCGTAGCGCAACACGAGCGAGCGTGCACTTTCTCTTCGGGGAATGTGCGAGTGTAGTGGTTGTGCGTTAATCGCGAAGGCCGATTCGGCGGCTTTCTATTCGCATTTCCGCTCGCTTCCGCCATTCGACCGACTGCGTCAGAGTGCAGCATCGGAGAATTCGCAGCGAACGGGTTCACGGGTAATAGAGAGTGAGAAAAAGTCGATAGCCGAAGATATCGAGGGGAATCGTATCACCGTTAGCCGCCATTGTCGTTACCGTATTGTGCGGGACCACATCGGGACTCGTTCACGGCTCTCTCTCGGGTCTGACTCGCCTGATTATGAGCGCCGGATCGTGACAGTTCCTCGCGATAACTCAGAACTGATCTCTCTCGTTCGATCTTCGTTCCCCGTTCTGTGATCTAATCGTCTTCTCGTACGTTACCGGGCTCTCAAGGAGGAAAGATGAAGCGATGGCAGGTGTCATGAGAACGAGGCGAACGAGCGTTCTTGTGACGTTTCTAGGATGCTTGCTGCTCCCCGGCGGTAATTATCGATTTTAACGACCGATTTTATCGGAGGTAAGCGACGGTTTGCGGAAAGGAGAGGAAAATTCGCGAAGCCGCGGGGATCGAACCGATCGAGCGCCGAAGACACGTCGCCTCACCCAGCGTCGACGTCTCCGACGAATACGTGTCAGCCTCCGTATGAGCGACAAGAATTTAAAGTAGTTGGTCGGTCAAAATATTTTCTTAGGAATTTTTCTCAATTTCAGCCGCAATTGATGGAAATATTATTTACATGCCTGTTAGAAAACGATCGACCATTCGGAAGCTGAAATATTTGCAACTGAAGATAACGCTTCTTATATGTGTTCCTTGAGATTCTATTTTTAACTTTTATTTTTAACTTCTCTTAAACCACATTTAAGATTTTAATGAATAATCACTGTGATATTAAGGACCGGTGTAGAGACACTGGAAGAAATTTCCGAATTTTTTGACTATTTTGTTTTAAAGTTATGAGCCATAGGAAATTTATAAAAACATCCGCAATATATATATTTATATTCCGATAATATAAATTATAATAAAATATGAGTAATAATATAAAATTGAAACGATATTAATAGCTTACACACAAGAGGATAATGGCGAGTACAAAGGGAAATATCTGGGAAAGTTGAATCCATATCATCATCAAGTCTCCGGTGACGTCTGGGCCGTGGACCAGTACACTTTACTGCTAACATCCTTCAATTACGATGGCAATGGAGCTGACACGTTTTTCTGGGCGGGACCGTCCAACAGACCAGGGCCTCAAGGGTTTATCGTTCCCGATGAGTGGGGCAAGTAAGCTACACTTCTGTCGACAACTTTCTCGCGTTTCTATGCAAGCGAACCAAGCACTAAATTTCGAGAGATTTCTCTCGCTCAGCGTCATAATAATAGCTTGTTTTTTTTTTCAGGACGAATATATTGTTACGGTACTTCAACAAGGATTTCACGTTGACTTTGCCGGATAATAAAAAAATAACGGACATCAAGTGGTTCGCGGTGTACGACTTGTCGAGTCAGGTAAACTTCGTGAGCTGTGCGACGCGTGAAATTATTATCTCGCGCTAAATGTATTTGCAACGGGTAATCTTGTAATAAGCAGTTTAACGTGCACACGGTCGATTTAAATAGTCGTCCGGAATATTCCTCTACTTTTCAGAATACTTTCGGCGACGTTTACATCCCGGAAGAATTCGATCCGCCCGCACCTCAGAAGATATCGCAGTTGAGTAGAAGATCTCACAACATTTCGTCGGAATCCATCGTGATTTTAGACTCGAAAACCATCAGTATACCGCAATTTATCTACGACGGACAAGGTGTGGACGCGCATTTCTGGGTCGGTCTTGGCCCACAGCCGTCTAGCAAAGGCCAGACAGTGCCCGATGAATACGGATAGTAAGGGACAAATAATAACTGCAATTCCACAGAAAATCCTACGTTCTAAATCCTCAGGAAGTGATCTCTCCGTTTCAGCATGGATTCTCTTAGGGCGTACAACAATGAGGACATCACATTGGAGTTGCCCGGCGATATGACTGTCTTCAACATCGATTGGCTAAGCGTCTTCGACCTGAAAACTAAATCGAACTACGGTTCCGTCATCATACCGGACGGGCTTAATGTACCGCCGTCGTTGATCAAAGTCATTAAGCAAACGCAGTCTCTTCCGAATTGCGTTCAAATGCACAAACGCTACCAAGTCGCCTGGGAAATCTTCGGGCCGCAGATCACCATCCAATTGGCGGGCCAAGTCGGTACGTGTACTCGATGAACCGCGTCTCATTTGAAGAGGTTTTAAGGTGAAGTGAGAATTCCATGAAACTTACACCACGTATATATTGAAATATAATTTAACTATCCGTGCGTTTAGCAAATATTTGGTAATCTCAGAATTGAGATATTTTCAACTCAAGTTGACACTTTTTACACGTGTTCCTTGAGATTTAGCGTTTAATGCGTCATCGTGTTCGCTGGATAAGTAGTCAATCCTTACATTTGCCAAGTTGGATAACTCGAATTTCTGCTGTGCTACGCATACCTCAATTGACACGTGTCTTAATATTTCCAGATGAAGACGAATACATGGCGTTCGGCTTGTCCGGCGCGGAGGATTCCAGCCGCATGGAAGGTGCGGACGTAGCCGTCGCGTACATGGACGGCGCCCGCGGATACGCCACGGATTATAACATTACGGCAAAAGCACCGGTACGTATAACGCAATTGTTCAAGTTTAATTATTCAGGATTTTTAATTAGATTAAAAAAAGGTTTTTAACTTAAAAAATTTTGAATATTAAAAGCAGATTATATTATTCCATTTGAAACTAAATTCCACGGAAAAAGAAGAGAAACGCAACGTATTAATAAGTGTCTTTCGTGATTACACGACAACAGTGTGGGAGAGTTCTCGGCCAGTACAAAGGCGTTTGCAGAGACGAGCTTCTCGGCGGTCTGGACAGCAACCAGCTCTACACCGCTGTGCGGGAAAATGGCATCAACATCATCACGTACAGACGTACGCTCATTTCATGTGAGTGACGATGATGAATACAGCAGTCGCGTGTTACGCGTAGATCGTGCTCGTTAAGACACGAATCGTCCAAATTCCACCTTTGCGTAGCCGATCCCGGTGACAAGGATTTCCCCACGGATAAATCAGTCTACGTGGTCTGGGCTTTAGGCAGACTCGACAAAACCAACAACGAGCCCAGCTTCCACGATTTGTACCCGAGGAGCGACGTGGTGCTGGAGTTGGGTCGCAAAGAGCCGGAGAATACTTGCATCGACTTCACGGAGAGTAATGATAAATTTTATCAGAGGTAGAGATGATGTTCGGCAGTGGTTCGACCGAATGGCGAAGCGTTCATCCCTAATCTCGTCTGGCGAAACTGACCGCAGCATTGCTTTCTTTGCAGAGAACCTTGGCAGAAGGCAGAGATATTCGACAGAAGCGTTAGAACCTTCAGAGCGACTATCGGACCTTCCGGAGGTAAAAGAGGGTATCAGGGGATTACAGGTATATAAATTAGGACGCGCCTTAATCTCTATAAAAGAATCTCTATAATAAACAGGCTAATTTTTAAAATACAAATTATTTAGAAAAAACTTTTTATTCATTTATTTTTCTAAAGCTGATTCACTATTTTCTTACTTTTTCGAGAACAAAACTCACTTTTCTCATTACTTTTGGCAGTTAAACTGCTGCTCCCATGTTTAACACTCCGAACTCCATTGATCATTTTGTTTTTCCTCCTTTCCCGGAGAAGACTCAACGAAACTTACCTCACAGGTGCGCCGTCGGTGGGTCTTGCGTGGTACATCGAGGGTACGCTGATACCCGAATTATACCTCCGCCGAGGTTTGACGTACAGTTTTCGCGTTCACGGCGGCAACAATCCGCACAGTGCGGAGCTATATCATCCGTTAATAATAACCGACGAGCCTCACGGTGGATACGACACGCTGAGCGATCTCGCGCAAAGCAAGATCAGAGTGTTGGCTGGTGTGGAGCTGACCAGAAGAGGCCGGCCACGACCCACCGCAGGTTCGTGTAGATTCGAGCTTCAATTTATACGTTATTCCATGTAGAGTCACGTTATACCACTTATAGATCAATTTAATATTCTTCCTGCTCAATTAATCGCGCTATTTTTTCCAGTGGGGCCGCTTTGCCTGAGCAAGCACAACGGTCGAGACAGAAGACTGGACGACAATTTCCCATCGTTCAAGAAATTCAATCGGACCCTCGTGCAAACTTGCGAGTTAGGTAATGTTATATACTTTCATTCGTGTGGACACCCGTCGATCCGTTAAGCGAATGAATGGTGACCACGACTTCGTCGATCTTAAATTCATAATTCGCGTCGAGAGTCCGAGCTATTTACCTTCTTTCATGTGCAGGGGAAGCCGGTACCCTGGTTATAAGTCCGAACTCAACATGGCCCGACCTGGTTTACTATCACTCATTCACGCAAGCGAACATGGGATGGAAGATTCACGTAGTCGATTCTTACACGAGAAACGGCGCGATCGCGTATGAATTATCACTTCTCATTGCGATCGCGACCACCGTGTTTTCCCGTCTACTGTAAAAATAGATGTAAGATGTAACAAGATATTTGCAGTTCCAAATATATTTTTTTTACACACATAAAGATCTGATGTAAACAAATGAACGTTATTATTTACCTATTGAGAGTTACCAACTTTTTTTTTCACTCATTTATTCGAAATTGAATAAGGAATCGAAATATGTTAACATTATTGTCGTAACTGATTGAGAAGTACATGTAATTTCTAATCGTTTATAACTTTTATGAATTTGTTTAAACAAATTACATGCTACGTAGAACTATGTTTTGTTTTAATAAGATAATAAAATAATATCAAAATTCTCCCATTTTCATCAAAAAATACACGCAAATGATTTACTAACAGCGCGCCGCGTCCTGTTCGCGCCGCTGCGCGTCGATGTAATAAAAATGCTATACCGATGCGACGACGAAGGAGGATAAATCGCGCTATGCGCCGCTTCTTATTGGGAAAATCGAGAAACCAGCGCGATGAGTTCCATGGGTTACGTGCGTTGGACATTTTCATTATAAGAGGGATAATTTTAAATCGCAACTGAAAATATTCCCTTGCTCTCAATTGTCGTGAAAGTGTTCAACTTGCTTTCTCTATTTCGTGCTTTTTTTTATCTAGAAGAAAACGATCGAGCAAATAAAAAGATAGAAGAATATCAGGGACATTGTTATATCGTTGCAATATCTTTTTATTCCGTACATCGTTAAGTGGCCTAATAGAATAATGTGAGCATATAAAAAGAATGTACGTTAGATATGTGGTATGCGATGTGAGCTGTGTTTGTTGCTGAAACAGTGAAAAAATTGATATATAACGCAAAAGTACTCTTAGTATTTATGTGCTTAAGTAAACAATCCAGTTTTACTTAAGTATGATACGATATAATAATAATAATTTCAAACCAGTAAAATCATCAGGATTAAACGCTTTCGCACTTTAGGAATTGTAAATTTCTACACGCGGATCATATCGAGATGTACAATAGTGCATCATCCGCCTGTTATATATTTGTATCGTGTCGCATGTTTTTATCAAGTCATGTTTTAAACGATCAATATTATTAATTAGAAATATATACAACAAATCATAGTGTCATAAAAGACACGTTTTGTAATCATGTATTTTTTATGCGACACGAGACGTGTGCTTTGATAGCCTGGAATTTATGGATCCTTGTGTAAAATTTATCGGTGTTTCGCTATTTGTTCTTATTAGCATGAAATGGAAACCTCATTAACATTTTTTATCAATTTGCGTTACTAAATAAAGCGCGCTGAGAGAGAGAGAGAGAGAGAGAGAGAGAGCGGAAAGTATGAAGAAAGCACAAGTATCGACTTTTATTATAATCTAGACGACGTCTCTGTGCAAAGATTCGCTCTGTACTACTTTGTTCCTTACATTATCAGAATTCATTTTTTTTATAGCACCGCAATAGTTTTAACATTGCCTTTCTCAAAACCAGCATTGTGTGATTCACTAGTGGCTTTAATTGATTAATCATTAATTTATTATTTTATTGTAAATTTATTAAAATATTAATAAAATTTGCGAAACAACTACAAAAATACACTTAAAAGTACGTAGACCAGATACAAGTAGGGGATTAAGATAAAAAAATAAATTAAATTTAGCAAAGAGAACTTGTGAAAGAGAAACTTTAATTAACGCTATACTAATTTCACATCCTCCTGTTACATGGTGTTTTTTTTTCTTTTTATGCACCTTTGCTTATTTTCTTTCTGAGACAAGTAATCTCACATTGCTGGTTATGGCAATGTTTAAACGCGAATTATCTTTAGCGTTAATAACGATATTCTTCAAATCTTGCTCGGTAGACACCAGAAAATCGTTTACCAACATTACCTCGCTGCGTAAACAGTATCTCAATAACTATACACAATTTTTCACAATTTCCCATTTATCGCCTGTTTAACATATTTCCACGAGCGAAAAGGGATTGCCCTACGATAAGCATATCAAAATCGAGCTCAGCATCTAGAGGAGCTAGGAAGACCCGAACATCTTTTATTTTTCTTCTTCTTCATAGACAACGATAGTGTGCGTAACACTTCATTAGTCAAGTCACGCGAGTTTTATCGTACAGAGGTATGAAAACGATATTTTACATATTGCAGAGTATCTAACTGAGAAAGTTTGCAGAAGAAGAATCTTCTTTTTTTTTTCGCTCAGTCTTTTCAGTTTGATACCTTAAGCCTGTCCGCCGCTGCATTTACAACTTAGATCATAATTTAACAGGAATTTTAGCATTCTAAACATAGATACTTTCTTCAATTAAAATCCCGATATTAGTATAAATCTCACTATTTTATGTTACGTATGCCTCACCTATGGACTTACTTACAATTAGTACTAATCAATTACAAATATTAGTAATTAGCATAACGTACATCATATCACTATACATTCATAATTCCTTCGATATTGTCACACATACATTTTGGGATTACGATAAATTACATTATACGACTGTTCTCAATGCGCACCAAAACGTTCGTATTTGAAAATATATTATTATTATTATTATTATTGTTGTTGTTGTTGTTGTTGTTTTTATTGTTGTTATTATCATGTCCAATAATGTCATTCCTTATGGAGTTCTAGAAAATGATGTAGCGTAACAGGCAAATCCGTGCCGCGAATTCCATATTTATAAATAGCCTGAGCGGCGTGACACTGAAGGCTAATGTAGCTAACAAGATTCACCGTGTTCAAAGGGTTGCAAGACAACAGTCGCGCTGGAGTATCGCCCGCTCTATTTGGTGTATCTAAATGCGCCCCGTAATCCAATAGCAATTTCACGAGCTGGACAAATATTTCACGTGAGTTCCAGATGCTCGAATAAAATCCGATTCTGAACGACACGTTAAGAAAATACTTACGTGGTTATCGAAATTGCAGCCTCTACTCGCTATGTGTAAAGGCGTCGAGCGTAAGATATTCTTCGCATCAACGTACGCTCCACATTCCAAGAGCAATTTAGCGACATCCAGGCGTGGAAAGATCGTCTGAAAATATTCGATTCTTTTTTTTTATCGCGCATCATTACGTAAGATAAAAATGATCCAAAAATCGCTCAATACATTCAGAACGAGTGAGAAATGGCTTATAGATGTGTTTGCGTGCGATACTCGGTATGATATACGCCTCATGGTAATTCACCTCAGGTTAACACACACATAAGCGGAGATTCGAACTTACATGTATATCGTCCGCAGGATTAAAATAATTCGAATTGACCGTATTTAAGCTAGAAACGCACAAATGAAGCAGCGTATCCCCCGTGTAAACGGATCTCGGGTTTTTCTTCACTAAATCACGGACTAGTTGGTGCATCAGATCCTTCTCGTCCTCGGATCTCGCTGTTTCCACCAACAAGTAGATGAGATGCGTCACGCACTTCAGGATACGCTCGTAACAGTCCTTTTGTCTCTTGTGCACGGGACGTTTCTGTAACAATACCGACACGGTCTGTCTAATCACAACGACCGACAATGCGCATGAATCAGACGCGTGATTAATCCGCCACAATCGTGAATCAAAAATCAAGCGTACAATCTGCAGGAACTCACCTCCAACAGCTCTCTAGCTTCCGTTAATTGGCCGGAGAGCAATTTGAAGATCGCTACGACATCTCGAAATTTTGGCTCCTGTGTGTCTTGATTACGATCCACCACTTCCAACGTTTTCTCATTTAGATCTACCATCAGCCTTAGGAGGACTTGCGCGGCGAAGCAGGTATCGGTGTACAAAATCTGCATGTGAACATTAACTCGAGTCAGATTTTCGACTTTTCACTTGGAAAAATTGTATACAAATATTTGTACACTTCACATACCGAATCCTTCTCGACTCTGATCTCTAACGCTCGCCGCCACAAGTCTATGCAGTTTTGATACCTAAAACGGACAGGATGAGGAGTGCAATCAAGCGACTGTCGGCTTTTCGGATGCTTACCTGAGCGCGTCCGCATAAGTCGCACCCCGGAACATCAGATGGAAGAGCGTATCCTTGTGATGCGGGCCTAATACCCTCTCGCATATGAGTAAACTTTGTATTCTAATTGCGTCCAGGTCGAGCGCAACGGCATTCAGTTCTTCGAGAGTCGCGAACTCCCTGGCGTTTCTGTAAGCCTCGCATTTCGGTAGCACAGGCCTTTTCGGCAAAGGTGCTCCGTCGACCGAGTTGGCGATTCTGATCGCCATCGCTCTCCGCCAATACCGTAACGCCGTATGGGTGTCATTATGCTCATCCAAAAATGTAGACCCCATCAATTCGTTCGCGTCCGCCAGTTTTTCCGGCGAATACGCTACCGTGTCCACTGGAAGTCATTAGTATTCGTCATGATGTTGATCAGGTAAACAGGGAGAGCGTAGGATAATAAAACAATTATATTTGATATATTAACACATAAAAAAAAAATAATTGCCTTATATCGCAAGAAATAAAAGCAAACGGAAGATATGTCGTATTCTTATTTACGACTGAATTATTCTCACCTAAGTATTCGAATATATGAATGGCTCCTTTAAGGCAGGCAGTCTGAAGAGCATCGTCATTATATCTAGACTTAAGATGAGGATTCGCATTGTGTTCTAAGAGAAGTTTAGTAGTCTCGAGCCTATGCTCCTGAATGGCGTAATGTAAGGCAGTTTTGTTTTGAATATCCGTCGCATTCACATCGGCGCCGTGTTGCAAGAGATAAGTGCATAATTCTACACTTTGTACAGAATTTATCAAACACGTCCCGCCGTTGTAATTCGCTTTTAGTATATCGGCGCCGTGTTCCACTAGATAAGAGACGATATCTGCAAAAAATATCATTTATAGTTCAAATACAAAGTAACGTTCATATCTGCGATCGTACCGTGATATTTGGCAAATATACATCTTTGTCAGATTAATGTCGGTTATCTTCTAAGTTAATGATCGACAGAAGTTTCAATGGGCAATATCACGAGCGATCGGAATTGTGATAGCTATTAAACATCGGAAAGGAATAAATTGATGGCGCAATTGAGTCTTGGCACATCAATCTGACCTAGACCTACATATGATTATATCCCAGCAAGCATAATGACGTGTGAATGACATTAGTGACTTTATTCATACTGATCGTTATGTTTGTCGGGATTCTCATTTCAACTTAACTTAATCATGCCATGATCCTACTATAAAGCCATTTTATGCTTTTAATGTCTTCATGTTACAGAAATTACTTGCTGCAGTAACTGATCTTAATAGTAATCTAAATATATGATATATATATATATATATATATGTATATCCGAATATATATTACCCAAATGTGTCATGAAGCACGCAGATCTGACAGGAGTAGAACCGGAATCCGAAACTGCGTTGATCTCAGCTCCATGGGATATAAGGCATTTCATAACGGGAAGTTTTCCAGAAACAGCGGCGCACCACAACGGTGTGACACAATGAACGGACCTCTCGTCCGGCACTTCGTACTTCCCTCTCTGTTCGACGTTAGCACCGCACACGGTAATCAAATAATCCACAATCTCCACATTGCCCCTCTTACAGGCGATGAACAGCGGAGCACAACCGTCCTTCGTACGGGACACTATTTCTGTCCGCACCTTCTTATACTTCTCCAGGCGATTCCTGAGGGAGTAAGTCAGCTGTGCCCCGGGCGCCACATATTTGCACTCGTGTATGAGATCGTTGAATATTTGATCCATGGAATCTTCTCTGTAACCACTAATCCACATCGCCTGCTATCCGAGGTAACTCAGGCTCGAGTATGGCTCCTCCTGCTTCATAAAACTGGAAAGAAGTTCGCTCGGTCATTCAGTCGTCTCCCGAATGACACACGATGCAAGGACACACGTCGAGTCAGCATTGATAATTCACAACAATGGCACTGCTCGTGAAATAATAAGTACACTTACGTGCGAGATACGATAATAGAGGAGTAAGAAGCTCCGATATCTGCCGATGCTGGCAATTAACAGACGAAACCGAGAAAGAACGGGATGCATAAGGGGACCGCGTGAGGCAGAAGACTGTGTGATAAATGTACGAGGAGGAGGAAGAAGTGTAACACACGTATGCGATATGTATACATACACACGAGAAATACGGATTTGACATTTACGGCATCCTCACTCCTTCGTTCTCCTCGGGGAAACGGTGTGTATCGTAAAACTTTGATGAACACTCTCAAGGATAAGGAATCACATCGCGCACATAAGTGAGTGCGCGCGTGGCGCACGTCAAATACTCACGTACTTCGCTCGCGATACCGCACACGTCTGATACTCGAGACACGTCCGATCGCACGGTACGTGTGTCAGGCTGAATCGGTTGTATTATTAGCGTGTGTGTGTTCGTGTGTATGTATGTATGATGTGTGTGTATATATATATACACATATATATATATATATATATACAGCGGAGCGAGAATGAGAGATTAACCTCCAAGGGTGCCTATCTCGCGCACGGTTGCTCGCGCGCGCGCGAGCGCAACGGCCGTGTTCACTTTCGGCAAGAGAGCGTGTGCACATACACACTCGAACGGCCGTGAACGTATTGCGAACTTACTCGCAGCGAACCAGCTCAAGCAGCGAACGCAACAGCAAACGCGCGTACGCATCGGTAATTTTCAGCGCATTGTAAATGACAGACGGCAATCAATAAACCACGTGATTCAGACGGTCACGTGAGAGAGCCGCGCGCGCGCTCGCGTACGCGCGACCCGCTCTTAATTCGATTCTTGATTCCAGCCGAAAGTGCGAGTCTCGCGTTGTTCGCGCGTCGCTCGTACGGGGCCGTCCGTGGAAGGATAACGAGCGTGTAATTGAGTAAAGAATGCGATGAAATGAGGCACGCCATGGGTAATGTAACGCGAAAACGGTTCCGCTCGGCTTTTCTACCTGTCGTAACACAGGTCTGCTTTTCTCGGACGCGCGCTGTATTTTTTGTATTTGAAGTAAAGGGAATATATGTCAGAGATTTCATGCAAGGAAGAGAGAAAAGTTGCAAAGAAAGTACCGAGCACACAAATAGAATGGACGTGTGGAATTATTGCGAGCATACGAGAACAGGGGCTAGAATAAAGTAAACTGACTTAAACCTGTTCGGTGACTTTAGACCTGTTTCTCAACCTCTCAAATCAAGTAGTACTTTTACTCTAACTCAAAGTATGTTTTTATATTTTTTAAATACTCACCGTAACACAGTGATACCTTAATTTGTAGATGAATTGACGAATATAAATAAATTGTTTCAAATTTAAGAGTATTTATGCTAGAATTATGTAAACTTCTTTTTTATTTAAAAAACTTGGTGTTTTAAATTTCGATCTTTTTGTCCAGCAAGTATTTTCTGAAATTAAAATCCTGACATTCGCAATATTACAAGATATTTTATTTATACAAGAAATATCCAATTATACGAGAGACATATTACATTGTACATATATACATACAGTCAATTATATCTCCATTTCCATTAAGTATTTGCCAAAAAGTGTTGGAACAAGCATTTCACTTAAATCAAATAAATATTACTTGAACGTAGCACATTTTTTCCTCTAGCGTATCAATCAAACGCGTGCTCTTTCCTGATGCACGGCGCAAATTTGCAAGCTTCGCTTCAGAAATTTAGATTTAAATTAAAATTTAAATAAAATTTAAATCTAAATTCAAATGGTTGACTCTAATCAGTCCTTGTAACGCAACAAATATACCCTATTCCATATCGAGATTGAAATGCGCCATCGTGCTACGTAGCATGTATTTAAGAACGAAAGACTAAAGCCAACTAATGCGCTAACTCATTATATTACCGTTCAATATTACATTGTTCGGTCGAATGCAGCATCCCGACACAGATGCAACGGATTTGAAAGCTGCGAATATCGACTTCCGATAAGAAATGCAGACGGCAACTTTCTCCGAAAGTGAAACCTTCGACAGCGAGAAAGCTAACAACATCGTAATAATTTTATACAAGGAAAATTCTGCTTGTATTTCGTACGCTGCATCCATCTTATGTTCTCTTTAACCTCTTTTGTTACAATAATATGAAATCGGTATATGTGTGTTTAATTTATTTATTTCAACACTGTAACAATTTTACTCAGTAAACACCAACTAACATTACATCAATGTTGGATAATTTCTCACTCAACAATGTAAACACAATATAACATGCGTTGTAAGCAACGGTTACATTGTCGAGTGGGAAATTACATGTTGTAATATTGGTTAGTGTTTACTGGATTATCCGTAATCATGTATTTAGCTCTTAATGTCATGCTGAGAAACTCAGTTAAAATCCATCTTAAAACATTATACCATTCAATCAAGGTGAATCGTGAGAATTAATTAATTTGCTTAATTTGTCCTCCGAGTTAGCACCGCATCTTTCAAGGGATAATTAAATATTTGGATTTGTTCCATGAATGTTTCGTGAATATTTCAGTTCACTTCTTCATGATAAGAAACGACCTGAAACTTTTCAGTTTCAGTTTCAATTTTCAGTTTCAGCTCACGTTCAAAGACAAATCCACGAAAGACGCGGCGCTAACTCGGAAGCTAAATTAAACATTCTTCCACATCGCGAAGATTAAAAATATCAAAATTAATTTGCTATTTGTGTTTTTAAGACGTCTAAAAGACATCTTAAATCCCGATTTTAGACATTTCTGCCGTCCGAGTAGATATTTGTGCAGATTCGAACAAATTTACTCGTGTAATGGATACGAAAGTATGAAAGTTATCGGAAATACGGAACAACAAGACCGGTGAAAAGTGACCGGCAAGTGCGCCGATGCACCATGGAATATAAAGAGAGTCGGGAATGCAGTCATTTCTCGTCAAGTCGCGCCCATGACAACATCACCGAGTGTGTAAGTGCACATCTGCTTTCTACCAGCGTTGCGCTTGCGTTTCAACGTTCGAACAGTATAATTATAATCGTACGATCGAGTCGAAAGCAAGTGAGTATTAAATAGTATTATTCTCATTATCCGGTATTTTCCTCATGCCTCTTTCCTAGTGGTTCGTCAGCCGCGAGACTCATTATCATCGACTTCCTCTTACAGTGGACAAAGAACCGATCGTATTCTCGTATTTGGAGAATGAAACGAAAGAAAAGTTAGATGAGATGTACGGTGTCAATCCTGCCTTCCTCCGAGTGCAACCGAGCCGCTGCTTATTGCCACCGCAATTTGTCTTCTACGCGCAAAAGATACGCGACCTGAAGGTGTACGAGGATGATGTTTGGATGGTCTCGTTTCCTCGGACTGGTAAAAACACTTTTCCTTAAACAGACGTAACTGTAGAAACCTTAACGCTTACACTATCCGGCTAATTTCGGACCAAGTAAGCAAGAAACATTAAATCAATCTCTTAAAACATATACAAATGATATTGTGTTATTTATATATTCAATATCCTCATAAATAGTTCATAAAATTATTCCTACTTCAATTATGAAAATCGTCAGCCGTATATGGCTGGCGTGACGGTCTAAATATTAAAACTCGCAGGTGATTTCATACGTTTAGGTCTTTCTTAAAAAATACTGTTGCTTTTTCATTTAATTTGATGAGGTTTTCTTAGGCAGCCATTGGATGCAGGAAATGGTGTGGTGTATCGGGAATGAGTTCGATTACGAGAAAAGTCGCACACATTTTCTCGAACGGTGTCCTCTGCTCGAGTAAGTCAATTCGTAATTTATCAACTTAATAGATAAACAATTTAACAATACATTAGCAATATATCCTTTTCTTCCCATTTTGGCAGAAGTTCAGCTATCTGGATTGGCGAGCAGTTTAAAATTCCTTTAACGAAATTAGGCGATCCACTTGAGTACGTGGCAAAAATGCCGAGACCGCGATATATTAAAACGCACTTACCTTGGGCCTTATTGCCACAAGAACTTAGCGAGAAAAAGCCAAAGGTGAGAACGCGATATTGTATCAATAGAGAGGCGCATTATACGCACATCTCTTTCTCTCTACACGTCAACGTCTCACCTAATAACATATCGACACTTTACAGATAATTTACGGCGCGAGAAATCCAAAGGACACGTGCGTCAGTTTTTATCACTACTGCAGAACATTTCACAATATGCAAGGAAGCTTCGACGAGTTTGCGGAGTTAATGCTGCGAGATAATAGTGCGTGAAATGATACACTGTTGGTTTGGCAGAAGATCATGGTAGATTTATTTTTTTCGGCGCAGAGTGCAAAATACCTATATATCATCTCTATTTTTATTACACGCATAATTTTCCAATATATTCCCTACAAAATCTTAATAAATCCCGCCTGATGAACTTCTCATACAAGCTAACATTACTTATATAAATATCAAATTAAAAATCAACAAATTAAATTTAAGAAACAATATATTGCTTAGTTCCCATGGCTCCCTTTTGGAAGCATGTTTTGCCATTTTGGAAGATGAGAGATCAAGAAAACATCTTATTCCTTATGTACGAAAAAATGAAACGGGTAAGATGGAAAGTGTATTCATCTTTTGGTCTTTCGCGGAGTTGATATTTACAATAGATATCTTTTGCTGAAATGTGTATTATACTTTGTAGGATCAAGCTGGGGCAATTAAGAAGACGGCAACGTTTTTAGGCAAGAACGTGACGGATGAACAAATCGTCGAACTGTGCGAACACCTGAAATTTTCGAAGATGGCCACGAACCCGTCGGTGAACTTGGAAAAATTGCTGTCGGATGAGGCGCGACAGGAAGATCCAAATTACAAGTTTATCAGGAAAGGCAAAGTCGGGGACTGGATAAACTATATGTCGAAGGATCTGTCACAGCGTTTCGATGAATGGACCGAGGAGCATTTGCGCGGGACCGGCCTGCAGTTTCACACGGATCTTGTTGGTGACGAAGAATAAATGAATCATGCGAAACTGCAATACTACCCAGTAAGCAGGAAATATTAAATCAATCTTTCGAAATAATGATAAAGACGTCTTTAAGGCGTCTTAAAGACATTTTAAAGACACTTTGAAGTCGACCTACTTACGGACGACTTTAAAACGTCTTAAAGATATCTTAAAGTCATCTTACATCCCGGTTTTACGTTTAATGCTATCGGGGTAAGCATGTAATGCGAGCAATAATACATTTACCGTAATCTAGTAATGGTATTTTATATTCTGTTGGTAATATTTGTTACGTAGAGTAATTGAAATTAAGGCTCTTCGGTTCTCGCTACTGACTGTCCTTTGATGACATTAGAAACGAGAAATCGTATGGCAAAATATATTATATATGAAAATAAGAGAATATATGCACAAAATGACACTCATGATCGATTCGGTACACTTGTAAAACTATCCAAACGCTTTCCTTCAACCTCAACAATTAATAAATAACCGAAAATTAATGCAACGTGCAACTTACATTTTTGCAACCTATCCTTTCTCAAGTTTTTTGTCACGTTAATTTTACGGCTATTTATCGATCGTTCAGGTTAAAGGAAAGTGTCCGGACATTTTGACAAGTGTGCTGAATCGATCACGAGTGCTATTTTGCGCGTGTATTGTTTTATCTCCACTTGTTTCATATTGTAATATATTTTGGCGTGCGATTTCTCGTTTCTGACGTCATCGAACAAGGACAACCAAAGCGGAGGACCAGGAATCTTAATAGTATTTTATTCAGCCATTATTTGTCATACTATAGTTATTCTGTGTGAATATTTTAAACGCAAGTATGAGATATTGCAGAAAAACATCGATTTTACGAGATATTTACCGGTAAAATGGCCATAATTATGCAAGAAGGATCCAACCCACAAAATTATGATTTTTTAGATTTTGTTACCAACAGGTAGTCTATGTGTCTTTCTATATAATACAAAAAGATCCAAACCTTATGCGCCTAATTATTCAAAAAATAGTTTTTATATTCTACTAGCTGTGCCATTTGTTTACTAGCTGAATCTTTTTTTATTTATTTTCTTAAGGATTAAGTCTGTCAATGAGTACCCTTAAAGAGAAAAAAAAAACGGACATGCTTAAACAATTGTGAGAAACTTCAGTGCTACTTATATTTTTTAAATTATGCAAATAATTATGTATTAATTATCAAATTTTCACCTTCATTTTTTTCGAAAAGTACTCCGTATGGGTTGCACCTTTCTTACGTAAGTACAGCCGAATAAGCTACGAATGTACGAGGCGTAAAACTGTAAGATACGTTTTCCATGATAGGTTTTTCAATTATTATATCGTTAACCCGATAACACATAATTTTATTATCTTTACGCTCAATCCTCCTTAACCAGTTAACTGTTTTTGACGAGTATACTCGTCATGAAAAAAGTACAAGATTTTAACCTTAAATTGCCGTACCTTAAATTGCCGCCAAAATGTTGTACTTTTTTCATGACGAGTATACTCAGTCAAAAACAGTTAACTAGTTAAACACGTAACAACCGGGGGGAAATATAAGGAAGACGATGGAAAGTTACGACGCAATGTCATTTCTGTATGATAAATATTTAATAACATTTAATAAACAGAAAGAAAGAAAGAATAAATGACGACGAAACAGGCCTGAGAATGCTTCCGGAGGGACTTTTATTTGGCACCTGTCTCAGTACCGAGTATAATGCAATCGTATCTCGTGTATTCGCGCGATTAGTACGATACACATGTAACTTTGCGGAACGACGGATCCTTCGGCGGGCTCGCAGAGTTGACATTACCCAGGCGTGAAAATTCCCTTCTTACCTTCTCACGTCCGATACCTTCCGGCACTTGCTCGCGTATTCTAGAACACACGCGCGTGTGAAAACACTCGCTCTTGACGCGCGTACCGTACGCATACACGGCTGTTCGCGTTACGACGGCGATGTCAACGTGAGCGAGAGAGAGACGGCTCGGGATGCGGGGATCCACGAAGATGGCGCTGATTTGTGTTGTGTCAGATTTTTAAAATTGATTTGAACCTTATCGAGTTTTGACACGACGTGGGATCCGGCTCGTAAGTCATCATTGCATTTGCAAACACGGCGATCCCGGTCGAAACGTCCGCAAGCGAGTCGTGCTGCGGCGGAGGGGCGCACCAATAGTCACGTGTAATGTCGTGCACAGGTAGCGTTCTGCACTTAACCTAGTCATGTTGAACCTTGAACCGTCATCGCGTACGTGAAGTTCACGGGAACCCCGTGAGATATTGCACGAGGAGAAGCAGGAAAGGATCCTCCGTTGAATTTGTGACTGAACGAAGAGTCGCCGGAGGCGAGCCACGTCGATCGAGAAGTGATATCGCGTGGCCGATCGTGCGATCGTCGTGAAAAAACCCGACGCTGATCGCTGGCTTCGTCGCTGCCAGATCTGCCCGTCGTTCGCAAACTGGTGACGATCAAGGTTCGATTGGATGCCGATAAAATTCACACCTGGCTGAGATGCCGAAGATAAGGATCAAGCAGACGCCGAACAGCCTGTGGTTGAGGCAACGCGAGCTGGGTGTCAAGTTCCCCCTCGGTCACAGTGACCATTTCCATAAGACTCTTTATTCCTCCATGCAGCCCGTAACCTCGTGGGACCACGGGGACAACTTGACCGCCGCCAGGCACGGCGGTGTGTTTAATCTGGAATATTCACCGGACGGGTTAGTAACGATAAATATCTATGTAAGTGTACATCCCAAAGCAGCCTTGTGTGTGTTCATGGTGTACGCTCTATGTATATATGAATGATTATTTTGAATCTTTAAATTAAGTCCGTGTTTTTCAATACTTGATGAATATTCCAGGTCCCTCTTATTAGCGGCATGTGAGAAGAAAAGTATTTTAATGTTTGACCCATTATGTAGAAGATTGATTCACGCTATAGACAATGCCCATAATGACTGCGTCAATTGCGTAAGGTTTGTAAAAGCCCAGCCTTGCGAGGATTTCTTTATTAGCTGTATGAAAAAGAAAGTAGATACGTAACGTAACATTGTCTGTGAATGTTAGGTTCCTGGATCAACGTATGTTCGCGACCTGTTCGGATGACAGTACAGTAGCTTTGTGGGACGCTAGGAACTTGAAACAGAGGATAAGAACCCTTCAGGGGCATTCTAATTGGGTCAAGAACATAGAATATAGTCCAAAAGATAGCCTATTATTGACCAGTGGATTTGATGGTAGCATATACACTTGGGATATTAATAGGTCGGTATTGCTCAATATTTCGGTATGACAGATGATCTTTTTTACGCGTGTATATGTGTGTATACGATCGTCTAATTGTTGCAATATGTCCCGCAGCTTTACAGAGGATAACTTTGTGTACAATCGTGTGTTTCATACAAATGGACTAATGCGAACGAGACTTAGTCCTGACGCTAGTAAAATGTTAATATGCACTACTTCGGGATATCTAATTATAATACATAATCTTAAGCTCAGTACGCTTTCTCAGGATTTGGCAGGATTCAAGGTATAGCCGGGCAATTCAATATATAATTATCATCTACACAAACTTGTGATGGTCTCTTTTTTCAATTTTATCCTGAATAAACGTTATCACATTCTTGCAGCCAAATATGTATAGGCTAATGCAGTTGTCTCAAACCACCATACCAGTTGCTGCGAGTTTTACTCATCTGTTTGCTCACTCCCGTACTCACAATAGAGTCGAGTTCCTCACCGATTTTCCCGTGGGTGACGACGCCGAGGTAATATCCAGTCTTCAAGTTCACCCACAGGGATGGTGCGCCCTGTCCAGAAACGTCAGCAACGGAGAGAAGTCCGAGGTTTGATATTTCGCGCGTTTAATCAAGAAGTCGCATTGGCTGCGTTTACCAAGCTGCTCTTGCTGAACGCAGCCGATAGATCTGTTCTTTTCCACTGAACTGGCACTAACTTGCACTAGCTCTTCCTTCCACCGAGTCTTAACTGTACATTTGCCTCTTTTTATACAAGTTCAATGAATACATTTTTGTCAGAATTTTTAATTTCTGTAAATGCACGTAAATAGTGTACTAGTGGTACTTCAGTGAAAAAGAACAGACCTGACATCGCCGCGATATCTCCCTCGTTTCATCGTCACGTTCTCTCCCTCGCAGTGGACCTGCATCCACGACATACAGGAACGCGACGCGACCACCAACAGTATGGAGCAGACGAAGGAGAGCGAGGAGTCCGCTCCGCAGTTCAACGAGCTGACGGTGGAGGAATTCGAGGACTTTCAACAGCCGCAACCGTCGCGTTCGGGCATCACGTCTTCTTTCGTGATCGAGAGCGCAAATCGTGCCAGAGTGGTGCACACCGTGTCGGATGTAAGGTCGAATTCGTTCGTGTCCACGGACGCCGCCTCGTCGGTCAGGCCGCCGCGGACAAGTTGGCAGGTAACGCCGCGCAGGAACCTGCGCTCGCAGTCGAGGAGTCCGCGCCCGGACCGGAACGTCGTGCGGACGAACTTCGATATGGTCGAGGTGAGCGCCGCCGCGGGTACCGCTGCCGACACGAGGGTGAACGCGATTCACAACGAGGAGAGGGCGGAGGATCAGTACATGGACGAGAACAACGAGAACCCGACGGGCGCGTCGACCGACGAGAGGGACCGGGATTACCGGTCCCCGCGGCCGAACTCTCAGCTGAACGACCTGCGGCGGCGTAACGTGATCGACAACTTCGCCAGCGGCAACGTCGAGCTGCACGTAAGCTCGACCGACGTGTGGGAGGCGCTTGTGGCGATTCGAGAGGCCAGGTTGCGGAGGGAACGCGAGAGGGAGTTTTACCCCGCCGCCGACAGGAGGGACTGGCTTCCCAGGGCGAACAACGGCGTGAGCGTGAACATACCGCGCTCGTCCCACACGGTCGTGATAATCGGCGACAGGACCCGGGTGCAGAATCAGAACCGGCAGAATCTGCAGACCATGTACGCCATACCGAGGAATCATAAGATACATCAGAACACACCCAGATTGACGCATTACATCGAGGAGCCCAACGTCGGTTCCGGCTACATCAAGGAACTCTGCTTCTCCGCTGACGGTAGATTGATATGCTCGCCGTTCGGCTACGGGGTACGGTTGCTGGCGTTCTCCAGCGATTGCACCGAGTTGTCCAACTGTGTACCGCCCGCCAACGAGTCCGTACAGCTCCACGAGCTGGCGACCAGCGTCAGTCATTCCGACATTGTGGTTAGCACCAAGTTCTCCCCCAGGCATTGCCTGCTCGTGTCCGGCTGCCTCAGTGGCAAAATTGTCTGGCATCAGCCGGTGGTTTAGCTAAATTGATAATTCACCATAGGCAATGTTGTTTTTTTTTTTTTTTTTTATCAATCGGTCTCTTAATAAATAGGTAGACACGTTTGCCGCTTTTGTGCAAGAACAAATCGTCGTAGAGGATTACGCTGACTGTGCGGAGTGAATCTTCGTCTTTTTCTCTCTCTCTCTCTCTCTCTCTCTCTCCCTCTCTCTTTCTATCTCTCTCTCTCTTTCTTTCTTTTTTTCTTTCTTTCTTTCTTTCTTTCTTTCTTTCTTTCTTTCTTTTTTTCCTTCCTTCCTTCCTTCCTTTTTCTTTCTCATTATTGTCATTTTTACCCGATACGTGTCTTTTTAATGAATGTTATTCGATATATCATCTCTATACGGCTCCACATTTTCTACTATTATACACTCTGTGTTGATGATATATGTGTATTACGAGTGAAATTCCACGGGATTTATTTTGCGTCTACGTATATTCCTGAGGGAAAGACGAGAGAATGGCCAAGAGAACTATTATGTCTCGATTGCACTTTAACAAGTCCTGCAACGCGTATCATGTGCAAAATATGATATACACTTATACGCACGCATGTGATATAATTAATAAAACTAACTGACATTTGTGTAATGTCATTATCTTTTCTCGCTAATTAATAAAATAATACGATCTAAACTGCGCGTATGGTGGTACCGCTTACAATAGACGGAAGTGTATTAATGCGCCGCCACGAATGTATTGACAATGTAACCTATTCTATGGTATTGTTTTTATACCGTGTATTTTATCCGAAGCAAGTTATTTTTTTATAATTTATTTTCGGATTATGATCGATCGTATTATTAATACCAATCTCGAATTATTATTATCAATCGTATAAAGAAATAAAAACATTTATTTTTTCAATAAAGACGATTGTGTTTTTTCAGATGAAATGTTTTTGAAGACAATGGCACGCGTTAGAAATCGTAACGTAACGCATATTCCACATTGCGGGCACAAGTGAAATAAACGTTTAATCAGGTGTTCGCGTTAATTTTCGTCACGTATAATTGAACGCAGTGTGTCACATGTGTCAATATAATCCGTTTTTCGATTTATATAAATAATATTATATTAGTTGTATACGCGTTTTATACGAAGAAAAAGATAATGTCCGTTTTTAATGAATGTTATGCATATCTTTTTTATGATATTTTATACAGCGTTATAATGCATCTCTTTTACAACAACAGAATTTTTTGCTGTCGTGAAATATTTCTCATTTAGAGACAAATTTCTTAAGTCGATCAAGAAGTCAAATTTCAGAAATTCATAAAATGAATGATATATTAAGAGCCGTGTGAATTCTTTTTATCAGTTTGAGCTCGTTTTTTTGATTAGTAAAAGTATTAAGGAGATTAAGTTTTCTCACCTGTCCTCATCAGTTAGCGTTTCTCCGAGATTTGATTTTTAAATGTTTTCAATTTTAGAAGGATTGTTTTACCTTTCGACGAGAAATATCACAATATGCGCCGAATATCCTATATCGTCTCCCATACACATACGTATATTAGGTTAATTCACACGAGACATGATCAGTGGTTGATTCTTTTGTACAAATTCGGGTTGTACATGAATATCTAATATTCTTTTCTTGTGATTGCACTTTTGTTTGTCATATTAAGATCGGTGTTCTCACTCTTGTCAGTAACCTCTTGTAGTAGCAAAATTCCAGTCTACCCGTAAAAAAATCGTCGAAATAATAGTAGAAAATGCGGAACATCCTCCTATTGCTTGAAATACCTGCTCCTGCTATATCTGTCGAATATTACTTTCTGTCGGGAACACACATGCGCGTCTCAAGAATAGATTTAATATATTTCCGATAAAAATTGCCAACTATCTTGTAACGCGTTATACATGATAATTTATTGACATATAATATATCTGATATTATCGCATTATAATAGGAGACATTTTTATTATGAACAAGTCTGAAAACGATTTCAGATCAAATAATCAAACTCAGAGTTATATATTGTAATCCTTTTTAAAAGTATCGAAACTGGAAGAATCATGTTTTTCTGATTAAGATATATGTATAAAATTTAAATTTTATACATATATTTATGTAACTTTTAAATATGTCTAAATCTTCAGCTATAATAACTATAGGAATGTAATACTTGTCAATCAGAAAAACTTGATTAATCCTTTGCGGTAATTCGAATAATTCTTTGCTATATTCCGACTTTCGATCGCAAAATAGTAACGTGAATGATTACCGAGATGCGCCACTTTTATGAAGGATATACAATATATTTGATAGACGTATCAGTAGATAATATGTTGCAAAGAATCCTAATCGAAATATGAAATGTATGTATATCGAATAAGATTAAATTGGAAAACAATGAATCGGCTCGTATACACGATATAGTGCAGTTAATAGTTCTATTACGTAGAAGAGCTCTATTGTGACCATTGTAGGATTAAGTTTTATCATTGGGAAAGAGCATGACTGGACGTGACAAAACCTGTATATTGTTTTAAGCTGTGGAAAAAGTAATTAACCGAGTATTCAAGTCGGTCGTTATATTTGTATGATTAATAAGGGATGGCATTTTGTAATATACATATGTAAATACGTTGTATGTGTCGACTACGGTGTGTTAAGGACAGTAATCTCCGCGTTCGAAGTGTTCTATCGTTTAGGTATTCGATATGTATTCTACCCAAGTACACATACCTTGAAAGTTCTGGATCAATCATCGATGCTGTTGTACCAGAGACGATTCCGCAACTCTCTTTTGGTACATTGATATATATATATATATATTTATTTATATTTATATATATATATATATATAAACATCGAAATGAAGGACCTTTTTTTGTACGCCATTATATCCCGTTCGATACAGCAGACTTATATAACATGTCGAAAGAAATATCCTCTTTTTGTAGATAAATTATATATATATATATATATATACGTATATATGTATATTATAGTTTAATCTAAACGCGTGTCTTCAATCTCTATACCCCTATGCGTCTCGATGTGAGTCGGCTCCATTTTCTCACATATTTGTCAAGCAGACGAGAGAAGCAGTCGTTTCGATCGCTAAGTATTTTGTAATGAGCTGTATAGGAAGCCTGTATTTTAAAAGAATATTAATTAATATCAATAATGTATAAGTTTATCAAAGAATATAATTATCTTTACTGCTTAAAATATATATAAGAAGATTATAGGTATAGACAGCCCAACCTTTTGTCGGCTGTTTATTCATTGATTTGTGAGCCGTTTTGTTATAAATTTACAAGTCGAAAAGGGAGACTCTTTTTGAAGTGTATATTTTAAATGTGCTCTCTCTCTCTCTCTCTCTCTGTTGTGTGCACACGAAGCGGTAATAAGATTCGAGGAAATATTTATCATTTTTTTCGACGCAGAACGTACAAGGAACCATCGTGGCGGCTGGCTCCTAATATCGTGACGTCAAACACCGTAGCTTCTGGACCGGAAGCTTGAATCAGCGGAGATTACTAATTTTGAATCGTACTTGAATCACACTTCCACGTAATAATAATATTGCGGCGCGAAGGTAATCGCGAGTGATCCGAAAACTGTGAACGAGTGCATCCGAAACGAGCACGAGTGTCGCGTCGTGAGGACAGTATAATCCGTGATCCGTGAAAAGAAAGGAGGGAAAATCCGCGGCTCATCCGCGCGTGGATGTGCGTGCGACGCGTGAATGGGGCCCCATATGCGCGTGTGTGTTTTACGCTTATATTTTTGCAGCGCTGATGTCGATGAGATTTTGAAGGATGATTTTTACATGGGTAAGGTTTTTCTATCGTTTCTCTCGGTAATAGTTGTACTTAAACGGAAACCGATACTCCGTGAGCGTGCACGAACGCAAGTTTCCTTTTGATAATGACCGAAGGTCGACAAATGGTCCTATCGTTTTTCTCGTATATATACTGTTATAACATGTTTAACAACGTGTATGCTAGTTGCGTGTTGATTGTTTTGTAAGATTTGTTTTCTTTTTTATTCTATACAATAAAACACCGTTTAATGTCGCATTCGTGTGTCGTTTTTCCGTCATCAGATTCCGATCGTTGCTGCCGAGACCCGATCGAGGACGTTCCACGTACATTTCTGTCGCATCTTCATCTTCTTCATGTCTTCATTTTATCTTCTTCCGTCTAATTTCGAGTTAATTTCTTTTGAAAAGATTGCGGACATCATTTTTTCTCACTGTACTCTCAGCGTGTCACGTATTTTCATAGCTATCGTACGAATTTTCTTGAAGTTGAATTTAAGTTAAAATCAAGTTACATGTCAGGCATACCAAGTCATTGTTCTTCGATTGCACTTAAGGATAGATAAAGGTACACACACACGACAGATTGTGGACAATTGTATATCATGATTACCTTTATTAACAAATTACTTTATATCCTATTTACAAATATGCCAGCAAAACTCAACAAGTACCTGTTGCTGCAAACGCCTCCAGCGCCAGTTATAATAAATCCGAAAGACGTTGTAAGGGCATATATGTGAAGATCGTCTTTTGCACTTTTCTATTGTTCGGGTTAGTGCCTAAAGAACTCGTCCGTAGCCGGTATTCATAGTCCGATCTTATATTTAAAATCGTCTCAAGTTCACTTTTAGATGCTGTACAGTTAGTTTCATGTATCCCTTGGGATTTCCGTGGGAATCCATTTGGAAATGTTCAACAGGGCGTCCAGCCTAATAGATCTCCGGGATCCTTGAGACGATCTTAAATATAGGATCTGACTAGGAATACTACCCCAGACAGCACAACGTCCAAAATCGGGACATTGGACGTCTTTTAGACGTCTTAAGAACATCTTAAAGACGTCTCATATCACATCCTAAAGATGACTTCAAGATACGTCTTCCAGACGGTCTCATGTCTCGATTTTGGACATTCGTGCTGTCTGGGATGTTTATCTCAGCTGGTTGCGGTGGTTGCGCAAAGAGCAGGATCGAGAGAGCGGATCGAGGGCGGCGATAGCGGACGCGAGACGCGAGCTCGACAGGCAGATTGTACTACGCAATAGGAAACCGGTGTCTCGTGGTTAGTAAGAATTCCTTCTCCCCGTGTTAACGCTTGTTGGAGTATATTGTCCAATAATTGTCCGGACGCGCGATTCTACCTCGCTGGTGAGAGCCACGTGAGCCGCGCGCTCGCTCGGACGGACAACGTCTCGCGCGCGAGCGCTTTCATCGCCGACACTCCGTCGACGATACGATGCGTACCTTCATCGGAGATGGACGAGGGACCGGTCGCTTCGCCTCAGATCGCCAGGTACCCCGCGGCCATGATCAGAACGGTGAGTCCGAGACTGCCGAGGTGCGCGGCCCCGCCATTGGTCGCTCCAAGCCGCTCTCGACGTTCGCGATGTTCACTCCCGGCTTCCGCCTGGCCGTCCCGCTGGAAGTCCACGCTGGACATCGTGCGAGTCTCGTGAGCGGATCTCTTGGATCTTTCCACCAGCGTCAGCCGAGTGCTCTTCCTGGAGAAGAGGCCGGGTGATGCGGACAGTTCCACGGGTGGCAAGCGAGGAGCTTTTCTCCCGTACGAGGACGGCAACGACGTGGAGCTGTTGACGCGAGCCTCGCCGGGGATCAACGGCGGCAGCTCGCCCTGAAACTTGCCGAACTGCGGCGTCCTGCTGAGCAGCGCCGAGGTAAGCTTGCCCTTGTTGCGATGCTCGATGTTGGAAATGGATCTGGCCAAGCCCGTGGAGTCCTTGAGCTTCTTGCCGTCGTAAGTGACGAGGACGTCGGAGGTGGGCGACGACGGCTCGTCCGACCTCGCGCTTGTAACCGGCGGCAGGTAATAGGTGTCTAATCGGTCCGCGGCCATCTCCATGTCGTCGAGCTCGTCGAACCGCGTGGAGAAGCGCGACGTCTTCTTCTTGCGCTTGCGGCCGTGATCGGCCGCCGTGACCGGCAACGACGGCACGAAGACCGGCGAGAACTCGTCGATCGTCCGGTAGTCCGAGCCTCCCTTCCGGAAGGCCTCCTCCTGCCAAGGCGTCGAGATTCTCTTCTGCGCGATCTCGGACGCCCTGTCGAGGGCGTTCCGGATGATCGGCTTGAAGCCGCCCTCGATGACGATGGAGTCGGGGTTGAAGCCGGTGTTGCGCGCCGGCTTGAGGAGCCTCGCGGGGCCCATGAGGTTCTCGGACACGTCCATGGCCGACGCTTCCGACACCTTCGCCTCGAGTTTCGGGCGCTGCTTCGCGTCGACCTTGGCGAGCTTCTCGAGCGGAAGAGCGGCGGTCGTGTCGCCGGACGGCGTGGTCGGCATCGCCTCCGGCGTCATTTTCAGGGTGAATGGGCCGACGGGCAGCCGGTAAACCGACTTCTTCCGCTCGATCAAGATCGGCCGCGCCGGCATGGGCATCGGCAACGGCAACGACAGCGTGCCGCTCGCTGATATGATGCCGTTGCTCTGTAACGTCTGTAACATCGGACGACGCGTTAGTACCGGCCGCCGGATGATCATCAGCTGGGTCCTCGGTTCCGGCTGATGGTGATAACGATGAGGCGGAAGCTGATGGCGCACGTAGTGATGGTAATTGCTCGCGTAATGATGCGGCGCTCGGGTGTACGGTAGCTGCTGCTGCTGCACGCTGGCCGCCGCAACGTAAGGTAACTTCGACCCTGGGCTCAGTGGTCGTGGTTGGTGATCTGCAACGAGGTTAGACAATTGCTGGTTAGTGACCTGCCGCTGGCTCTCCCGCGTGAGCTCCGTCACTCGCGGATGTCCTGCGTGAAAGGATGCGGATGATTGCTCGTGAATGCTTGCAGCTGCCGGTCGTTGATGATGCTGCAGCTGGCTCTCCTCGTCAAGGTGATGCACGTCCTTCAGGTGATGCGACTCGTACGAGGGGTAATGATGATAAGGCGCGATCGCGTTAGCCATCGCGCCGCCACCGTGATACGTGATCTCGGATGACGATGATGATTGCAAGCGGTCGTAATTGTTATTGCTCGTTAGTAGTTGCGGTGGATGGTGTGAGACGCTTAGCTTGTTGCCGACGGGGTTAGTCGTCGAATGATGGGCGTAACGGTGACCGTGATCGCGGTGAGAATGATGCACTACATGCTGTTGATGAAGGAACTCCGCCGTTGGCGTTACCTTGCTCGCTACGGCCACGCTGCCGCCGTAATCTAGGTCCTGATCCTTCCCCGGCCCCTTCGGCGCCACGTACACCTCGTGCTTCTCGCTCGACGCCGACGCCTCGCCGGCGTCACAGCTGTCGTGGACGTTTATCTTCCAGCCTAAGTAGCGGTGCGTGAAGCACTGCAAAGACACGCGACAGTTGTGTGAGTAATATCTGCGAAGGTCCCGAAAGAGAGAGAGAGAGAGAGAGATAGAGTTTCTAATGTTTCGTTCTACCATTATTAATCACGTTATAACATTAACACGTTGAGTAACCGGCACTGTGACCTTACCGCTTCTCATTAAGTCTCGTATAAAATGTAATTAATTACATCTACAAAATATTTTGTACAGTTTTAAAGGCTCGAAAAAGCCGGTTTTTCCATTCTCCATATATATATATATATATATATATATTTAACTAAAATTTTAATCATACACTTTATTATGACATATTAACCCTTTGCATTCGAAGGCTCCGGAGCGGAGCCATTTAAAATTTGTCTTCAAACTCGAGGGCTCCGCTATGGAGACAATGCAAATAACTTTCAGTTCATAACATAAGGAGACAAATCGTAAAAACTATTGTGTATAGGATATTCCGCTCTTGCTATTTGCAGTTGAGTTTGAAGAGTTTAAAGACAAATTTGTTGAATTTGAGTTTGAAGAGTTTAAAGACAGTTTGAAGAGTTTGAAGAGCTTAAAGACAATATATATAAAGGTAATATGTTATTAATATGTCATAATAAAGTGCATGATTAAAATTTTAGTTAAAAAAAATTTTTTTTTTTTTCACTTGCACTCTTCCTTCGTTAACATTTTCTAGAAATTGTCATCTTTTCGCATCTTCGACAGTAACCATTTGGTAACTCTAACTGTGCATTCATTCGATAATCAATTAGACGTTTATACTATCAGTAAAAATCAACGCTACAGTCAACGTGTTAATATGCAATACAATCGTTGAGCAGGCAATTACCTGATAATACACCGTGTCCGGTGTACTCTCGTCCGGAACCCATTCCACGATGCCAGGCTCGCCGTGATCGCATTCAAGAACCAAGGTGCGCTGATAAGCACCGAAGGACGCGAACTCGTCCGCATGGGGTTGATTTTGATCCGGCACCCAATTGCAAAGACGCCCTGTTCCCGTAGGCCGAACAGTGCCGCGTTGTCGGCGCACCCCGGCAAATATCTTCACTTTCTATATACACAGACGGTAAGAAGAGTCATTTGAAACCATTAACTTGTGTTAAAGACGACTTATCTTACTTACACATTTAAGATGCTTTAAAAATGTCCCATATTGCGGTTTTATATTTTATGCTATCTGAGTTTTTATCGACGTTGAAAACGCCATTAAGACGTCGTCGAATGATAGGTCAATATAACTGTTATTTAACGCGTATGTTATATAACAGTTATATTATTGAGTAGGAAATTACAATTAATATTTATATAACTGTTACTTTGTGTTTGCTGGGTAATAACAAAGTATTAGCAATGCTTGATAAAAATGAATGCAATGAAAATTTCTCAATTTCACCACCAGACATTAGTATCCGCATTGCCTACAATAATTTTAAGAAAGAATTGAAACTAGTAAATATGTTAAAAAAAGCTGAGACTTTCTTCCCAACCGCGGAACATGCTCCGCATATTTCCTTTGCTTAATCATGCACAACGATCTCCATTGGAAGGTCTTGTATTAAAACATTGCGGAGAACAAAAAGAATAAAAATCTGATCTGGTTGCGGTCGGAATCATAATGTCAGAAAGTCGCTTCGGTGAACTATATATGCTAAGTGCGCACGGAAAAATAGTGCTCGACAAAAGAAAGCTGGGACAAGAAGTATCAAGAAAGTTCACTAGAGATTCGCGAAGACTGGATTTAACATAGTTATATTAACAAATTTCGCGTGAAGACGTTTTTAGCAATGTGAAGAAATTTTTGTGCGGAGTGACGTTCGCGAGCGGCATGTGACAGAGAATCGCGCATCGGAAAGAATCACGTTTCTCGCTATCAGATTGATACTCATCGCTTGCTAGGAGATCTTCAGAAGCAAGCCATTTTTTTCTTTTTTTAGAGGTTTCTTTTTTCAAACGGAATCCGACTCACCAGTGCGTTCATTAGCTCGGAGAAAAATGATTCATTCTTCATTAACTATTATTGCGAATTTTGCAAAAATGACATGACTTTTCTGCTCAGTTTCCACCTGTTCTACCCGCACACCGAGATTAGTTTGGGACACCCTGTGTATGTATACTGTTCGGTTATCGCGGACTCTAATATTCTATTTGTCCCGGGGATGCTCGACTCGAGCAAGGTGGATTTATACCGCTTTCTCCTCGGGCGTTTTATGTTGGTAGCCGCCCACTGGGTCGGCCGTGATATAGAACGGGTGATAACGCGCCGGCGTCTCGGGATCTAAGCCACCTTCCACGACGAAAGTATACTTCTTGCCCCGCACCACATTAATCTCTGGTATCAGCAGTCCGTTGATGTACCAGGAGATCCCCCAGCCGACGTGACCTGGAGAAAGTGAAGCGAAGACCGGTTTGGATTACGGATGCGACTTTTTTTCGCGATACGCCGCCGCCGCGCCCGAGGACTTTCTCGATGAATCGGCTTATCCGTGCGCGCCTGACAGACCGGACGCGGCGCGAATTTCAATCAAATGCCTGCCGAGGCATGGCTAAATGTTAAACGTCCGCAGTTACGGATGTAAACATCCGATAACGAATCGGGTCCGCGGGCGGCTTTCCACGGTAGAAAAAGAAAGTGCCGGAAGAATTCATAGAATATTTATGAAATCGGCGCGCATTTGATCGTCCCCGAGCTTAAATCACGGCTCTCGCGCAACATTATGTGAATATATAATTTTGCACAGAAAAGGATGAGAGATTTCATCCACCTCAGTGTGATATCCTTCCTTGGCTCGACGCGGGTTTCTCTTTCTGTCACATTTATTTAATGATATATGAATAATTTATGTAAACGTGAGATGCAAATTGCGCCGCCGAGCGTACACGGCGGGAAGCGGAACACTTTTACATTCCTTACATTCTTGGGTTGAGATCATAGCGGACAGATCATAGCGTTAAACTTCTTAGCGTTATAACGTATCCGAATAATTATTATTTACCGGTGATGGCGGGGTAACCGTGTTTTCCCCCGGTAGGTCCCATCTGTGCGTAAAAAATACCGTCTTCAGGCTCGTAACACTGTATCGCTGGTATCTCCCAGGCATCGTTCGTAGGCGCCGGCGCCGGAGTCGCCGGTACGCGCTGCGGTCTTCTCGTAGTAACGGCCAATTGCTATTTAACATATTATTTTCATGAAGATAATTTTACGCGCAACATTAACGCAATCATGATCGTGCATCGTGATAAACGCGCAATAAACGGCGTATTTAATGAAGAGAACTCGACACGGAATAAGTCAACCGAAGAGCAGCTTTCGTTATCTACCTGTGTCTCCGACATATCATAATTTGCTTCCTAGAACTCTTCCCTCTTACCTCTCGTTTTTGATTTTATTAATTTTATCAGCTCAAATTTTGTTAATTTTATCAGCTAAGTTGCGTATGCATCGGGATCGTTTTCGTCGAAGAGGAGTCCTTTTAATCAAAGAGAGAAAGAGTATCGGTCTTAAATAAGAGTAAAAGCCGAAGCACGGATCTTCTCTAGTGTTATTTAATATTAATATAATCAATGTTGATATGTATGTGGGAGGACGTGTATTGATGCGTGCACCGGATTATTCCGTCGCTCCCGTAGAATCAGCTTTACATGCCAAGCAGATCGTACATTCCCCATTAATGTAAATCCCCATTAACTCAAGCCCGGATTTTTTCGTTCCACACGAGGCGTTGCGAAAAACACATCCGAGTATTACATCCTCCCACAGATATATTGATATTAATACTAAATAGTTCTAGAAAATCCGTGCTCATCGTGTTGTCTCTTAACTCCTTGGGGCACGGTGTATCAACATTTTGACCAAACAAGAAATCCTTTTATACACTACTACAAGGGAAAAGAACATACAAGAGGATGATGGCTTACCTGATTATTATTTGCTGTTTCGTTAGCATCACCGTAGGACGAAGCTTGCTCCTGATCAGGCATGGGGCAATTCCACGCGGGCGGTCTGCCGAACTCGATGAATCGATCGTTCTTCAAATAGGCGATGTCATGAAAACTGACTTCTTGCCTCTCGTTTAGCGGCCCGATGGCCCAGATTATCGCTTGCGATCCTTTCGTCAATATCGGAAGATCCAATTCGTCGCTCGCTCTCAACGGTCTCTGGTACGTAACGATGCTGTAGCCGTTCACTATCGCAGCGTTCAGCGGTTGCACCGATTCTGTGACATTCTCCTGTGAGACACGAATGATTTCGTTACGAACGCAGCAAATTTTCGTTGAATAATATTAACGTAGTATAATTCACTGTTACTTAATTACTTATATTGCGCGACTAGAATATACTTATATTACCCAAGTAGGACAATTATGAAATAATGAACTCTTAAGTCTTCAAGGAATCTGCCACTTATTCGTGCGTACCCGAATACGCTTATCTGGACAGCTACCGCGGTGTCCCGAGCACTGAGATTTCCCCTCTAAGTAATAATCGACGGCGCATCCTTGTAGCGTTTCCTTGTCGACCCAGGCCACGACGACGTCGCCACCTATCATCATGCTCTTCTCCTTGTTCGCGGATAATCCAAAGGCCATGTATTGCCCAGCTTCTGCCGTGTAAATTCAACTTTGTAATCGTGCACAACACAAGAAATATTATTTAACTGGCATCGAGACTTATGCTCACCGAGTTTTCCTACTAGCTGGACAACTATGCTATCTCCAGCCAATGCCCATCGCACCTCGAAAGCTAAGCTGTCCTCGAGAACTTCGCAGTTAAGTTTCGACTGAAATCACACCGTCGAGCCTTTACTTAACGATAACCTGCGCGATATTGTATTCGTTCACTGATGTCAAATTTACAACGTTGACCAAACATTGCAAATTTTCATAGAAAAAAAAAACTGTTGCTTGAAAAAGTGATTGAGTATACGTGCAAAGCTCCAATCGTAAAAAATATATTTATTTAATATATAATACATAATATATATATATATATATATAGAAAATGAATACAAAAATATATCAAAAATATAGTTTACATACGCGCGTAAACGGATATGTGTGTGTGTGTGTGTGTGTGTGTGTGTGTGTGTGTGTGTGTGTGTGTGTGTGTGTGTGTGTGTGTGTGTGTGTGTGTACATATATGTTATACGTGTACATGTTACATATATATCACCCGCATGCGTACATATATATATACACATATGTAAAAATTTAATTCCCCAGTTATAGTATAGAGAGAACATTCTTAGACAAAATATTAATTAAAGCACATTTAATGGGCATTTAAGAAATTCCTAATTTTACCACGATCATTGAAAACTTTGTATGCGAATTTAAGAATAACGCATACAGCAACCTGCTGCAGTAGTTTCCATCATACGAGCCGACACGAATAACCTCAGCCTGTTAATATGCGTTAACTTCGTCGCACTTACACATAATTAAAAGGTTTACAATTCTTCGGTTTTTCAATGTCTGCATTTTTTTCTAACTTCCTTCTCCCTGTACAACAATTCAGACTAAACAAAACATGTAAATTCGTCTAATGTGTAAAATAACACCGAAACGTCTCATTTCTCCCCGAAGGCCCGGCGAAACAGCCGTGCAGAGCAGCAGTTTCCAAGCGGTTGCTGGAAAATTCGAAATTTCCTAAATCCTACACTTAACTGAATGGTGCGGAATAAGCGAAGGACTTTTTCGTTCGCGTAGGGCATACGTACTCGCCGGCGAGAGATCGCGCCGGCTGACGGCATCGTCGCGCGGCGCCGTCGCGCCGATCAGTAGCGCACGAACGAATCGACTCTCCTGTCACCTTGGAAGTGCAAGAACCTAGCGTACGAATTTTGCTGCGGCTCGACGAGATGAGTGCGTGAGCGCGACAACGGCTGACGGTACGGGGACGTCGAGGCACCGCCGTCGGCCGTACGGTAATGTCCCTGATACTGATTCGCGAGGTCGGCCATGTAGGCCGGCGCCTGATGAAGTTGCACGACGTGCGAGTCCTCCTGCGGAGGGCTCTTGGGTATTAGAGGCTCCACGGCTTGGACTACTTGGATCTGATCGTCCCGGCGGAGGAGCGGCCGATAGGTCGTCGGACGATGGTGTTGCTGCGAGAGCGAGCTCGCGAACGAGATAGAGAAAGGGGAGGACGACGAAGAAGCGAAAGAAGAGGTCTCGTACGCACTTAGCGCTCCCAACTGTCCCTGCCCTCCGCGATGCACGTTCTGCAACACAAGGACAGAGACAGGGTGTTTATCCACATCAGTCGTCTGTTGCGGGAATGTTCTCGACGGGAGTCGGAAAACCGCGCGGGGGCGAACTAAATGCGCAAGCATAGGGGGTGTATTGTGATGTAACACTGGTATCGATATTTCTCTCTCAATACCGAGTATTTTTCTATCGACATTTTCTCCCGATATCCGTATCCATTCTGAGAAAAATTTCCCATATATAATCAGATGTTAATACCTATACAGCACAAATGTTCAAAAGATCATCTTAGAGACGCCCCAGAGATGTGTGATATCTTTAGGCGTTTGACGATGAAATTGCAGGAAGGGATTAGTCTGAGATTTTTCGAGCGGCGGCGAGCGAGTTCGTTCGTGAATTGCGAAGCTGTAAAGTCGACCTTACTGTTGTGCGCTGACATTGCCTCTAAATTTTCCTCTAATTATTTTCGAGCTCTTTTAACATGAAGATCGAGTACGGGGAGGGAACGAATGCGCGGAAAATGAATTTTGAACACATGTATCCGTCGTGATCTATCTGTTTTATAAATTGCCTGCGTAAAAGACATTGATTAAACATAAGATGAAAGAATTATACCGGCCGCCGTTGCGAAAGTCGTGGCAATATGTATCAGACGAAGTTCCTGGGAAAAGGCAGAGTTGACGATCGCTAACTGTACTTTGTCGAACAATCGGATGTTACTTGGAGTCAGGCAGTTGTGCGTGAGGGAAAAGGCAGCAGAAATAACGCATCCATCGAACTGCCGATCGACGACCACTCGCGATAACCGGTCGATCTCATTAGTTCACACATACGATGTGCTTACAGTGCCGTCATAAGCTTACTTAATTTGTCTTCCAAATTAGTGCTACATCAACTAAAGTTTCGGATTGTTCTTTACCGTGAAGAACTAAACTGAAATGTTCACGAAATTTCGGGAAGAAATTCGTGAAGGACGCGGCATTAACTCGGAAGCCGAATTCAATATTTCACCGCGAAAGCCTAAAATAACGCGCCCATTAGCTTCGTGTTCAAAGCGCTTTTCTACTACCTTATTCTATTTTTCCAAAGTAGCGCATTTTTTTGGTGCAATTTATCTGTTATACCTGCGGCGAGACTCCCAGCATTTTGAGAGAAGGCGGCACGTTCAGATTCTGCGGAATTTGTATGTGACCAAAGTCCACCGCGAAGGCTTCGCACCAAATGCCGAAATGGCCGAGTTGATGGATGGTCAAATCGGCCGGCAGTGTCAGGACGATCGTTTTGCGATCGTAACGACGTAACGGCTGCTCTTTCCCGTTCTCGTCGGGTACTCGAATACCTTGCGAGGTAGGCGACGAACCGGCACCCACCCAGAACTTGGCATCTGGAACACAATTTCATATTTGTCAGTTATCAGTCTTATGTATCTGTAAAAGAAAAGTGCGTTATATGATATAGCGAAATTTATAATTGAAATTATATTCTATTATAATTTTTACATAATATAATAGTAAATCGACTTGCCAGGGGCTTCTCCATCGTAGCTGAAACTGGGTATCAGAAAGGTCTGAGCGTCTACGATGACAATGGGCTCCGAACTGACGCCGTGTATACCGTTTAACGCTTTTAACTTTTGCGGTTTCGGATAATCGAAGCCTCGTGGTATTTTGACATCACCGAAGTTTACCTAAACAGAAGTGATTTTTTTATAAGAAAAATATATTTCGCGTGACAATAACACACTTGGCTTAACTAATAGTTATAATAGACTATATATATATTTATATCCACGTATAACATAATATATAATTATAACGCGTAATGTATAATTTTTCATTCACTTGATTCTACTGTAATTTATGTAATCTTCCCATAAATTTCGTGAAGATTAAACAAACAAGTAGAAGGGAACAGGCTCAGTCCAAGCGAAGAAGTCAAATGTCAGCATGCCGGTAGATGATGAAAATTTCGAATTGCCGGATGTCACGAGATCCTATCGGCAATTATTCAAACAAGCCCCCTCGTTAATCTCGAACGTATGCCGAGCCCATAGCGATCGCGTGGTGTTTCATCGAGTTATGTATGCCGTATTCCATTCACTTGACACGCGGATTCAAGCGGCTGTTAAGTACGAGCGTGAAAGTTGTACTTCGAGAAAATGATACCGGTTTCGCGTGACGAGCAAGTACAACCGATATCGCACGCACCGCCAAGGTCACGTGTGCATATCTGTGTTACTTACCGAGAATTCGTCGCACCAGACCGAAAACCATTTAATGTTGTTCAAGGTCTTGCCGTCCGGCAAGGTCAGCGTGACGCCCTTCTTGCGGTAGCGCTTAAGGACGTTCGTACTGTCGGACGGAACGGTAAATTAACGTGCGCCGGGCGAAAAGAAAACGGGAAGACCGAGATCAATGTCGGGCATGCTTCTATATCGAATTTACTCACGTTCCGTGCTCGTCTCGCACCCGGAATCCATTGTTGTTCGGACTCTTGCTGCTTCCGGCGTAAAAGAAGGCAGCTGAAAGAACGATGTGTTTCTCATTATTAATCTCTCAAAATTTTCGTTCGCTTCACTTCTGTCTTGCATTGGCGGATGTAATGTATCTTGAATCCTTGAGCGCAGACAGGATTGACGTAAATTAAGACGGTAAAAGAATACCGACGAATTTTTCTTTAATTACTTCTACTTCTTCCTTAATTATAATCCCAATGCTTCGCTTAATCTGACGGCTTCCTCTTTACATAAGAAAATCCTTAGATCAGGTTCCCTTTATCGATGACGACGAACGGGTCGGCTCAAACCAGTAGATGGTGAACGCGCTCCACGGTCTTAGATCGTGAAGCTCTACTAAGCATCTAGATATCCCATTAATCGGGAACAGGCATCTCGAGCAGTGGAGTTGTTAGTACGTCACGAATACGCGTGCCAGAGAAATTCGGGAAAGTTTTTCCGGCACAGAAATCGATTGCGGTCAGCTTATCAGGCCGAGGGAAAGTTCCCCCGCAATTTTTTTTCGCATCTTCTCAGGAATTAACAAGCGGAAAAGCAAATGTGCAATATTTGCCGTAAAATCGATCGCTCAAGTATTTCCGTACTGTGGGTAAAACCCGTATAGCACAGACACTTGCAAAGGATGCTCTAAAAGTATCCAGAAGACCATCCCTGAGGACACCCTTCAGATAAAATCTGTGCTGTACATGCTGCGTGGAGAGCATCCCTGTATACAATCCCTGTTCATATTATTAAACGCGTCTTAATTTTTTACAATTCACTGACTTCCGAGGACCAGCTTCATAATACGGCTCACCTATCGATCGAATTGTGTTAAGGAACCATTATTGGATAAAAGATACTTTTTATGATGTTATTTCACTTGGCTGTTACAATGACCTTGAACAAGTATAAACCCGCGCTAGTTGCATTATTGATAATAACGGAAAAAGACGTGCTTTGACTGTATGTCAAGAGCGGGTATACGCTATAAAATGAACGAAGACGTGGAAGGAATGTATATATTAAAGATTCATTTTATATTTGATCACAAACGCTCGAACCTCCTTAAAAATATTTCTCTCGACAATCGAATTAAAGAAATATCGTTATTATTACTCACCTGGACCTTCACCATCGTAAGTGAAGTCCTTGATGAATAATGTCCTCGCGTCGACGGCATAGACTTCGCCACTCACGCCATGATGAAGTTCCGATAGTTTTCCGATCAGTTTGCCATAATACGCTCCGCTACATATTTCTGGCAAGAAGATTCACACTCGTTAATAAACCGTTGAATTAGTAAATAATATAAACCACAAGCATGATATATATGACGATTAATATTAGCGGAGTGAAAACAACTAATAATAATATGGAATCGGAAGCAGAGAAAAAATATCACGATACAGAGCGTGACGATGTAAATAAGAATTTCTAATTAGCAGACTGGTTGGACGTATTTTGCTGTATTTGTATCTTATCTGCATCTGGATGATTACTTAAAAGCAGTCGATGATAAAATCGCCGAGGATTATCGTAATTATGACGAAACAATAAGTACAATGCGATGCTGCGAATGTATAATTGATTAACCAATTATTTGCCGTTATATCATTGTTGATTGTTAAGAGTAGAAAAAAAATGCTAGAAAATGCCAATGCGCGTGATCGTACTGTGTTCTGAAACCCATGGAATTATTTCAGACAGCACACGATATTTCTAAAACACTTAAAAAATATAGATGGTAAATATTCAAAAATATTTATGAAAAGTATCATTCATCAGTAATTACAACATGGTTTTACGTGAATTTAAGCGAAATCATATTTTCATTATTTATGATAAAATATTCTCCTCACAAATATTTTGGAATATTTCATCATAATTTCTCCCATACCTGATTTTCTCGGAGACACTTGAATATTTATAACAATATCTAATATCAATATTTTTAAAATGTTTTACAAATATTGCGTATTATCTGGAATACTCTTTACATACGGCAAGAGGATATGGCATTCACGTGCACCTCCACATACCATATAACCGCGTTATCGTGCGAGGGACGACGCTTACAGGAACTCACCGGGGAAAACCGGTACCGCACGTAATAATGCGTGTACGCGAGCTTATCGAGTTTGTTAGAATAATGTATTCCACTTGTGTCTCCCGTCGTCGCGCAGACCGCTGATAGACCGTCCTCGTCCAAGTACGGCGGCCAGCGGATAACGGTAACGGATACTTTATCCTTCGGAATCGGCTAACGAAACGTCCGCGTTGTGTTCGCGTTACTTGTACCGCATGTATGAAAATAAGTGTCGCTTCGAAGGAACGAAGGCCGCACGCTGACAGAACGCAGAATGATCGGATACATTGGTTACCGTCTATTGGCTACCTCGTTAAACCGAACCCTTTTGCCTGTCCGGGTACCGTTAGAATTCCGTAGAAGGACGACTGTCATCCATCCAGAAACGTCAGGATGGCAAAGATTGGCGCGCCGCGCGCATTAATCAAGGTCGCACGGTTGCATGCGTTTCCGCGAGAGATTCGTCGAACGCGGATAGCAGAATGTTATTGACGCGCAGCGACACCGCGTTCGAGATGTTAAGAATCAGGAGGAAACCAGAATGTTGCATCGCATGCTCGTAAAACCGCTCCGCGATTGAGGAATTCAGCGCGACAGCGTAACTCACTTTTTTCTAAGAACTTGTGACACGAGATCGATCTGAAAGTTGAGAAAGTTCATTACGTCTCGAGTCCCACAATCTAATGTTCGTAAAATGAAACCAATTAGTCAACGTTACGCGTCAAATGAAAGAATTGGGTCTAACGCAACTCGTGAATACTAAAGTAAGCACTCGGGAAAAAAAGGATCGTGTATGAAATTTGCCCGTATAGGAAAATCAACATTTTCCGATCAGCCGTCTTCCCCGGAAAATAATCGGGACGTCTACCTTGAGTGATACACCTGGCGTACACCTGGTGAATCATATCATAACGGGAATGGTTATTTTCGATTTGAACTTTTAGCAACGGTACCTTCATCATCACGTTTCTTCAATTTTTTATATTTTTTACTATTTTTAATTAATTAAAAAGGTGAGGCGATGAATTAAAAAGATGTGTTTTGCAAGGTTATTTTCTACCCACCACTTACACGCCGGGAGGTGATGGGTGGTAGCCAGGCGAAGTTATTTTCTAAAAGTCCAAATTATATTTCAGTAACAAGATCTAAGCCAGAATTTACCTTTGTCACAGATAAAAAAATTTTTGAATGTAGTTAAATTTGCTGCTCCTATATAGGAACAAAATAGGTTAAGAATGAATTTTCCTTGTTAACGAGAGATTTCTGCAATGCTTACTGCTTACTTTCGCACGCAAATCACAAATTTACGATCTTGTGGATTCTCGCGATGACGTCACCGTGTCGTAACATTCAGCTATTTACAAACAGATATATAAAAGATATTCTGAACGTGGTAATCTTTCGCGTCTGAGTTTTACGTAATTACAGAAGGTATTTATACCGAATGTGTTGATTCAATGTGTGAGAAATGAGAATTAACGCCGAAGAGTGGAGAGATTTACGGACTGTTGCGAGGGAAATTGTAATTTTCCTGATTGTAAAAAAATTCGTGTAAACATTTTAGTCCGCAAACAATGGAGCGTAATTACACAATACAGTGTGCGAAAAGCGACCTCGCAAGATTAAATGCGCGAGATATTCCAAGTAAGCAAGAAATTATTAACACAACGTCATTACAATGATATTTTATAATATGTAACGTTTTCAAATATGTAACTCTTAATGTTGAATACAACGTAATTGTTAATAATATTTGAAGACGAAAGAATAAAAATAATGTTGCTACACTATGATTTTAATATTTAATAACATAATACTGTGTATTCAAATGACAGTTGAAAAACGTTTATAAAATATTATGACAAAGTGTTATGTCGTAATCCGCATAAAATCGATGTTTCGATAGATTGATTTAACGTTTCTTGCTCACTGGGATTATTCTCCGTCAGCATTTCCGAGCGAGACCCGGGAAATAAGATCATATGTACGAAATTTGCCCATATATAACTATATATAATCATATATCATGTGTCCACAACGAAGAAATACCGTTGTTACAAACTATATGCAAATACAGTCGAAGTAAATACTTCTGGCCATCTGTGCTTCTGACAGCACTTGATATCGACATTTAATTAAATGATATAACATCATTTTTTTTCGTATAGATATATATGATCGCACATGTAATGTAATCGCATATACGGGCAAAATTCATATATGATTTTATATAATTACACGTAATCATATATAATCATTTTCTCCCGGGGACGCCCCGCGATCGACATTATCGCGCCTCGTGGATATTTTGGGCCAGCAGCCCTCGACTATCCGCACTTATTGCATGATTGCGACATCGCGAACTCGGAACTTGTGTTATACACGGATGGCCAATTACGGTTATCCGCCTCCCGCTTTCACCTCCCGCTGGAAGGCTGGAAATGTCAGGAGGTCCGCCGACGCGATGTTATCGCCCTTTCGTTTTCATCCGTTGTCTTCTTCTTCTTCGCGTCTAGATCCGAGCGCCTTCGCCGCTGAGTTTTCATGTTTTATTCTCACCCGAGCTCTTCCACACTCTTTCCCACACACGGGATGTAAACTTAAACTTACGACGAAAAACACCGCATGAATACATTCAACACTTGAAAACGGTGAAGTAAATTCGGGACGAACGTGTGTCCGGCTTGACCTTAATTCCGAGTTATAGAGAGTTTCGCGTCTTCCAGAATGATTCATTTTATAAGCTGGAGTGGCGTGATTAATTTTTCTCACCTGCGCATTTATAAACAATATCTAGTATCTTAATTTTTTAAGTATGTCAAGCTCAACCCCGACAAGTTTCTCACAGAAGCTGCATTCTGCATAGCGCGGTACACGCGACTTTGAAACGTGTATGCAGTATTAACAGGACATCCGGAACACTGAACTCTAACTTTCGCCCGGCGATATCTCGTCGCAGTGTGATTATCCAAATCCACGGAGCAGACGTCACATACACACGCGGGGGATTTGTATTTCTTCCGTTCTTTTACCAGAAGAAAGTCCGAAGGAGAGAAAAAGAGAGAGAGAGAGAAGGAATCCGTCTCTCCTGAGAGAAAGAGATCACACATATTCCCGGAGATTTCCCACGCTACCGGTTATTCGTCCTTTTTCTATTACGAAACACGGGCCCGGCGAGTGAACACTAGTTTTTAGATCAAACGTTTGCTAATTGCGTGTCAGTATCGTGTAATTTCTCCTTGCTTTCTAAAGTATGCTATTAAAAATGGCGAAAAAACACGGAGCGTGAAGTCGTCCCAGGATGCGAAGCCGTAAGTAGAGTGGACAACGAAGCGGCCTGCGGATCTCGCGTGCGGATATCTTAATTAGCCCGCGAACAACACGACGGGAGAATAATTCCATAAACAAATTGTTCCGAGTCGAGTTTTCGTGATCACTTCAATGAAATTATAGGATGCTGCGAAACAGCTAATATAAATTATCGAATTTATCGAGGACTGCGCGAATGTCGATATCGCGTTTATACGTCTTACTGTTGCCCTATAACGTTGCGTATTTCGTTGCCACGAAGATAACGTCTCAACAATAACTCGATACAATACCATGGAGTCTTTAATCCCCTCACTTTTCATCAAGGACGTTACTTAATATACCGAGAGAGTCTCGATCGTGAGATCGTGAAATCTCGGTCCTGTTTAACGGAATTATTTTGAATTGCAGTCAAACGACGAACTTTTAATCATGTCCCGAATCGGAAGGTCTGAGGAAAATTGACCCGCTGACCGTGCGATATTTTTCGGTCGACTGTGCCCCCACTGTCATATCGTGATAATTGTGATAACTTATAGAAGGCCGTGATTTAAGAATGTTTAAAACGTAGTGAAAAGTTCTTGTTAATTCATCGTTGATAGAGTATCGTTCTGTGTTCTGCGAAGGTGGCAGGGATGAAAGACGATTCTTCCTCACATCGTGTCCGAGAAGATTTCAATTGAGAATGAAAAAAACTTACGTGTTGCCGCAATAAGTAGAAGCGCGACGATTAGACCGATAGCCGACGGTCGCGTCGGGGACGATGCGAATGGTCGTGTCGTCATGGTGTCTTGGTGGTTACTGCCGAGAAAAGTATCTGTTCTCGATCCAGGTAACTTTGTTGATCCCACTACGCGATCACCGGCTCGCCTTGCTTCACCCGTTCCCGTTCCTTTCTCTCTATCTTTCTCTTATGGGAAAGACTTTTCAGCTTTTCGCGCGCCTAGGTAAAAGTCTTATCGTCACCTCCCACCTGTAATTCTCGGCTGTCAAATCTGACGAGACTCGACGATTAATTTTTTTTTTCACACGTTGTCATCGAAAAATGTGATACCCGCGGAGACGAGAAATTACTGAGAAGAATATACGTTACGTCCGAGCGAAACATAGTCGGGCGCGTTTCGTAATCACGTTTCGGATTCCATCGTTCGTTCGGGCTTCTGCTAACATTGTCACTTAATCCTAATCGTTCTATTTGTGATTGATGAGCGGTTGTATAACGAGAAAAGTAAATAAATAATAATTTAGATAAAAATCGAGGGCGTAAAACATTGGTCCGGAAATGTAAGTCGACCATTCTGCCGAAGCCCTAATTCTTAGGAGAGAAGCACAGTAAGGAAAGTGCGAGTTTCGAATTGCCAGACGTTGCGTTTCGAGCGTGCCGCATAATTACACGACAAATTTGAGACTGAATTGCGTACAATCATAGCATTGTCACGACGGATATTACATTACCCCATCACGCTCTGTGCGGCTCTTATCCAGGCACGGTGAATATTTCCCGAGTAAGCGCATCGCGTTTGAAGCCACTTCTAACGCTTCACTCGGACATGTTGCCCAACAACACGCGATTATTTTCGCAGAATCAGCATTCTAGATCTACCCGATCTACCCGAGCACCCTACTGATAATACGGTCTTCGTATCTCTCGTTAATTGGGACTCGAGTGACAAATAATGAAAGCGAGAACGCGGTCCTTCCCCGCGCAAAACTCGACGATTGTAATGAGCACCAAACGACGTAGTCACGCGGTTTTCGACGAGGTAATACAGTTGTCGTCAAGCCGAGGTGTATTCATCTTGCAACACGGCGCAATGAGACGCAATTAGACGGTATCTCGATGCGCACCTTCTTCTCTTTCTGACCCTCTTTACCTTCTCCTCTTTCCGCCTGCTTCATTATTGTAAATAAAGGCACGCTTCTCCATTAACGATTTACTAATTCTTAATTTCTCAGAACATACAAGGATAAGATTTTCTGTGTGAAAATTGCTGAAAAAAAAATATAGAGAATTATAATTTTCTCATCTTATCGCGCTTTGTGACATTGAAGTGCATAGTCGAAAATTCTTTCTTTGCCCATGTGTAGATTACCTTTCGTAGATCAGTTTTCGTGTTAATATATGTCGCAATTAGCAGAAATCGTGCCGCTTAACTATTTTCCTTCTTTCAATTTTGCGGTTTAAGCCGTTTTTACGGACATTTCTTCTGAAATCCTTCGCGAATTACGCGGCTTTCCACTTTTTCATGGATGGACTGGTATACGGGCTGGTTGCGCTTGTACAGAAACCAAGAAGTTCCGATCCAACCTAAAAACCGTCTTGCTCATCTTTGCCTCGTCTCGCCTCTCGCATCTCACCTCATTACGTCGTTAGAAGAGAGGGAGAGAGAGAGAGAGAGAAATCGAGTGGAGAGGAATAACTTCATCGCATGTTTATCCCGCGACAAAGGTCGTCGGATTCATCGCGCAAGATTCTACAGAAGTCGTTGGAGGATATTTTCACGAATATGCCCGTCGTCGCTCCTCGCTTCCACTTCGGATCATCCGGAAACGACAACGATCGCCGTCATAGCGCGTGTCCGCGTGTGTAGGATGTGTGTTTTTGCTACACTGAAAGTTGACCGGGCAATAAGAGTGACGAATGTAACGTTTGAAAGAAGCTGGCACTCGCGCCAGCTTGAATTCGCGTTCCAGGAGCGGTACGGTAAGTTGCGATGGCGAACGAGCGAAAGTCCTCTTCCTCCTTCGCACAGGTGCCGGCAGGCACTTAGTAGTTCTTACAGAATAACCAGCTGTCTAGTGCTATACGCACTTTCGCACCACGCACTGTCCACCACCGATGAATACGCAGCTCACGTACGGAGGCCTAATGATCCGTGCACGTTGCACTGTGACGATTCCTATCACGTAAACACGGTGTTATCACACGGAATTAATGCGAGAATATTCATGTAAAATTCGGCTTATTCACGAGATATTAACTTACTTCATTTCATCGCTACGCTCGTTCTACGATGAACATCGTAATTTTCTCCCTCGGAGAAAAAAAGAAGAAACACAGATTCTCGTGTCAGGTTTTACTTGAGAACTTGAGGAGTAGGACAGCTGCCTTAGAACGAAGTTCTGCGAACAATTTCTGGAAGGAAAAAAAAAGAAGAAACGTTCAGCCGAGACGCACGTGTGCGATTTGTCATCGAGTTTCAAGAGCGATCGAGCATACCCGTGGAAGACGGAGATAACGGATGAGTATCCGCTAGCATAATGAGATGAGAATGGTGAAAGTTTGTCGTATAGGTAAATTGCAGATTGCCGTAGCTGAATCATGATTACTGATCCACCGAGTGGTAGCCTGCCTTCATGGATCAAGTTCCACGCGGTTTCTCGGTGAAATTGTTTTATTTCCGAAAATACCGTAATAACCGTCCGGAATAATATAAAATCGCCCTTCCACCGTGCGTTTGTCGCGCGTTTGGAAATTATCGCGGACTTATTGTGAACGACGCTTTACGTACGTACATCGTGCGCACTTTAGAAAGTGACGGATGTCGCGGAAAAAAATGACGAGGGGAGACACTCATCGTCTTGTTTGTAAAATGTCTGGGAAATGTAAAAACGATGGGCTTAACATGTTTGCGCGCCGGGCTAACGAGTATTTCTAGCGAGCGGATATTGTGAACAGCGCACAATTGATTTAATTAGAGTCGCACGCGAGAGACACGCGCGCGCGGAATTAAGCGAGTGAGGTACGCACGAAGAGGTAAAAGATTCACCGTAAATATATCATTTTTCCCAACGCTAAAAAACGATTTAGAAAAATTATCTATTTCAAATATCAAAGTCAGATAAAAATCGATTTTTTAAAGCGATAAGGTTTGTTTTCGCCTGAATTTTGCTTTCAATATTGAATTAAAAATTCGTGAGAATGCGACAGAGAAATATAATAAACATTGCTACAAAATTTTGTAATGCTGGAGATTACCGGAATTATGACTGAAATAATGTATGTTGTAACTTTTAGCGACGTATATTTTGTGGTAATTTTTATCAGAGCTCATATTTTTTTTTGAAGTCTTTGACATTCGAATTTCGAATCTCCGAAGATTCGAAGTTTCGGCGTTCATTAAGTCAAATTTCGAATATATTGAAGCTTCGAAACATCGAAATTATAAGATTTTTAAACTATATAATGTCTGGTACATCCGTTCATTTACAAGAGTTCATTTACAAAATTTCCCAACATTCCCTGAGTAAAATATACGTAGACATTAGTCTACAGCATTCGCAAGATTGTATTCCCCGGAGTTTCGAAACTTCGAAGATTACAGCCTTCAAGAACGAACCTTCGGAACTTCGCCTTTCCACAATTTGAAAGTTCGAATTTTCCGCGAAGCTTCGGATCCTCTTGAAATTTCAAAATTACGGAAGATTAACAGCCTTAATTTGTCTCCGTGTACAATATTTCCTCTGTGTGTGTGTGAACATGGTAAATTAAAAAAAAATATATACACACGAATTGAAATATCTCCCTCCCTGTTTCAATTGTCCTGATTCATGCGGTTCAGAAGATCAGGCACCTTTAAACTATTAAACGAGCCGGACCGGCACTACTGGCGCGTCGTTGCAAAAACGACGTATCTTTACGCAATAACGTCGCTCTTCTCTTGCCGCAATGTCGAGAAAGGATAGATGTGAGAATGAGGTTTCTGCAGAAAGTGCAACGAGCACACGACACCGGATTATTCAAGTTTAAATTCCTATCCTAAATTACGTTAGAGACGAGAAATCGAGATCTGCTTATCGAGATCGAGAGTCGAATTATTGGCTCGTTACTTTCGAAAAGCGGTACTTTTTGCTCTGACATCGCAAAGAGATTATACTGAATCTGTATATAATATACAAATAAATATAAGCGTAGAGAAATATTCTCGAGAAACGAGTATTATACGTAGCGCGTAATGCGATTGTAGCTTAGCATTAAGATACCTCAGGAAATAATTAAGCGATAAAAGGAAATTGTTACAGTTATCAGATGCGTTGAGAGCGATAATATCATGATGTACCTCCATGTAATCCTATGTTTGGCGCAATAATTCTATACACACGTCCGCCCAGCTTATTATAGAAGATTTATTCAGTGGTTGCTGATATTTCGTACTTTCACTCGAACACCTTGACCCGCGCACAATCGCATCACAATGCATAGATCTGCGTGTAGCGAGCATATACACATATATGTGCTCCGTTTATTAATTTTATATTCAATTTTGACGCTCAACTTCAATCGTTCTCGTTCACACAGCGAGTGCAAAAAGGAAAGAGCCAAACGTACTATTTGTGATTCTAAATATAACGGATCGTGGAGTTTACGTAACAATCGAGAAATTAAAGGGAGGAAGAAATCGTCTCGATTTTTAACATCAAAACCAAAAATATGATTGGTAAGAATCAATTCCTACATGAAAGGACATTCCATTCCTTCGGCTTCGGCGTTAATTATTTTAAGGCGCATTAAAGACAAAATAAATCGGTAAAATAATTACTTCTATCTTAAGGCGATTAAAGAAAATAAATATGAAAAATATACGAGAGGAAAAAGAGCAAAAAAGCAATAGGAGCAAGAGAGAAAAAAATAACGATGCGTGTAGAAGAGTAAGACGCAGAAAATAATCGATCTGCAATTTTCCGTATTCACAAAAAGACGCTACTCTCCCGATACCTCTGATACGCTCGAAATGGTGTCCGAAAAATGACGCGAATTTAAAACGATACAAACGTAATATATACAGCAACGTGTAGTCGCATATTTAGTCTGACTTCACTTTTCATTTTGCAATTTCCAATTATCCCACTATTTACTAAGTAGGCGCTAGTATACTCATCTAATGCACGATGATGTCCTTCATTTTCGCGAAATTGCATTTCTTCCGTTACTCCATATTCGTTTCGTCTTATTGTTCGCAAACGCCGTGTTTGTCAAGGAGGGCGTCAGTGTACGGCGAAGATTTCGAAGTGTAACGTAAACTAGCGACACCAGTGAGATTATCAACTAACTTATCGACTACCAAACGAGGCAAGAAAGGAGCCCTGACGTTACCGACCATACTCGGCCATCTCTACCAAGCTGACCTAACCTCTGGGTCGTCGGTGAACTGTGATGAAAGCGATACATGTTCATCAAGATTTCTAACAATTGAAAGATGGCTACTGTGAAATTCGGGAAACACCTAAAAGAGCTGAGAATCCTACTGTGCCAAACGTCTAAATCTAGCCAAGGCGTTAGGTAAAGTGTAAACGACGACGGAAACGTTCTCCTACGTGTTCCACTACAGTTGCAACCTCGTCACTCTTATATGTGTGCATCTTCTAGAGACTTCATCGAGCAACAGTATGTATCGTTGAAGAAAAACAATCCGACGTTTCCCGTCTTGATCAGAGAATGCTCGTCGATCGAGCCGAAACTGTACGCGCGTTACGGTACGTAGAAATGAACGTCGCAATTGTATCTGCTGCCATCGTGCCACGATTTGAAAAAATCGTGATTTTCGTTTCGGGCTCTTGTCACTCGCCCAACGCTCGTTTATCTTCTTAAGGATAACTTGAATTTGCAGAGTACGGTGTAGAACGTTGCGTGACCTTGTCGAATCTAAGATCCGAGGATGTGTTTGGGAGGATTCTAGAGTTAGCATCCCAAAAATAGATGATAAATTATTGTGTCAATAAATATGTATCATATTGTGTGTATAGTGTTTTAATAAAATAGTTGCGTCGAAATTGAATCAGTTTTATTTGGGAAAGTTATTCTTGAGAAGTAAAAGTCACCCGATGAAAAAGTTCCGCCTCTTGTGCATACAATGCACGCTGGATATTCATGGATTACATAAGGTGACAAGCTGTTGGATTATACAAAGTGACTACTCTTTTCTGCTGAAAAATATTTGTATTTGTTTTTTTTCACTTTTTATATACCTGCGATATTCAACGAGTTCAATTCAATGTGACTATTGTATATAAAATAATATTGAAGTAAGCTTCGTGAAACTAAGAACTCAATAGATATAAATGGAACTTAACACTTAATAAATATACGAGGGAGATCTTGTGACTTGTATAAGTGTTGCACCACCATGTAGATCCCATTATTTCTCCTATTTTAGGCAGTGACGATTCTTCCTTTGTGTATGAAAATATGTGTATCTTGAGAAGTAATACATCTTTGTTATTTTTCTGTAATGAAATCTATGTACATCAGTCAGATCTCCACCGGTGATGAGAAAAACCTGCCAGCAGGCTTCTGTTTTTTTTTTTCCTTTTATATATATATATTCCTCGCCGACATTTGATAATTTACTTGTTCGGGTTACATCCAATTGCGTCTAACTCATCTAGTGCCTTCTCCGCGAGCTAAGGCAGATAGTTTCATGCTACAAACGGAGGTAAACCAAAGCTCTCCGGTTTGAAGTCCTCCAGGCTCCCCAGGACTAGCGTAGCATCTTTCATGAGATGTTTAGGAAGTTGAGGATCTGGCACCATCACCACTTGCATCTTAGCAGCGACAGCAGCCTGCACTCCGTTCGGTGAATCTTCGAAGACCAGGCACTGCGATGTACACAAATAAACAGATAGATAAATTTGACTTAAAGAATTTGACTAGAGAGAGTGAGAGAGACATATTACTGATCTGAAACGAACCTTCGAAGGATCAGGGTTGTCGGGGAAACGTCTCGCAGCGATCAAAAATATGTCTGGACTTGGTTTCCCCTGAGACACCTCAGGATCAGAACCACCGTATACCTTGTGATCGAAGTAGTCAAATATATGCTTCCATCTCTGGGTCTTCAGATCGCTGCTCTCTTGACTCGAGCTTGTAGCCAGTGCGACAGGTATATTGTTTTCTTTCAGATGTCGCAGCAACCTCTCCACACCTACATATAACGTCCGTTGCATTAAAATCAGTCGTGGTATGATGCTAAATTGTGACCTTGCATTATACAACTTCGAATCACCTGGCATAAGGTTGCATTTGGGAAATAGTTCTTGATACAAAGTGGTAAGCTTGTCCTCAAACACTTGCGCTGTTATCGGCAGTTCCAGCATGTCTATTATAGTTTGCACAGCATCGGTACTCTTAAATCCCATAATTTGTGCCTTGTGCTGCCAAGTGTACGTTTTCCCATGTTCCTGAGTTACACTATTGTAGGCCACCGTGTACAGTGTTTCTGTGTCTGCGTACAAAGTAAAAAAAAAGTACTATCATCAAAGTCATTCTCCCGATCTCTGAATGAAACAGCAACATCTGTCGCAGAGAGCGAAACTTTAGTTAGCACGAAAAATTATATAAATGCTGTCTATGAATGAGAAAAAATCCTTACCCAATAACAAACCGTCCATGTCGAAAATGCAGTGAGTGACATTCTTGAAATTCATCATAACACGCGTCAATTATTTTCTCTTAGGTTATCTACGAATGTAAAACTAGTCACAGTTTTGTATCTTAAACAATCTGTTGGATAGCTTTGAAAACACAGATGTACCGCGAACCGTTTCGAAACCGTCACTGACTACTACGTGTCTTTTATCCCGCGATAAGATTACCGGAATATTCTTAACTTTGCAATCCGATTTCGTCATGTGCAGATAGATACGGTATTGAACGATCCAGAGGTCTCCCTACTACCTTGCTTCCTGGCATTAATCCTATATGAGTGAATTCGACCCTTTATCGTGTGTTCAATTCAATCGTCAGTTGGTGAAAAGAGTTCGGCTTGCTGCTTTTAAAATGTTTTATTCGTTAATAATATCGGCGCAAGATATTTGTGATATGCCATACCGTGTATAATAACTGTAGACTTTAAAATAAAAGAAAATGTTTCAGATGTATCATACATATATAATGAAGGGAAAAAAGGGTCTTCAGACAGTTAGATTGCGAATACAGATAATACACATAAATTAGAGTTACTTTATATATTTTTATTACAATCAAAAATCTCTGCATTTATGAAATATATTTCGTAATAAATGTAGCTAAACAAGTATATATGTATGTACAATTCAGATATAATATTACTAATAATGATGGATATAAAACGTAATATATGCTTATTTATATACTTAATTTTCTTATGGCTTTGTTCTATACAATAAATCGATATATTTGTATCCTATGTTTTCTAGTGCCTATGTTTTTGTGCCAATTTTCTTCCCTCCAGAGTTGAACAGGATATTTACAACTTTATTACGTTAGACGAAAGATTAAAATTCAACGAAATAATTGGCTAAATATGATAAACAGACATTTATTTCATTATTATGACTCCTGCTCTTTTCCGGTTCAGCAAATAAAACTTTTCTCCACCGAATCTCTGTATTTTTATCTCATTAACACGTACGAATAGCACGAATAATTTCCGGTCCTTCTGGTCTTTACTAATCAGCACAAAGACATAGTTGTCTTTACATAAGTTCAGCTCGAGTAAACAATTTTATCTATGCTGAATTAAATCATTTTCTGTGACATTGGAAATACTATATAAATTATACTGTATGTTCGTTGGCAGAAAGTTTTGCAGTGCGCTTGGTATTGTATTGAAATACGTATTTCGGTTCCTAAACACTGCTTCCTGAACGGTACCAGTGACATCAGTTGGAAAAGTTTGAATGGTGGTCGTTGGAATAGCTTGGATGACTATCGGCTGCGACGCCGAGGCGTGAGGAACTGCTTGTATCACCTACAGAAGTATAAGCATTAAAATATTGTCTTACTATCGAAAGCACATAAATTGTTAGGTGAAACAACTTCTAGATCTAGAATTTAGATTTACACACTTTTTCCATGGTATGACACTTTAAATTGAATTCTGTACAAGACTTATATTCTTAATAGACAAGTTTGGATAAATTAACTTTTTTTCTTTAAATTAAGTTAAAAGTTACTTAAGCAAAAGTTAATTAAAAGTTGAGTTAAAATTAAATGAACTTATTAAAGTTAACATTTAATCGTGTAAAGTTTGATTCGCAAATATTTACACGCAAATGTGATAAAATTTATAGTTCAAGCCCTCCCATTGGTTCACGCTAACTCAATTCTCCATCTCATTGTTATCAATATATAACAAGCGAATATTTGATATTTACTTGTACTGTGGTTGATTCTGCTTGAGGTACAGAGAGCGAGCCCTCTGCGGGAGGCTGCTGTATCTGAGGTGGTTGCGTTTGGTCTGTTGTCGGCTGTTGCAATTGCTGCTGATTGTTAACCAGATGCTTAGTGTGAGAGGTATTAATTCCATGTCGACGCTTCATGTGCTTGTTGTAGTTGGGCCAATTCGTGAAGTGATGTTGACACTCTAAACAGCTGTACGGACGCTCTCCGGTGTGTTGTCGCCTGTGCGTCTGCAAGACGCGGGAAGATTGTGTCAAATCAGGAGACGAGAGCACCACGTACGATTGGAAAATACGGTATATCACAGACTCACAGTCAATATCCCTTTGAAGCGAAAACACTTCCCGCAAAACTCGCAAGTGAACGGCATCGCGCCGGTATGAATCCTGTGATGCTCCCTCAAAGTCCCTTTTTCCCGGAAAGTTCTCCCGCAAACGGCACACTGATGCGGCTTGGCGCCGGTGTGGACTGTCGCGTGCTTTTTCAATTGCAGCTGCGTTTTGAAACTGTAATTTCATTGCGGTCTCGTTAATAATAATAATACGAACTATGAGAAACGTTAAGAAACTCCGGCACACTTTTGACTCACGCTTTCGGGCACTGGGTGCAACTGAACGGCTTGTCCGCCGAGTGAGTCAAGAAATGCGCTTCCAGGTTGCCTTTCTGTATGAAACTCTTGCCGCACTGATCGCACGTGAAGTTCCGGACGCCGGAATGAATACGTTTATGCGTAACGAGATTCGGTTTCGTGGAGAACCTGAAAGTTCCGCCGATTAGTACGCGGGCGTAAGAGACACGATCGTCCCGGGAGAAAGATTTCGTTCATTCGACCTCTTATCACACTGATCGCACGGGTATCTGTTCTTCACGGTGTCAGGTAGATGGCATCGATTGTGGATATAAAGGGCGCTTTGTTGCCTGAAAGCTTTGCCGCAGGTTTGGCACACGAACGGCCGTTCCTCGCTGTGGATCGTCTTGTGGGAGTCCAACACCTTTTTATGTACAAACGACTTCCCGCAATCTTCGCAGCTGAACGTAAATTAAATTAAACATCAAACGTGATCGTACGCGTATGATCGTACACTGTGAACTTTTTCGCACGACAACAACAGTGGTGTCGCACGAGTGATTCGTACCTAAACTTTGCTTTATTCTTGTGCCTCTTGACATGAGTGAGAAACCCATAATACTTATCGTAGACTTTACAACACTGCACACACATGTACTTGGCTTGTTGATTATGCACCGTTTCGTGGTGCTCCTCTAACGCTTCTAAGCTCGGCAATTTGTCATCGCAATCTGTGCACAGCCAAGGATATCTTTCTAAACCTTCCGTTTTTTTCTTTTGCTTCGCGCTCTCCACTGTCCGCGTCTCTATAACTTCTAATTTTGATTCTGCATCTATATTAGAAACATATGTTATATTAAAAATATTATATGCAGATGTTACATATCAGATTTACAATTCAGATCTATATGACTGCCAATTAGATATGCACAATAATTAAAACAAAAAAAAAATGTAAGAGGATAAAAACAGTATAAAAAAATATATTACAAAATAAAACATATCATTTATATCTTTTGTATACATTAAATTCTCTTACCAGGTATATAATTATCTACAATCTTCAAATTATTTTTCACAGTTCCATCACTCTGTTTCTTCCCCATCCTGGAGGATATGTGATGCTCAGTTTCCTCCATCTTTTGCATTTGGTTCTTCTTCTTCAACTTTTTCTTCGTTTGTTTGGGGGAGCTCTTCTTTATCTGTATCTTACACTTTTTCTGTTTCGCGCTGTCCTGCGTCTCCTGCGACACCTTTTGGAAATTTTCGTCCTTATATTCCTCAATGAAGTAAGAAGCATCTGAGGTGTTGACCGTCTCATTAATGAAATTGCCGGGCAACTGACACGCGACTATCTCTTCCCTGTTATTGACCTCATTCTTCGGGAACTCCACCGTCTCCTCCACGTAATCTATATTTGGTTCTATGGGTTGCGAATCGGACTTTGCCTCGATCAGCAGTTGTCTCAGCGACACCTGAGCTTGATTGGTCTTCTCGAAGAAATCACTGCATTGATTCAACAAAACACAGCAGTCTATGCAAACAGTGAGCGGCAAACCATCCGTTATTAGAACCTACGCACAATCACGACAATCGTTACTGTTATCAATCAATTAATGGCAATAATCCAAGGACAACTATCTCAGGGATACGTTCACACGGTAAGATAAAAACGGAGCTCTTCGGAGCAACCATCGTGGGTAGGAATTCCAGCTTTACCTGTATTTGCAGGCACTTGGCGATCTTGGCCTCGATCGCGAGCCTTTGGCCCTCGGCGTCGTAGATCCCGATAAGATTCTCCTTGGTCTCGGCGCATAGCCGGCAGAGTTCCGGCTCCGTCATCGTTCAATGCACGTGCGAGACGATGACCGTACGCGCGAGATCGTACGCCGCCACCGCGCGACGCATCGTGTTCCCTCGTCACACTGACGCCGGACGCCGCGACGATCGCGCGCGTATCATCGCGTCGTGCCGTTTTTAAACAAAAGAACTCGGCGGCTGACGCCAACCTGGACAGCGGACATGTTGTGTTCCTCTCGCTGTTTGCTTCGTTCGTTCCTTCCTTCTTTCGCTCGCTCGTTCGTCGACGGGAAATCACCGACCGAACGGCGGAATGTGACGGGAGACAGCTTGTTACTCCGACGAGCGCTGATCGATTACGACGGTGTCGATCGAGCGCGACGACTGCTCGCTCAACGGCCCGGCGAAAGACGCGCGTTACTACGATATCCCGTGGCGTTCCTCCAACGAAAACATGAATATTCGCCGTCGCGTTTGTTTGGAGAGAAAAAAAAGCAGCAGCACATTCCGCGAGCATACAGGACGCATGCGCGCCGTTGCACATGCCTGGGTCGGTATTGCGATCGCTCGTGCTTACCGACGGGTAATGTCAGACGCGATCGCGGAAATTGTCGCTCGAGAATCGAGCATGGATCGCGTTGAATCGAAGGTACGATATTTAAGAAGCATGAATTTTTGCTATTTTTTCCCCATAAGTGAATTACTGAATCAGTTGGCTTCGTTGCAGTGGAGATTTGTAACTTTTAGTAAGATGAAAGTACGGATGTTCATTTTTACGTAGAAATTAATTTAAATGAATTCACACAGAGCGATTCCGCACACATAAACTACAAGAATGCAACAAACTTACTGGTATACTATTGAAAAATATTAAAAAACAATAATATACTAGTCATTTTTTCGTATTCCCTGATGGAACATCAGGGAAAATATAAAAGAAATAAAAAAATATAGTAAGTACTACGAAAAAGTAAAATGAAAGTTATTTAAAAATGACAGAATATATATATATATAAATAAGTCATAATTTTCCTTATGAAATGTAATATAATACTGTGCAATATAAGAGAAGTTAAAATATATTGTTGAAAAGTAATAAAAAATTTTGAAATATTAGATATAAAATTTATTAAACATAACTGAAAGCTGCGTAACTTTTTTCAACAAAAATTGCTGAAATATCGATGAAAATAATTTTTTTATTAAAATATTGATGAAATTATTTATAATGAAATGAGTCAATTGAGAGAGATTTTCAAGTACATTTTCATTAAATAAAATATTTCCATCGGGGTTTTTGTAATTTATTTCCATACGAGAACGTTCTTCAGATATTTATTCATTAGATAAATTTATCCGAAAGTGGAACAACCCGGCCCGAAGTGTCTAATTTTAATCAGGAAACAAAATCTAGCTAGCCGAATATTTATAAAACGAGAGTTAATAAAACGCAATTTCTTCAGAATGCGAAATTCTCAGAGTTCAAGAATACGAAGACCATTTTCGCAGATGTATCGACTTGCATTTGTTTCGCAAAACGATGAAAAAAGCCAGAAATCGCCATGGCCTGTTTAAAATTCCGCAAGCGTGTTAGCGAAAGTTCGCATTTTCTCACTGTGTCAAATGCAATCGACAGGCCGTCTTAAACAAACATGCACATATGCTCACCCTGAACGCGCCGTTAATTTATTTCGCATACACGCGCATATTACAGAATATATATTTTCCACAAATTTTTGACGCACCAGTATTTCAATTTCCATGTTTTCGCGTATTCTCCTTTCACTTGCGTCAACAGAAATTTGAGTCTTCGCGTTTCCCGTAAGAGTACATTGAACTTAACGGAAAGATATTTCTTTGAATCTGTGGAAAGCTGTTTAAGAACGACAAATCAATAAATGAACGAACGAGAAACTTACTCGCAGACATAAAATCGCATCTTCCGGCAACGAAAAGTCAGTCGACCTTACGATGATTACGTCAAAGCTCATTGTCAACACGAAGCAACGTTTTCGACATTTCCTAGAAAATCCTCATGGTCCCGTGGAATATCGAAGACTCGCTGAGGTATATTTAATCAGTCGCTCATTAACAGGAGAAAATCGAAAGCAGTCTCCCGAGTGAAGTGCGTTTTAGAAAATGATACGAGACGCGAAGAGTCCCGAAACCGATGTAACATTCGGCCGTGTCGAATACCCTTCGACGTCCCAGTTCTCTTTCCGTCGCTGCAGGTGATTACTTTATTCATTATAACATTGAACGTTTATTTAAAGGATATTTAACCACCGATACACGACGATTTTCTACTTTCCTGTTCACGCAATCGTCGGCCGCATGGCAAACGCGAGAAAGTTTTTTTTTCTTCTAACGTCGTTTGACAAAGTTGCAGGAGGCGCGCCGCATTTTTCAAAGAAAAGGTGCGCACACGATTTTAGTGTGTTGTTCTCGAGTGTCATCGTGGAACGGCTCGGTGCTTGGAGGATGACGCTCATCGCAGACAAAAGGGGAAGGGAACGTTCGTCGTCTGCATGAAACGACCGACGGGCGTCGAAGTCTCCGCGCGGACGCCCGTCGAAAACGCCGTCCACCGAGTGGTAAAAGTATTGACACGATATGTCCTCGTTGTGTATATATAGGGGTACCTGCCAAGAAGGCACTACAGTTCTTTAGCGAGCGTCTGCAGGACGGTGCCGCAGCGAATAGCTGTCCTTTCGAGGCTTTTCTCTCTGGGGAACTTAAAGATCGCAATCGGGGAAGCACTCTGCTGCGTTTCGTTGATCAGGTAAACAATTGTAGCGGCTGAATTAGAATTGTGCGATTAATAGCGAATTCGATCGTCCGCGCTACACCGGATAGGTGCATGCTAAAGATTGTTATATATAAAACACACACAATTATAGTTATACATTATTATTATATAATAATTATATATTATATATTATAATTAAGTAAAAAAAGATGTACACATTTTAAATGATTAAATGCCTAACGATATTATCACGTTATTTAGCGGCATATACGTTAATTATTTCTATATCTTTGTCAAAGTTATTTACTTATGTTATGCCATTGTATTTGGATATTTTATGTATACACGGCAAAAAATAGTCTCAAATCAATGATAGATATTCTTATATATAAGCAAGAATATTATAATCCTCTCAGAAGATATATAGTCTTGTTTTGATTGAATTTGTATTAATGCAAGTATTACTTGCACTCAGTTTAAGACTAAAAATCTTCTAAAAATATTATAATATTATTATTATAATATTATATATATAAGAATATCTATCGCTGATTTAAGACTATTTTTTTCTGTCTAGCAATCCTTAATGTGAACCAATCCAGTGTAATGCGGGTGATTGAATTCGCTATAAGATTGCATTACGTTCACCGGAAAAGCTATTGGTAACTAGCCTAATTAAAGTTACGAGACTTATGAGAAATATTAATTGATTAAAATTCCAACCTTTCGCGATTAAAATTCCTGACATTCCTTTTTCTACATGTCATCTGCATTCTGCAATGCAGAGTTATTAAAGAGAAATGTTATAAGCGCGGTTGTGATTATATTATAATATTATTTGTGACAAACGCACGGCGAAATAAGAAAAAAACTTACCATTCGTGAAGTAAGGCCGGGCGCAGAGTATCACCCTGTATAACGTTGAAATCGTGGAACCGGTTTGGGGAGAGTCACTTTTTTAAGAGTTCGGGTATTTAAACACACACACGCACACATACACACACTTACAACAAAGAAGAATGGTTAACGAGTAATCAGGGACGAAAGAGAGACGAACTTTTCCCAATTAAAGCAAATCGCGCTCATTATTATACGTGATTATACTTGATCGCACGACGCTAATCCGGCATTTCACTTTTGCTCAACGCAGGCGAGAAGAAGAAAGAAAATGATAGCGCTCGTGATTTTTGGTACTCTCGTGGCACTGTCTTCCGCCCAATTTCAACCGCAACCCAGCGGGCGGATTCTGGAGTCCCCGATACCGGCACTTTGCGCGCAAAGTAAGTTTCACCTTTCTGTACCTGCACTTTTATCATCGCATACTCAGACCACATGAATGTCCAAAAAATGACAAGACTCCCAAAGTCGTTTTAAATTTTTACAATGTGACTTAAACCTATTTTTTGTAACTTTGTATCTTGATGCGGATATTTTCATTAGAGAAAATCTTGATATTTAAAGCCCGGTTTTTTTATTTTCTGGTTAATTTGTAGTTTAGACCTTTTCCCTGATGATGACATAAAAATTATATTTTCCTATTCATGCTTAATCTTATTAAACTTTAAAAGTTATCACTAGAAAACCATCATTTAATGATTAACCATGAACAGAAAAAAACGCAATTTTTACGTTATCATCAGATAAAGTCCGAACTACAAGTTAACCACAAGTTAAAATGAAAAATCAGGCCTGATCCAGTAAGCAAAAAACGTTAAATCAATCTTCTGAAACATTGATTTTATGTACATTTTATAAACATCTCAGCATAACATTTTATAAATGTTTTTAAACTGTCACCTGATAATATAATATCATATACACTATGATTTTAATATTCCTAAATATTCCTAAATATTAAAATCATAGTGTAGAAATATTATTTTTAATGTTTGGGTCAAATATTGTTAACAATGACGTTGTATACAACATTAACTACATATTTGAAACCGTTATACCATGTTACAAAATATCACAACGTTGCGTTAATGATTTCTTGCTCACTGGGAAGAGTTAAAGTACAGGCTGAGCATAAACCATCTAGTTCCGATACGCAACGTTAATTGCTTTTCGGCTGATGGGTGAAAATTTACTATCGTTATCAGAGCGTTTCTTGCAAATCGATCAGTCGTTTATCGTTAGTCATATTATTGGAATCTTCTTGCTGAATGGGTCTTTCGCATGGAATAAATAAGGTATTCCCGATATTTCCGGGAACGCGAGAGAGAGAGTCTTCTCATTTTCCACGACAGTTAAACATTCGAGGGGTCCACGAACTAGAGAAAGTAGTTTCCAATATTTGTTATTAGAGGCGTCGCGAGCTCACGGATTCCTCTTCCCTCTGTTTCCCCGCTTCCTGCTTCTCCTCCTTCTGTCAATAAGACCTCGAGCCCGTTGTTTACCGTCGCCGTTGCGCGCTCCGAGCCATATCCTTCATCCACGTAGCGCATCTTCGTGTTGATATCTGTGCTAATTATATGTGACCGCCGTACACTTTATCTTCCTTTTGACAGCGCGCTCGTTATAGAAAGTGTGACGATGACACCGTCGAGTGTAACTCGAACGCAATTTGAATTGGAAATACTCGGGTCGTCGTCGTCAGAAGTAGTACGGAATGTCGGATGGCACTTTCACATTCATCATTTTCGGCTAATCTGGTTACCCATATTGTCGGAACGGTGATAATAAATCAGAGCTATTAATTCGTCAATAAATCGTTTATCGACTCGATCTTGATACCGGGCAAGGATTACTCCACAGTTATCGCAGGAACGGGTCAACAACCCGGACAACATAATATCTAAAGTCGAGGTATAAGACGTCTTAAAGACGTCTTTAAAACGTTAGGACATTAGACATCTTAAAGATGTCTTTAAGCTCCCGATTTTAGACATTATATTGTCTCGGAAGTCAATCTTTCAAAGAAGTGAAACGAGAAAATGTACTGAACCAGCAGAATAGCAAAAGTATCAGAGCAGAGTAAATCGGTGTTCTTCGAGCATTAGGCGAGAACCAATTCGACGTAAAATTCAATCGCCGGAACATTGATGAGCTTTCAGTCTTCAGGAACAGGGGACGTGCGGGGGACCGGTAGGTTCCTCATTAACCATTCATTAGGTGTAGCCCGCCGGTACGTTCCACACACCTTTCTCATGAAGAGAACTTTCTTTTTCTTTATTTGGAAAGTGACGTTACGATCGGCATACGGCGCGGGCGTCAATGTCTAGGTCGTGACTGTGGTCGCTCCGGGGTCGCCGTGACTGACACTAATTTTGCAACTTTCACTTTGCTCGTTTCACGCGGGCTCTTCCCGGATAAATCTTCCGCGCCCAAAGATATTCATGAAGAAACTACTGTTAGTCGGCCGTACCGCTCGACCACTCGTGCCCTTTTGACTCGTCTCATCTTCTAATCTCGGCTCTTCGGCAGGGACCATCCACCAGCGGTTCAACGGGAAGGGCTATTACTTCTCGTGGGCCGACTCGAGGACGAACGGGCAGGAGGTGGACTGGCTGACCGGCAGGAACTTCTGCAGGCAACGCTGCATGGACCTGGTTTCCCTGGAGACCTCCGCCGAGAACGAGTTCATCAAGAGCCGCATCGTTCAAAGTACCTCACATTCCGCCGAGATCGTTGGTCTCCTCTTTACGGCTCAACTGGCTGTACTAGTCGGGAAATTTACATACACATCGGAGCGCATGAACAAGATTTTCACGCTTCGCTGTGCGTGAATTCCTTCAACCAGTGCGACCGGTTCAGCCTATGAAGAACGGACCACGTGGGTGATGCGCCCTGTGTGCGCCGAGAGGAGACAATCGGTCCTTTTCTTTTTGTCTAAACTGGCCGCACTAGCTCGAGAAATTTACAATACAATTTACATACAGATTGAAGTGTGTGAAGAGCGAAATTTTCACGCGCTTCGGTGTGCGCAAATTTCTGAAAACTAGCGCAGTCAGTCCAGCGGAAAAGAGCGGATCAAAAAGATGGTAATGCGAGCGTTCTACTTGCAGACAAGGTGAAGTATATCTGGACCTCTGGCCGCCTCTGTGACTTCAAAGGCTGCGACCGAACAGATCTGCAGCCTCTCCACATCAACGGCTGGTTCTGGACCGCTGAGTTGCAGAAGCTCGCTCCCACTAACGATCGCAACCAAAACGACTGGTCGGAGAGCGGCGGGTGAGCCATATTATTTACAATATTCACGTCCACAGAATACACCGGTCTGTAATCACGTGGGTGATCGCAATGCCGGTATTGTACACGTCTCGCCTCCTCGCTGAGTCACGCGAGTATTTTCTTTTGGGATCAAGGATATCGAGAGGCTGCGATTAAATCTGTTCTGTCCGATCACCTACGGTGGCCCCTATCGCTTTCTGCTCTGTAATCAGCGACTACTGTAGCTATTGTCAATAGTCAAGGTCCGGAACTCCTCTTCGTATGCATATTAGGGCTCGTTGGCGCGATACAAAGCGATGGGGACAATGATAATGCGCGTGCACCGATTCATCCTAATGATAGATACAAGAGCTGTTCCCTTCATGGATGCAATATGCGTGTTTTTGTCTAGCATCGGCAAGCCGCAGCCGGACAATCGCGAGGCCATTCAGGGCGGCGCGCCTGAGAATTGCCTGGCAGTTCTCAATCAATTTTACAATGACGGAGTGAACTGGCACGACGTGGCGTGCCATCACAAGAAACCGTGGGTCTGCGAGGATAACGAATCTCTGCTGAAATACGTCCGCTTCACCAATCCCAACATCCGCGTGTAAGCGAAAGATAGAAATTTTGGGGAAATTTCACCAGCCCTCGGTTTCCTGCCGAACAGTTTAAACACTCGCTAAGCTACACGGGAACGATTAAAAGCGCGTCTATGTGATGCGCCAGATAAGCGACTGAGTAGTATATATATATACATATATACGCTCTATAGAGTACCTTATTTATTATCGTTATTAATACCTCAATGTTCATCCAAGTGAAAGACGATTGCGCATAAATCATTAGATACCTTTTAAACAGGATTGTAAGCGTTTCTTGACACACATCAGAAAGTATCACTATTTATATTCATGGATTTCAACGTAAATAAACGAAAAATTATGTCATAATTTCAGAATTCTTAGAAGACTGCCGTGTAATTTATGAATAATTATGTAGAATTATATATACATTGTCATGAAATAATATATATTAATTGTACATTCCCAAATAGCAATAAATTTGTCAATAATAAATGTTGCGTTTTCCCTATGCATTTTCTCACTAACAAGAAAATCATATTACCTGCATAAAGTGATTCGCACATCATTTATGTGAAAGCTTATGATATATAAAACATCCATTTATTATTGAAAAAGTATAACTAAAATCTTAAGCCATTATCTCTGTATGATGTATCGTATATTCATATCTATTTACTTAAACAGATATATATGACTGTTCCACAAAAGTATTATATAAATCTGCTTTAAAAGAAATTACTTTTTACCTTCCACCATTATGATGTGATACCCAAACTTTGTTTTCACTGGTGGATCTGTATAAACTGGTGATGCCAAACTGGAAATTGGCAATGCAAAAGCAGCATCTTGAAACGGCCCTACCATGGAACCTCGTGTCATCCAACCGAGATCACCCTTCAAACAACAGATAGAATAAAAAATTCCGAATAAAGTTATTTATTAATAAAATATTTTCAATATATCTGTATTACCCCAGATCTGGCTTTGTCCTCACTGTACGTTGTTGCGACTTCATTGAATTTCTGACCAGCCTTCAATTTCTCCAACGCCTCCAATATCTTTGATTGTTTCTCACACAAGATATGTCTGACCTGTAGAAAAGATATAATATATTTGCAATAATTGTATAATATAAATTTGTATATGTATAGAAGAATATTTAGCTAAAGGATCTCTTTAGATTTAAAACAAAATATACTGAACTGATTCCTTTTGTGTGTAGATTTCGAAAGCTAAAATTATTGCTAGTCAGTAGGAAGTTTTTTGGCGAAATGGTGAGATAAAATACAATTGCATAATATCATACACAGGAGTTTGCAACAATGCATGTTTCTTGTGTACAGTTCGCTGACAGACTTTCTAACCTCCAAAACACATTAATATTCTTCCACCAAGTCTTTTTCTACTGACAAACAGTAATTTTAATATTCAGACATTTTCTCCATGTACAAAAACAAATCGGTCGACTATATTGTTATTAAAATCTAAGATGAGACCCTTAAACTAAACTCAAATTCAAGGTGAAGCTCTTAAGCTAAACTTTATTACAAAGTGTAACAAAGTGCTTACCTTGACCGAGGATCCTCCTTTCTTTTCTGCTTTCCCACTACCATCCTCCGAGGATTTACCTTTGTTACTTTTTGCGGTACCGGCATTCTTTTTCGGCGGCATGCTCGTGCATGTAATTTTAGGTTATCTTCGTGTTTACAAAACCAGATCTCTCTCTCTCTCTCTTTCAATACAGGATGAATTCAAAGTCCTATTAAAATATTCGCAAACGTATTCAGCACCTCAAAATACTCGAACACGAATAAGAATTCTTACTTATAAATTAATTATAATATTACCAAATTTCTAATTACTTATTAAATATAATAAACTAAGTAAAACTAATTACTTATTAAATATAATAGAAATATTTTAAAAAATCATATATAATACATAAATAAATACCAAGAGGTTTTTTAAATACATTCAAATTATGTTTAGAAACGTTCAAAGAAATAAATATTATATTAAAAGGTACCCTTTTTCTTACGAATTTGACACTTCACTATAAGGTTCAATATGCATGCATACGCAAAAGCAGTCTGGCTGCATTCGAAGAGCGCGCTTTCAGTGCTCTTCTTTCTTTGTTTTATGTTTGATGTGCAATAAAGATAGAGTGACGTAATAGCGCTGATAGCACGTTCTCCGAATGCAAGCTAACAACACTTTGCTAGCAACAGATGTTAAGGATCAGGCCTATTCGCGATACTGATATCGGCTTGAATAGTTGACACGTGTCCGTCGAAGGTTTCGTACATTACTTTTCTTTATCTTATATTTCGTTATATTTCGAACCCGATACTTTGCGGTAAAATGTTTTTGTCCAATAAAAATCGGTGTCCCAAATTCTAGAACTTTATACATTATTCAAACACATTCCATGACTGAACAATTCCATTCAAATCCCATTGTTTTAAATATTAAAAGTGTTAAACGATTGCAAATAAGAAACGTAGTTAATTAGCAAGTTGGAAGTTTACGCTCGCAAGATTCATTTATCGTTATCATTTCAGTATTGTCTTCAATTATTTGAAACTTAATTGTTTATTTATTACAGCTAAAGGTATTATTTGAGTGACAATAGAACAAAACTTGCAATAATCAATATGTCACTACCAAATAGACAATCAAAGTGCACATGGAAGGCTAACGAAGGAAATTCACCACATATGAGAAGAACAGAGTAAGTTTATTATAACTGAAAAATTTATATAGTATAATTTATCATTATATGTTCTTGTTATTTTGTTACATAATGTGTACATTTAATACTATAATCATATTTATTGAATTGTGCGATAAGTTCCTGAATTTAGTTGATATATTTGATCAAATTCAAAAATATATAAACTAATCTGATCCAAGAGTTCACTGAGTACTTGATGAACAATTAATTGTGATGATAATGTAATAAGTCTGTGTGAATTCTTATAAATAGAAAGTTTTTCAATAATATGATATACTAATAATATGAAAATTCACCAGTAAAGAATACATATTGCTGAACTGGTTCTCTTTCATTTATTACTGTTATCACTTCAATGTTATGAAAAACAGAAGAAATAAAAAGCATTGCGCAAGATATTGGTGCAAACTAGGATATACTGAATGTACATTGATCCAAATAAGTTTGAAACTGATATCAGCTATCGTGAGATGAGCTTTATCACCAACACACAATGTGTTTGCAGTAGTAGTTCTTGGGCTTATTAAATTCATACACAAAAATTATACCCAGACAACATAATGTCTAAAATAAGACATCTTAAAGACTGCTGTTTGAGTATATTCTATATTTTCTCGATTTCACATATGTTATATAAATATATATATAATTAAAAAATATAATTGCGCCAATCACAGTTTCTTACTTTTTAGGATACCAGATCGTAAGAAGATATTGCCTAATATTTTAGACACAATAGGTCAGACGCCTCTTATTCGACTTAACCGCATTCCTAAATCGTACGGGATTAAGTGTAAAATATGTTAGTAAAGAGACTCTTGTTTTTATATTACGTGTGTAGTTTAGAGACAGAAAAGATGGCACAGCTTCATTGTTAATTTCTATTGTCTTTCTACGTATAGATGTAAAGTGTGAATTCTTCAATCCTGGGGGCTCCGTTAAAGATCGAATAGCACACAGAATGATTGAAGATGCGGAAGAAGAGGGACTGATAAAGCCAGGGTATACATTGATCGAACCAACCAGCGGCAATACCGGAATCGGCCTGGCAATGGCTGCAGCAGTTAAAGGCTACAAATGCATTATCGTGATGCCACAGAAAATGTCGAACGAAAAAGTCTCTGTATTACGCGCTCTTGGTGCGCAAATAGTGAGAACGCCGACCGAAGCACATTGGAGCAGTGAAGAAAGTCATATCAGTGTCGCTCAGAAATTATGCAAGGAGACACCCAATAGTATAATCTTGGATCAGGTAGTATTTTCCTCTTGATCTCGATCTTTATTCTATTATCGAACGATCGCTCCTAAAATTGAATATCTCCATTGTAAATGTAGTACACCAACGCTGGAAATCCCTTAGCCCATTATGACGGGACTGCGACAGAAATTTTCGAGCAGTGTGACGGAAAGGTGGACTATGTGGTGGTCGGCGCTGGCACTGGTGGAACAATAACCGGAATCGGACGTAAACTGAAGGAACTGTTGCCCAGTGTAGAAATCATCGGCGTAGATCCTAAAGGCAGTATTTTGGCGCTTCCAGAGGAATTAAATGAGAGTGACGTGGACTTTTATGAAGTAGAGGGAATTGGGTATATGTTAAATGTTGATATTTATAATAAAATAATAAAACGGTCTGTGCAGTTATCGTTTTATTTTTTTTACGGTACTTTGAAAATATAAATGCATTACGTTCAGAAAATTTGTGAAGAATGCTGCTGGTACATACGTGTACCACTTACCATTAAAGGATTAAATTAAATTCTAAATTGAAATTAAATTAAATTTAAAATTAAGGTAAACTTGTATATACCTCTTTTCAGATACGACTTCATACCCACGGTTTTAAGTCGTGACGTAGTTGACAAATGGTTGAAATCGGAGGACCACGAATCACTGAACGCGGCGCGAGAATTAATTAGTCAGGAAGGACTATTGTGCGGTGCCAGTAGCGGTGCAGCGCTTTCGGCTGCCTTAAAGATCGCCAAGGATTTACCCGCTGATAAACGTATGGTTGTTCTTTTACCAGATGGCGTACGCAATTATATGACCAAATTTGTATCGGACCAGTGGATGAAGGAAAGGAACTTTTTGGTAAAACAACACATCTTATCACATCTAAGATATTTATGCTACAAATTATTGCGGATATTATTGCAAATACGTTGTTAAACCACGATCTCTCCTCAGCCGTCAGAACCTCCTTCAATAGAGCAAGAGTGGTGGTGGAATTTACCAGTATCGAAATTAACGTTAACTAAAGTTGTGCTTCCGAAGGAGATTACATGCCATAAGGCTGTGGAAGTTTTTTCGCAAAACAATATACAATTAATGTTGGTAACCAATGACGATACACAGAAGCACGTGGTAGGTGTTATTTCGTCGGACGTGCTTCTGTCCAAGTTGATCTCAGGTGAGGCACTTCGCACAGATCTAGCCGAAAAAGTTATGAATAAGGAGTTTAAAAAGGTCTCAACCTCGTCGACTCTGGGCAAGCTATTTCACATTCTCGAAACTAATTCTTATGTAGTTGTAGTAGAGGACGACAATGTATTAGTCGGACTTGCCGTTCTAAGTAACATTTACAAGTTCATAACTAGCTCAGAACTAGCTCAGTTGTGAATTGACAACGTAGAAAATGGCATTATGTAAAATATGTCCATCTTGGCATGTTCGATCAAAAGAAAAATTGCATGTATCTTGATATGAAAGAAACTAAATGTTCGTGGATCATTGATTTGAATCTATAATTAAGAATCTACCTAAGGAATAGTACGATTTTAATCTATTTCTCTAATGTATGTAGCTTTTTCTAATCTATCCTACAACACTTACATATTTTTAAGTACCTAAGTTTTACTTTTAAGCAATATAATAATTTACAATGTAAGAGTAGGAGTGGAGAGAAGATGCATTCCAGATAAAACCGTTACAAATAAAATACATATAGGATAAGGGAATTTATAGTTTGCAATAAATATATTAGTTACGAGATCTTGATAGAATTTTGTCCTGTGTGTTGTGAAACTAAAGCAGCAAATATATATATATATATGTACACACACACACACACACCTCTTTTATTTTTTTATATAGAAATTTGATACATATACCTTTAATATATTTTTGTATCTCCCTTTATACACTTCAAGTTATAATAAAATTCAACATAAATATTAAATCCTCTGAACTTGAACATGAAATTTGCAACTTGGTAATGTAGTAGTCTCTGCAGTAACGGTACTAATAATACCAAGATTAGCTAAACTTCCTCTGAGAAGACCGCACGTGAAAGCTAGTAAACGAGGGCTTTCCTTGAGATACTGCTTGCTATTGCTTGTGCCGACTTTATCTAATAACCTAAAAGCATTGTCTTGCAACACGTATACTCCATGATGATTGGTCCTCAAATTGTCAATCTGCTTGTGATACAAGCTGGACCAAAAATCCGTGCAGATAAACTTGATCATGTCCAATTCATCCTTAAATCTGCTCCATTCTCTTGTTAATCGTTCAATAATCCGATATCCAACGCTGAATCCCATCCATTCTAATCGAGATAGTTCCTCCTCGCCTTCCTACAAAAAGAAATATTTTTAACCAAGAAATTTCTTATGACCAATAAATTGAAATGTCACACGGAACACAAGCAGCTACTTATTTTTAACTATATATTAAATTTAAGTAAATATATGATTTAATAAAATATACGTATTACTTACTGCAGTGTTGGACGATTTGGTCAGAACATAATTGACCAATTCGGCATGCAAGTACTCAAAGAGACACTCGTCGGCTTCCCCAGTTGCATTAGGATTTGCTTTGGAATCAATTATCTGTTGCTTCATTTTCTCAATCGATGTGTGTACGTTATCATATACTCTATAAAATTGTGTATAGTCTCCCTACGCGTATCTGCTTTCCAAATAAACGTAACTCCTAATATACATTTATTTGATGAAACATACCATGAAGCACAGAAATGCGATAACCAACTTCGCTGGTTCGAATTGCTAATTTAGACGATTTTAAATTAACTTATCGCTATCCTCGCATCCGACCATAGTGACATACACAACAAACTGCATCATGATGTATCGTGTGACAAGAGATGACATCTGTGACAGAGTTGGACATTTTACTTGCACATGCGCCGTAACGAGCGCGATTACGTGATAATGTAGTGTACCATATTGGTAACTATGGAAACTGTAAAGCACGCTCATCCATGATACAAAAATCACAGTAATTAGAAGTTAGTAATAAATATGTGCGAGACAAAGAAGACAATTTTGTGTCTCTTACTTTTTACTAAAATATTCTAAATGTGTGTAGAAATATATGTAATTCATAATATTTTCATCACAATTATTTTATATAATTTGTGAACAAATAAATAATAAATAATAATTAAAAATAATAATTGAACATATACAAGGCAGGCATTGTGTCACATATGTGTGTATTATCATACATTGCTATTATCATCATCAGTATCATTATTACTGTATGTTTATAATATTTATAGAATGTAAATACTTACTGTAAAACATGGATAAATATGTCATCAACGGACAAATCGGCGAAGGAGCGCAAGGTCTGGTTTTGAAGGCACACGACACGCTTAGGGATCGAGAAGTAGCCCTAAAAAAAATCTTGATCAAAAGAATCGAGGATGGCTTACCCGTGTCGATTATACGCGAAGTAAAAAGTTTACAACAGTTGAAACATCCTTACGTGAGTCTCTTTACTCTTCCTGTCTCTGCAGTAAACCAAGATTGTATTTAAAAATACCGTCTCCAAAGAGGCACTTCCTCTCTTTGAATTATATGCTTAAAAAAATTATTATGTCTCTTGATTCATTGATTATTACAAATATCAATTTAATAAAATCTGTACATTTTTGTATTGATTTATTTGCAGGTTGTCGAATTGTTAGATGCTTTCCCAAATAGTTTAGACTTTGTGATGGTTTTCGAATATATGCCAACAGGCTTATGGGAAATATTGAAGGATACCGACATGACATTGACGTTGTCACAGATCAAAACTTATATGAAAATGTTGCTGGAGGGTATAGCATACATACACGGGAAGAATATAATACACAGGGTATAATAACATACATAATTACTCCTACAATTTAATCAGGGCACAATTGACAAGCTCATTTCTAAATGAAATGAAAATGAAATTCTGAAAAAAAAAGAAACAAATTTTATATGAAAAAAATAAATTTGTTAGTAATTGTTAACAGCCTTGTGCAATCTACATTTTTTCAAAATATGGACTCGAGTCTGTTTGAAAATAAGCTCCTCAATTTCTCTCTCAATGTATAGGAAAGCTTGGATAACATTTTAGGACTTGAAGCCGGCGAATTTACTGATCAATGACAACGGTATCCTGAAGATCGCGGATTTCGGATTGAGCAGACTGATGTGGAAGGATGGTACGAAGCCGTATTCGCATCAGGTCGCTACACGATGGTACCGAGCACCGGAATTACTCTATGGTGCACGATATTACTCGGCCGCGATCGATATGTGGTCGATCGGTTGCATATTTGGCGAACTGTTAAACACTTCTCCGTTATTTCCGGTAAACATTCTGTTCAGTTGAAGTACAATTTATCAAACTTTTCGAACGTTCCATGACAAATGTAATTATAGGGTGAGACTGATATTGAACAACTGGCTATAGTTTTGAAATTCTTGGGCTCTCCCACGTCAGAATCCTGGCCGGAATTAACAACATTGCCGGATTACAACAAGATTACATTTCCTTATCACAAGGCGGCGACGTGGGAAAGTATTATTCAGGACGCACAACCAGAAGCTATTGACCTAATCAGGCAGATCTTGATTTACAATTCGTCACAACGTCTGACGGCTAATCAGGTGGTTATACACCATTTATCTTCTCTTAACGCAAACAAGACTTGTAACTTCGTTCATCGATTTATCACGCAGGCATTGTGTCACATATACTTTTACTCGAGACCCTATCCGTCACTGAGGAATCTGATGAAACCACCGCAGGATCATCGTCTACGTGTGAAATCGAAAGAAATCAATCCGAACGTGCAAGCGAGCACACTCTTCGAGAACCTCTTAAGCATCGTTTAACGTATATTTGTCATAATATATCAACTGTATACATTCGTACAGATGTAATTCTTTCTCTGTATTTTCAAAGAGATTAGACAAAATTGAACCTTCTGCTTTCGATCTACATAAATATCTTGTACAGAAAGGATAAATAATTTTGTAATCTTGCTCGAATTAACAGATACTTTTATGTTTTGTCGCTTCAACTACCGTTTCTGTAAAATGCGAGTATCCTTCTAAACACTTTTGGATTGTAGTTCTCGATTACTGGTCTGCCGTTATCATAATTAGCTTGGTAGAAGAGGGTTAAAGGCGGCATAGTGCACCAGAAATTCTTCGTACTGCTGTCGTTGGCATCCAACGAATTAAGTTGGTACGTGAAAAAGTGATAATGCTTTCCATCCGTGTGAATGCATTGCACAGTGACAGGCTCTGGCAATTTCTTCACAGATGGCCCGAATCTCTGACGTGCGCAAGCTGCCGCCACAGTGTAGGACTTGAGCATGGCACGACCAATAACCTGATCCTTCTTCACAGCCAACTCCGTCAGATTTTTAACTTCCTCCGGGTCGAAGTGCACGAAAATGGTGTGAACGTTTATCCAAGCTGACGTTGCACTGACAGCTGTTGGAATTAATATTGTAACAATGATCTCTTCTTATATTTCATCTCTCTGATTATTATATAATAATATATTAATAAAAGATGCACATATATATATATATATATATATATATATATATTCAGTTATATATCATATATTTTTTTTAGTAATAATATATAACTGAATTATATGAACAAAGCACATTAAACTTACGATATAAGTCCCCAATTTTATAGAAGTTTGTTTTGTCAAAACTGATGGTGTGATGCATGGGATAGATACTTGGAAGATCAGTCTCTATGTCGTTAATAGAACTTTCTATTGGTTTCAAAGGATCTGCCGACATGATCATCACGTCAGACCTTAGAATAAATTGAATGAGATCCGATTCTTTATCTGTAAAATATACTTGAATAGTTAGCTATGTAATATAGCATTTGGATATTTTTAGATCTATAAATGAATTACCCAAGTCTAATTTTGTAATTGCATCATACAACACGCATCGTTTCCGCGCTATATGTGGACCAGATAAAAATTCGCAAAGTTGTACGAATTTCTGAGACATATTTTGCCTAGAAAAATAAACGTATAAAATCTATATTATACATTTAAAAAATACGTATTTAATTCTTTTATCTTACTAACATTTTCCTCGCGTTGGTTATGCCATAACTTCTGGGAAACACCCATGCAGGTCTATTAGGATCTTTCCTTTTTGGTAACTTCTCTTGATGAGCATCATATATGTTTGAAGTGCAAATTGCTCTAAAATCACCAAGAAAAATATAAGATACAATTTAACTAGAAGTTTTAAATATATAATGCTTTACGTACCTTTTTACTATATCGTCTGTGTATTCTGGGAGATCAGGCACAAGCAAATTTTCAATATGACTCATAGAATTATCTGACAAACATACAGTATTTGTCAATATTTGTGCTTGAGAAACTCCTTCTTGTAAAACATTATGGTCTTTAAATGTCAGACATGCTTTGGCTTTCCAATCAGGATGTGTCTCGTCAAATATAACTTTTGGTGCAAATTGAGGTTCCAATGTAATCCTGATATCACATATAATTTGTATTGTGTTGAATGCATATGTTATGCTATGTGAAAGGTATTATTAGCAAACAATACCTTGGAAATATTTTTTTTGGCACCAATACTTCCAAAGGATCTTTTACTTGAATTCCCAATGTCGACAAGTATTCCTCTGCTCTAGTAATTCTAATCTTGCGCTCATGCTTTGAATGCCATATCTTTCTAATCATTCTACCTAGATGTTGTTTGAACAATACCTGTGTAAACTTCATTGTGTGTGTGCGTGTGCTTGATCTAAAATGAATAAATAATAATGTGTGAAATATAGTGAGAAATTGAAGGTTATGTTCCTTAATAGAGAAATGTTCTGTCAATGCACATTAATTACTAAACAATTTGATAAGTTAAATATTATTCAACATAATACACATAACTTACATCAAGAAAAGATAATAAAATCAAACAGAATAATCTTTCATTCCGTTATATGTCCAATATATGTTCATTCAATACATTTTCTACACATACCGAGTCCAATCTCTTCGGTCTTGTTCTTTTTAGTTGGCCATGTCCTACATAGGTATAGTAAGCTTTAAGTTTTAAGAACTTAACCAATCCCAGTCGATTATTCTCCTCATATTTGACTGTAATTGATTCATTTCTTAAGGCTTAAGGCTTAAATTTTCATTATAAACCTCGTTTAAAGCCCGTATCAGACTCCTGATTAGAGATTGAGATTAAATTGAAATTTGACCAATCAGTGCAAAGTTCACTAAATTTCACTAAATTTAAATTCAGTTAATTTAGCACTGATTGGCCAAATTCAATTCAATCACAATCCCCAATTCATAGTATGATACGAGCTTTAGTCCTAGTCTACAATAGGAGCTTTAAACTCTAAACCTTAAGAATATTGACCAATTACAATCGATGGAATAGTACGAACAATGCGACAAAAAGTGTAGCCCAGTGGCACTTCGACTTTCGCCGAGCCTTAATTATAAAATTTACTATTCATAATTAAATTAATAAAATATAGAATTCTTCTTCGATTATGAGGAATAGAAAAAAATCCACCTTATTTATACTATTATTTAGCAACCTTTTATTAACTGAAATTGAATGTTTTGAGTAAAAAAAATTATGCATTTAGCCTTTTATAGAGTTTGGTAACACTGTCTTTCAGATACGGTAGACGCTAAAGTGCTAAAATACGTTCAAGTATTCACTGCCAGTACTTCAAATCTATAGAATACGACATAAACTGTAGATTTGCAGTGCTGGCTGTGTATCTCGAAACGCACTTTAGTGTTTACTGTATCTGAAAGACGGTATTGCAAAAACTCCCTATTGTTAACCCTTTGCACTCGAGGGCTCCGGAGCGGAGCCATTTAAAATTTGTCTTCAAACTCGAGGGCTCCGGAGCGGAGCCCTCGAGTGCAAAGGGTTAAAATCTCCTAACAGTAAAAATAGATGCACAGGATATTCAGTTCGCGCGATTTTTAGGTTACTTCGACAGTTTCGACAAAAAGAAAGTTGAATGATGATATTCATCTGTTTTTACCATTTCTTTCTTTATCAAGTGCGCTACTTTCTCGCCTTGTTCGCGTTGTTTCTCCTTTCCAATTTGTTTCCTTCGCCTTGTTCCCAACATTTTTCTTGTATTACTATCTTTTTTATGACGATGTACGCTACGAATGTCTTTCTGTGTAAGTCTCATATACTTTTCCTCCTTCATTACTACTTTCTTTAGTCTGTTGTTAATCAATTTTCCGCTCTGCCACTTTGCCTTCTTCGCGATTGCCTGGTCTGATGAGAGCGATCCTGAAAACTTGGACTTGGACTTGGACTTTTTCTTTATTACTATTTTTGGTGTCTTTGTAGGTCTCGGCGACTTGACTGTCTTTATGATCTTTACCGATTTATCTGATTCTTCGCAGTGATGTCCATTCTTTACTGGTGTTCTTATAACGTTCTCCTTCGGCGTCTGTTCGCGTTGTACGAATCTCTGCAATATGACTTGCGCTGATTTCATCAATTTATCGTCCTTGATATTTCTGGCTTTTACCTCTCGTATGTGGGTGTCCGTTGGTGCTATATATATCATGTCACTATCTTCGGAGCTCGAATAGATCTTTGAAGATGATGTATTTATTCTTTGTATTATTAGCGAGGCTGATTTCAATGTGTTTGTATCTTGTATATAGGGCGTTGGTGTCCCTAGGCTACAGTGCTTTTGTTGTTTCCTCGGTATTGATCTCTTCTCCTCGGTTGTCTCCTTAATTACTTGGTCAGGCGAATATATACTTGGTAAAGACACTTCTTGTGTCTCGGTTTTCGTGGCAAATCTATGATGTAGTGTTTCAAGGTTTTCCGCAAGTTTTTTCACTGTTCCGTCCTTTCTTTCTCTGAAGTCATCAAATGTCGATTGACTTCTCTTTCTCTCAGTCCAATATAATGTTTTCTTTTTCTTCGACGGTGATGAGCTCCTCTCAGATTTCTGCGATTTGTCTTTTTTCCTATCGTCCGTTCGTTCAGCGGACAATCTTTTACTTTTCATGCCACTGATTGAGGACTGTTTATCCATGTCAGTTTTTCTTGATCTATCTCGCAGTTTGTGCGACTTTTTCGCTTTTTTTGATGGCGTTGATTTCTTACCGGGTAAATCGCTTTGTACAGTCTGTTGTGGTTCTTGTTGTTCATTCATCATTGCCTCATCGATTTCCTGTATCTCCCTCTCCTTTTCCGCTATCTCCTCAAGTAGTTTTTGCCTTCTTCTCTTCCTAATCATCCTTCGTTTCTCCTCCAGTGATTCGTCCAGCATGCTTTTGCGGTGCTCAAGTTCCTCTAAATCGCTCGACGATGACGCCATTGTACCAATTTAGCGATCCTGCAATCATACATCGCGCACATGCTTATTCGTGTTTCCGATGTTTCCTCATCGCTATCATTTATAAAAATATTACGTAGCTTAAATCCCTCACTTTTTCTGTTGAATTCAGATTCTCTCTCATTGCTGAGTAACGACAATAAATTGTCAAAACTCCATCGTGCCATCAATGTCATTGTTTTATAATCCTCTTAACATCTTAGAAATTTAATCGGGAAAATGTTTTCATTTAACACGCTCTAAGATATTTACGATATTATCATATAAAATGAACCATCCTGTATTTTCTCGTGTTACCGACAAATATTAATGTTTAATGTTACTGTACTTCGCGCCACTTTAACAAATATCCGTCGAATTAGCTATAAATAAATCGATTAGTTCTGCGAGAAAGTTCTACTTGTGTTACAGTCAAGAGTAAACGCTCTTTCCGCTCTATCACACTTGAATTTACATAATGACCGTTGCGAGGGTACATTAGCTTCGGAGATGGTGGTGTAGTTTTGGCAAAAGTTACGGCATAGATATCGGGCAGGACGAGGAAAAGATTCGAATAAGGCGGTCAAATTATTTCGTCCCGTTGCGCTCGGCGCACTTTTTGCCGGCTACCAAAACTCCAGCGATAATTCAACTACAGCTGCTCGACACTTTAATAAACTCGGTAGCGAAGAGGCTCGCACTAAGCCAAACTAGCGTATATATCGTGCGTATTCTAACGCTTCGTTTTGTGGAAGAAAACTTATGCCGCGATATGATTTTTATTGCATATATCCGTGGAAAGATGTGAGAAACGGGCGAAAGTTAGAAAAAGGAGAAATAAATAACGCAGAGAGAAGTGTTTATCACACCTTTGACGTATCATAACAAAAGGAAAGGTTTAGTTTTCAAATATCATATTTGAATTGTTTTTCGTGCGAACAAAATAACCAATCGATCCTTCTCTTTCCTTTTCTTCCCGTGCGGAAGAATTACAAAAATACGAAAAAATTACTGACATTCTATTGTAAAATTATTGTTTTTCAACAGTATATAGCAGTAATTTTTTAATATTCTTGTAGTTTTTTGCATACGGGTTCTTCCAGACTTGAATAGACATTGTAAAGTTCGCGTAATATATTAATAAGTAAAAAAATAGGAGTTTCAAACGGCACGCAACGCGACGCTCATTCGATGTCGTATATTCTCTCAGCCTGAAACCTCGTTATCCGTTGTTTCAGTCTCCACAGAGCGCAAACTGGACAAAAAATAAAACCGTTAGACAATACTCGATTCGTGAGTCGTAGCGCCGGAAACTTTCCGCGTTAATAAAATTTCTTTGGGCTAAAACTTAGCCGAGAAAACAGGTAGCTGACGGTCTACCGCCGCAAAATCGTGCGCATTTCACCTTTAAGTACTAAAACAAAAATTTACAGTGCTTGTATATCCCGTATGACTTTATCAATTATTTTACAGGGAATAAAAATTAGAAACTGAAATATTAATCATTCTCACTTGGCGATGACCTCTTTATATCAATATTTATTTTTTTGAGAATACAAGATAAATTGATATAATTCAGAATTAATGTTTAATATAATAACTTCTCAGAAATAATTTTTTTTTTATATTTAAAAAGAACGATTATTCGCGTGCATTTGGCTCCTTTTTTTTTGAAAAAGGTAATTTTTTATAGATTGCAATTACTTCAAAACACCAGTGCAGACCAATCATATTCTTTCTTTAAACGCTTCAAAGCGTTTGCCACTTCAAGTGGATCGTAGCCAAAACTTATTGAAGATCGAGACGGTGATTGCGCATGCGCGTTTCACATCTTCTTGAAACGACTTTATGTAGCGTGCTTTAGCTGCGCACATCGTAAACATAAATTAACGTTCAGTTCGTGCTCTGTGTCCTCACAGGTAGTCTCGGGCAAGCATCTAAACAATATATACGCAATATAAGAAGGTAAACAACCTTTATTTCTGTTTGATACTCATTAAGTAGCAAGCAATAATATAGAATTTAGTTGATTTCTGTGCTTTTGTAACCTCTTCTCTTCAAAGATCTTTACCTGAAGTTGTGGAGATTAGAAGGAATAGTCCGGGAAGAATCTAGACATGTGCCCACTGAATACTCGGCACAGAGATTAAGAAAGACTCTTACTACACAGAGAAAAACTAGAACGATACAGCTCTAACGGCGGGCTAGTCTCCACTGTTTTACTGCCGTACAGCGACAAAGGACTAGCCGTGCAGTGACAAAAGACTAGCTCACCGACGTGTGGTGGGGGGCGAGCTCGCATTTAAGAGAGATAGAGCATGGCCGCCACAAAGTAAGTTTCATTCATTTGACCACGTAATAGTTGACTAACGCTACGTTGATTAACGACGTTACGATAATATCCTGATTGACTACTCGGGAAGGATTACGGTCAATTGAAACGAGAGCAAGTGAGATTTTATTATCTGAAATACAAAGTACTAAATTTTAAAAAATGTAGAAAAAACAAACAACCTGTGAACAGCTTTGTGACATGTGTACTGTCTATTACTTTTATGAATTCTATTTTGTTCCATTTGTGCTTTAAACACCATCTATTTGTTTCGAATATATGAAGTGTCAAGGGTAAAATACATATAATTCAATAAAACGTAAACATCCACCTCGAAACCATTTTATCTTATTTTATATATAAGCTGCATATTTTGTTCACAGATATTCGCTACCTTATTCTCTCATCATTCTATATCATTACTAATTCATTTGGGCTTTATCGATATTCGATTAAGAACAGACTCAGAAAGATGACGCAATCAAGATCCATAAGTGAAACCCAAGATATACAGAACATATCTACACCTATAGGTTTACAACTATCTGGAAAATATACAAAGTAAGTATAATAATTATACTCTGCTACATTATGACCTCTAATCTCTTTGTTTCCAATGTTGTCAGTTTGTTTCTCCTTGTGTGTCCTATTGTGTCTCCTTTGGAAACAAGGAAATATATAAATAATCTGTTATTCGTGTTGCAGAAGTTTTGCTTACGTAACAATTAAGGATAGATTGCCAGTGATATTAACAAGAATTATTGATCACTTCAGTCGTAATAAAGAAGCTATAAAGAATATATATGGAGAGGTAATCTCATAGTTATTATATTGTAACATTATAAACGATCAAAAGAATATATATTGTTTTCAACACAAAAAGTAAAAAAAACACCAGTAAAATACTTAGAATACTTGAGAAATTGAAACGCATTAATTTGATAATCTCAATTAAAGTTTTCATATACTTTATAAACTGCGTATTGCTAACTATTACATATATCTAACAAAATCACATGTAAACTATACATATATATTTTATATACATACATATATATGTGTGTGTGTATGCATAATGTATAATAAATGCTCTTTATGTACAAGAAATAAATTAAATTGCAGGAATCCATAGATGAAATCAAATATCTTATAGGATTTGTAAGCAAAATGAAAAATGAATTAGTTACTAACAAGACTTTAAAGCCTTTGCGTTTGAATGACTTCACGTCCAATGATGAAGCAGAGGAATGGAATAAATATCTAGAACACAGGATAGATATAGAAGGTGAAATACCCACATGGTTCAATACAATATGGCTATACTGCGAATGCTACATGTACCGCGTATTAGCTCAAGAGATTAGTTTAACGTAAGCCTTGATGTACTGAATATGATACGAATTCATAACAAGCAAACTAAAATACCTTTTTTTTTAAACCTAGGGTAAAATTATCGCGTTATGATCCATTTGAAGATGAAAAACAAGCAAATTTTATTCAATCCATCGGTAGTATAAGCGCTCTTGGCTCTTATGTGAGGCATATATTGTGTACATGCTGGCCTGAAAATGATTTACAGACAGAGAAGGAAGAATTTCGAAAATTATTAAACGTGTCTTTATGGGGTAACAGGTATATATTGCAGCATTTCTACTTCTACCCTGTATGCAAAATTAATATAGATTAACAATGATGTATTGTTATATTTGTAGGTGTGATTTGTCTTTGAGCGCAGGATCTGACGCTAGTCAATCTGGCGATCCACTTGAAGTATTGGAATCTTTAAAAGAAAATATATTATCAAATGATTGGGAGCAAGTGTGGAATATCCTGCGTGACAAGAACGAAGCAGAGTGCGTTACAATTGATATAGTACTCGATAATGCAGGGTACGAACTTTTCACTGACTTGTGTTTAGCAGCATTTTTAATTGTAAAGAATCTTACAATTAAAGTAAGATTTTACGTCAAGAAATATCCCTGGTATGTGAGCGATGCGACGCTGCACGATTTTTATTGGATCTTAGAACAGATGGATTATTTAGACACATATCCTGACCTGCAATTGTTATCTAAAATGTTCTTTAATTTTCTGGATAATGAATTTTGGAGCCTAGAGGTATATTCAAACTTGGTCCTCTGAAATTTGCTTATTATTTTAAACTATGCGTTAAATTAATTTTTTTCTTATTGAACACAGGAGGAGCCATATTGGACGAGTCCATACGACTTTACGAAGATGAAAGAAAAGGATGTAAAATTATACGAAAAATTGTCGACCGCTAAATTAGTGATATTTAAGGGTGATTTAAATTACAGGAAACTCTTAGGTGACGTTAATTACGAGCATATTACAACATTTACGAATGCATTGGGAGATTTTTGTCCTACAAATATTGTGAGCTTGCGCACTGTAAAATCGGACATTTGTGTTGGATTAAAACCCGGTCTTTCTGAATTGTTATCTGAAACGGATGAGAATTGGATGATCACTGGAAAATATGGTCTTATTCAAACCAGTATTTTTGCTGATAAATCTAATACGCCGAGTGAGTTTTCGACATGTTCTGAAGAAAACGTAAAAACGTTATAAATTATTATAATCGAGACCTACTTCTATATTATTGTACAAATACAGAAAATAATATAGTACATGTTATATGTACAAAGGATAAAAAATGATGGCATTCATACATCACGACTTTTGTACTTATATCCATTGTAAAATAGTCTATATTTATGTAATTTCTCCCGTGCCATAGTGTATATCAATTGTAATCTGTATAGTTCATATATATATATATATATATATATATATAGCTAATGTATTTTATCAATAGATTGTGCNGTGTGTGTGTTATATTATATATATGTACATAAATAAAATCTAAACTTATGATCACTACTTCCTAATCTTTGACAAGCAAACATTTAACTATCTCGTAATATACATATAGTTACCAGTTATCGATTATTTACTAGACTTTTTTTTATGTTTCTAAACGCGATCACAATAAAAAGATATTATCGGTTTATTGGTTGTGACTTCTTTAAACTATGCGGCATAATAATAAAACATAAAAGGATGATCTTATCAAGTATTCATAACTCGTTAGTACATAAACATGATAATTTCTATTTTTTACACGTTTTTATACAATAAGTTGGAAGTGATTATGGAATCGTAAAGTTAAGATTTCTTCTCTTATCCTCAGTAAAGTTAAACAATACGCTTTTACATGACTAAAATTATATTATATAACTTATAGGTTCTCTGTAAGTACTATTATTTGTATCTTATATAATAAATTACGAGACGCTTTTATACATCAAAGTGTTATACAATATAAAATAACTTAATTTTATATCCAATTGTGTGTTACGAATAGACGTATTTCCGTACTTATACACAAATAGTAAAAGTTAGAAAAAAAAATTCAGAATGAAATAATAAATGTTTCTTGGTTCTCTCGTTTATTGGATTTCAATTGGCAATATATTACATATATATGTGCACATAAAAACTATAAAGTAAACTCCCATAATAGAGTATAATACTATATTTACATAATAATCAAATGTACAAAGTTAAATTTTCTACGTCTATTTTGATTTAAATGATTCGTCATTAATAAAGTTCGACGCTTTGTATTCTTTTCAAGTATAATTTATCACACATAAAACTAGAAACAAATTTTGAACTGCGTGCACTCATTTGCGTCGTGTAAGTGTACAATGATTAGTAGGCCAATCTCTTAAATTGGTAATCCGATATTTATATGTCAAAGATACCGTCATAAATGGAATTAATTATTCTTAAATTTTTACGACAAACACCTCCAAATGTAAAGATATGTCCCCCCCTCATTGCAAAACGTCAACTATGAATAATTACATATTTATGGTTACAATTGAGAATTTGAAAAAGATTTTTTTGTTCAATAATCTCCCACAATAGCGTAAGTTGTAAATATTTATTATTGTTATTATAAAACATTGTGTATTCTGTGTTGTGTATTTAACCAAGTAGAGTATTTAACTTAGTTCTCCATACCAGCATCATTTCGAAGAAATAAATGTTTTACCAAGTGGCAACATAGTACTCTCATCGCAAAGCCTGATAAATCATTACAGAATATTTCCAAATTAAATATATATAAATTATAATAAACACAATGTGCGTGTGTGTGTGTGTAACATAATAATTATAGTACTAGATGTGTAATAATAATAATGATGATAATATAATAATAATAGTAATATTAATAATTATTATTATATATTATATTATTAATAATTATTAAATTAGTATTATTAACCCTTTGCACTCGAGTGCTCCGGAGCGGAGCCATTTAAAATTTGTCTTCAAACTCTTCAAACTCAAATGCAAATAGCAAGAGCGGAATATCCTATACACAATAGTTTTCACGATTTGTCTTTGTCCTTATGTTATGAACTGAAAGTTATTTGCATTGTCTCCATAGCGGAGCCTTCGAGTTTGAAGACAAATTTTAAATGGCTCCGCTCCGGAGCCCTCGAGTGCAAAGAGTTAATAATTATAAAGTAAATTTCCAATAAATCTAAATTATGCTGAGATATAATTGTTCCACAAACTTTCAGAAGTAGAATGATATATTTTCATGACATAAAGTTGTAAATCCGAAATGTTTATAAACAATTTATGTATAAAGTGTATCATAGCATTCGTATTAATGTATAATTAAGTGACTAAGCCATCATCATTATAATTTCTTTATAACTGAATAATAGTAGTATAACTCTCTGAATTTTAAATATTTGCTTAAAGCTTTACTATCTTATAGTTTTATATAAGATGTAAATTCAATTAAAATTTTTATTACTAGAGAAGATATAAAATTTATTAGATCATATAAATTTCATACAAGATTTTATTTTTAATCAGGGTTGATCTTAAACATCAAAAACTTAATACTTTCCCGTTTTTTTTAGTTAAAATAACTTTCTGACATTCTGTATCGTTAAACTTACATCAACAGCAAAATTATCAGAATATAAATTAAAAAATTTTATTTTTATAAAGAAAAATAAATATTCCTAACTTTTTATACGTGACTTTTCAATAATTTATATTATTTTCAACTATTTTACACTTTAAATATGATTATATTTTTATTCGTATTCTTATAATCGCTGTTTTGAAATGAGTTTAACGACAACATAATATATACGATAAAAAAATTATTTAGTAATTTGGATTTATATTGAACAGAGACTATCATCGTCGTATAAAGAGCAAGTTTTTTACGACATATTATACATGGTGGTCCATTTATCTTTACCATTTAAAAAGTCGCTATTGCTTGTAGAAATATAACAAAATATTTGAGAACAAAATTATTTAGCTTAAATAGCGCCTAACCATAATATAGATCCTTTCTAACTATACAATTCCATATATCGCAAAACATATATAATATCTTATAATACGTTTTCCTTCTAATAAAATTTCATCCTGTAATAATTTAATTAATCCGACCAGCGGTACAACAGATAAAAGTTTACCGATAGAACCAAGTTCGAGTACTTCATTGTCACATGGTAATACTACTGGTACAAATTTGCCGCACATCAGAAGACATTGAAACAAGGTTATGATCTATATAAAATAAAATAATAATGTACAAAGGATTGCTTAAAAGTTTTATAATGTTCAAATAATCACCAGGAATGTGGCATTTTATCCGATGTCGCGTCTGCCATATGTGCAAAACTTGATCTATTAGCATTTAATCCGCATAAGTGAGTGAAGTAATTGATAGTTCTAAAATTAAATCTAAATTTCCTTTAAAGATATAATTAATAGTTAATGTATTGACACTAATTAAACTTAAAACTTAAAAAACAATTTAATCAAGACGATCCAAATGGATACACATAAAACATAAAGAGGCATGTGTACATTATATATTAAAAATTAATATTTAAAGGAATATATATATATGTATATACATATTCTATGTGATATATTTAGATTATGGCTATATATATATATAAGAACATATATTCCAAATTCCTTTAACAACAATATCATCCAGCATCCATTTTGAGGCACCCCGCACAGTATCCATTTGTAAATTCAATGAACACCAAGCAAAAAGTAAGTATTAGGACAAAATTCAGCATGATGGAGTTGATCTTTTTCTCGAATATGAAATAATGGTTACTCAGCACACAAAACATACATTCATATTTCCAGACTTGTTGGTTCATAATAATTCATGATATTTAAATATGAACGATCGTTTCATATATTTGGCTATCAAATGTATTAAATAACAATAATGGAGACAAGTAATTTCCTAAGAAATTCCCTATGGCGGTTGAATACAGATTATTTGGTCTGCATAAATCCTCCTTTATAACAATGATTAAGCGATACAGAAGTACCGCAAAGTCAAATACATATCGTATCTATTCATACTGTAGCAACTAAAGGACATGCAAAATTCGTGATTTCTCATTATTCACACTAGTTAACCGACACTTATTCCGTATCTGTATAACTTATGAAATGAATGTTACTTGGTGAATGCGGCGAACACAGCCCAAAGTACCGGATTCGCGTTACGTTTAGTGGCTTCTGCTTCGAAATCAAGGTCCAATAATGTCCGTACTCTTCTCATAGCCACTTCGTAATCATCGTCCGATAACGGCGCAAATGCATTTTCCAATACATCAGCTGCGTGAGCTAAAATAACTAGCGCTAACGTCCGTCTGTCCATGCGACCAGCGTCGTTCACCCAACGGCCTAACACAGCTTCTTGAATCTGAAAGAAAAAAAAAACACCAAGGTGTCATTGTTTCATTATAAATTACATAACTCATTACTGAACTATTCTATATGTACAATTGGACAATATTCTGTGTGTGTTTTGTATTTTTTTCATAATGAAATATGCGATTTATTCACAAATTTCTTCAGTATTCAAGATTCAAGAAAAGATAACAAATAATAAAATCATGCATATAAGCTGTTATATTGTATATAAGTTATGGTTTAAACTATTATCACTTAACTCCTACACATTCTCTAATCAATGCAGGCAATAAAGTATATACGAAGATAAGATAGTTTTATAGGTTAAATACAGAGTCTCTATCAATATTTACTGTACATATAATAAAGCATAATATTGAAATATAAATGTAATAACGTATATTACAAGCAACTAAATTATAATATATATACAAACTTAGAGAGATAAATAATTTACCTTTTTCACAAGACGACTTTTGGCAAGATTATCAGTAAGAGGATGAGTTGTCATATCAAACAATAAGAAATTCTGTTTCTCTGTTGTTAGGACGCCTTTTTCAACAAGATTTTTTGCTAGACGTTCTCTGACATTTTTCAGTTGGTATCTTAATTTTAAGGGATTCCATGTTTCTCCTGCAATTACATAATACATTTCAAGATGGACATCCCTGTTTTAGTGATAAATATTTAACTTTCTATTTCAGAAATTCCCAAGCAATTGTATAAAAACCCAAATCATTTCAGATATTATTTTAAACAACAAAAGTAGAATATTAATTATACTAGTTATTTTCCGAAATTCTTTCAACTTTTAATGATATTGAAACTTTCATAACTTTTACATACACACACATATACATAATATACATATATATATATATATATATATAAATAAGTAAATAAAATGTCAGCGGTATATGGCGAGAATACTCGGTTTATCATGTAAACAANTATCCAACTGGGCACTGTTTCGGGCGGATCCGTATCTTTTAAGTGTTTCAAAGCTTCATCCAACAATACATCTCCTGTAGGCGCATCGTTTTTCAAGAGAAGCTTTCTTGCCAACAAACTTTTCTTACGCATACCTGCTTTCTCTAGTTCCACTCTACCCCGAAAACCAAGTTCCGCTAAGATACATCCTCTTAATCCAGAACTTATACAATCGTTCCAGAAAGATGTATAGCCCTATAAAGGAAAAAAGGCATTGACAATTAATTCCAGATAACTCTGAACATACACAGGGAGATTATTTGGTAAATTTGCTTCATTATAGGTTAAATTCGCATATCAAATTTTCTTGTTAGTACATAATGTAACAGTTTGTCAGTCAACAAAACATATAGAGAAGAACAGATTGACTTAAAAAAAAAAACCTCCTGCTTCTTTTCTTTCATGACAGATTTTCCATATCAATAGATTTTCTGATTGTTAAGCAACAGACATACATTAAGCAACAGACTCTTAAGTTACCAATGATTTTGATATATTGGATTAATGTTAGTTATTGAATAATAGCAATGATCAGATCCACGAGAGATTGAATCTATCACAATCGAGCTCTCAGATGCACGATGTTTAGAGCAAATCTAGCAAAACATCCACTTATATGTGTCCAATCAATGTGTCATGCGTTCAGTTTCTAGTTTCGTTTCTGAAATATCAGCAAACCTCCTTATCCTTTAGACCAAGCAGTAGAACCTCCTCCATGAGCGTCAAGCGTGTCTCCTTGTCGTCGTCCTCGTCGATGGTAGGGTTGCAATTGAGGTCCTTTTGCGAGGACGAGCAGTCCCCGTCCGCACAGTTTTGGCCAGACAGTTTGTCATTGCCGTGACCGGTGCCGAGATCCGTGCACGAACCGTCTTGACCGAGTCCGCAGGCACCGCCGCCGCCGCCGTTGCCACTGTTGACCACGCGCCGTCGCTGCACCAGACCGTCACCGCGATTCATCGTGCGACGCAGCTAATACGACGGACAACTTGTCACGATACCACCTCGGGAGTACGTCCGCGTGGCGGACAGTACGGATGCACCACCGCGTCGTCCGTGCGCTACGTGTGCGACGACGCGATTCTCGCCGCCGCCGTCGTCGTCGTCGATAGTCGTGTCAATCGGTTTTTACAACGAGCTGGCAAACGTATGCACCATGCGGTAAACACTATACCGCTGTTGACGTTTATCCCAAAGCGACATATCTCTTTTCCAAGATGGCCAGCCGTTCTCTTTTCTCTCTCTCTCTCTCTCCTTCTCTGTCCTTTACTCTCTCCTCTTTCTCCTTCACTCCCTGTCACCTTCCGTAGCTATTACTATCTTGTATGTACAGGAATGTATCGCGATTATACGACGCGGCGTGAGACGCGCAAGTCAAGATGAAGATGAGAGTACAATACGCGTATGATAGGGCTAGCGGATTTCGATTCCTACGTTTAATCCGATGAACTCACCGAACTTGCCGCATATGCATACGTATATATACACACAAACATACCTGCATTCATAGAATAGCTCACACCGAATGGCAAAAGTACGTGCATACTATAGGTGCATATATTCGCAAGTTTATATATCCATAGTTCCAACTTATATTTAAATATATATTTTATAACAAATCCGGCCTCTTGCACTAGTGGGCATTAAATGCGCACTAAGGCTTATTTATAGTCCATTATCTTATATTATTATGAAAGAAGAGGCGAAAGCGTAATAATAAAATACTTTTTTTTACATCAACCCGATGGTATGATTGTTCTTGCTTTAAGCTCTTCAAGCTTTAAAGTGCTTCTTGAACGATCTCGATAGCATCATTATTGCGAAAGTTACAGCCTGTTGAATTTCGCCTATGTTCTATTACAATGGAAGTACGTTTGACGAGCCCTTGAGTCATACTACTTGAGAAATAAAAAGTACGTCCGCCTCCATCGTTTAGTCATATCACGATCTCAGTTTCTCGTTAAGTATAGTGGCGACTCGTAGCGGAGATTCTGGAAGCAAAATACAGAAATAACGGGTTTACGGAATTATTAAACCTGTTATTTGGCGTTAATGGTTGCTTTTTCTGACGGTCTGTTAACACGTTCTTTGCCAAGCTGAAAATTGGAATTTCGTATTTTTTTAATTTTTTAGTTTAGTTTTTATTGTGCTCAAAATAAGTTAATATATTATTTATATGCTTTTATTATTATGTACATAGGATTTATGTACTCTAAATATCTATTACGCGATAACGCGTGATCGGCCGTTTGGTGAGAACTCGCATCACGCGATATCGCGTGATAGGCAATGAACGTGTTAACCCATTTACATCCGTAAGCGGAATATTCCGCGCATGACAATCGTCTCCTACCCCCGAGCGCGGAATATTCCGCGAGTCGCGACTTTCTCTTATCACTGCTCGCGGAATATTCCGCGTATGACACAGTTCACGTTTTGTTGTCAATCTGTGAGCATTTGAGCTATTTTCATTGCATTCTTAACAAATCTTACTTTTGTTAATTGTTGTGTAGATCTTTCTAACTGCCGTTAAGAGTAAGTAGTATCAATCTATATCCAAATTCAAAAAATAATCTAATTTTATAATTTAAAATAAAATTTAGCTGCCCCAATGGACTATTTTGACGATTCGGATTCAAGTGTAGAAATAAGATATACTCGAAGACGTATCCGTCGTATTTCATCAAGTGATGACAGCGAAGTTGATCAATGCGGTAGTTTTATAAATGGAGATTACGTATGGAAACCCCAAAATCACACACCGATTGTACATGATTTTTCAGGCGTGAGCGGTGTAACTGTAAATACACAAAATCTGTCGAGAAGGGAAGTCTTTGAATTATTTTTTAACGAAGAACTAGTTAGAAAAATAATTTCGGAAACAAATAAATACGGAGCAACTAACGCAGATTTTGTACCAGTTACAGACGATGAACTAAAAATATTTATTGCTTTAAACATTTTAATGAGTTTAGTTCCTAAGCCCACTATTCAGAGTTATTGGACCAAGGATAAAAGCATAGAAACACCATATTTTAAGAATGTTATACCCCGTAACCGATTTATCTCTATCGCTACAAATTTACATTTTTCCAGTAATGATATTTCCAACGACCCATTAATAAAAATTCAAGAAGTTTCTGAAATAATAAGAAAGAATTTCATTCGCATGTATGTACCAAATAAAAATATATCGATTGATGAATCACTAATACGATGTAGAAGCTGTTTACGTTATATACAATTTATCAAAACTAAACGAGCGAGATTTGGTACTAAGTTTCATAAACTGTGTGATTCTAAAACAAGATACATACACAATTTTAAAATATATGTAGGAAAAGATAAAACTAATACTGGATCTGCTAGCAGAAATGTTGTGATAAATTTGTTGAAAGAGAGTAGACTACTGTACAAAGGATATTGTTTGTTTATTGATTATTGGTACAGTTCACCGTCTTTATATCGGGAATTATATAATATGCGAACAAACGTATGTGGAACAGCGAGAATGAATAGGAAAGAAATGCCTCGGGAACTAAAATTACTCCAATTAGAAAAGGGAGAAGCTGTTGTATTTTCTACAACAGATATGGCGGCCATAAAATGGAAAGATAAAAAAGATGTTGTTTTATTAACAACTATGCATAATTTAGATTTTGTCGAAACGGAGAAAACAAACCTATATACCGGACAAAAAAGTTTCAAACCAACAGTAGTAATAGATTACGATAAGAATATGGGTGGAGTTGATGTTGGCGATCAAATGTTAAGCAAATTTCACACTATGCGAAGATGTAAAAAAGCCTATAAAAATATATTTTTTTACTTCATAGACATGATGTTACTAAACAGTTACATAATTTTCAAAAACAATAAAAAAGATCGAGCTTTTCATGTTTACAAGCAAAAATTGGCCGAAGAAATTGTTGAAAAATATTTTGCAAATGTAAGAATAAGGGAGGTATCATCTATCAATGATTCGTTAACGCGATATACTGGCCGGCATTTCCCTATACGGATACCTCCAACACTAGCAAGGGGGAACAAAACATCAAAGCGATGCGTTGTATGCTTATCTATGTTACTTCGAAAAGAAACAGTTTTTAAATGCGATGTTTGCAATGTAGCATTATGTATCGATCATTTTAAAAAATACCATGTTAAATAAACTCTACGAACTATTCGGAAGTCATTTACGTACTGTAGAAATTAACGAAAATAATAAAACTGCCGATATACGGCCGCGCGCGGTGATACGGTCCAACTGTCAGTTGAACGCCGCTGATGTCTGAACACAGAAACTTAAGTAGAGTCATGATGCAAATGGGTTAATTTCAGTTATCCAACAGTGGAGCAGCATTTATAAAACACTGACAAATATAATTGATAATTGAAAATGAAGGTATAATTCAGCGATATTGTTAATTATTCAAGAAGATTGCGTACTAACATTTGCAGTAAAGCTCTTATTCGTAAAAACTGTTCTTGAAATATATTAATACCGATATAAAAAGACTATTTTATTCATCTCCAATTGCGTCTCATGTTCAATTCTAAAATATTTTATAGCGCAATTTGATTAAATAGCCCGACTTTCTAAATCTATATTTGGAACAGTAGGACTAAAATCACAGAAACTTAGATATTTCGATTGAAGTTGCATTTATTTTCGAGCACCTAAGTAAATATAAAACTGTTATACGCCTATATGATTCTGTATGTAACTATATCACTGTCATGTGTTACTGTTACTATATATATTTATATATATAAACTAACTTCTAATTACATACGAAATAGTAAATGTAGGCTTGAGTGTATACAGTAATATATATGGCACGTCAGTCTGTACGTTTATAATTACTTAATTATAATAATTAAATACTACTATATATGTTATCCGTCATCGTGAATCTTATAAATTGTTTTATTGTATTTGGCATTGTTCATGGCTGATGGCTCTAGCACTACCGTATCATCTCCATATATTTCTGCTTGTGTTTGCTCAGCATTTCAGTCACCGTTACCAGTTGTTTAATCGTCGACTACGAGTAAACGGAATGTAATTTTTATTTGTGTGTACTTTTTAAACGATCTCTTCATCTAGATAATTACAAGTTAAGGATTTATAACCATACCTGTGTCTTTGACAAAACCTGAAGTTCCTTCAAATGTGAGACGCAAATGTGATGTAATGTTGCTAAGTCTCTTGCGGTATCGGATACATAAGTGCTTTTGGTTCTTGGATCTGTACCTTCTGATTCTGGTTTTTCAGCGACATTCTGTTTAATCGTATGATTAAAAGATTTCAATTAAAATTATAAATTAACATTTATTAAAAAATAAATCTTTATAATTTCATTTAAAATTATAGGATATCACCCATGGATCTGGAAATACATAGAATTAAAATGAACATGAATTAAACTTACAGACAGCTGGTCAAGGAACACCACCATTCGTTCCTTATTTTTGAGTATAAATGGATTCACGACTTCCATGTACGGTTCCTTTCCACCAAATTCCACTAAATTAGCCAAATTTTGCAGACATTTCGCCACCATGACTAACGATCTACGAGTAATATAAACCATTTGCGGAGGGTAACAGATTGGAGAGGTATTCAAAAGCAGATTAATCCCGCATTTGCACGCGTCTAATTGATATATGAATTTACATACCTCGCAGCACCTGGTGGTGGCGGCTCAGCTATTAGATTAAACGACCTAGGGTTTAATATGGCAGGGCAGAGGAGACGTAGAAATATAAATCCACTGACAACCCGAGTTCTGACTAGTCTTTCATGTGGCCACTTAGCAACGACTGCTCTTTGCAAGCATCCGCAAATGTATCTGAGAGTCTTTGGACAAGCGTCCGGGCTCGTAAAAATACTCAATGTAACTTCATCCAATACCTAAAAGCAACAAGACGCACGTATAACATCTCCAATTATCGCCTAATTGAAAACACCGCAAAGAAAATAACGTACTTGTAGTAAGAATTCCGCGTTACTACACGCATCTTCCGGGGAATCCATCTTCGTCGGATTCAATTCGCAGCTCTGTTTACTTTCAATTAGTTTCACAATCGTATCACGCAAAGCAGCTTTTAAAAACGAAGTACATACGGACTTCATGTATAAGTCCATTAAGGTAGTAGTAAGACTTGCAGCTCTAAACAATGTTGGTGTCTCATCTTCTTTCTCAACCTGAATAAGAGAGATGCAGTTGATTATTATAATTCTATAATTAATATATTATCCGAACCAAATTATAACTTACTTCAGCTTGATTCAATGATCGTAGAAGATCCGCCTCTTTCCTTTCATGCCTAAAAGATCGTTGATGTCAAAATCAATGTATGTATATGTATAAAATAATTTGTAATTAGCAGCAGAAAATAATGTGTACCTAAATATTCTAAGAAGACTATTTGCCAAAGGTACTCTGTCTAAATGACATACATCCGCTAAAGCCTTGACAACATGTAATTCCGGATCCAGCAATAACTGCTGAAGAGGGCTGTACTCTTCAGGAGGCATAGCTAAATCGTGTCTGTATCTGTGAATGCATTTTCTCGAATAAGAAATATCTCTTAGTGCACAAATATCTCCGAAAAAATCGAATCTTTACCGCAAACGTAAACGTAACGCTCCCCATTCACCGATAGGCGTAACACCTGATAACGGATACCACTCGTCCATTTCTTCCCCGTTAGTCAAGCTCGCCAGCTCGACCGTCAATTCCGCGACTTCTGTGTCCTTGCTGCGTTTACCCTTGTTATACAGAGTCAGCGAAAAAGACATAACGTCCGGCGGTACGTCTCTGTTGAACGAATTCACGAAATAGTTAGTAAAAAATGTATACGGTGGTGGCTACTTTCTACATACATGATTAGAATACGTACTCTAGAATGAATTCCTCATCCCAGAGCGGATGTAATCCGGTTTTAACCTTCGTGCGAGCGACTTTAACATTGTTTAGAGCCACTATAATGAATGGATTCGGAACTAGCTTGTACGGAAGCCTATGGGCGTCTAAGATATGCAGGTGCAACGAACGTAATTCACGGAGGCGAGCGACTTTCGGGGCACGAGTGAGTTGTGACACACACAATGGTTTCAAGGCGTTAATCCAATCTAATGCGTTCTCAGAAGTGGGAGCAGCCAGATAAGTTATAGTGGCCAGACACGGTAAAGCACGTTCGACTAATTGGAAACAATGAGGCCTATCAAACACACTTTCGTGGACCTAAAAAGACAGCTTCGATGACTTATTCCGCGCTTATTTACCTCAAATTCGCCGTCGCGGCATCATCACGCGCGCATGCATGTTATTTTAACAGTTACATACTTTTTTATGTTATTCATTAGCGTTTCGATATGTTAATGTATGACGTCCCGTTGAACGTATTGTTGGGGAATGTTCTTATCTCTCACCTGGTATAAGTAAGCGCAGCTTAAGTCGATGAGACCTTTTGGCTTGGTTCTTTTGGGATTGTCGTACAGGTAGAGATGCGTGTCAGTAGCATCTACCAGCAACACAAAGTACAACGCTTTCCACTTTTTATTCTTCTCGGATTTCTTTTCCAGGTAGCCCTGCATTTTAATCCCTTTGTTCTTCTTCGCTCCCGATTGCTCTCGACATTCTCGCAGAGTCGCGTAGATTTTCTCGGCATGTTGAACCTCTCTGTTAACTCGGACACTACCGTCGGGTTCGGTCACCATTGCTTGAACCAAAGTATGCCCCTCCACGATTTGTTCCTTTCGATATCTGCGGTGTAATAGAGACGGAGTGAAATGGTTGCAACGGTCAAATGCGTCGTTTCGTGCGAAATTAAGACAACCGGAAATATATACCTGTTAATTACAGCATCGAGACACTCGAACGTTCTACCTCCCATGAGGTATCGCACTCCTTTTTTCTCAATTCGGAATCTTTGTATCTGATTGTTTATGTGGAAAAAAAGTGAGTAATCTCCCGGACTATTGTCCGATGGTCTGACCTATTGAATGACGATATTAATAATGAATTCGCAAAAGTCAAGTAAAAGACGCAATTTCGAATGAAACCTATTGGGATCGCTTACTAGGAAACTTCCAGGTCCTGCCTTCACCAACATGTCCACCGCTTCGCTTTTGGTGACATTGGGATGGAACCAGGAAAACACTGTGTTAGGATCTATTGAGTCATCGAGATCCTCCACCAATTCCCGAAATATTAAACCCTGTTCGCCAGTTCTATGAGCAGTTACCCACAACCATCCATCACCCATGTCATTGTGCACAAAAAATATATCTCCTTTCTGAAAGCTCAGCTCGTCGGTATCTGGCATTTTCGTATATGGCAATATCGCGACAATTCGTTTCTTGTCGTTCACTGGTTCGGGTGGTGGTGTTGGGTGTATAAGTCTTTCTCTCTTTAGCAGATCAGAACAGTGAGTATAATATGCGACCAGATCTGATAGGCTGTTAAATTGGCGACCGCCTAAAACATTGTTTTAGATTAGATTTTTATTTATCAAATTTCTATGAGATAATCATATAAATATAGAAAGTTTTATCTGTGTCATTTAATCTGTAAAAATTATAAATCATGTTTTGCAGATCCAAGCTCAGTTAAACATTATATATAAAAATTGAAATATATTATTTTCAATGTCTCATATGTAATCCAAGGACGCTTAATTTCAACATCTCAGTTCCTACCAATATAATAATCTCCACAGACAGCTGTAATTCGAAAATGGTTTATTCCAGTCCTTCCTAAGTAAGATAGGACATAACTCCCAGGCTTCCTATCACTCTCACGGACCAGATAACTACCCATTTTACTCGCATCCCACAGTCTTTCCTCTGCTGTAAATCTATCTAATCTACCATGATACCACCTGCAAAAGATCACATCCTTCCAGTCATAAATACACTCAACTCTGTAATAATAACTTATGTACGTATACATATATGTCTGTGTTTTGCCCTAAAATTAGATTTTATTTTTAGAAATATATCTTTGCGTGTAGAAAATGAATAGACTATGTTCTCAGTCTCACTGATTTTCTGGCGGTGCCGTTAACAGAGTAGCATTTGCGCCATCAGGTTCTTCAGTATCCTGTATATCGTCCGGTATGTTTTCAAGAAAAGGATCGAATTCATTCTCGGCATTTAACGATTCATTCTGACCGCCATCCTCGCTTCCTGTACTGGGAGATCCGCCTTTGCTATTATGATCCATCTAAAAATTCATTCATCCAATGAAACGGATCTCATTCGCTTTATGTTTATCTCTGCATCTTAGCTGTCAGCGATTCGACTCACTTTGACAGACGTCAAAGCCAGTCTCCTCTCACCGGCGTAATTTTAGAATTACGCCGCCAGCGCGTAATTTTAAAACAAACAAATCGGGCGCGCTACGCATCTCTCTCATTGTCGCCGCGCCATGGTTTTTAATCGAGGAATTGGGAGTATCGCCGGCCGACAGCGATAACGATACATACCACCGCGAGATAAGTCGTAAATACAACAACGCGCGCGGATAAAATGATAAGGGAAGCGGAACAAGTAAATGAGGGTGGCGAGAAAATCCTCGCCGGTGCGATCGCCGACGTCGCGCGACAAAGAAAACTACGGCCGGAGGATGAATAATGCCTTTCGCACGTACCTTGGCATTGTTGGACACGCTGGGCCCACCGCGCACGAATTCCGCCATCCCGACGACACGTACACTCTCATACACGCGATCGCGAGGACACCCCGGCTCGTCAATTGAACGGCATGCGTCCTCAAAGCGCGATGTCTCCCCGCACCGCGATTATTTACAAAGGTAGGCTCTTATTAATATAAAATGTATTGACGTTTCCCGGCAGCCATTTTACTATTGCACGCGCCGACCACGGTGTACGCACTTGCGAGAGGACGAAGCGAACGCTACTTGCCAATCTGGACGGTCGGTAATGTCGCGACAATCTATGTTTAATACATTGTCGATGTGGGAAACTCGACATAACTTATCGACAAATCTGTTTTATCAGCCTCTTTTCAAATTTATCGTGACGTAGACCGCTAAAATATTTTAATATGAAATGCTTTTGTTAAATCCTCGATATAAAAGTATGCTATATGATCTTTTTCAACTTTTCTTTAAAACATGTCACAAAGTATCGTTCTAATAAAAAAAATGTTTATCTTTCGAAGTATATAAGATATGTATTTTTAATAAAACCTCGATAAGAAGTCACTGCTGTAGTATTGAAGATTTCTAAACTTTATTAGTTTATTATAGTTACATTAGTTATAATCATTATAGTTACATTAGTTATAATCCGTACAGAAAAACTATTTGTGCAAATGCAACTATTAAATTTCAATTTTATCTTTCTTTAAAACTTATTTTCAACAATCTTATTAATAATGATGATCTTGTGACAAATGAGTTACTACGGGAAAATAATTGTTTAAGTCACATTTTATGGTCTGCCATTATGAATAAATATACTTGTATTGTTTCTAATTTGCTGACTCAACCTGACTTGGCAGTATTTTTGCATTACTATCTATAGTTCAAGTTACGTATTCTATAGTGGGCAATATTAGTGATTAGTGGAACGCCGAGTCAGGTGGAATTAAGAAATTAGGAACCCTATTATTGATAACGGCACATCATAAAATTATTCAATAAACTTTTTTCATAGTGATAATTTTTTTTTTTACCGATTCTTACGTCACAGAAACTATCATTGAATTTTCCATTTTAGGTAATAAATGTTATCACTTCCAATTAGTTAGTTATTCATGTTTAAAATATCAAGTTTTTCTTGTTCGTAAAAACCATTAATATGTTAAGTAAAACTATTTTTAAATGTATCGCAATACTTGGTTTGAAACAGTCACTCCGTTTCGAGCGGTCGTCAGATAAACTTTGCTTTTTCCTTTACATAATAAGTAACTTCAATATACGTGTAAGGAAAAGGACAAGAGAAACTATAATCGTGGAAATCAGACGTGCGGAAAACGGAATTTCAATAACACCATAACAAACACCTGGAAAAAAGAAAGGAGAAAACTTGACGAATAATACGCGGTACAATACGAAGTGTGTCAGCTTGTTTCTCCGTAAGTAGAATGACGTTTTATTATCAGTTAGAGAGAGATAGGGTGGATATTATTTTATTTAATATACACAAAATTTTATAACATGCTTGTGTTGAAGTGAAAATTTTGTCATAACGGTAATGAAGCGTAGGCGATGAAGCACAAAAATTCACGTGTTAATGATTAAAACAAAAATTAATGATTAATGATTAAGATAAAAATAAAAAAGTGAAATTGCCAAAATTAACTACAATAAATATTCTTCATAAGCGATATAAAACTTGTGTATTTATGAAGAGTTAATTATATTGACAGTACTATGATTTTATAAGATTTTAAATGTTCATAAGAAACAAAATACACTACAAATGTTTCTTAAATATAATTGTTTCAGTAGCTGAAGTTATTGCACATCATTGAATAAAACATATACCATAAAAGTGAGAATGGAACAAAAATCCACAGAGCTAAAACTCACTGTGCCTTGGGGTCATATTGCTGCAAAAACATATGGCTCATCCACAGGAAAGTTTGTCTTAATGGTGCATGGTTTGATGGACAATATGGGTGCATTCACTAGATTGTTAAAGTATTTACCAATGGATACACATTATTATGTATGTGTAGACTTACCTGGTCATGGGTATTCATCACGTTTTCCATCCTGGATGATGGTCGAATTTGTGACTTATATAGATACAATATACTATATTCTAGAAGCGTTACAATGGAAAACATGTATTTTTATAGGGCATAGTATGGGTGCGCAACTCGGTATATTTTTTAGCATTAATCGACCTCATAGAATTGAAAAAATAATTGCTCTTGATGGACTCATCCCAATAGTTAGCACAACAGATGATGATTTTATAAAAAGTTTCAAAGAAAAATTTATGTTACTAAGACAAAACCAGAATGCAAACAATTTATACACCAAAGAAGAAGCATTATATGCTCTGAAGAATTTGCGGTTCGCAGCCTTAAATTCAGATGCCGCAGAAGCTTTGTTTGAGCATTTTGTCACAAAAGTAGATGGAAAATATAAATATACTAGAGATGTACGTTTAAGAATGACTATAACTTCATTATTAAGTTTAGAGCAATCGTACAGTATCCTTCGTAATCTTTCAGTTCCGTTGTATGTCGTAGTTGCATCTTCTGGTGCGATAGACCGTTTTCCTCAAATATTTAAAACAGCAATAAAATCAATAAATCCCAAAAGTTTATCTGAAATATTTTATGTGAGAGGAAATCATGATGTTCATAATAATTATCCTGAAAAAGTCGCGCCATTTATATGCAAAATATTGCTTAATGAGAACACTAGTAAGTTATAAATAATGAGAACTCTACTAAGTTTAGTTGTTATCTATCTTCAAACCAACTTAGTAGGACGTGATAAAAGGTTCAAACTGAAAGATTGTTACTTAACAAAATATAATTAATGTATTAATGATATAACTTAGGTTGTGGTATTTCTACATGGGAAACGTTTACAAAGGTGGTTGATTATTAATAATAAAATATGCGGCATGTCGTTACATAAAAAATAGTTACGTAAGATTTATTTACATAAAAAAAGTATGTTTTTTTTCTATAAAAGTCAAGTTTAATGAAGAATTGTGTACAAAATTGTAAAATAGTTTATATTTTGTAGATTTTTACAAATGTAGTACTGCGATTTTTACCAAACCTTTCATATGGTGGACTTTAATTTTCACTTCTTGATCTCCCAATATAATATCTCGGAAATCATCTTCAAAAACGACCGCAGTATGATTCATAAAGGAGTCATTCTTTTTTGTGTCATATATATGATCCGGACCAAGCTGAATTTTGTACCAACATATTAAGGCATTCGGTAAAGTTTCCTTTTTCGCACTACTTATTTTTCCAAAGTTCACAACTGTTTCAGTAGTTTCCGTTTCGTTTATCTCTGCCAATATTTGTGGTTCAGACAAGATTTCACATGAATATAAGTTCGAATTCAAATCGAATATTTGATTGATCTGTAATAGAATGAATGGAAATGAAATTCAGCTGATCGAGTTTTACTTTAATGTGAAATTCTAGTTGAGTTATATTTTGTACCTTGTATTTGTTAATGTGTTCTGCGATTATGTAATTTGTACTTGTATTTCCTCTATTATTATATGTATGTGGACAGTCTTCGTTATTCGAACTCTATAAATAAAAATATATTTTATATATATATTATATATATATATATATTTATATATATATTATGTTATTCGTTATAACATTTATAATTTTATTTTTAGCAATTCGATACTTTCTCGCGTCTATATACATATAAGTTATATGATAGAAAATTATGTATTAAAATCGCATCAATATACCATTTCAGTATAAAAGTTGAATAAACCAGATGTTTTAAGATTTACATCTTGTACATAAGACATATTTGGCAAATCTTCCGAGTACACCAACTGTCCCATAAGAAAAATTTTGTCCGGCAATAACGGGCTCTCCGGCTTTAGAAGACATCTGAAACATAGGATTGATGTAATATTTTTAATACATACAGTTGTAGAAAGTACATACAATATGTGTGTGCGTAGATAGTATATAAAATATTTACCTTAAGATTTCATGACGGCTATCTCGCAATTCACCTTTAATATCAAAGTTATGAACGAATATAGAATCTAAGTGGCATGGAATCTCATCGTAGTTTGATATCGTACGTACTTTCCCCTGTAGCTTGTTATTTCGGGCCACGTTCTCAACCAGAGAACGAAGTGTTGGATTATCAGTTTTGTAGTACAAAAGCTCACTATCTTTACATTCCTTCAAGATCGTTAAACCATAAATCGGAAAAGGCGAAATATCTAAAATATACTTTATGTTTCTATTCTTATGAGATCTACCGATCTCGGTAAGTAATTTCACGTAATCCAAATCATTCAGGAAGACAATGACCTCTTTTGGTAGATGGTACAAGGATTTACAAGCCGTTACGTTAAGTTCTGCGTTGCTCATATTACAAGAACACTTCAATTTACTCATCAAAATCTCCGCTTTTATTGTTACGACATCACCTTCATGGCACGCGGTGTGTAACGTCGGAAAAACAGCGAGGTCCCAACAGGATTTCCTATCAGAGGAATCCAACGTAATTTCCTCGTCGAGGTGTAACTTGAACCAAGTGACAAGACCATCTATGATGCCATTGCATTTACATTTCGCTCGCAACAACTGCTTTATCCCGTCCTTGTGAAATTTTCGCAGTTCTTGCAATTCGTTGAAATTTACGTGGAAGAGCTTTTGCGGCTCTGTAATATATGTAATTTGAACATTTTGCAGATTCTCCGCCTCATAATAATCGTCGTCCGGCAATACGGACACATTGTCGAAATTCAAAAGGCAAATATCTTTCACTTTCTCAAAAATCACTGACGATCTGTATCTAATATATTCGCATTCGATGGCTGCTGTATAAACCGTCGCGCCCATAGGTATTATCATACCATATAAATCTAAAATATTCATGTGCACGTTAATCAAAGACGGTACTACAAGCTCCCCGAACAAGCCGGCATCAAACGTTTCAGTCACTATTAATTGTACTCTAGAATTATACAGGTATATGTACATACTTTAATGTCGATTAATGCATTATGTTAATGAAATATATGTATTTTGTCGCAACGAACCTTTCTGGAATGTCTGTAGGTACTTTAAGATCGAACGACAGCTTTGGTATTAATTTTATGTCCGATGCATTATTAGATGCGAATACTTCTTTTGCGATTCGCGTCATTGCTTCGGAACATTCACATGCATAAATCTTTGTAGCTCCTGCATTTTTTGCATATAGACTCAAAAGTCCTGTACCAGCTCCTACATCCAATACTGTATTGTATCCTTGATGGATTCTTTTACGTATGGCCTGTTCAAAAGCATTATTTCTGTGCTTGTCATTGAGCATTGGAAAATGCCACCTGTCCACTGCCATACTGTACGCATTTTGTAAGTTTCGTTCTGCTGGTAGAAAGTTAGGATCGACTTTCAAAGCTCTTCTTAAATATTCTATCGCTCTTATGGAATCGTTAGTCCTTTAACAACATATATGATATTCTCTAAGTTTTTAGATGAAAAGTAACACAATTACAAGAAAAATTAAAAAATGAAAAGTTTGCGCTCCCTGTTAAAGATGGTTGAAGCAAGGACTAAAGTGTTGGAATTTATGATTAAACATTGTAACGAAATTTTATAACATACTGATATTAAAAATATTTTGACACTAATATTTTATAATATTGCATTATAACAGCCATGTATTAGCTCTTAATGGCTCTTTTCATTTTCTAATTTTTGATTGAACATCTAGAGAATCTTATTAACTTCACTTTATAATTATAATATTTATTATAAAAATAGTTGGAAAATTTAAATATACTATGTATTTCAGAATAGAAATTATCTTACCTTAACAAGTGTGCTGCAAAATTATTGAGCATACGAGGATTGTTTGGATAGATATCTAAAGAATACTTATAACAGCGTACAACATCAGATAATCTGTCGTTGTCTGCCAGTTCTATTCCCCATGTACCTGAAAATTAAAAAATATATATAGCAGCATATAACACAAAAGATGATGTAATAAATATTCTATGTCTTACATAGTATATCTGTAAATGTTTCTTCAATTTCTGATCTTTTCGCAGGACATAATTCCGCAACAATAGTGTAATATGCATAAGCTTTCCCAAAGTTTCCATTCCTATCATGTTCTTTAGCCTTTTGTAAGGATCTCTCTGATATGTCATTTACTTCTGACTGCATTTTGGTTAGGTTTCCTTTGAATCATGTTTACATTACAATTATTGTCTATATAGAACTAACAACAGTGATCTTGTCATTAAGATGTCATTATGATATGAACACTAATGATTTCAGTCATCACCATTAATACCATTTCCTTTCTCACTTTCGATATCCGCTAATTATTCAAATATAAATTTAATCTAACCTAACATTTCTTAACACCTAAAACTTGGACATTCAAACTTTATTGCGGCTAAAATTGACGATTTTGTTTAAGATGAGGGAAATCAAGCATAAACAATTACTACGATTGATTTGCATGCATCACTGGAAAATAGTGAACAACACTTTCGACTGAAACCAAAATATTTGGGAGTACCTTTAATATGCTAATTTTAATCAATCACATGACATATCTTTAGTTTCAATCTACAATATTACCTTCACTGAGGTGAAAATTAAGAGGTTTTCTACTTTAAATATTGCAGAAAAACTATCTCCAACAATAGTCGGCGATAATAACCGGCTGACGGTTATGTGACTATAATCGAAACCAACTCCAAAATGTACGTCAAATGTGAATGGGAAACCTCTAAATATAATCACAAAAGCCTATATTCTGAACACCCTTTTATCGATAAAAGTGCCTTAAATATGGCTTCTCAGCCGATCGAATGGGATTCTAAGCCATTTTTAGAAGCACGTTTACCAATAAAAGAGAGTCCAGAATATGAACCAAAGCCTTTGAGGGAGGATACGTCTGTCTTGTCGTCAAGGACGAGGAAACAGTTAGCGTATTTTTATTTTTGAAAAAACAAACGAATCGCTGCTTTACATGTCTCTTGTTTCGTCGTGAAGCCGTATAAGTTGAAAATAAAAGGAAGACTGGCCACTCGTTGAGTCGCACTACTTGAAAACATAAAAGTCTTCTGGTCTTGCCATTACCTTACTTACAATTTTTATTTGAACGACATTGACGATTAAAGCGAAACCGATATCGATCGGGGCATACGTTACATTTTCTAATTAACCGGTATGACCAGTCCACAAACAGTCTTACACATATTTGTATTGATTCTCTGACCATTGTCCCGTTATTTCAGGTGAACCGAATTATCGTTGCATGCAAGCAACGTAACTGTATTTTACCATCGACAGAAAGGATGGAGTAAATTCGCGCAAAGCGAAGAGGAATCAGATCATGGAACGTCGCTTTCCAAACGTCGGAATACGGACGTATGCGTTGATGATGATGATGATGCTGGTGGTAATGGCGACGACTCGACCGAGCGGGGATAATTCGATCATCTCCGGACTTGGATTCATGGGCGTTCACTCGGTGTCGCCAAAAAAAGAAACGCCGGAGAGAACGATTCGGTCATGCCTCGAAAGACGCGGCCCATATATGGTGCAATTGGCACAAATGCATGCTCGCCGCAGCCCAGCGACATGAATAATGAAGACCGGCTTTTTCGCGCGATTCTCCAGGAAGATTCGTTGTTTACGACGCGCTCGGCAACGGCTTTTACTCGCGCGTCCTCGGATGATCCTAAATTATGAATTATGGCGTGCGAAACGACAGTATTGTAAAATAAATAAATGCAATTGTGTCGACGACCTGGAACTACATTCACCGCGTGGAGAACTTCTCTCGCGAGGGATGAGTGCTGCGGTCCAGTGCGGGCCAATCGTGACGCAGCGTGAGGTCACCGTGGACCTATCGGCGTGTCCTGGAATCGTCGATTCCGGCCGGTATATAAATTGTCGCGCAAGCCTGCTCGCGTACTAGTCGTTCGTTTGGCGAGGCGTTGCATAGTTGTTAGCAGAAGCTCCATTACTTGCTTTCGCCAACTATCGATCTCGCGTGCGGTTACTTCAACCCTTTCTCTTTCTTTGTAAGAAATCGACGAATAAATCGTGATACAAAATGGTGAGTCGTTGAATTATATCGTATTCTCCGTGGTATGTCGCGAGGTCTGTCGCGCGACACCGCCCATCGCCTTCGCTGGAAATGTCGGCCATTTTATAACGGTCAGACGCCGGCCGGTTACCGTTTCTCTGAATTCAGATAACGTCATTTCTGTCTTGTCCGCCATTGCGGCAATTTACACCGCGTTTGTGATTTATTTTACTTCTCTCTCTCTGTACGTGCTAATTATTATCACGATCGAAGATTTCTCGGCAATATATACGTGTCGATTGTTTGAATATTATATGAATACCGCAAGGCGTTGACCTTTTGCGAGCTATTTTCGGAGATTCGCCATGTTACTTTCCCTCGGTATCCCTAATAATACCAGTCATTCGTTTACAAGAGAGCTAGGCACGATATTAACGTTTATGTGGTTTCTTTTCAGCGTGAATGTATCTCAATTCATGTTGGACAAGCTGGAGTGCAGATTGGCAATGCCTGCTGGGAGCTGTATTGCCTGGAACACGGAATTCAGCCGGACGGCCAGATGCCATCCGACAAGAGCATCGGAGGTGGAGATGACAGCTTCAACACTTTCTTCAGCGAGACTGGTGCTGGCAAACATGTACCCAGAGCAGTTTTTATCGATTTGGAACCTACTGTAGTTGGTATGTATACAGTTTATCTCAATTATATATTATATACCAAGTATATATATATATATATATATANATATATATATATATATATGATGTTATAAACCATATATTTCCATTGTTATATCTCCATTATAATTTTATTATATATAAGCTAATTATAATACAAAATGTATCGCAAAAATATATACAATGAATTCTTACTGTTTGTAGATGAGGTTCGCACTGGAACTTACCGCCAGCTCTTCCATCCGGAACAGCTAATCACTGGCAAGGAGGATGCTGCGAATAACTATGCTCGTGGTCACTATACAATCGGCAAAGAGATCGTGGATCTCGTATTAGACCGCATTCGCAAGCTCGCGGACCAATGCACTGGCCTGCAAGGTTTCCTCATTTTCCATTCATTCGGCGGTGGCACTGGCTCTGGTTTCACCTCCCTTTTGATGGAACGTCTGTCTGTGGATTACGGAAAGAAGTCAAAGCTTGAGTTCGCCATTTATCCCGCACCGCAGGTCTCCACCGCTGTGGTTGAACCGTACAACTCGATCTTGACGACGCATACTACCCTGGAACACTCAGACTGTGCTTTCATGGTTGACAACGAGGCCATCTACGATATCTGTCGTCGCAACCTGGACATTGAACGACCGACTTACACTAACCTGAACCGTCTGATCGGCCAGATCGTCTCCTCCATCACAGCGTCCCTGCGGTTCGATGGCGCACTGAACGTCGACCTCACCGAGTTCCAGACCAATTTGGTGCCCTACCCGCGTATTCATTTCCCACTTGTCACTTACGCGCCTGTTATCTCGGCGGAGAAAGCGTACCACGAGCAACTTTCCGTCTCGGAGATCACCAATGCCTGCTTCGAGCCGGCTAATCAGATGGTCAAGTGCGACCCACGTCATGGCAAGTACATGGCTTGCTGTATGCTGTACCGCGGTGACGTCGTACCCAAGGACGTAAACGCGGCGATCGCCACCATCAAAACCAAGAGGACTATCCAATTCGTCGACTGGTGTCCCACCGGTTTCAAGGTCGGCATCAACTATCAGCCGCCGACCGTCGTGCCTGGCGGCGACCTCGCCAAGGTTCAACGCGCCGTCTGCATGTTATCCAACACCACCGCCATCGCCGAGGCTTGGGCTCGTCTCGACCACAAGTTCGATCTCATGTATGCCAAGCGCGCGTTTGTCCACTGGTACGTCGGCGAGGGTATGGAGGAAGGTGAATTCTCCGAGGCGCGTGAGGATCTCGCTGCGCTCGAGAAAGATTACGAGGAGGTCGGAATGGATTCCGCAGAGGGCGAAGGCGAGGAGGGCGCTGAAGAATATTAAAGACAGCGATCTCTTTCTTAAAAAGACATGGCTCCGATGTTGAAATAAAGTATTAAACCCATTTGCAACGCAAGCTTGTTGTCATTATTCGACATGCCATCCAGTACTCTTTCCTGAACCATAGTTGAGTTATTAATTTACTTTCAACTGTATCGATTGCGTTTAATCGACAACTCCCGGGTTCGAAATGCGGTACATAGAAGGTAATTGCACGTTCGTCATGTTAAATGTCACTTTGCAAATAACTAGGTCTTTAGCCTTTGTAAATTTATATATTTCATAGTACATGAATCTTGATTATATATTTGCAGTTTAGGTGCTTTATCAATGATTTATATAGGTGAGAGATTGATTATATGTGCTGCGAACAGAGGTAGTGATTAATGATCGTATTATTGGAAAAATAATTTGTATATTTCACTCTTACAATAGCAATTTCAAGATAGCCAGACGCAAGTATATCTGCGAAAATTGGTTATTTCTGAAACTTGATTTTCTGTCGGGTGCAACAAAGCTTGCAAGATAAATTCCCCAGATTGAATTTAAAACAATTGTATAAAACTACTTATAAAAGTATAGATTTTTGAGATATATAGTACAAATAATATAAATTATTCGATCTAACATTACATTTTAAATTATTCGGTTTCAAGTTACATTTCGAACTTGTCACGCAAATCAACGTCGATTATAATACATTAATTATTACAATGATCCTTGACTTTTTCGAGTAGCTCGTTACAGGTGAGCTGTACTCACTTAACTACAGTAAACAGCAACTGTTTAAAAATTACTATATTCAACAAGTGCCGACTTTGTGAATATGTTTCGTAAATTCGAGAAACGAACGAATAAACTAACGACGTTAATTCAGTCATCTAATTCCAGGACAAAATCCTCATCATAAATGTCTTCGTCGTCCGTATAATAGTAGTATTCCATATACTCGGCGTGAAGATCGAAGTCATCGTCATCGTCTGGTTCATCGGGTATCACACCGCGATACAACATTTCGAAACACTTGGATTCTGGATTACGAAAGTGTAAGTAGGGTGCCTCAGGATTGAGCCGCATACCGCACAGCCAACAGAAATATGTGCCACAATGCGAACAGGTCATTTTATTACAGCCATCCGATTTCTGAAACGATTTACCGTGATATTTAACTAGTAGTAAACAATACGATCAAATTTGCAACAGAAATGAATTTGCTTTCAAATGATCTTAAAGCCCCTGTGGCTATGATTATCTTTCTTTGATGACATCAGGAGCGAGAAATCACATGCCAAAATATATTGCGGTATATATGGAAATAAAAGAATATACGCACAAAATTCTTTCAAGGTAGAAGTTTCTTGAATCCTTTTTTAAAAGGTGAATTATTTGAGAAAGTTGAATTCCTACCTCAATAGCGCTCTTGCAGTGAGGACAATTATGGCTGTTGTCGTTGATCCAATTTTCAGACATAGCGTTCTCTATTAGAATCTGGAGTTGTCTCTTGCCATAACGTTGCTCCATCTCAACCTTCTTTTCGTTACTTCCAGATTGGTATTCACTCACCAATCGTTGTTTCTCAGCTATCGACCAATCAACGTAATTAATATAGAAAATAATTCGAATTTTTCCCTTAACATGAATGTTTGGTTATGAAAAGTAATGATTTATGTTAGCGGAAACTGGCTACATACCTGTACTGATTTTACAGGGTTCTACTCCATGATAAACCATCCTACAACGAATACAGAATGCATATTGGCAAACGGGGCATTTCGCCATTTGATCGTTAAGATCGCGAGTAACTGGATATTGACAGTGTCGTCGTGGGCAATAAACGATGTCCATCATAGTGTCTAGTGTGGCGCTTAACAATATGGAATCATACTTCGAAAATAATTCTGAACTCACCAAATCTTTTATCTGTAAGAAAACCAAAGTACGTTTTACATAATTTCACCAAATGCTTCAATGATTGATGATTCACACAAGCAGCATGTATAATGTCACCTGGCCAGGTGTAGCCTCGAACTTGCATTTTTCCTCGGGACAACAAATATTCTGTACACTTCCCTCTTTAATTCTCACTTCGAAGTAACCTCTGATGCAATCTTTGCAGAAAGTGTGGGCGCAAGGCAGAAACTGAGTACAATGCTCCCCTGATTTGTCAGTGAAGCAGATATTGCAAGTGTAAAAATTCTTTTTGAATTCTATTTGTTTACGTTGCTCGTTGTAGTCGACCAAGACTTGAATAGGATTTCTGCCAACCGGACATTCTAAAATCGCCCTCTTATCGATGGAATTCGATTTCTTTGATGCAGTGCTTTCTTTACTGACTTCGCTGATACATTGTTTCTGGGATTCACCAGTCTCCTTACTCGCTTGCGAAGCTTGCAGTTTTTCTAATGTCTTCTTATAAGATGTGTACATGTAATCCATATCCAAATATTCTTTTATCTTCAAGAACTTGAGCGTTTCATTCTGGAGGAATTCCACCCATGTGAATAAGATCTCCTGCTTGCTGCTCTCCCATAACAAATCTAGCTTTTTACATAGCTTAGCTAATGCCGATGGGCGTAACCAAGAGGAACATAGTGTAAATGTTGGAGCTAATATGGATGGATAATCATCTGGTAGTGTAACATGTAACGTTAAAGGTGGTAAATACGATATTTGCACTTTCTGCACAGAGTCTACTTCGTGTCTCAGATCCTTGTATGTCAGATGATAAGTTGTTGGAAGATTGACGAATATCTTGAAAGTACAGTCAAATCGGTTGTTCTCCTCATTATATGAAAACTCTTCCTTATTGTAGATACTTTCCAAAGCAGTGACCTCATCTTTTTGTTTCTCGTAGTCCATTGACTACTACAAAATGAAACTGATTATTATGTTTCCATGCCCTATATGGGAGCTGATATTAAAAGAATGTCGAAATTTCACGACTACGTCGATTACTTACCAAATCTGGAGCTCGTCACACGTTAATTCAGGAATGATATTAAACTTCTCAATTACTCTTGATCGCTTGCTGATTTAATTGTCGAAAAAGTTAAGCGTGTAAATGACAGTCCGAAGGGGTTATGCGCTCGTCGACTTCTCGGACGATTTGGAGTTTGCCAGATTCCTTGCGAGATGTGGCTGTACGATAGAGTTCGTTCAATTTTACCAATCGTCAAACATGCTGCCAAGATAAATAAGAAAAAAAAAAAAAGAATAAAAGTGAAGTTTTTAGCAGTCTCTCGTGGATAAATATACATACCGTGCGTTCGCGTGTTCAGCTACCACTGATACCATGACACTGCGCATAGCGCCTTTATGTAGCTGTACTTTCCGTGCCGATGTAATACAAGTCAGCGAAATTGATCACGACAGATAATGCAACATTGTGACAGGTACAAAGTACATTATCAATCAAATCAAATACCTCAATTTCTTGAAATTTTAGTTAAAAAATATAACTGATATAAGAGAGGCAAAAACCAATGTAATAAAATAATGATAAAAACAAGCAGGAAATGCCTTCTCAAGTAGAATATAGACAAAAATTGCTAATTTTTAAATAGTTAAGAACATTTAAAATCATTGTAGTAAAGGCCGAAATAGATATGTACATTGTAATAATAGAAAATATTTGTGTACTTATAAAGACCGTATCGTTAAAATTTTATTTGTACGAAAGTTCGATTTCAATTGAATCTCTCGTTGAATGGCACCTCTCGTTAATAACAAAAGTATACGTTAAAATCTGCAAATATATCAATTATTTTTTTATCTTACCTTTCATCGATCTCGTCGTAATCGATTTCGTCGATTTTTCGATCAATCGACGCAACATACATGGCGGCGTCCATCACGAAATTGAACAGCCGCATTACGTGTTCGGCATCAACTAATCGTCAACGCATTATGTTGCAATCGCATCATCGACGTAACGAAATTTGTGAAGTTTTTTATTATAACCCGACCTCTGTGTTTGTCGCAGCCACGTTAGCTCGGCTAAACTCGTTGAAGCCGGGTGAAGTCGGTCGACCAAAACCAGTGTTACGCGCGCAGTTTTAACATGAGTACCGCGGACGAGACGTGGAGATTGTTATTTCCAATATGTATCAACGCGATAATGTCTGTGATCGCGTTCGTTTCGACCGTGTGTTTGATTCCCAAGATAAAATCCATATTCGTCAAAGCTAACCTCTATGGCATCGACATGAGCAAAAGGAGCTACGAAAAAGTGTAAGTGAGACAAGAATAATGATAGTATTATATTTAGTTTTAACGTTATATCGAATGATACATCTCTATAATGCTGTATACCGGCAACGATGCATATACACGGCCAATTTATTTTGACAGGCCAGAGGCGATAGGTGTTTTTACCGGTTGCATATTTCTTGTAACAATGTTCCTATTTATCCCTGTACCGTTCACAGATTATATATTGAAGAACGAAAACTTTCCACATGACAAGGTACGACAGTTGTTTATTTATTTGCAGGAACTTTAGTTAAAACTGATTGTAGTTCTTTTAATGTTTTCAATTCTGGTTTTAGTCAGTTATAATATTCATGGGAATAACTTATGCTTAATTAAAAGGCAAATAAGAGACTTAAAGATATATATATAATATACAAATGCAATATAACGCACAAGCTTTTTGTTACAGTTTGTTGAATTCTTGGCGGCATTATTGTCTATATGTTGCATGCTACTGTTGGGTTTTGCTGATGATGTTTTGGACTTGCGATGGCGGCACAAATTACTTCTACCCACTGTAGCATCTTTGCCACTGCTAATGGTTTATTATGTTAACTTCAATTCCACAATAATCATCATACCAAAACCACTGAGACAGTGGTTCGGTTTCTCGATGGATTTATGGATACTTTATTACGTATACATGGGAATGTTGGCAGTGTTCTGTACAAATGCTATAAACATATTAGCTGGGATAAACGGCCTGGAAGTTGGGCAGAGTTTAATAATTGCTACGAGTATTCTCATCTTCAACGTTGTAGAATTATTTGGCAGTCAATGGAAGGCACATCAGTTTTCAACATACTTTATGTTGCCATACATAGCCACCTCTCTTGCATTGTTCAAATTCAATTGGTAAGTTGCATTTCACATATTTGCTTATGGTTGGCAGTAGTACTAATAGTAGTAGTGGTTTGCTGTTTTTATCGCGACAATATAACGAATCTGAAAGCGGAAGGAAAACGCCTCCGGACAAGAGAAAGATTTAGAGATTGGCGAGCTTGCGAGTTATATGTATAAACCATTTAACATGTATATTTCGTCAACGTAATATTTTAGTGTATAAATCCAGTATAATATTACATGGTGTACATAGTGTATCGAGTATGAGTTAATATCACAGTCGGGTGTAACCAGTACGTTAGTAGTAATCTAATTTAGCGTAGAAGTTCTCTACCAGCCAGTCGTACTTCCACGTGTTGTTGAGAATCGTATCAGGCGCGAAGTAGGAATCCCTTGATTTCGAGACCCTCAGGAGATTGCTTTTACCGTCTAACCACAGTCCGCTACCTATTAGGTCCTCAACGAACGGCACGTCGACGGTCTTCTCTATACGTATTTCCTTGGACTGGATTTTACTGTGAAGACCGATAATAATATTAGCGGGCGCTTGGCACAGGTAGCAATACCAGCCGCCGTAATGATTCAGATCCCCTATGACTAATCCCAAAATATCTCTCTCACTAGCGTCCCCGTCCAACTGTTGACGCAACACGACGGAGTTGGATTGATAAGCGTTTCGCATCAGGCCGATCGTGTACGCGCCGAGCATTATCGTTGTCTTGAGCGGGTGCTGCCAGAAGAAGCCGTATACCGACCACCTTAATCTAAACCCTATAGGCTGAGGCCAACCGTCGTACATCTTGAGGAACATTAATGCCCTGGAATTCAGTATCTGCTCCGGTTCCGTCGTCACGTAGATATCGTCGTCCCTTAAGTTCTGCACCACGGCTTTCACTCGGTCCCAGACGTATTTCGCCACTATCCTCGACGGTTTGCGGGACTTGGTCGCTACGTTGACGTACAAAATTTTTTTCTGCTGCCGCTGCAGCAGGCCCTTGGACAGCTTGTGCCGGAAATTGTCCTCGGCGTTGTTGAAATCACATATTACAAAAAGGTCCACTACGTTGTAGAGTTCCTCCACTATCACCTCGGCGATCGCCGAATTGTATTCGCTCAGGCAGAACGTGTGGATGATACGTCTGGCCTCTCTGCGACGTTTCAGACTGATGTTCTGCTTCGACGCCATGATCGCCCTCCACACGACCTCCGGCTGTCCGCAGTCCAAGCCGTGCCATCCTTGATTGCAGATACATCTTTCCAGATGCTCGTTGTTTCTCATCTTACGCTCGTCTACCCCGAATTTCCAGCATACGGTATGATTGTATATCTCGAACAATCTAAAAGTCTTCACGTCCTTCAGTACTATCTCTCCATTGATTGTCTGATAGATTGGTGATTTCTTACGATTGCCTTGAGTTATCTGCACTTCCTTCGATCGAAGAGAAAAAGACATTCTTATATATATATATATATATATTCGTGATTGACTAATATATTACTAACGAAATTACACGTCCATACTTGGTAGGTTACCTGTGACGTCTCGAACTTGACGAAACTGACGGACGCACGAGTAGTCGACACAACCAGTTCGGATGGCGGAGTGGTGGCCACATAGATCATAACAATGAGAACTTGCAGGACCAACAAGGTATACAGCAACGCTAGCTTTCCATCTAGACGGGTCTGCATGGCACTAATTCCTTTGCTCGAATTATTTAATATTTCATTTTATGTCCCCGCAGAAACGGCTCTTGCTTACTGCCGGTGACATTTTCGTTAATATTGCACTTCCGCGGCCGTCATCTGAGAACATGATCAACAACAACGATTACATCATTATCACTATTGTTATTATTATAAAGTTTATCGCTGTTAACGCAATATATAATTTTCACGATGCTCCACCGTGTTAACTTAGACATGATGAATCTTGAATTGACATTTTTATCCGGAATCGATTTTCAGCACTCGCTACGCTTCATTTCTCTTTAACGCGAAAAATTCGCTGACCTCGTTTCTCTCGGCGCGTATATGACATCTCACATCCCCTTTCTCACTCATATACTGTGCGTACATATTTTTCAGCCGTCGCGCCGAGTAATTTTCTGATTCCACGAAGACTAGGCGTAAGTATCACACCGAGCCACCGCATTGCGGCGGAATCGCGCTTAACAATCGCCGTCGTGAGCGAACCGGTCTCCGCGCGAGAGTTGCAGCTCCGCCCCGAACGCACGCGTGTCATCGACGGTGCATATTATGTATTACGTAATAAAGCGCCGCTCACAGTGCAGTCGGACGACAGTCTCGGTGGCTCGTTGTGACGTTGCAGGTGCGGCGTTTGTGACGTCACCGCGGCGCCGCGACGTGCCATTTAACTCGCGATCGCCGACGACTGTAAGCCGATCTCTTCTTCTTCTTCCGAATATCTATCCCTCTTTTGCCTGTAATTCTTCCTTTCTTTCTATTCAACTCCCACGACGGATTTAAACAATGGCGACTACACGATCGGCCGGCGACGCGCACATTCTTCTAGTCACGCCGATAGTCGTTGCCCGACGACACCCCGGCGGATCGGTCGAGACAGATCAGGGCGGTTCTCTCTTTCTGCTCCGTGCCTGCCGGCAGCAGCAGTACACCACGACGACGTGAAAAACCACGCCCGAGTGCCGCACCACGCCAGCCTGCCAGCCAGCCGGAGCCGGCGGTGGTCCGTCCGTTTGTCGGCGAACTCTCGCCACAAGCGCGATCGCGACTATTCGCAAGGCGCACGCGTCTTAAAGCGACAACGGCGGCGGCATCTCATTAATTGTGTATTCCTATATATGCCCACGTTGTGAAGCGTGAGCAATAATCGACGCCGCCCCGATGAGTCAGAAGTATTTTTATGACGGCTACTCGCAGCTAGTCACGATGACCCTCGACCCCTGTTCAATGACTCGTGTAGCGAGATTTCGACCCCGACAAGTGTACTTTCGCGTTTGTAGTCATCATGGTGGCTCCTCGCCTTGTAGTCCTGGAGCAATGGCGATCGGATCCTTTGGGATGATATGCCTCGTGCGTACTTCTTCGCATTCTTCTGTATATGAAAAATCGGCCTTTTTGTAAACAGAGCGTCGTTTTATGGGAAAACCTACGATGAAAAAAACTGGAATTGCATTCAAATAACGCAAAGATTACATTCTGTGTAATTTATCCTGTGTGTTTTGTCCTATGATTGATTGCGCTTGTGATAATTGTATGTTGAAAGCTACGTTAAGACGAGATTAAATAACAATAATAATGTTTTGTTCAAGGTACCCATCGCAAGTTTTCGTGGGTGATACGTTTTGCTATTTATCGGGGATGACTTTCGCTGTCGTCGGTATTATAGGCCACTTCAGTAAAACCACGTTGCTTTTCTTCATTCCGCAAATCGTCAATTTTTTATATAGCGTGCCGCAACTTTTTCATTTTGTGCCGTGTCCTAGGCATAGATTACCAAAGTAAGTCTCAGGAAATTGCCTGATGAGCGTCGTTAAATTCCACTGAAGAATTTGTTAATAGTATATGTGCGTTCTTTCACAGGTATAACAAGGAAACAGATCTATTGGAGCCTAGTGTAACAATCTTCCACAAGTCAGAACTCAACGTAATTGGTACGATAATCTACAACAACATGCAGTATGTTAACCTAATAGATAGGCAACTACTCATTTTTATAATATTTTATGTAATCTTATTTCATCAGGAAAGCTATTACTGTGGATATTGAAAACATTCAGGTTGGTAAAGTGGCAAGAAGATGGAGAGGGAGTCGTAATTTGCAATAATTTGACTTTGATTAATTTTGTGCTCATCAATATTGGTCCATTGAGAGAACCAACGCTCACGACAATTCTACTAATGATTCAGGTAACATTTTAAATAATTATGTATAAAACAAACATATAATGTACATTACTTACAATATACTGATATAAACTTATTGTCTTTCAGGTTGCTAGCAGTATAGCAGCATTTATCATTAGATATCCTCTTGCTTCCATATTTTATGACGTTTAAATAAGCGCGAGAACGCGATTTTTTTTTTTTGTAAAATGTGCGATGTATATAATATTTGAAACATGAAAATTACATAAATGAGACCACTATTATTATTTTAGCAACTATTAGAAATAGAGGTTTATTAAGACGTACAATTATAATTTCAAATCACAAATTTATTATAGTTATTGTACACATCACATGATCAATATGACCACGATGTTTTTACCTCCTTATTGTAGAATTTTGTAGAATGGTCGTTTAAAACTTTCTGCGTTTTCTTGTATCAAATTATACATGATGTGTTATTTTGTATACCAAAGCATTCTACGAACCATCAATATATTATAATGCATTATTTTTTATAGAATAAAATAAGGTATATATATATATAAACGTAGTGTATGCTTTCACAAGTATAACTTTCTTATTACGCAAATATTATAAACTGTTAGCACATCTGCTAACAATTATTTTTTATGTATTATGTACTCAGCGTGATGACGACATTGTGTCACTTGATCGTATATAACTTGCTTAAAAACTTGATTACTGTCTGATGTGGTTTTTTATATACAGAATAATACAAAAGATAATTTCATACTTGTAGTAGGCTATTACTGTGCTTTTTATATTATATAAAATATTCCATATATATATATATATACATATACATATATATATATATATATATCGAGCAACAGTATCAACACTATATATTTTACGTATTAATTAACATTTTATACCGAATTCGATTGCTTGCACTAATGCACACTAAGGCCTATTTATAGTCTGTTACTATATTTAACGATTATCTTAAGTATATTTTAAAATACTTTGAACCAATAATATGATACGTACAATATCCGTACGTATCATCTTATTAGCTAAGTTTTTAAATATGTATTTAAAGCACGATCTCAAATATAAAAATGTGCTGTAAACAAGCACGCACTCTATGCGTACTAGTGCAAAGCTATCGAATTCGCTATTAGGTTAAAAAAAATCAAAAATCATGATTATAAACATAACCAAAAGATATATCAGACCTGCACAGACATAAAACATAAGATCTCGTTAGTGTCTACAATAGGTACTTTACGCCTTAAGATCTACAATAGGTACTTTAAGCCTTAAAATACCTATTGAATCGACACTTAAGACAGTCGTTAAAACAATAATGTATAAATTTCATCGCATAACAAATACTTTTAAGCTATGAGATATTTGTGATAAACTAACGCATTATGTTACTTACTATCTTCTTTCTCGTGTACTTAGAGATCAAACAAATGCAATTAGGAATAAAGTACTTTATCGTCCGTATGTCCTATACAACAAGAAATAACACAGGGCAAAATATCCCTCTCGATTTCTCGGATACATGGATGTCACGTTAACATGCTAATATAAAATTTAATCTTCCAGATTTGGTTAAAGTGCATTTCTTTATTGACAATTTTTTGATACTTTAGTGTACGTTCGGTACGTCTTTGATGTCCAATCCTAATTTTCTTTTTAAGATAAGTTGCGTCTTTGTAGCATTTCTCAGGCTGTATAGATGTGTGAGTTCTAAGGACGTACGACATAATTCCAAAGCCTTATCGAACAATTTTATCGCTTCTTCCAAGTTGCCTCTGTAAAAGAAGAAAATATACGTGTTAGAATAATTCACATCCTTGTAAAGGATATTTTCTGGTTCTTCTTTGTGCAAGTTAGATATGTACAATCATAAATAATTTCGATTCTAAGGTATAAATCGAATAAAAATTATTTAAAAAAGCCACTTAAATAAACATACCTTTGCACTTCGATACTTCCTAATGTTTCATATCCAACCTCGCATTTCTCATCTATTTCTAACGCCTTGTGAATGTACTCCACAGCTCTATCGATTCCTGAGCTGGTGTTACCGTGCCATTGCAATTGCAGTAAACCTCTGTGTACGTACACGTTCGCATCCAACGGGTCCAATTCTAACACTTTAGCAAAGTATTCATCCGCCTTTTCAAAATCTTGACTCTCAGACATAATCTGTCGACAAATATATAAATGTCAAGAGTCACGCACAATCAATAATAAATTTGCTCGTTATATTTTGTTCATTATCAGAATATCTGAAACAACAATATTATGCGTTACCTGTCCATACAACATATAACCTTCGGGGTGATCTGGGTATTTCTCCAAAGTCTCCTTAAAGCATTTTTCAGCATTCTGCAATGCGGTTATATCTCTTTTGAAGGTCGCATGACGGTAATCTGCGTAGCATTTCTGCACGTGACCAGAACTGTAGTTTGGATTGTAACGCACCGCCTTCTCAAAATCGCGCTTAGCTTCGTCTACACGATTCAAGACCAAATTCGTCTGAAAACAGAGATTGAAACTACCGTGTATATCACATCATGCATGTATATTAAAATATACGATTGACAAATAAATATATTCCGTATGTGATACCTGTCCGCTATGCTGATAAATATCACTATAAGTTTCATCCATCATCATAGCTTCTTCAAAGCCTTTTACAGCCTTTTCTGGATCCTCAAGTTGCATATATAAGGTCGCTCTCTTTATGAGAGCGTTCAATTTCACATTCTTAGGCATGTCTTCGCTATTTATTATAAAATCTAGGTCTTCAAACGCGAGAGAGTGTTTACCCAAAAGAAGATAAAATGTAGCTCGTAAAAGTAATATCTCAAATTTACATGATGTTGCATCAGCTTCGAGACTGTTGATGGCATCCGTGCATAACGATATTATATCATCGTACTTCTCGTCTTTCAATGCTTGTAGAAGGTTTCTATAAAGTCTGGTAATCAAATCACAATAAACATTATAGTAACATTGTTAAAAGTAACATTTATAATCCGTAGAAATGAATATTTTGTTAACTCACTCGGGGATGTCTTCTGGTAATGGGAGCTGGAGTCTAGAAAACACTGGATCATTAGGGAAAGATAACATGTAAGTCTTGATGAAATGTTTACTTGGCATTATAAACTTTTTATTTTGCAAGTTCTCCTGAACGTGTTGTTTCCCTGAAAATAATTTTTATCCTGAATTATTAAAATATCTTTTTTTAATTTTAAATCTCTGCCCTGGATTATTACCGATAATATTTTATTTAAATTTCACATTCCGCTTAATATTTACATTACCGTGTAATTACAAATAACTTACCAAGTTGTTTCAAGAGCCTATCTGCCAATGTAAGAGACATCTGACTACTAAAACCTTCATAGATACATGTGGCAGTAACATCTTCCAAAGCAGATTCCAGATCTCCCATTTGCTCCGAAGCACGCGCCCGACGTAATAAAGCTTTCACATACCTTGGTTTTAGTTCTATTGCTTTTGTGCAGTCCATCTTCACGGAATCGTATTTCCCCTAAGACGCAAAATTACAGTGTATGAAGAAGACAGTAATTCTAGTATATTTTAGGCTTCCAAGTTGATTCGCACATCATGGATTGATTTTCGATATTTCGCAAACATTCCAATTCAATAAATTAGAATATTCACGAAAAATCAGAAATATATCCATGATGAATGTAGTACCAACTTGGAGGCCAAATCAAATAATAATTTTAGTGTGAGAGAATTGTTAAAATGTTACATCTGAAAATCTAAAAATTAAATTGCTTCGAAATTAGAGTTCAGCAGAGCGTTCATTGTTGTAAAATTGTCTTTTCATGAAGATATTGTTGTTATTGTGAGAGTACTTTGCATGACCCTCGAATTGATGTTTAAAATTGCAACAAAAAATTTTTTTATTAATAAGAGAATCATAATTTGAAATTTCAAACATATTTTTTTCAAAACAAGTTTCTAAATCGGTAGATATTATATCTCGAGAACCATTCAATAGATTTTACTTATTTATTAGTAATTTTAGTAATTCTTAAAAACATTATGAAGTTGATGATATTATTTTTTTTTAAACCAATTTTGATTTTTCAACAATTAAGAAAAAGAAACGATTTTTAATTAACCTCATGCGTTTTTTAATTAACTGCTACTTAATAAAAATGCAATATTAAAAATACAATATTAAAAACCACTATTTTTTTATCTAATAATCCATTGAATTTCTTAATCTCAGATATGTTATCTCAGCTGGATGGTGTTCATAGCTAATATCTTCAACAAACTACTATCAGCAAAGACATTCTTCCAAATTATTTTTTGTATGAAAATATACTTGATAAACATATATTCTTCAAGGAAAAAACTTAATATCAACATTTTTTTTTAAATTCCCAAATTTATATCTTTTATTTAAGTCTCTAGTCTGATGTAATTTTTTGAAGAACTTTAAACATGCTTCATACTAAATGCATGCATATGTAATACCAATTGTTCATATGCAGCTGCCCTATTTTGATAAAATGTCGCCATTTCTTCCACATTTTGCACTGGACAAATCTCAATTGCCATATTATATTGAGCTATGGCCTTATCGTATTTTCCTATTTTAAAATATGTATTTCCTTCCTTCTTGTATCTCTGCGCCTCTTCTAAAGGAGTCTAGAATAAAAAAGATTATAAGGAATATAGTTATAAAAATACTATCTTCTTTTCATATTGTTTAATATATGATCTAGAAAAATATAGAGTAAATATCAATATTTCACAGAATTATTTCACTACCTAACTACATCACAAAGATCTATTTATTCAAAACTTATTTTCGAAAACCATATTAATGATCGTCTATAGATACTTTTACGATTGCTTACAAACTGTTGTTTGCGATAATAACTTTCATCGCTGTTATAGTCTGTTTGAATCTTTCGATAATAAAGAAAATACCAACAAGTCCGTTAACGACCACGTGAGATTTTTTACGGGAAAAATTTATTGTTTCCGATAAATGGATTTTCGTCATCCGTCGGAAATTTTAACGGATTTAATTGAGAACACGTGATTTTAACCTCGGGTTGCTTGGCTGCAGAAGAAGGCACTTGGTTGCTGTCGACGTCGCCGTCGATGGAGATCTGTTTATCGGTGGACGCGCCGTTCTCCTTGGACTTGGCATGACGATCCGGTTTGGTCTCCGGTTTGGTACTCCGGTTACTAGTGCGGACATTGTTCTTGTAGTACATGTAACCGAGGCCTAGGGCAACCGGCGCACCGACCACCAGGGCAAGTTGCCATTTGGCCACGCCGCCACCCGTTCCTTCCGCGACGGGCATTCGTTCCTTCGCCGGTTTCAACTACTCGCCGGTAAAACGCGACACCGACACGACGGCGGTGCTGAGGACGACGATGATGTCGACGATTCGTCGTCGCTCACCTATACGTTCTGCTGCTGTGGTTACTGCGAGAGTGCGAACACCAAGTCCAAGCGACGGACATACGGACGCACGTACGTGACCTTCTCGTTACTCGTCGCGAATGTCGCCTCCGAGTGCAAATAAGCGCGAACGAGCACACTCGTGGGTACAATCGGTGGGTGTCCACTACTAGTGTTCGTCGGCAGTCACCACCAATGACATACCATTGAAATCACTAGGCAGCTTACATAAGTTCATTGAAAAGTTTCTCACGCATTTACGCCCTCTGAGTAAGTATCGAAATCGAAGTAAGAAAAGATATTCCAAAGCCTCGGAGAATCCGCGTTAAACGTTGCGCCAATCGAGATGTGCCTTCATCTTTCGCGTCATGTATTTAGATTTATTCCTACAGCTGCTTTAACACACACTTTGGTATATTTAACTTTTTACCTTTCAACTTCTACGTGGAACTATCGAACTTTCAAGGACAGGTTCCACTTAACGCTCGTAACGATCGCGAATACCGTTCTGTTTCTATTCAACATCCAATAGAAACGAAGATAGATAGAATAGATAGAATGATCGTTGCGAATGTTAAATGGAACGCACCTGGTCGAACTATCGAACGGAATCGAATCAGCGTTATGGCTCTAATACGTTCCTGAGACTTTTTAAATGAAATTTCAGAGAGTCGCTTTGTGTTACGAATAATCGTTCAACGTTCTTCAAATCAATTAACGTCTCATTAAGCGTATTGAGCTCGTCAGGCTCATTTGCGATCTCAAACCACGGTGTACGCCGGTGCTTGCGAATGTCGTACTTCGAAAGCGCTATTATCCGTTGAGAATTCGCGCCACACTGTTTGCGCACGCGGACGAAATTTTGCCGGAAAGATGGCAACTGTCTGTCAACAGCAGTTACGTTTTATCAGCCACTATGCTAGCAGTTCATTGAGGAACCGAGAGTGGAGTATGCGGAATATGAGAGCCGTCGCAGCGATTACGACGCGTCACGAAGAATGCTGAGCTTCCGTGAGCGTATCTCGCGTCGCGGCGACTTTTAACGGACGTTATAGTTCTCCGTGTTCTCTCACGCAGCACGTCGGTGGTTTCCTCGCCGTGACGTTTACCGCAATGGCACTACAGGAGGACGAAAACACCTGGTGAGTTGGAATCCAAGTGTTTCTTCAATCTTGCCGAAGAATGTCACGTCTATCCGACGAGAATGCGAATCTAGAGTTCACTGGCGTTAACCTATCGAAATTGCAACGAAATCGCACGCACTCTTGCAAATTGATCGACACACGACATCGTGATATAGTTTGCGACGAGGAACTACGACATGTGAAATGCGAAGAATTTAGTAGATGCAGCGTCACGCGCGTATAACTGTGTTACTAAGTACAATGGCAAGTTTGTCTTGTTAGCAGATGAGTGCGAGTTGCAACCTACTATTTAAAAGTTTGCTAATTAGTATGTACTATGTAATAAGTCATGTAATGTCTATATAGATTATATATTCTTTACATACTCAGCACTCTTTAATCTATCTGGTATCTGCGAATCATATTTTTATTTTCGTTAACTTTAAATATATATATATATGAATTGTTTGCTACTTTAGGGTATTGGAGTTAGAAGCAGCGCTTCTGGATACAGAGGCACCATCTGCATCTGATATATATGCTATTTGTAAAGGTCAACCAGTTCCTGCGAACTTGAGGCCAGATGTCTGGCAAGCTTGCCTCTTTGTGGCTGAAAGAGGTGATCAATTGAGTCATTTCAATGAAGTCTTTGACTTACCTGAACAAAATATAATTCGTGAAGACTGTCAACAATTCGTCGGTAAGTCAGAAGTATGAGAAAAGTATGAGAAATTCGGTGCAGTCTTCTTTTACATTTAATAACAGATACTGTGAAATATTACAGCGAAGCTTGGGAATGATGATGAAGACAAGGTCTCTGTAGTTTCTGATCTTGAATCTATATTAACATTTTACTGTAAAAGTAAATGCAAACAATACGAAAAGGGAAACGGATGGTTGGAAGTGCTGGGTCCTTTAATAGCATTAAAGTTACCACGTGCTGCAACTTACAATCTTTTCGAGGCAATAATAGATATTTATATTCCAAGGTAATAATATTATAGTGTAACTACTATCCTTATGAAAAAACACGATATAATAATTTATAAGAAGATTAATTGATGCTTATACATTTATTAAGATACTTATCAATACACTTATGATAATTATATGACACTTCAACAATTGATTTTCACGATAAAATCTTTATCACAAATAATCTCATAGTTATTGAAGCATTATTTTTTTTCCTATTGTATCGCTGCTTTATAATAGTGCAATACATCTATTAATTTTTCTTTCAGAGGCGAAACATATAGCTCAGTTTTGCGATTGTTGTTGCTTTACCACGAGCCGGAACTATGTTCTTTCTTAGACACGAAGAGGATATCGCCTGATCAATACACGAAAATATGGATGAATACACTTTTCGCCGGTGTCTGTTCGCTGCCGGCGATTTGTACGATGTGGGATCTATACTTCATGCAAGCCGATCCATTTTTCATGCTGTTTCTCTCGCTCATCATGGTGATAAATGCCAGGTAAATGTGCTGAACAGATGCCTCGACGTGTGTGTCTGTTGGTGACGTTACGTAACGGAATTCTCATCTTTACAGAGAGCAAATTTTGAGCATGAAGGATGAAGATAAGCAAAGCATTATAGACGCTATCGCGATAATGCCTTGTGCTCTGGAAGCAGATGACGTAACCGACTTTTGTTCATTGGCACAGTATTACGCGATGAAAACACCAACGTCATTTAAACAAGACTTGTACCCCGCGATGTTCGGCGATGGTTCGGACGAGAAGTTAATCTCCCACGCGTTGTGTCTACCTGTATCGGCGCAAGAATTAGTAGAGAACGCCATTGAAGCTCCATCCGTACTTAACAGCGCCGTTGAATCCGTTAGATTCTTTCTCGTAGACTGCAGACCTGCCGAGCAATATAACGCGGGTCACCTACCGACCGCTTTTCATCTCGATTGCAACTTGGTGAGATATTACATTCTGAAATATACTCGGTTCATGTATTTTTAACACGAGCTGCTTCGCACTATATGTTTTATATTTTTATTTCTTAGATGCTTCAGGAACCCGCTGCATTCGCCACAGCAGTGCAAGGCTTACTGCAAGCTCAGCGTCAAGCGCTTGCAGTTGGTTCGCAAGCTGGCGGGGAACACCTTTGCTTCTTGGGAAGTGGTAGACAAGAGGAAGATCGTTATACTCACATGGTAGTGGCATCCTTCTTGCAGAAACACACGCAGTACGTAAGCATGGTCACTTCTGGATATCAAGGTAATCTATTTTTATATTTCTCAATTTATTTATAAATATATGGTTCTCCTTTTTGGAGAAAGCAAATATTGTGTCTTCATACGATTATAAATCATTTTTGTTCCAGCCATTCATGAATATTTTGGTGATGAAGTAGTATCAAATCTGGTTGATCACAATTCGCAACATTGTCTGGTGTGCAACGCTAATATATCGGAAGAAAATTCGAATGAGGCGAGTCCAGTTAAAGTTAAAAACAACAATTCAGATCTTCTTGGAAAGATTGGATTGGCAATGAAATTAAAGAGTCAGGAAGTAAAGGGAAAGCTGTTCGATTATATCGTTAATCCTTCAGCTAGTGTGAATAGCAATATGGATAAGAAAGACGGCAAAGATTTGGACTATATTAAACGTCAGAGGAAAACCGCGCCTGTGTTTAGTATAGATGATGATCAAGAATTAGGTAATCGTCAAATTGTTTCGTATCATAAATTACTGATTGCGAGAGAGAAAGCATGTCTGATCAAAAATAATGTTTTTTGCAGATATGACAATGACTAATAACGAAAGCGAAGAGCCTATCGAAGTGGTATCTATACAGCAATGGATGAAAGACCCTAAGCTATTACATTCCTTCAAATGCCAAGAAGTAAAAGTTAATGGTGATCTCTGTGATAGGTAAGCACATATAGCAAAAAAAAACGATTTCTTAGAATCGAAGAGTTTCTAACGTCAACGAATTAAATTTAACATTTTAGGTACAAAGTTAAATGTTTCTATGTACGTTTTTTGCTTGTTGCAGTCAACTACTGGTTACCGATAGTCATCTTATAGTATTGAGAGAAATCCAAGAGCGAAAGGGTGCCGCTCATGTGATCGTGAAACGTCCTTTAACGAGTATCGTTAAGATAACATCAAGAAAACGACACGCGGATCTGATAACTTTCAAGTATGGTACAACACAATACAATGACACAGTTATTTCCGACATGGACAAGTTTCTTATACCCAATGCGAGCGAAGCTACCAAATTGATCACGCAACAGATTATGAAACAATTAAAAAATTCAGATTAATAAAATATATCACAGATACGTATTTTGTAGAATAATTTCAAGTTACTGTACAGTTGTGAGAAAAGTTCAATTCGTGGAAATTTTCTTAAAAGAAGAAAGTTAATTTTCGATATATGTAAAATATTTGAAATTTTTTTACGGCTCTTATTTATTCACATACTTGTTTATTCTCCGTTGTAGTAAAACTACCAGAATTGAAACAGCATTAAATACATTCATTAGACTATATTAATGGAGTATTGAAAAAATGATAGACAAATTGGTATTTGATGAAAAAATTATTTCTGATATCGGCTATTAATATTTTTTATGTATGAAAATCACAGTTGAACCATATTATCAAACAAACAGACAAATTTAATTTCGTTTATAACACGTGTTTTGGGTTCAATCAAATCTTAATGATTTTACATGTATCATGTATCATATATTTACAATCTTTTCAAACGTCACAGCGAATGCGTAACTTAAAGGTTAATACGTTCTGTAAATCACATTTATGCCATGCGATCTAATGTAATTTCTGGACATGCGTAGATTTCTAACAAGAATATGTAAAGGCCTTTGATTTTCTGTTGCGTGACGAATTTCCGTATCGTTTCTGCAACGGTAACGTTAGTTGAAACTTCACATTTGATTAGACTGAAATCTTGTAGAGATGCAAGAGAAGTTAAAAACTGACTATTGATACTAATACATATGTGCCTGATCAATGCACATTAGTTGTTTATTTTGGTTGTGTTCACACGTAGCATAAATAAGTATCAAAGCAAAAATAATTGTCGGTAACTGTGGCCCTAATGCGTTTCTAATATATTTACTACGTGTTCTTATAATAACACTTGCATTTTGTAGGTCACTGTATTGTAAAATGTTTTAATAGATACAAATCACGTAAGTGGGCATATTGTTCTTCATTCGTTGCAAAATATAACGATTATATTTATTAATTAAATTTACAGCGGAAATATTATAATTTCGTTTCTTTGAAGTTCCACAAAATTGAAATATACAGGCTGTAAAACAAATATCCAAGTTTTGATAGCATATTCTACTTACTTTAAACATAAAAACGATGATCATATCAGCTTTTTTCATCCAACCATATGGAATGCGTTTTAAAAATTAGGCAACATATTTCACAAACACTTTCTGTATTATTCTAAATCTATGCTGTATGTATGTAATAAGTTGTAGGAATTAATAACTACATTGCCTCGTCATAATCTGTGACAATACAAATTTCAGAAACACATGTTCTATTGATAAGTGTAAATGGAGTTTCTTACAAGTGTTTAAATATTATGTTTTGAGGATACAATTTACGTTCACTCATTTATTTATATGAGTCATTCAAATGCNCTTTTCCATGTACGTGCTTCCAAATGTATAAATTTGGAAATAAAGAAGTGCAAATGGACCGTTATATAGATTATATAGACAACATTCGAAAATCGTCTAGAAATTAAATGTATTAGTATCTCGATAACTTCGAATACATGTTTATAGATGTGTATATAAGAGAAAAGGCCATGTAATATAATATATAATATAAAGATAATATATATATATATATAATACATAAAATATTATAACACGCGAAGTAATTTATCTCTCTTTTTTCTTTTAATTTTGCACATTAAGTTTATACTTTACAATAATGGCATTTTTAAAATAATTTAATCTAGTTACATTAGCAATTGACATTTTTATCAAAACGAGTAGACACGAACGTTTATATCGACAGACTACGCATTTAAATTCCATTTAGTTATACTGCTGACATATCGCGTAAGGCAGTAATAAAATTCGCTGATACGTTATCAGAGTAATACTCCCAGATATCTGAGAAACATTCGCAGTATTAGAATCGACCGTCTACTCTGCTCCTTCAAAAAACACGATGAAAAAACTTGTCACCGTCATTTTTAAAATCGCCGTTTCTTAATCAATGATAAGAGAAAATGATATAAAAAAATTAATTTTAAACTTACATTATGTTGGGGAAATTTATGTGGACATTTAAATTAAAAATTATATGAATTTTAGTTTGTCCGTAAATAAAAAAACTATAAACTTTGATGTGATGCTTAATAATGACAGTAGACGGAAGGTCGCACACGTTTTATAAGAAGTTACATATATACGTCGTGCGTATATATACGCACGTATGCTTATTTATACGTCCCTCCAATCACGGTATATATACACACACACATGCATACATGCGCACACAATCGCAGCACCCAATGTGAATACGTGTAATCTACGTGGTATCAGTCAGTATCTGGCGGCCAGCGGTTCGTGTTGGTTTGTGCATCAATACCGGTTAGGGAGCAACTCTGCCAAAGATGATTTTCAAAAATCGCCACGGTTGAAATTATCAGCCAAGAAAAGCCAACCAGTCGTTGCGCAATGGGTGGGATAAATTGGAACGAATTGTTCCCGGGAAGATGGAGTCCTGTCATTTTCATCTCTTATATGGCTCTCTTTGTAAATCAAGGTACATTGTCTTGCGCGATGACACAGTTTCCGAATTCTTTCTTACCTATCTCACCTTTGTAATTGTTATAAGTAATAGACAGCGAGGTTATATATTTACATAAGCACTTACCAAGCAATCAATATTATATTGCAGTGTTATATTTGCATGTTTTGCCTGCTGTATTACTTGTCATGGATTGCATATCAAGAAATATTTTTTTTCTTATATATATATTTGACTTATCAAAATATTAGTGAAATGAGTATTAGTTGAGGAATATTTTAAGAAAATGAAAAACAATAATTTGTTATAGGTATTCTCGTGACATGGTCTCAAAGAAGTGGCCGCTATGAGTACAATATTGTAGCAGTAGTATTGTTGACAGAGGTCTTGAAATTAGTCATATCTATAATATTATATTGTAAAGAGTAAGTAAAATACAATTTAGACTTTACTTTTACACGATTCAATTTTTGCACATTACTTTATTATTCTTAATTTAATTTTCAGCAATAGCATGTTTACTCTACTTAAGGAAATAATGACAAATAAAAAAGGTGAGGCTAAAGTAAAGATAGCGATTCCAGAGATTTATGATACCTATTTCTATTTGCATGATTGAAATCCAAAATGGACTAAGAAGAGAAAAATGTTTAATTCTAGTACTTCTACTGTATATGATCCCTTCGCTGTTATACTGTCTCTACAACAATCTAGCGTTTGTTAGCTTGGCTAGATTCGATCCCACGACTTACTATGTTTTGCTGCAACTTCGCGTTGTATTCACGGGAATCGTTTTTCAGGTATACACATCGTTTTTTTCGACGCGTATATAATAGAACAAATATTGAGCAATGGACAATATACAAATTCTCATTTCTTCTAGGTCATTTTTAATAAAAAGTTATCGGCGATACAATGGTTTTCTTTAGTGTTCTTGACAGTCGGTTGTATGGTGAAACACTTCGATATCAGTGTTCTTAACACTGAATTCCATGTAGATAGTTCTCTACTTTTAATCCTTATACAGGTACATTGACCGTCGATAAACTTTATAACTAGTAGTACAATAATTTTCTGAAAATTCTTCTATTTTCAGATAATATGCTCTTGTTTAGCTGGTGTATATAACGAGTATTTACTCAAACGGCAAGGTGCGAATATCAACATATTTGTACAAAATGTATTTATGTATGTCGACAGTATTTTTTGCAACATCGTAGCAATTGTTGCATTGAGTATATTCAAAAACTGTTTTAATAATATATTCAGTAATGTTGACATCAGCGCTTTTGTGCAACCAGCAGTAGTATTAATTATGTTAAATAATGCATTCGTTGGTATAATAACGAGTTTTTTTTTGAAGAATTTAAATTCCATTCTGAAGACCTTTGCCAGCGCGATGGAATTGATGTTTACAGCATTACTCTGCTGGCTATTATTTAATATACCTATTAATACAAACACTGTGATTTCTATTCTTATGGTGAGTTTTGCTGTCGTACTGTATTCGAGAAATCCAGTACAAAATACTCAACCAAAAAAAACAGAAAGCGAAATCCTTTTAGTATAAAGAACTTCAGTATTAAATATGTTTGATAGCCAAAAAACCTTAATTAAATAAAGTTATAAATGCTAGAATAGATCATATTACTATTGATACTAAGCTACTATAAATGCGATAAGTGCAACACAACGATACAAATCTCAAATGATTCAATAATTATATAATAAGTTAACATTAACTTAAGACAGTGACTGAATGTTGACTGAATAAAAAGTATTGTAATTTCCTTTTAGAGTATAAATCAATATAAAATTGTATATATAAGCAGATTAAGGCACGCAAAATTTTGTTAATATTTATGACTTTTGAGATATTTATATGATTTGATAAATCGAATGATTAATAATGAAATTCAGAAGTGTCATTATATTTTTATATGCTACTTATAGATATCTCTAAATATATAAATTAAGAAATCTATATTAAAATTTCCTAAAATATATATCTTGTATGAAATTTCAGTGTCATATCTGCTTTATATTTTGTTTTAAAAGTATATATGTCACTGAAAAGTTTAAAAAAAATTCAATGATGTGTTCAATGATGAATTTTTGATTAAAACATTCTCGGACACGTTTATCTTAATTCTTATAAATATATTGGGTTGGCAAATAAGTTCGTTCGGTTTTTTTAACTGGTATAAAATATAATTTATTTAATATACAAAATATATACTAATCAATAATGTATTGACCATTCTTTTCTATGACTTCTTGCCATCTTTTTACCAATTTCATAATCCCACATTCATAAAACGTCTGAGGTTTACCGGCAAAAACTGATCCAGTTGCGTTTTAACAGCTTCATTATTAGCAAAGTTTTTCCCGTTCAGAGAATTTTGCAGCGACTGGAACAAATGATAATCAGAGGGTGCCAGGTCCGGTGAATAAGGAGGGTGAGGCAAAACATCCCAGCCAAGCCTTAACAATTTGTTCCGAGTAGTTAATGAATGGGGTCTGGCATTGTCGTGGTGGAAGACGACTCCTTTTCAATTTGCCAATTCTGGACGTTTCGAACGTATTGCTTGATTCAATTTCGTTAATTGGGAGCAATATACAGTTGAATCGATCGTCCTGCCTGATGGTAAGAGCTCATAATAAATGATACCTTTATAATCCCACCACACTGAGAGCATAATTTTCTTCGGGTGCAATCCTGCCTTCGAGGTTGTTTGTGGTGGTTCACTGCTGCTTCCCCATGATCTTTTACGTACTACATTATCGTAGACGATCCACTTTTCATCTCCTGTAACCAACCGCTTTAAAAATGGATCGTTTTCTTGGCGTTTCAGCAGCGCGTCGCAGATGGAAATGCGAGCGGTTAAGTTGGCCTCGGTCAATTCGTGCGGCACCCAAACATTGAGGCGAGAAACGTATCCCAACTGACGCAAATGGTTTTCTACACTTGTGTGGGATATATTAAGTGTCGTAGCAATCTCTCGTACTGTTTGCGATGGATTTTTGTCGACGGTATTCTTTATTACAGCTGAATCAATCTCTGCTGGACGACCAGAACGGGACGTGTCACTAACATCAAAATCTCCAGAACGGACTACTTTTGTCAAACTATTTTTGACACACACGTTCCATTAAAGCATCGTCCCCATACACACTACAAATCTTCATATGAGCTTCCGCAGCTCGTTTGCCTTTTTTGAAATAAAAAAGTAAAATATGGCGAAAATAAACGTTCTTTTCTTCCATATTTGCAACCGGGCAGTATGCACAATACTCTGGTATTAACCGGCGTATGTTTACAAATAGGTTAGGTGAAACGTCGCTTTTCAGCTGCGCAAGCGCGTTGTGCGATAGCGCTGTGGAAAAGAGATAGCAGAACGAGTAAACCTAATCCGATTAAAAAACCGAACGAACTTATTTGCCAACCCAATATTTTGTAACAAGAGAAACAGGTAACACACGTTATCCATTTGAGAATAATTAGTTTGATTTACTTAGTTGAATTATACATTGTTGAAAATAAAAAAATCATTCGATTCATCGTTGCAATCATATATCGATCAGGAAAATAAAAATCTAACTTGACATAAAATTAATATTTATCATTTCTTATTTTTATATATTAATATATTTAATGAACTAAATGAAAAAAAATGTACTACCTGTAAAAATTGAACACTTATCTTGATCATGAAAAACAATTGAAATTTAAGAAGCCCAAGAGATGTTTTTTATCTTAACGTTAAATAATTTGATAAAAAAATAAGTTCTCGTGATAAACTAGCACACATATTAAAGAGAAAGATCCTTACCTTTAAATAAAATAAATTTTATTTTCATACTACGTTCCGTTTATGCGGCGCAACTTGACAAACTTCATGAAACTTCATAAAACATCTTTGCGTTAAATAGTTTTTTTTATTAGGAGTATAAGATTATACCACATAAATGACAACTGGCATATATAAATCATTTTGACATCGCTTAGACACGTAAGCCCGTATTCTGAACTCTCTTTTATCGGTAAAAATGCCTTAAATGTGGCTCTTGAGCTAATCAGGTGGTTCTTAAGTCACTTTTGAAGGTATTTTTATCGATAAAATAGAGTTCAGAATACGGGCCGTAAAGTTTTCTCTTTAATTTGCATACTAGTAAATTACAGTACAATTTTTTTCAGAAAGTTATTTAATAATGAAACAAAAACTTCTCGGTTTTGATTGATGACAAGAAAGACAAAGAAATTTATATACATTCGTTAGGTAATAAATAAAATGCCTAAAAGTTTCATCTTTAAAATGAATGTATCATGTATTTTATAAAAGTAAATTTTGAATATAAAAACTGAACTGAAAGTGATGATAAAGTTAAAAGTTAAATGTATTTGCAATTTATTATTTAATATATTTATATATTAATACAACTTGATATCTCTCTCTCTCTCTCTCTCTTTCTCTTTTAGCGATAAATGCAAGCAACGTTATGAATTCAATCTATTAAAAAAATAAAGATATCAGACTGTAAAATGCTTTTTGAACTATGTCGTTATTGTTATTTTTGTCAAAATTAGAGCTTGTTGAATTTTGTTTATATATATTATATATATTTCAATATGAAGGAAAAATGCTGTTGTACCTATCCATTGGGTGATATTAGTTAAAAAATAGAAAAGACGTCTAAAACCAACGGCACACAATGCTTGTTTTGTGTTGGATTGCTCGCTGGATGGAAATACTGTGTTCTGATTGGTGTATCGTCATCCATTTTCGGCAATACCAGGATCTTTATTTTCCAGTAGTATGTCTCAACCATCATATCAGCCGAATTTTTGTTACTCCTTCAATAACACGATCGAATAGCAAGTCAAATAGATATTTGGCTGTATATTTTTGCTTCCGATTTTCTTTTTTTCTTTTATATATTTATTTATTTTCATTATAAAACGTAATATTATATAGCTAATCTGGACGTATCGGTATTTTGCGAAATTGTTGCATTATCGCAAGTAAGAGATCTTTCAATACTTCAAATTTAATATGCGAATGTTGGTATCACGTTGGCTTCCATTTTGAAAGACGATTCCGGTCGAAGTAAGTTTATTGTTTGCGCGTCGGCCCGGTCAGTTTCGGCGTCCATGTACTGTTGAAAAATTGTCTTGTGACGCGCATTTGTCGTGACTTATCGTACTGTTGTCGTGATAGCTGAAAAATGCAAGGCACCATAATCGAAAACCTGAGCGGTAAGAAGCTATCGGTGTTGGTTGTGCTTTTAATAATTGCACAAATAGTTTGCTTTCTCATAGGTGGTTTAATTGGTAAGTAACGCATTAAATAATCAAATATTTTCATTTTAATTACCTATATATGTTTGTATCATTATTTCTGTCCTTACAACAGCAGATATATGTCGTAAGAAAATGCATAAACATATTTCTCATCTTTTTCTTTTTTTTTGTATTTTACATGTTTATGCTACAACTTTCTTGAGAAATATATTGTTTTTAATAGACTTCAAGACTTAAAACTTTTAATAGACTTCTGTATTATTGTTATTTTTGCTTTATATTGGGTTTTTTCTTTATTTATTTATATATTAATCTGTATTCTGATTATGGTTTTAATAAATAAATTAATTCATTTGAAGTGGAAACAGTTAAAGAAAATATAGTATATAATATTTCATATTTTCATTTTGTATAAACCAATTTGCCAATGTATACTTCTTTTTTAGCACCTACTCCTGCCAGTAGTCAGAACATTCTTGGTACACCGTGTGAAGACATTCGTGTCAATGGATCTGAACCTGGCGGAGACAAGTGGTTTTATTCAAGAGGAAAAGATGCTTGTACTCTAGTTGATATAAATCGCTATAGTTTAAATAGTCATCATCAAGCTTACCAAGTTGTATATACATTTCAGGTATAATTATTAATGTTATATTAGATATAAATATAACAAGATGGAGAAATAATATAATTATTTTTCAGATGCCTGTCCCTCGTAACAGCCTGCAATTGGATTATTCAAGATGGCAACAAAATTTAATAGGTGTTTTACAAGTGGACATAGTTTATAACAGCCAGATTGAAATTGGTATCGTATCTGCCGCTATTGAGATATTCATTGACTTTGATAAATCTTTGTAATTTCATTAAATTTTCCTCTTTATAGCTCCTAGGACGAAAATAACACTGGATGCACGTCTGGCATATCGAAATAAGGGAGATCCAGATGATGCATGGAAACCATATGCTGCTTCTATTGTGGAGAGAATCTTAGATTGCAGCATAGATAATGTGAATATGTTTTCCTTCTTTACTATTATTAATGCGTATTTGTCTGAATAGAGGATATTGAGTTTTGCAGTTATATTTGAGTATTATATTTTATATAGATTTGTAATTTTATAATTTTCTTTGTAGAAACAAGACCAATATAATTATAATTGCATCGTTGTGCCATTGTTTGAGTTGGGATCTTTGTATCATGACTATTACCTGTTAAATATTCGTCTTCCTGCTGACACTGATAAAAATATCAATCAAGGATTAGGGCATATTGTCGATTTATGGCTTACAGTAAGTTACATGAGAATTAAAAATTTTTATTTTTATAGTGCTTGTTAAGAAAATATATATATATTTTATGATTAGGAAACTTGCCTAATATATTATTCATGATACAGGCTATTAATCAAAATGGAGGATTCACGAAAGTGTGGGTGAGTTTGAAGACCATTTATTTCCCAGTGGTGCTAGGCGTCCTGGCTTGGTATTGGAGGAGAGTGCATATGCTATCCAGACCACCCGCACTTTTGGAGTACATGCTTTTAGCTTTGGGTTCTGCCTTGACATTTTTAAATCGTATGTTAATTACATCTTTTCTATAATTTCATCCTCGTATTATATCGTTCATACCATTTATGTTTTTAAATGTCGTCTTTGTTTTATTGTACTTTTAGTTCCATTGGAATATTTAACACTCGCTTATGACATGCCGTTTATGCTTCTGTTGGGTGATATTCGACAAGGAGTGTTTTATGCAACATTATTGTCGTTCTGGCTTGTATTTGCCGGTGAACATCTAATGGTAAGAAAGCTACGTTCTTTCCGTTACAAATTTTTATTCTCACGATTATAACCATCGATAACATTCTATTTTTTTGTTTCATTTTGGATTTTGTGTTCCTCATTAGATTCAGGTGAGTGTCTTTTTACTCTTTTTGACTTGCATTTTTACATTATTTTGAGAAACACTGTATTTCATAATGTAAATTTTAGGAAGGTGAACAAAGCAATTCATTAAAGTGTTATTGGCGACATCTCTCAGCAGTTGGAACCGGCTGTCTCTCGCTATTCGTCTTTGATATGTGCGAACGCGGTGTACAACTAAGAAATCCATTCTATTCAATTTGGGTAACCGATGTTGGAACCAAGCTGGCAGTATCCTTTCTCTAGATTATTTTTTACGTCTTAACTCCATAAACGGGGTTCTTAAAATAATTCATCGAATTGTTTTTCCTTAAGTGAATAATAGCTGTCTTTTATTATTTTGGCTGGCATATCGGCTGGAGTATATCTGCTGTTTTTGTCTTATATGATATGGAAAGTATTTACAAACATCAGCGCGAAGAGAGCAGTTTTACCTAGCATGAGCTCGGCACGACGTTTGCACTATGAAGGAGTTATCTATCGTTTTAAGTTTTTGATGATAGCCACTTTGTTATGCGCATCTTTGACTGTTATTGGCTTTATACTGGGACAGGTAAGACATCAATGAGATTCTTTTTATTTACATTTTTTTAATACACACATAGTTACTATTAATTATATCGAATGATTTTGAGATAGGTTGCAGAAGGTCAGTGGAAATGGGACGACGAATTACAGTTGGAAATGACTTCGGCCTTTTTTACTGGTGTGTACGGAATGTGGAACATTTACATCATTGCATTATTATGTCTCTATGCACCTTCTCACAAGCAATGGCCGATTGAACCATCTGGTAAGAACGTATTTTAATTCACAAATTAAAACGTAATTGTGAGAATCTCCCGGCGTTAGTGGAGAATTTTCGCTGTTTTATATTTAATATATGTGTGTAATGTTTTACAAGAAATTTATTTTATTTTATTCAAACATCGACATAAACACGTTAAGAGCGTAACATTATTAATTTTTTACTTAAAATGTGTGTGATGTCAAAAGTGAGAAAAATATGTCTAAAATTTTTGTTAAATACATTGAAATAAAGATGTACATGAAATGACACTTGTGATTGACTTGTGAGCACATTTCCATAAAATATTCCAAAAACTTTTTTTTCCTCGAACAATAAATAACCGTAAAATTAACATGACATGTAACTTTTCTTTATGACCTATTTTTCCTCGTGATTTTGTCACGTTATTTTTACGGCTTTATTTATTGATCATTGAAAGAAAGTTTTGGAAATATTTTACAAATGTGCTTGATCACAGGGGTATCATTTTATAGACATATCCTTTAATTTTAACATATTTCGCAAGAATTTTAGGCATACATTTTCTCGCTTCTGATATCATTAATCAAGATGTTTACGGCGAGGAAACAAAAACTTGAAACTTGTACATTTTCAAATGTTGCGATATATTTATTTATTATGTTTGTGAAATAATATAGGACATAATTTTAATTTTTTTAGAAAACAGCATCAGCGAAGAAATCGAATTCTCTCCCTTGCCAACTGATCCTAACGAAATGCTGTCTTTAACTGCATTTGCACGAAAAGCAACAGTAGACTAAAGTACATATTTATATCTGTGTATATTTGTAAGAAACGAGTGGAAACGGCGAGCTCTTATATTTAATGTACTTAATTGTTATAGATAGAATTTGTAAGTAGAACTGGATTTAGATTTTCCATTATTTATTAGGGACACAACACACTGACTGATAATACTCCTATGATAACGCTATTTTATATACCAAATTCGATTATTTATTGCTTCCGACGTTTTTTGTATAACTATTTGTAGTATCATATTGACATATGATAAGAGGATACAAAAAAAGTCATTTCATCTCTCTATGTGTTTGTCAGTGTCATGAGCACAAATTCTGATATACGTTCGAGATATGATCTGCTGTTTTTATATATATATTATTTATAGATATTTATATATAGCATGTAATGCAATGTGTACATGTAGATTAAAATACAAAACGACATTCAAAAATTAAAATTACATGTTTAAGGACATAATGTAATAAGACAATCAAACATTTCGAAAGTTGCGCGCGAACGAGATGAAATGACTTTACGAAGTAAGCAGCTAATCTTTATGATTCACATAGTGCTTATAATTTTTATATGGATGTGTATTATTATATACTTAATATGTAGGCT